AGAGTAAACTACATGTTCTGTAATGATCATCTGCATGGCATGTTTTCTTTCTCTGGCAAGACAAGTGTGTGGACTGTTAAACACGAACTACGCATGATTTTGATTACGGCAAAGAAAGGTGTGTCTTTGACATTATTGATAAACCTCAAAAAGAGAGATGAAATATCTATAGATTCGCCTTCCTGAACATCACACATTGAGGAGTAACAGAGGCCAAGATTTTGCTCATGCTTACCCATTTTAAAGATAAGCCCTCATTGTGAAGGGTGCAGAGGGCAAAGAGCTCACCATCCGCCACATTGAAAGAGAGAGAGAAAGGGAGGAAGGGCAGGGCCCATGCTGCCAAAGTTACGCTTTGTAACTCCTGAGAAAGCCCTCCCCATGTGCCACTGTTTTTCACACAATTTTCATTCTATTTCCCTAATTGCTTTGTGTCAGTGAAAACATTGCCTCAGCAGGGCTGGGTATAAAAGTGTGGTCTGCCATCTGTAAACCTGCTGATGGGGTGGCTTTTCCCCACAGAAGTTAACTCCCTTCCCTGTCAGCACTATTTCTAGGTTAGCTTCCTACAGAGAGAGTGCAAACACAACCGGGGACGATGCACAGCCTTACTTTTGGCACAGTTCGCTCACTAACACAGCCGGAACAATTAAAGCACCACTTGGTACATACAAGGTGAAAACAATATTACTACCTTTGCTAAGAAACCAATGCCTCCATGTCTGGTATAATAAAACCAATATATTATTAACCCTGATAAAAGCAATACCTCCACAGACAGCAAAATGAAGCCAAAGTCCAGCTCCCTTTGGCATCTTTTCCCAAGCCCAAGATAATGTGCCGTAGGATGATATCAGGGCAAAACAGGGAATAGGAGAAGTGGTTCCTTTTTCTGAAACTGTGTCATTTGTGTAATATGTAATGAAAATAGCTAATTGTGTTAAATTACACCATGTAACAAAATTTGAAAAAAAAAATCTGTTTCAGAGTTGAAAGTCTTATTTCTTGTTTAATTATACAGCCTTGCTTTGAAAGTAGTTGTTATACTCCAGAAACTTTGGGGGTTTTTTTTGGCTGCTGCAAACTATAACCCTGAGGTGTTCATTGAAAAACTAGAGCAAAATGTGCTGCAAGATGTCCCAGTTTAATAAATTTTCCCCATGTTTTTATGATAGATCCAATTATAAAAATGCATTGTAGTTCGAAAACATACAAATGTGAGTAAATCAATAGGTACTGCTCTGGTGGGAAGGTAACAGCCCTCCATGTAGTCATGCTGACCATATGACTTTGGAGGTGTCTATGGACAACGCCGGCTTTTCGGCTTAGAAATGGAGATGAGCACCAACCCCCAGAGTCGGACCAGACTGGACTTAATGTCAGGGAAAATCTTTACCTTACTAACCCAGGAACAAAAACCGTGTTACATAATGTAGTGCACCATAGAACATTGTGACAATAAGAGAATGGGAGATGTCCTTCCTTTTTTTTATACGCTTTTACTTTTTTGTAATATGTAAGGAAACTAGAATAGATATGCAGATGATACCACTTTGATGTCTGAAAGCAAGGAGGAGCTGAGGAGCCTTCTACCCAAGGTGAAAGAAGAAAACGCAAAAGCTGGGTTGCAGTTAAACAAAAAAAACCAAGATGGCAACCAGACTGATAACTGCAAATAGAGGGAGAAAAGGTGGAGACAGTGACAGACTTGGTATTTCTAGGTAAGAAAATGACTGCAGATGCAGTCTGCAGCCAGGAAATCAGAAGATGTTTCCTTCTTGGGAGGAGAGCAATGACCATTCTTGATAAAATAGTGAAGAGTAGAGACATCACACTGGTAACAAATATCTGCATAGTTAAAGCAATGGTATTCCCCGTAGTAACTTATGGATGTGAGAGCTGGACCATAGGGAAGGCTGAGCAAAGAAGAGAGATGCTATTGAACTGTGGTGTTGGAGGAAAATTCTGAGAGTGCCTTGGACAGCAAGAAGATCCAACCAGTCCACACTCGAGGAAAGAAAGCCTGACTGCTCATTAGAGGGAAGGATATTAGAGGCCAAGATGAAGTACTTTCATCACATCATGAGAATACATGAAAGTTTGGAGAAGACAATGATGCTGGGGAAATTGGAAGGAAAAAGGAAGAGGGGCCGACTAAGGGCAAGGTGGGTGGATATTATCCTTGAACTGACCGGCTTGACTTTGAAGGATCTGGGGGTGGCCACGGCCGACAGGGAGCTCTGGTGTGGCCTGGTCCAGGAGATCACAAAGAGTCAGAAACAACTGAATGAATAAACAACAACAAAAAGGAAAATAGCTGTCTAATTGTTTTGAATAATCACAGGGTTTTTGAGCTCAGTGGCATTCAGGAATACCTGACATGAGCATGGAAAGTAGTGCCAAGTAAAGATATGTAACACTATATAACATGATTTTTGAGTCTCCATGTGGAGTGGAAAAAATAGGGTATAAATAAACATAATAAACATAATAATAATAATAATAATAATAATAATAATAATAATAATAAGGAAAGCTGAGCGAAGGAAGAGAGATGCTATTGAATTGTGGTGATGGAGGAAATTTTTGAGAGTGCCCTGGACAGTGAGAAGATCCAATCAGTCCATACTTCAGGAAATAAAGCCCGACTGCTCATTGGAGGGAAGAATAGTAGAGGCCAAGATGAAGTACTTTGGGCACATCATGAGAAGAAAGGAAAGCTTAGAGAAGACAATGATGCTGGGGAAAATGGAAGGAAAAAGGAAGAGGGGCCGACCAAGGGCAAGATGGATGGATGGCATCCTTGAAGTGACTGGATTGACCTTGAAGGAGCTGGGGGTGGTGACGGCTGACAGGGAGCTCTGGCATGGGCTGGTCCATGAGGTCACGAAGAGTCGGAAATGACTGAACGAATGAACAACAAAATAATAATAATAATAATAATAATAATAATAATAATAATAATAATAGTTCTTAGGTTATAAATGTCATTTTCTAATTGGGTCTATCATAAAAACATTGTCAAAGTTTATTAAACTGCAAAAACTTTGTCTTTGTGGGAGGGATATCCAGCTGTAGCACATTTTGCTATCGTTTTTCAATGAATATCTCATTGAGTCTCAAGTAATTCAACCTAGTTTGTGGCACTCACAAAAACGAAGTTTCTGCAGTAGAACAATGGCTTTCAAAGTAAGGACCACACAATTAAATAGGAAATAACACATTCAAACCAGGCACATTTAAAAAAAATTGTTACATGGTGTAATTTAAAATGCAGTTTCATAGGAAAGGAAAGGGAGCTTTCCACATCTGAGGACATGTGACACACGCCCAAAACCCAAGATCAAGCAGCTCTTCCAGAAAGCCAACACAAACACATTCCCTCCCAACCAAAACTCGTCAGAAGTTTTTGGACAAAGTCTCACCCATAAAGCGGACATCTTTGCACTCTGGTGAATCCAAAGGAGGAAGGGGTCTCCTTGGACCATTCCGTTTGGCCCTTTGATCCCCTGCTGCTTGATCTGCTGCAGCCTTCTGGTCACCGCAAGGATGGCCGCTGCCCCGCCAATGCCCTTTCTTCCTGAACACTGGGCACAGATCGCCAAAGCAAAGACCCTGCCCAGTGAGGCTGGATGAAGCTGTTCTGTTTGATTGATTCCAGCAATGAATGGGGCGCATACCAGTGGGAGAAAAGCGTCCCATGGAAGGCAGGAAGCGAATGATCAGATTGCAAGAGAAAGGAAGGAAAAGGCGAGGCGATGGAGCAGCCCTGAGACAACAAAGCAACAGCTCCATGCTCACTCGCTTGCTCTCTAGTTCCCACCCAGAAGCAGCCCCCATCAGAAAGCTGCTGCTTGGATCTGGAAAGCAAATGGTTGGCAAAGAACACCTATTTAGTAAGCAGTGCCATGAGGTGGTTGGCTCTTCTGTGGAAGACAGGGCAGTTCAAGCCTCCTTCAAGGAAAGGAGCATTAGGACCATTCCTGGCAGAACCAACCTGGCCCTGAAAGATGGAGAGGTGAATAACATCGACACGCCAGATGCTAACATCCTGCAGCACATTTTGCTCTAGTTTCTCAATGATTATCTCATTGAGTCTCAACCAATTCAACATAGTTTGCATAATTGCAGCCACAAAAACAAAGTTCCTGGAGTAGAATGACTTTCAAAGTAAGGACCACACAAGTAAACAAGAAATAACACTTTCAAACCAGGAACAGAAAATGTGTTGTTGAAGGCTTTCATGGTTGGAGTCACTGGGTTGCTGCGAGTTTTCCGGGCTATATGGCCATGTTCCAGAAGCACTCTTGCCTGACATTTCACCCACATCTATGTCAGGTATCCTCAGAGGTTGTGAGGTCTATTGGAAACTAGGCAACTAAGGTTTATACATCTGTGGAATGACCAGGGTGGGAGAAAGAACTCTTTTCTGCTTGAAGCAGGTGTGAATGTTGCAATAGGCCACCTTGATCAGCATTTAATGGCCTTCCAGCTTCAAAGCCTGGCTGCTTCCTGCCTGGGAGAATCATTTGTTGCTAGGTGTTAGCTGCCCCTGATTGAATTTTGTCTGGAATTTCAGTTTTTGAGTATTCCTCTTTATTTACTGTCCTGAGAGTTTTTTTTAATACTGGAAGCCAGATTTTGTTCATTTTCATGGTTTCCTCCTTTCTGTTGAAATTGTTCATATGCTTGTGGATTTCAATGGCTTACAAGAATCAAGAATCAGCTTTCAGTCCTCCTCCAGGTGTTTTGGACTTCAACTCCCACAGTGCCTAGTAGCCGGTAGGTGGTTAGGAATTGCGGGAGTTGAAATCCAAAACACCCAGAGAGTCAAAATTTGCCTATTCCCGACTTACAGGCATCCCATTCTTTCCTGGTTTATATTTAGACTGGAGGTCCATTTCATAAGCCAATTATCGATATGGTCTCAGGCATCTATGTACACAAACAATGTGGGAATGGCGTTAGTAAGGTTTTCACGGGCAAAACCAGACCCAACCTTGACCAGTTGAAATATAAAAGTTTATTTGAGGACCCTTGAAAGAGAGGGGGGTGATGGTCGTTCCATCCTACATTAAAGAAGGTGCGTTCAAACAAACCCAACAGACAAAATTACACCACAATTCTCGAACTAGGCAGGCAAAAGAACGGAGACTTAGGACATGTACCCTCCCAACACAAACAAGTTAAATGAACACAAACACACACACCCCCCGACTCCTTCACGCACATACACACACACACTTCTTCCACAACAATGTAGCTGCACAACTGTGTTTGGTCCTCCCCCATTCTCTTCATCATAAGAGTTTGTTTTGGGGCAGGAAAAAAAGAAGATGGCACCTCCCTATAAGTGACCATCAGCCAGTAAACGCTTGGTTTGCAAGAACAATGGACCAAGAAGCATGCGGGACTTCAGGACTGCAAAATGTCTTGTCACATTCCCCAGAAACATTCCAAAAAAACCAACTGGCGCAACAACACGTTCCAGAAGACAAGTCGCTCTGTTTCAGGACCGAAGGAGAATTCAGTCCTTTGGGAATTGAGTGGCATCAGTTCCATCCGAAGACGTAATATCCATTGACCTTCGTGTCAACCATACAGGAAGGGAGGCCATGGAGGAACGTGGAAGTGGGCAGCTGTGTGGCCGCAGTGAAACAAGGACCCCTTTTCCGGTAACGGGCCCCCGCTCCCAGCAGTCCCCTTTCCCACCCGCAGTCAGAGAGAGGCTTACACGGCTTTCCGGTGATACTCGGGAGGTGCAACCTCATAGTCACTTGCGCTAAACAACGCAGAAGAGTTCTTGGCAAGATACCTGCAAAGAAAGGGAAGGAAGGAGACAGTATATGATCCTGTGAAATATTAAATAGGTATTTTTAATTACAAAAATGTGAATCAAACACTGAAAGTGTTAAATGGATGCAGTGACACAGCAAAAGCTGCAGTTCTATATAAGCAGGTGTGCCTGCAGCTTAGAGAGGCCTCTGTGTTAGGTTGCCTCAGTGGGAGAAAGGTGTCACTGAAAAGGCCCCACAGTGTGAGGCAGGCCTAAGTCTGTGAGAGAAGCTGTGTGAGGTAAGCCTTGGAATGAGAAGGCCTTGTGTTTCAAGCTCTAGTGTGAAGGTTAAACTTTATTTGTGCCGTGGAAACCTTGGTCTGTAAATAGTGCAACCATATTATTTTGCTATGAAAGATATAACATCCGTCTGTGTGTTTTTGTTCTTTTTATCACTTTGGGCTACTGGTACTGGATCACGCTGCCGCTGCTAAGTTACTTTGCTGTGCATTTATGAGGAGAGTCTTTTGTTGATAAGCCCACTCACCCAACAGATCCGACACAGTCACTCAAGGTAATTCTGATATTTCAAACTTGATTTGTAAACAGGAAGACAAGCCTAGCGAGGGACAGCTTGGGGAGCCAGGGGTGTTTAGTCTGTGGTATGAGGCGGGAGGCATCTTTAAAGATCTGAAAGCAGCTGGGAGCCAACTTGTTTTCTGCTCCTCCAAAGACTACAATACAAACCAGTGGGTTGAAATTTTAGGAGAAAAAAGACTATGTCATTCTCTTACATTGGAACTATGTAACACCATTTGGGGAAAAAAACCCAATCTGTTTCTGGTTTGAAAGTGTTATTTTCTGTTTCATTGTGCAGTCCTTATTTTGAAAATAATTGTTAACTTTTTCATGTTTTTATGACAGAATCAATTAGAAAATGACATTTATTACACAGGAACAAAAGTCATTATTTAGTGTTGTCATTAATAATGATAACAACAATAATAATAGAATCATAGAGTTGGAAGAGACCTTGTGGGCCATCCAGTCCAACCCCCTGCCAAGAAGCAGGAACATTGCGTTCAAAGTGCCCCCAACAGTTGGCCATCCAGCCCCTGCTTAAAAGCCTCCAAAGAAGAAGCCTCCACCACACTCCAGGGCAGAGTTCCACTGCTGAACAGCTCTTACAGTTAGGAAGAACTTGTTAGGCAAGTGGGCTTAATAACAAAAGACCCTCCTCATATACAGCAGAGTAACTTATTAGCAGCAGCGTGACCCAGCACCAATGTGACCCAGAAACAGTAGCCCAAAGTGATAAAAAGAACAAAAACACACAGACCAATGTTATCTCTTCCATAGGAGAGTTTTCTTTGTAGTAAAATATGGTTACACTATTTACAAGAACTAGGTTTCCATAACACAAATAAACAAATACACATTCGCTTTGTACACAGCAGCTTTCTCACACAAGATTTCTCTCATACAGAGGCTTACCTCAGACCCCTCAGTAGCTTTGGCGCACCGATTCAAGCAGGTTTTGGCCTACAAACTCTTTCAGTGCTTGACTCAAACTTTTGTAATTAAAAATACCCAGTTAATTTTCAATATTTCTGACAGATCACAGTATGATTCCAGATGTGGTTTGACCAAGGCAGAATATAGGGGGAGTGGGACTTTCCTGGATCTAGGCACTATACTCCTACTGATGCAGACCAAAATCCCATTAATGTCTGATTATTAATTTCTAATTATAATAATACGAGCCCTATGGTCAAGCAATTGGCACAAAGTCCCTTTCTCCCAAGCCCCAATAAACCCATTAAGAAACACCCCAGGAGCCAAACCTGGGTCTACAATACATACTTTAGGAAATCGTGTAAGTAGTTCAACAGCAGGGCCAAGCTCTTCTCATCGAGAGGTGTGTAGGCCAGCATTGCGCCAATCCGGACTGTTTAAACACACACGAAGGAGAAGACACTGAAGAAAATGCTCCCAGGATTCCCCATGTTTGTTTCCAATAATCAACCCAATGCGGAGCACCTTCCTACCTACCGAACAGCCGCAGGAGGTGGGGTGCTCCATACACCTGAGACATGGGTGCATCGGGGTGGTCAGCCAAGATCTCCGCGTACTGAGGCCGTTCAAACTTGTAAAGCAGCTGCGTGCCCAGCATGACATTGAAGTATTCCTTGATGCCGGCCACGACTTCATTCACAGCATATTCTCTAATGAATGACAAGGAAGAACGAGAAACAATGCAAGAGGAAGAATAGACAACTGAAGGGGTGAAATGAATGGAGTTCTAAGACACTTGGGGCAATGCTTTCAGAAATCCTGACTGAAATGGTAAAGATGGTTCTTTAGGACAGCTGCCCAGCTCCATGGCTTGCTCCAAAATGGAAACAAGGGACTAAAGTTGCTTTTAACTTAAGCCGCTTTGAGTCTCCTTTGTGGAGAGAAAAATGAAGTATAATAATAATAATAATAATAATAATAATAATAATAATAATAACAATAATAATAATAACAACAACAACAACAATGACTCTGGCACGAGCCAGTAAAGGTGGTCCTTATTTGAGCCCATTGACTCAACTTCCCTGGAAATGCATCATGGAGTAGTGCTGCGTTGAGGGAATCCCCACAAACATATACACAGATGTTCCGAGTGAACTCTTCCTCCTTACTTGTTATCAGTGTTGCCCCGTGACTTCTTGTAGTTTGCGTAGTCCTCTAAAATGGAGTCTACGTTCTTCTTGGCAGGAAGGAAGAAGAGCTACAAGGGGGAGGGGAGCAAAAGACACCTGAGCCAACTCAAACTCTGCTCATTCTACCTGCTTTTGTAGGTGAAAGGGTGAAACTGCCAGCCTTCAACCAGAACCAACCCAATGATGGGTGGAACACCCAGTGGCCCACATCCCGAGCCCAATGCAGGAACCCAGGATGGATATGTTCATGCTGCGGGTACTATTTCCACACTACCTGCTTTTGCCGGGTGATCAGGTCCCAGTCATCTACCAGCCATGGCTTCAGCTCTTCTGGTATTTTCACTTTGACTTCTACTCTGTTCATAAATGTTTCCTCCTAAAGAATCAAATGAGAGAAAGTTCTTATCAGACACTAGAGTGGAAAGAAGAACCTGGTTTGGTCACAGGTTTCCAAAACGAGGCACCCGAAAAGGGTGGTCCTCTTATTGGGGACCCCAAGATAAAAATATCCTGTCAGCCTGGACCCAAGACCAAAGCCAAGCTCTGATTCAAGGACCAATGGTCACACTGGCAGGGGATTATGAGATTAGCAAACCCAAACATCTCTATGAACCCTGGTTGAATGCAGATGTTAAAGAAGGATAAGAAGGAATTCAAGGCATGATATTTCTCAGGGCTCACAGTTAATCTAAATCAGGGGTCCTCAAACTTTTTAAAGCGAGGGCAAGATAACATTCCCTCAAACTGTTGGAGGGCCGGATTATTATTTGGAAAAAAAGAATGAATTCCTATGCACACTGCGCATATCTTATTTGTAGTGCAAGACGCTTGAAAACAATACAATAATTAAAATGAAGAACAATTTTAATAAAATATAAACTTATAAGTATTTCAATGGGAAGTGTGGGCCTGCTTTTGGCTGATGAGATAGGATTGTTGTTGTTGTTGTGTGCTTTCAAGTAGTTTCCGAATTAGGTTGACCCCGAGCAAGGGCCGGGTAAATTACCTTGGAGGGCCGTATTCAGCCCTTGGGCCATAATTTGAGGACCCCTGATCTAAATCATAGTTTCAGGAAGTTAGCTAATTTTTTTGTTTTTTTCCTGAGATGAAACAACTCAGCAAGAAATTTAGACATTACAATATCTTATTCTTCTTCCAAGGGATAAGATATTATATTTTGGAGCCCAAGATACTGAGAATCCTGTTCTGCACTGGTAACCACCACCATTATAGCCACGCACTGGCTGCAATCAAAAGGGGTGGGTGGGCATGAAGACCAAAACCAGCAACACTCACGCTTTCAACAGTGGGGTCGACACGAGCCCTTTTCTTCCTGGGAGGCTGAGGGTTTTCATTGGTGCTGCTTCCTTCACCGGTTCCAAGAGCTGAAAGCATCCAAGAGAAAATCATTGCTTGGTTTTTAAAGCTAATTCTATGTGACACACACACACACATCTCTAAGAGGCCTCTTGATGAAAGCAGAAGAGAGGGCTGAGAAAGAAACATACATGAAACCCCTTTGCAAGAACCAGAGCATGGTGTCTTATATGTTTACCCTGTTAACTGATGGAAATTTAAAGGTGACTTTGGAGGCTCATTCAATATATAATAACAAGGACTTCTTGGCTCATCTGTTATACTACTGTGCATTTTTCCTATCTGATTCAATGACTTCTTACAAAGCATTCTGGAGATATTTAGTGCCTCAGTCACGGCTTGATATGAAAGTTGTCAGGTTTTGGGGTTTGCAAGTTCTATAACACTATGGAACATGATTTTTGTTTCTCGGTTATAAATATCATTCCTAATTGCTTCTACCATAAAAACATGGAGAAAGTTTTTTAAATTGCAAAAACTTTATTTTTGCAAGATATTCTGCTATAGCACATTCTGCTCTAGTTTTTCAATTAATATCTTATTTATCGAGACTCAACCAATTCAGCCTAGTTTGTGACAGCCGCAAAAAACAAAGTTTCTGTAGGATAACAACTACCGTATATACTCGAGTATAAGCTGAATATAAGCCAAGGAACCTAATTTTACTACAAAAATTGGGGAAATCTACTGACTCAAGTATAAGCCAAGAATGGGTAATGAAGCTACTGGTAAATTTCAAAATAAAAATAGATACCAATAAAATTACATGAATTGAGGCAGCAATAGGTTAAATGTTTGTAAATATTTACACAAAACTGTAATTTAAGATAACACTGTCCAACTCTGATTAAACCATTATTCTAACCTTCTTCAATGTAAATGTGCTCAGGTATCCTTCCAATAATCACCATAGTTTATTTTAACTATACACTTTGAGGAAATGCTGCGTGCATATGAATAAGGAAAAGTGGGAAAGACTGGTGTTAAGAGAGGGGGAGAGGAAGGTATGCGTTGCGCAAGAGGGGAAGAGAGGAAGGAGAGATGGGTTGCTGTGTGGAGAGGTGAGGGTCCTGGGAGGAAGGTGTGGGGGTGAAAGAAGCCCTTCTTTCAGCCCCATTCCTTCCTGCCAGGACTCTCACCCAAGTATAAGCGGAGGGGGGCTTTTTCAGCCTAAAAAATGGCAAAAAAAAAACAAAAAACAGGTTTATACTCGAGTATACTTTCAAAGAAAGGACCCCACAATTAAACAGTAATAATGCTTTCAAACAAGGAACAGAATTTTTTTTCAGATTTTGTTACATAGTGTAATTTACAAAAATGCATCTATCCATCCAACGCAAAAGTGTCAAGAGATTCTAAGTAAGAACACAAATAATAATAATAATAATAATAATAATAATAATAAGTAGAATATGGTCCCAGTGGTGATCAGCACACTGGGTGCAGTGCCTAAAGACCTTGGCCTGCACTTAAACACAATCGGCGCTGACAAGATTACCATCTGCCAGCTGCAAAAGGCTGCCTTACTGGGATCTGCACGCCTTATTTGCCGATACATCACACACTCCTAGACACTTGGGAAGTGTCCAACGTGTGATCCAATAAAACAGCCAGCAGAGTGTCTGCTGTGGACTCTGCTTGTGTTTCAAATAACAATTATTATTATTATTATTATTATTATTATTATTATTATTATTAGGCTTTATTTATACCCTACCACCATCTGGAGGAACTCGAGGGCGGCTCGCAAAGCACTCAAAGGTGCAAATATACAAAATACAAAAATTGCAGAAACAATAACATAACAGAGTTGCTGTGAGTTTTTTCTGGGCTGCATGGTTATGTTCCAGAAGCATTATCTCCTGATGTTTCACCCACATCTATGACAGGCAGCCTCACAACCTCTGTAGGTGAAACGTCAGGAGAGAATACTTCTGGAACATGGCTAGACAGCCCAGAAAACTCACAGCAACCCAGTGATACTGGCCATGAAAGCCTTCAACAACACAATAACAAAACAATAACCACCAACATAAATATCTCAATTCACAAAACCCTCTGTAAAATCAATAAAATACAGCAATAGCTGCAAGTATAAACAACAGTAATTCATCTCAGTCATGTAAAGTGTTTGGTGAAATCAATGGGTCCTAAATGTGGTCAACAATGCTCTCCTCGAAATTTGCAGAGTCTAACTATCCTCCCAGCCAGAAGGCAAGTCCTGTTTACCATGAGGGGGTCGGCCATCTTCCCAAACCACCCACAGAGGGCAACATTGGTTGCAATATTGAGGAACCTAAACCCACACTGGAGGGATAGCTAAAAAGAAGCTGTTACCTTTCTGTTTGTTCTTTTTGGTCTTCCTGCCAAAAGGGAAAAAGAGAGACATGTTACTGCGCATGCAGAACACAATCGTCAACACCAATCACAAGCCCTCGACTAACAAGAAATTGAGTTCCAGAGCAAACAATCCCAAAAGCCACAATGGGTGCTCGGCATTTAAAAAGAGATGTCATCCAAATGGGATGGCGAAGACGTTGATCTCTCTGTATTCGCAAGAATAAAGGAAGTGAGGCCAAAATGCTTCTAAGGTCCTTGCATAGTGAGAGCACATCTTCCCCATCCGCTTCCTTCGCGTGCAGCTGGAGAAAAGAACCTTAGCATTGCCTTAGAAAGTGACATTGCAAAGCATCGCTTCTCGTGTATTGTTGAAGGCTTTCATGGCCGGAATCACTAGGTTGCTGTATGTTTTTTGGGCTGTATGGCCATGTTCCAGAAGCATTCTCTCCTGACGTTTTGCCTGCATCTATGACAGACATCCTCAGAGGTCACAACCTCTGAGGATGCCTACTATAGTTTATGGTTGCCTTATTATGGTTGCCTTTAAATGGCCTTGGACAAAGGTTAAAGGGCATCTAAACCTTAGCCATCCTAACCACAAGCTTTCTATCTAAATCTACACCTTGCTCTCCTGACTCAACAGAACAAACGGCAGCCTTCCAGATGTGACTGTATCCCAACTCCCATAATATCTAGCCATGAAAATGTCTAATGATGAAGAATACAGGCAGTGTAGCCTAGCATCTGGAGGAGGGCCACATAAAAGGACATGGTGGACTGGATTTGGCCTATGGGCCTTAAGTTTGTCCCCTGTGCTTTAGAGCTAGCCTGACAGGGACAAGCTGCAAAGTTGTGCTCTTTACTAGCCATCTCTGTGGAAGACAATGTGCATATCCTATTATTTCACAACTGCATTGAATTTCGGTGGGAAAAGAAACATTAAGTGTCTTCAAAGCATCTACACACACAAGGAAGTCTGGGTGTTCAGGATGCAGATCCTGGTGTGACAATCCATCCTTAACTCACCGCGTCGATATCGCAGGGGACTCCAAACCGCAAACAGTATGCGCTCCATCTCGTCTGAAAAATCTAGGCACAGCAGGGGTTGAGTTAAGGAGAGAGTGTCAGACCCAACAATGCAAAGAACCTTTGAGAGAAGGCAGGTCAGTTTGGAAAAAAATGACACAGCGTTAAAGGGAGGAGGTATTATTGTCTGACACCACAAATCCCTGGAAGGGAGGAAAGGAGCCAACCTGGGCTTTTAGCTCCTATTATTTGCTTCTAAATACACACAGACACACGTATTCACTCATCTAATGTGCCATCGAATCTAATGTGCAACTCAATTTTCAAAACCTTGAAACCAAAAAAAGCGCACTTGCTGCCAAATGTTGTGCACAGCAGCAAAAAGTGCACTCTTTGTAATTTGGCTAAAAAAGGTGTGCATTGTCAGAAATATTAAAAAAAATAACTAGGTATTTTTTAGTTACAAAAATGTGAGTCAACTACTGAAAGGGTTAAATGGATGCAATGACTCAGTAAAAGCTGCAGTTCTATATAAGCAGGTGTGCCTGTAGCTTAGTAGGCCTCTGTGTTAGTTTGCCAAAGTGGGAGAAAGGTGTCAGTCTGTGAGAGAAGCCTCTGTGTGAGGTAGACATTAGTCTGTGAGAAGGTCTCTGTGTGAGGTAGCCCTTAGTCTGTGAGAAGGCCTCACAGTGTGAGGTAGCCCTTAGTATGTTAGAGAAGGCCTCACAGTGTGAGGTACACCTTAGTCTGTGAAGAGCTCCAGTGAGAGAAGGCCTCTTGTGTGAAGCTACTGTGTGAAGCTCTTGAGTAAGTTTGGTGTGAGAACGAAGCTGTTCATCTGCATGAGAAAGAAGCCCAGCGTGGAAGAAAAGAAGAAAATCTAAAGGACTTTATTTGTGTCATGGAAACCTAGTTCTTGTAATTACTGTAACCATATTTTACTACAAAGGAAAGCCGCCTATGGAAGAGATAACATTGATCTGTGTGTTTTGGTTCTTTTTATCACTTTGGGCTACTGGTGCTGGGTCACGCTGCTGCTAATAAGTTACTCTGCTGTACATTTATGGGGAGGGTCTTTTGTTAATAAGCCCACTTGCCCAATATGCATTATTGATGCTGTCTGCTTAGAATTCCTACCTTCTTTCCAGGAGAACCTTGGGGTGCACATATGCTGTGGAATGAATCCACTTTAACTGCCCTGACTCGATGTTATGCAATCATGTACAGTAGTTTTACAAGGTCTTGAGTTTTCTCTGCCAAAGAATGCTACTGACTCACCAAACTACAAAGCCCAGGATTGCATAGCATTGAGCTGTGGCAATAAAATTTGTGGCAGCATCCCTCAACGAGGAGCTCCAGGCACTTCTTAACCAGCTTCCATTTTGGCTTTGGCTCAGCACTAAGATGACTGTGCGACGAGAATCTAATGTGCACCCTAATTTTGGCTAAGTAATTTAGCCAATAAGGTGAACATTAGATGCGAGTAAATATGGCATATACGGGTGATAGGTTTTTTTTTTTCAAAGCAAGACCAACTGGGTAGATCTAGTCTTCAAACTAATGCATTTTGTCCGTGCTTCTATGGAGTGCCTGGTGGCGCAGTGGGTTAAAATAATGAGCTACTGAACTTGCTGATTGAAAGGTCACAGGTTCAAATCTGGGGAGCAGCATAAGCTCCTGCTGATAGCCTCAGCTTCTGCCAACCTAGCAGTTGGAAAACATGGAAATGTGAGTAGATCAATAGGTACTGCTCTGGTGGGAAGGTAACGACACTTCATGCAGTCATGCCGGCCACATGACCTTGGAGGTGTCTACGGATAACATTGGCTCTTCGGGTTAGAAATGGAGATGAGCACCAACCCCCAGAGTCAGACACGACTGGAATCAATGTCAGGGGGAAACCTTTATCTTTACCCTCAATGGAGATAATAACCCATGATCAACCCCAAGCCTACACACATCAGTGGCAAGGAGCCTCTGAGAAAACAATACTCTCACGAGCAATTCTTTTCCTTGGAAGTGAACAACAGATGTACTAAAGATTAAGAATAAGGCTGAGGAAGAAATGTGATTAAAAGGACATGCAGTGGAACAGTCTCCATCAGGCCTGCACAACATATGGCCCATAGGCCAGATGCAACCTGCAGAAGACTCCCCTGCAGCCTGCAAAAGGCAGGCAGGAGAAGGGCTGGCCACTGTCAGTTAATAGAATCAGGCAAAGAATCTGAAGGAAATGAACAAAGAATTACTCACACTTCAACATTTTTCTGCTGGAGGCCGGACGTTTTTTTGCCTGGAGCAGCACCTCTCATCTTTCCTTCTGCATACTGCTCCCTGAAAGGAGAAAAAAAACACACATGAAGTTTTTAAACATAAGCATACTAAAATAATACCAATATTTCATCAATCTTGCCTGCTACTCAAGAAAAGCAAAAAAACCTTCTAAGTACATAAACAGAGACATACTTTGCAACGATTGCTTAAGAAATATACCTGTAACTCTGAAACTACAGTGGTCCCTCACTTACCACGGGTGTTACGTTCCTGGACCACCCGCAATAAGTGAAATTCCGCAATGTAGGAATGCCTCATCTTCCCTCCTTGCCCTTACTCTTCCTCCTCCTCGTCGCCGCATGGGGCCTCTTCCCGCTGCTTGGGCTCCGCAACGCCTCCTCAGTCGCGGGGTCTAAGCAGCAGCAAGAGGCCCCATGCAGCAACGAGGAAGAGGAAGGTAAGGAGGGTGAGGGGGCAGCAGTTTGGCCTGTTCATTTCCTGTAACTTGTGATCCTACCAGTTTTTTTGTCACAGGCAGATGGTATTTGTGGCACAAGTTCCAATGGATCATCTGAGCAATGGTATCATGCCTTTGCATATAGTCTATCTGCATGATGTTCTTCCAGCAGCTGAGGATGTGATCCATCGTTTCGTCTGCTTCCTTGTAGAGTCTACACTTGGGATCTGTCGTTGACTTTTCAATTCTGGCTTTGATGGCATTTGTTCTAATTGATTCTTCTTGGGCTGCAAGAATAAGGCCCTCTGTCTCCTTTTTCAAAGTTATGTTTTTGAGCCACATCCATATTTTATCCTTGTCAATTTTGCTCTCAATTTTTCCCAGGAACTGACCATGGAGAGCCTTCTTTTACCTATTATTATTATTATTGTTGTTGTTGTTGTTGTTGTTATTATTATTATTATTATTATTATTGTTATTATTATTCCACTGCTCTCCAGGGGCTTCTATTATTATTTTATAATTATTATTATTATTATTAGGAGAAGTAATAGTAGTATCCCACTGCTCTTGAAGGATTTCTATTATTATATTGTTGCTGTCGTTGCTGTTAGTATTATTATTAGTACTATTACTATTATGATTATCATATTTTTCCAACAATTGTCTGTTGGAAAAATATATACCAGTTCATATTCTATCCCCCTGCTATCAGCTCCTCTTGTTTTGAATGTAGATTGGTCTTTTCCCTTTTTCAATAGCCCTTCATATATTCACCATCTCATCATAATTTTTCTCAATTTTGTAAAATACTTCTGGGGCTGAAAGGCATAATGGGGTTCGGGGGATTTATGTGCACTCCGAATTCTCAACAAAGCTTCCCTAACACAATGGTTTGTAAAGTCTGCAGTTATTTTAGCCTTGTAATACCATAGGTATGCATGCCAGCAAAATCTCAGATTACGTCCCTCTAAATTCAATGACTTTTCATTTTTTGACCCCATCTACTTCTTTATCCGTGTCAGACAGCAAGCTGCAAAAGCTCGGGTAAGACTTACTGATTGGCCTTTTGAAGTTCTTTCTGTTTCTGCAGGTTGGTGTCGACGTATTTGAGGACTCTGCTCTCGGGAACCCATTCATCCCAGCTGAAAGGAAGGAGAACAGCTGTCAAATCCCAGATAACTAACTGGGAACAACTTCAGTCAGTTTACAGAAATCGAGTGAGCATTGGTTCTGTGACTCAACAGATCCTATATGCCTCAACTACACACAAATTGGGGCTTCTCCTGAATCCAAGATGGAGGGAAAGGCAGAAAAAGCCTGCATTCCTTGTCGCACCCAAATAAGGGCAGCAAAGGTCCTTGCGGTCTGCTTTGCTAACGTCGGAAGTTTCTTCTGTTTGTTGCCTGCTCCTAATATAGCTGCAAAACCAAAGAGGTTCCTTTCAGTTCACGGCCTTGACGTTCCATTGGTAACAAACAAATGATGATAATAATAATAAAGCAAATTCAACTTGTAACTACTTATATGCCTAAACTGTTTTTGAAATACACCAAGCATGATCATTTTCAGCAAAAAAACAAAAGGGTATACAGGAAGTTCCTGAGTTACAGACATCCGACTTACATAGGAATCCTAGTTAAGAACAGGGGTGAGACAAGAGGAAGCGAGAGGAAATCTACTCTTGGGAAAGGAAATTCTGGAAGAGTTATTTATTCTGGGGAAAAGGTGTCTCTACTGAAGCTTTAACACCAATCCTTGTTTCCACAAGCCAAAATCCAATTCTCACAGGGACGGAAAGTGGGGTGAAATCTTCTGAAGAGTGGCACACACAGCAAAACAAACACCACAGGAGTGGAAATCCTTCCCTATGCGATTCAAAGCTAAAATATATTTACCTCCATATATACTCAAAGATAAGCCGACTCGAATATAAGCCAAGGTACCTAATTTAACCATAAAAAACTGGGATAACATATTGACTCAAGTATAAGCCCAGGGTGGACAAATCAGCAGCTACTGGTCAATTTCAAAATAAAAATAGATACCAATAAAATTAAATTAATTGAGGAATCCATAGGTTAATTTTTTTAATATTTACATAAAACTGTAGTTTAAGATAAGACTGTCCAATTCTGATTAAACCAGATTCTAACCTTCTTCAATGTAAATATGCTTACGTATCCTTCCAATAATAAAGAGAGTAAAATAATAAATGTAATAAAAATAATAAGAGTAAAATAATTTAATAATAACAGTAACAATAGAGTAAAATAATGAATGCAATAACAATAATAAAGTAAAATAATAAATATAATAGCAAAAATAAAGTAAAATAATTGTAATAAAAACAATACAGTAAAATAATAAATGAAATAATAACAATAATAAATAGAGAAAAATAATAAATGTAATAACAGAGTAAAATAATAAATGTAATAAAACTAATAATAATGTAAAATAATGTAAATATAATAACAATAATACATAGAGTAAAATAATACATGTAATCAAAATAATACTAATAACAGAGTAAAATAATAAATGACCTTGACTCGAGTATAAGCCAAGGGGAGTTTTTTCAGCCTTAAAGAGGGGCTGAAAAACTAGGCTTATACTCGAGTTATACTTTTAAAATGTACCTATTGGAGTTACACTTTAAAAATGTACCTATTCCAACTTACAAATTCGGCTTAAGAACAAACCTACAGAACCTATCTTGTTCGTAGCTTCAGGACTGCTCATAATTGCATTATCCCACGTAAACAAGTTTCATGTTTCTAAAGCAATGGAATAATCGCAAATCTTTGTCAAAGAATCCTGTGTCATTTTAAAAAAAGGGAAAACCTATTATCCACAGTGTAAAATTTTACATGCATTTTGCTAAACCCCACCATGGAATGGAAATGGGGCTCCAAAATGATCTCTTAAGTGGTGTAGAAAGGTCATTTCCATATGCTTGGAACATTCAAAAATATACCAAAGGGTCTCTTAGAGGCTCCATGTCCTACAGTGGTGGATGTTTGGGCACATAACACTCTCTCTCTCTCTCTCTCTATATATATATATATATATATAATTTTTCTGAGTGTGAACAGGAGCAGACAAACAATGAAGGACTAATCTGCCTCCCTAGATTTTCAGTTACCCAGCCCATTTTAAAGAGCCTTTCCAAAACCCTTGTTGGTCTTCCATATTTTTTGTTGTTGTTTTGTTTTGTTTTAACCACTTAGGAAAAGTTCTGCTGAGCTCGAAAAGCTTGTACATTTTGTGAAAATACAGTGGATCCTAATAAAGGTATTGCCCACCTGTGAACTGTGGACTTTGTTTTGTCCCTGGGGATCAATACGGCCTTTTTCTTTTTTAGTACTTCTCTAACGGGAGGTGAAGAATTGAGAGCCTACATGAGTGCACAACATGGTCTGGCATATATATATATATTTATATTACAAAATACTTAAACACAACAAAAGACATGAAAAGGAAGCTTAAAGGCAGCAAATCTAGAAGACAGCAGAAAAATAGAACATGGCAGAATGAAACAATCTGAGGAAAACAAAAACAAAAAAGTAATTGCCTGTTCATCTAAGAATAGGACAGTTGAGGCATCCCAAAGGCCTGCCCCCCAAAACCACATACCTCCACCAATGAAGCAACCCAAGGAAGGGCTTCAATTACAACCCTCCCCAAAACAAGCAGGCACAAGCAAAGGCAGGCAAAACACCAGGCATCTTTGTCCCAATCCGTCTCAGGCTTAATAAAGAGGGACCACGCTTTGCTCTGCACCAAAAACCAGGGCTGACAGCAGACTTCTATAGCTCACAGCATCATAAATAACACTATGTAACATGATTTCTGTTCCTAAGTTATACATGCTATTTCCTATTTGGTTCTATCATAAACACTTGGAAAAAGTGTATTAAACAGCAAAAACTTTGTCTTTGCGGGACAACCTGCTATAGTACATTTTGCTATAATTTTTCCATAAATGCCTCATTGAGTCTCAAGCAATCCAACCTAATTTGTGGCAACCACATAAACAAAGTTTCTGGAGTAGAACAACAACTTTCAAAGTAAGAACCACACAATTAAACAGGAAATAACACTTTCAAACCAGGAACATAATTTATTTTCAAATTTTGTGTCGTAGTGTAATTAGGTCCTGCCAAAGATCCTATTCTGTAACCCCCAGATCATCTCTCAACCAGAGAGGGGTTGAAAGATTATCTGCAATTATTCATTATTATCCCAGGTAAAAAAAAAAAAGGGGGGGGGGCTTCCAGAGTGAAAGAGTAAACAGAACAACAAGAGCTTTGTGCAATTTCTCTTCTTATTTGAATATCCAGAATTCTTGTGAAGGAGTGACTGTGCAGAGAAATGACATCTCCGTTCCTTGTGCAGAAAACGTTTTTTGTGTACGACCCCACCCCCATTATTTTTCTATGCAAAAGTATTCCTTCACAACATTTCAACATATTCAGCTATGGGAAGAATACTGCAGAGGAATAGTCCTTTCCTTCCAGAGAGGGGATAAAACTACTACAACTATTACTATTAGGACCCCCCGGTGGCAAAGCAGGTTAAACCGCTGAGCTGCTGAACTTGCTGACCAAAAGGTTGGCGGTTTGAATCCAGGAAGCGAGGTGAGCTCCCGCTGTTAGGTCCAGCTTCTATCAACCTAGCAGTTCAAAAACATGCAAATGTGAGTAGATCAATAGGTACTGCTTCTGCAGGAAGGTAATGGCGCTCCATGAAGTCATGCCGGCCACATGACCTTGGAAGTATCTATGGACAATGCCAGCTCTTCGGCTTATAAATGGAGATAAGCACTAACCTCCAGAATCAGATAAGACTAGACTTAATGTCAGGGAAAACCTTTACCTTTTACTATTATTATTATGTTTATTTATACCCCACTTTTTTCTCCACAAGGACACTCAATTATAATTATTTGTCCATTTGTGCAATGAAGGTGTTCAATACTCACACCTCAAGCCCTGGGGCCATACTGGTGTTAGGACAACAGAAGTTAAGCTGCTTCCAACCCTCAAATGTTGGCAATTGGCGTGAATCATAGGGGGGAAAAACCCAATTTCCCAGGAACAGAGTCATGAAAATATGGCCAAATACCAGTGGTGAGTGGCACCCCATCAGTATATATCTGCTCATCCCTCCAGAGAAACAAAAGTACTCATTTAACTTCTAGGGAGGAAAAAAAGACCCCAAAATACTCACTTCTTATTCCAGCCACTGTAATGTATGAAGTATTTCACCTGTTTGTCTTTGATGGCAACTTTTACACACTAGAATAAAGAAGGACATTCATTTAGTTAACTAGCCAGGTGTGCTCAAAAAGTCCAAGGCCATTTGAGGCTGGGATATTAAACATATCAGGCAGCCGACAAGACAGGAGCCCCAGTGGAACCTGGGAGGTTCCCTATTATGCAGGAAGGTGGCCGTCTTTACGTATCCCTTGCCATGGGGAAGACGGCGGCTGCCCAAAGGGTCCCTCTGAGCATGAGAAAGACAGAATGGGACGGAACAAAGCAGCCCATGGCACATGTGCAAGAGTGCTGGTGGAGGAAAGCGTGGCGTTAAGACCACGAGAGCTGGATCTACAGAACAAGCGTGAGCAGAGCACAGAAACCCCATTGCAGCCCCATCCACTGCCAACTTCAGTCCAGCACTGCCACCAGAGAGTTTGCATTGCCGGCCACCACAAGCCACAGCCCACATACCTTAGCTTCATAGAGAAGAGGTCCATGGAAACACAGCACCCGTTCACCTGCGAGAAAAGGTCTGTTTAGTAAGAAAAGAAGGCCTGCCCATACATAGAACTATAAGAGTCAGAAGTGACGCCTCCCCAAAGGACATTCAGTCCCAGCCCCTTTTGCCAGGAAGGAAAGGCACTACGTAACACGATTTGAGTTATAAATGTAATTTCTATCATAAGAACATGGAAAAAATAATTAAACTGCAAAAACTTAGTTTTTGTGGGACATCCTGCAGCATATTTTACTCTAATTTTTCAATGAATCTCTCATAGAGTCTCAACCAATTCAACACAGTTTGCAAAATTGCAACCACAAAAACAAAGTTCCTGGTGTAGAGCAACAACTTTCAAAGTAAGGACCGCACAGTTAAACAAGAAATAACACTTTCACACCAGGAACAGAAAATGTGTTTATACTTGAATATAAGCCAAGGCACCTAATTTTACCACAAAACAAGTGGGAAAACGGATTGACTTGAATATAAACCAAAGGTGGGAAATGCAGCAGGTACTGGTAATTTTTAAAATAAAAATAGATATCAATAAAATTACATTAATTGAACCAGTAGATTAAATGTTTTTGAATATTTACATAAAAATAAATTTAAGATAAGACCGTCCAACTCTGATTAAACCCTTATTCTAACCTTCTTCAATGTAAATGTGCTTATGTATCCTTCCAATAATAATAGAGTAAAATAATAAATGTCATAAAATAATAATAGAGTAAAATAATGGAAATGTATTAAGAGTAATAATAGAGAAAGAGTAATAATAGAGAAAAATAAGAAATGTAGTAACAATAATAGAGTAAAATAATAAAAACAATAAAAATAATAGAGTAAAATTATGTAAATAGAATAATAGAGTAAAATAATAAATGTAATACTAACAATAACAAATAAAGTAAATTAAAAAATGTAATAATAAAAATAATAGAGTAAAATAATAAATGTAATAACAATAAAGAGAAAATAATAAAAGTAATAATAAATAGAAAAATAATTAATGTAATAAAAATAGAGTAAAATAATGTAAATGTAATAATAAAAATAATTATAACAGACGAAAATAATAAATAAACTTGACTTGAATATAAGCCAAGGGAGGCTTTTTCAGCCTAAAATGGGAATGAAAAAATCAGCTTATATTTGAGTACATGCGGTAGTTTGTGGCCGTCACCAAAATAATGTTTCTGGAGTAGAAAAATGACTTTTAAAATAAGTGCAGCACAAAGAAACAAGAAATAACACTTTCAAACCAAGAACAGATTTTTCCCCAACTTCGTTACATGGTGTAATCTGGATTTAGCAATTGGGATATATGGCAATGTAGATGCAACTTCAATATTTTCAGAGTGAGATGTGTTTGGGGGTTATACATCCCATCATCCTAAGGCAGTGGTACATTTCGACTTCTGCTCTCAAAGACAGGCAGGGCTTTGCTATCTGCCACTAGGAATCAAGGACATGTTGCCTTTTAATAGTGTTCAGTAATTTTCTTTTAACAAATGCTTAACTGTCTTGTGTTTTCATATTTATTTTTTCAATAAAGTTTTGGTAGTTTTCTCTGATTATCTCAATACTATAAGTAACAATAATAATGTGGCCAACTCAGGCTCTCCCTCAGGAGATTACTGCCCCCAAATTGTCAAATATTAAAATAGGGTCAGACTGCATTCATTCTATATTGTATATCAGGCACGGACAAACTTGGGCCCTTCAGGTGTTTTGGACTTCAACTTCCACAATTCCTAACAGCCTGTTAGGAATTGTGGGAGTTGAAGACCAAAACACCTGGGGGGTCCAAGTTGGCCCGTGCCTGATGTGGAGGCACTCTATGCTTTATATATTCTATCATTCATATATGTATTGAGATATATATCTATATGTCTATGTATGTGTATTGGTACTACAAAGACTCCCTTTATAGCTTGATGGAGATGGACCAACATGACATACAAATGCTTCATGGCATACAATCCAGAGAAAGAAAGGAAGGGGGAGGCAGAGAAGGAGAGAGAGAAGGGAAGAAACGGAAAGGAGAAGGGATGGAGAGGAGTAGAAAGAGACAAAAGGGGAGGGGACAAAGAAGGAGAGAAAGAGACAAATGGAAAGGAGAAGGGAGAGACTAGAGAGCAAGAAGGGAAAGGAAGAGAGGGAGAAAAGAAACAAATGGAAAGGAAAGGGGAAGGGAGAGGAGAAAGAAAGGGAGAGAAGAAAGTGAGAAAGAGATTAACGGAAAGGAGATGGGAGGGAGAGAATGAGAGAAAGAAAAAAGGAAGGGAAAGAAAGGAAGAAAAGTAGAGAGAGACGGGGACAAATGGAAAAGAAAGGGAGAGAGGAGAGAAGAGAGAGAAACGAGGGGAGAAGGAAGGGAGGGAAAAGAGAAGAGAGAAAGAAAGAAGGAAAGAAAGGGAGAGAAGGACGCACAGTGTGAAAAACAGATGCAAGAAAAGAAAGAGAAGAAAAGAAAGAAGAAAGGGAGAGAAGGAGGAAGATGGGAAAAAATGGAGAACGGAAGGGAGAAAAGAAGAGGGAAGGGAAGGAAGGAAGGAAGGAGAAGTTGAGAAGGTATATGAAAGAAGAAAGGAAGGAAAGAAAGAAGAAAAGAGGAGGATGGGAAAGAAAAAAGGAGGGAGGAAGGAAAAGAAGAAGAGAAGAAAGGAAGAAAAAGGAGGAAGAAGGAAGGAAGAAAGAAAGAGAAAAGAGGAAGAAAAGAAGAGGAGGAAAGAGAAGGAAAGAAGAAAGAAAAAGGAGGAGAGAAAAGAAAGAAGGAAGAAGGGAGGGAGAGGGAGAAAAGAAAGGAAGGAAGAAAAAGAGGGAAGAGAGAGGAAAGGAGGGGGGGAAAAGAGGAAGGAAGGAAGGAAGGAAGGAAGGAAGGAAAGAAAGAAAGAAAAAAGAAGGGAGAGAAAAGAGAAAAGAGGGAAAAAGAAGGGGAGGGAGGGTGAGAAGGAGAGAGAAAGGGATGAATGGAAAAGAGAAGGAAGAGAGAGAGAAAAGGAAGGGGAGATAAAAAAAGAGGAAAATAGAAGGGAAAGAAAGGGAGAGGAGAGAAAAGAGAAAGGGAGGAAGGAAAGAAAGAAAGAAAGAAAGAAAGAAAGAAAGAAAGAAAAAAGGAGGCAGAGAAAAAGAGATGGAAAAAGAAGGGGAGGGGCAGAAGGAGATGAAAGGAAAAGACAAGGAAGAGAGAGAGAGAGAAGGAAGGGGAGGGAGAGAAAAAAGAGAAAGAGAAGGGAAAGAAAGGGAGAGGAGAGAAAAGAGAAAGGGAGGAAGGAAGGAAAGAAAAAAAGGAGGGAGAGAAAAAGAAGAAAGAAAAGGAGGAGAGAGAAAGAGAAGAGAGAAAAGAGAAGGGGGAAGAGGAGAGAAGGAAAGGAGAGAGAGAAAAGAGGGAAAAAAGAAAAAAGTGGGAAGGAACTGAATAGAAAGGGAAAAAGGTAAGAGGAAAGGAAGAGGAAGAAGGTGGACGTAGGACAGCAAGAGAAGATGAAAAGGAAGGGAGGGAGGGAGGGAGGGAGGGAGAAGGGAAAGGGAGAAGAGAAGGGGAGAAGGTCTGTGAGGGAAACGAGAGGATGGGGCGCAACCTCCACAAAGGAAATGCTATTCTGTGGAAAGCAGAAGGCCTCCCATCCCAGGGGAGAGTGTAGGCCTCCTTGGCTGGCTGAGAGGGCCCTCAAAGGGGGTGCCCTTCCCTGAGAAGGCCTTCCTCCTCCTTCCTGAGGGGAAAGAAGCGTGCCCACCAGCGTGCCCCGGCTGCCCCTGGCCCCCTCCCCCGGCGGCCCCCTCACCCTCCTGGAATTTGGGCTTCGGGTCCTGCTTGGGCGCCATTTATACGCGGCTCCGCCTCCGCCCCGCTTGCTCGCCCGCGCAGGCGCAGTCCGGGCCAGAGAGTGGGAGGGGCCTGAGGCGCGCGTGCGCAGTAGACGGGAGCCCGGCTCGCCTCCGCCTCCCTCCCTCCCTCCCTCCCTCGCGCGAGGCATGCCGGTCTCAGTAGTCTTAAGCGATCTGAGGGGAAAAAGGAAAGGTCCAGAGGCTGTTAAGAAAGGTGGGAGTTGAACTCCAAAACAACTGGAGGGCCAGAGTTTGCCCAGGCCTGGTCTAGAAAATAATAACACTCACTACTCCTTTATCTTGGTTGTGTGCCTCGAAATCGTTGCTTTTTTATCAAAGACAAGCACCTTTCTTCCTTGTGCCGCCAGAGGGCACTTTTGCATCAAGGAAGCTTTGATGTGTCCTATGGCTTATTTCTCATGCTCAAGATCCTGCAAGGAAGACTCCAGCAAGACATAGAGAGACTCAGCCCAGTCATAGCTAACTTCTACATGGAACACTTTGAAAAACAAGCCCTGGAGACAGCAACCAAAAAGCCCACGATATGGTTCAGATATGCGGATGACACCTTCACCATTTGGAGCCATGGAGAAGAAGAACTCAACAGGTTCCTGGACCATCTTAACAGCATCCACCCAAACATCAAGTTCACCATGGGAAAAAAAAATGAAGGAAGACTGCCTTTTCTAGATGTCCTAGTCATCCGCAAACCAGATCAACAATTGGGTCACACCGTCTACAGAAAACCCACACACACAGATAGATATCTACATAAAAACTCCAACCATCACCCAAGTCAAAAAAGAAGCACCATTAAAGCCTTGGCAGACCGTGCAAAAAGAATCTGCGAAGCCCATCTCCTCCAAGAGGAACTGAACCATCTCAACTGGGCTCTCCAGGCCAATGGATATTCCACCTCAGACATCAGAAGAGCTTCAAGACCAAGAACAAGCCACGAGAGTCAAGATGAAGATCCTCCCAGAGGAAAAGTGTTCCTGCCATACATCAAGGGAACCACTGACCACAGAGGGAAGCTGATGAGGAAACACAACATACAAACCACTTACAGACCCACCAAGAAAATCCAACAAATGCTACGTTCAGCAAAGGACAAGAGGGATCCTCTCACCTCTGCAGGAGTCTACCGTATACCATGCAGCTGTGGACAAGTCTACATAGGGACCACCAAACGCAGCATTGCCCAAACACGAATCAAGGAACATGAAAGGCACTGCAGACTACTTCAACCAGAGAAGTCAGCCATAGCAGAGCACCTGATGAACCAACCTGGACACAGCATATTATTTGAGAACACAGAAATGCTGGACCACTCTCACAACCACCATGTCAGACTACACAGAGAAGCCATTGAAATCCTCAAGCATGTGGACAATTTCAACAGAAAGGAAGAGACCATGAAAATGAACAAAATCTGGCTACCAGTATTAAAGGACTCAAAAATCCCAACAGCAAAACAGCAGAGAGGAAACAACCAGGCACATCTTAACACCTCTCAACAAAAGTTTCTCCCAGGCTCAGGCAGGCTTTCAAATGCTAATGAAGGTGGTCAGTTGAAACATTCGCACCTAGCTCTAGCAGAGAAGAGCTCTTTGCCCCACCCCAGCCATTCCACAGATATATAAACCCATTGTCCTAATTCCAACAGACCTCACTACCTCTGAGGATGCTTGCCATAGATGCAGGCGAAACGTCAGGAGAAATGCCTCTAGAACATGGCCCTATAGCCCGAAAAAACCCACAAGAACCTAGTGATTCCAGCCATGAAAGCCTTCGACAATACATTGCCTATAGCTTATTTCTCATGCCAGTAAGGGAATGCTCAAGATCCTGCAAGAAAGACTCCAGCAAGACATAGAGAGAGAGTTGCCAGATGGACAAGCTGGCCCATCTTTAATGGGCTCAAAACCAACCTTAAAAGCTCTGGCATAGACAGTGAGAACTGGGAAGCCCTGGCTCTTGAGCGCTCCAGTTGGAGATCAGCTGTGACCAGCAGTGCTGCAGAATTTGAAGAGGCAGAAATGGAGGGCAAAAGAGAGAAACATGCCAAGAGGAAGGCGTGTCAAGCCAACCCTGACTGAGATCGCCTTCCACCTGGAAACCAATGCCCTCACTGTGGGAGAAGATGCAGGTCAAGAATAGGGCTTCACAGCCACCTACGGATCCACAAGAATGCTGATCATGGAAGACTCGTCCAACGAGGGATCGCCTAAGTAAAGACAAGCTGGCTTTAGAAAAGGCAGAGGAACAAGAGACCAAATTGCCAATATCCGGATGCTGGATAATGAAGGAAGGCAGGGCGTTTCAGAAAAACATTTATTTCTATTTATTGACTATTCTAAAGCCTTTGACTGTGTGGATCATAATAAATTGTGGAAAGTTCTTTGTGGCATGGCCATACCAAGCCACCTTGTCTCTCTCCTGAGGAATCTGTATAAGGACCAAGTAGCAACAGTCAGAACTGATCATGGAACAACAGATTGGTTCATGATTGGGAAAGGCATACAGCAGGGCTGTCTACTCTCACCTGACTTACTCAACTTGTATGTAGAACTCTCCACGTGATATGCAGGGCTTGACGAATGCAAGGCTGGGGTTAAAATTGCTAGAAGAAATATTAACAATCTTAGGTATGCAGATGATACCACTTTGATGGCTAAAAGCGAGGAGGAGCTGAGGAGCCTTCTAACCAAGTTGAAAGAAGAAAGGGCAAAACCTGGGTTGCCCTTAAACATCAAAAGCACCAAGATTATGGCAACCGGACTGGGTGATAACTGGTAAATAGAGGGAGAAAACATGGAGGCAGTGATAGACTTTGTATTTCTAGATGCAAAGATGAATGCAGATGCAGACTGCAGCCAAGAAATCAGGAGATGCTTATTTCTTGGGAGGAGAGCAATGGCCAATCTTGATAAAATAGTGAAGAGTAGAGACATCACACTGACAACGAAGATCCGCATAGTTAAACAATGGTGTTCCCTGTAGTCACCTACGGATGTGAGAGCTGGACCAGAAGGAAGGCTGAGTGAAGGAAGAGAGGCGCTTTTGAACTGTGGTGTTGGAGGAAAATTCTGAGAGTGCCTTTGACCATGAGAAGACCCAACCAGTCCATACTTCAGGAAATAAAGCCCGACTGCTCATTGGAGGGAAGGATATTAGAGGCAAAGATGAAGTATTTTGGCCACATAATGAAAAGACAAGAAAGCTTAGAGAAGACCATTATGCTGGGGAAAATGGAAGAAAAAAGGAAGAGGGGCCGACCAAGGGCAAGATGGATGGATGGTATCCTTGACCTTGAAGGAGCTGGTGGTGGAGACGGCTGACAGGGAGGTCTGGCATGGGCTGGTTGATGAGGTCACAAAGAGTCAGAAGTGACTCAATTAATAAACAACAACAATGGCTTAAATTGGGACAATGGGTGCATCTACACCAGGGTTTCTCAATCTGGGGGTCACAAGGAGGGTGCCAGAGGGGTTGCCAAACAGTGTTTTCTGCTAGTCATGGGAAGAGGAAGGAGGATGTAAAAGAATGGAGGAAAAGGAGGAAGACGAAAAAGAGGAGGAAGAAGAGGGAAAAAGAAAAAGAGGAAGAAGAAGAGGAAGAATAATCACAGAATAATAGAACTGAAAAAAACCACATGGGCCACCTAGTCCAGCCCCCTGCCATGCAGGAAAAGCACAAAGAACTCCCAACAGATGGCCAAGCTTACAAGGAGGGGGAAAAAGAAAGAGGAAGGAGTAAAAGGAAAAGGACAAAAAAGAAGAAGAAGAAGAAGGAGAGGAAGGAGGACGAGATAGAGGAAGAAGAGAAGGAAAAGAAAGAAGAGGAGGAAGAAGTGAAAAGGAAGAAGAAGAGGTAGAGGGGAGAAAAAAGAGGAAGAAGAAGAGGAGGAAAAGGAGGCGGAAGAAGTGGAAGAAGAGAAAGATGAGGAAGGAGGAAAGGGAAGAGGACAAAGTAGAGGAGGAGGAGGAAGAACAGAAGGAATAGGAGGAGGAAGAAAAAGAAGAGGGAGAGAAAGAAGGGAAGGGAAGAAGGGGAAGAGGAAAGAGAGGGAAAAGGAGGAAGAGGAAGGAGAAGGAGAAGAAAGAAGGGAAAGAGGAGGAGGAGGAAAAAGAGGGAGGAGAAAAAGAAGGGGAAAAGAAAGAGGAGAAAGAGAGAAAGAAGGAAGAAGGAAGAGGAGAAAGGAGGAAGAAAAGGAAGAGGGAAGAAAAAAGAAGAGGAAGAAGAAGAGAAGGAGGAAAAGGAGGAGGAAGAAGTGGAAGAAGAGAACAATGAGGAAGAAGGAAAGGGAAGAGGAAAAATAAGTGAAAAGGAAGAGGAGGAAGAAGAGGAAAAGGGAAAAAAAGAAGAGGAAGAAGAAGTGGAAGAGGAGGAAGAAAAAGGGAGAGAAAGAAGGAAGAGAAGAAGAGAAAGATGAGGTAGAAAAGGAGGAAGGGAAGGAGTAAAAGGAAGAGGACAAAGAAGAAGAGGAAGAAGGGAATGAGGAGGAGAAAGAGGAAGAAGAGAGGGAAAATAAAGAAGAGGAAGAGGAGAAATAAGTGAAAAGGGAGAGGAGAAAGAGAATGAGGAAGAATATGTGGAAGAAGAGAAAGATGGAGAAGAAGGAGGAGGAAAAGGAAGAGGACAAAGAAGAAGACGAAGAGAAAAGAGGAAGAAGAGCCTCTTTCCTTGCTCTTTCGGGGCTGCGGTGCCTCCTCATGGGGGGTGGGGGTGGGAGGGGCGTGTCAGGAGGAGGTTGGGGTCCCCCTTGAGCCCCTCCCCCCTCCCCTTTGGCCCCTCCCCTTTCCGTCCCGCGGGGTCCTGGCAGGAGTGGCCGAAGGAGCCTTCTTCCTCCTCCTCCTCCTCCTCTTCCCTCGCAGAGCCGTGCCTCGGCCGGCATGGAGGGGGCCGGGGGTCTTCCTCCTCCTCCTCCTTCTCTTCTTCCTGGGTCCAGCAGCTAGGAAGAGAGAGACCCCCGACCCTCCCGGCCATGGCCCAACGCCTCCTCCCGGCGCTCCTCCTGGCCGCCTTCGCCGCATCCTCCACTGGTGGGTCCGGGCCCCTTGAGATTGCCAAAGTGGGGGGGGGGGACCTGGGGGGGGCAAGGGGTCCCCGGAGCATGCGCAGAGGGCGCCGAGGGGGAGAGAAGCCTTGCACACAGAAGCCCCCTGAATCCCTCCCTGGTGTGCCAAGCCTCTCGCTTTCTTTCTGTATTCCTTCTTAGGAAAAAAAAAGTTTTCTAGGCAAGTTTTGCACAGCAAGGGCTGGCCTTTGCCTTCCAAAGCCTCCCAGGATGCCACAGCATTCCACCAAGACAGTTAAAGTGGTGCCAAAGTGCATTTCTTTTGCAATGTGCACGCACCAGAGTCTTCCCATAATCATTCCCACTAGGATCACAGCAGGGGGTTCTGTGGTTTGAGCTAGACACATAGGTTTTCCATTAGTTTTAAGGGTTTTCACTTTTTGTTTTTAAACAGTTTTATTGTTTAATTCTAACTTAAAGTGTGTATCTTTTGAGGTTTTAAAGTACATTGTATTGGATTGCTGTGAGTTTTCCAGGCTGTCTGGCCTTGGTTAGACCACACCTGGAATATTGTGTCCAATTCTGGGCACCACATTTGAAGAGAGATATTGACAAGCTGGAATGTGTCTAGAGGAGGGCGACTAAAATTATCAAGGGTCTGAAGAACAAGCCCTATGAGGAGTGGCTTAAGGAGCTGGGCATGTTTATCCTGAAGCAGAGAAGGCTGCGAGGAGGCATAATAGCCATGTATAAATATGTGAGGGGAAGTCACAGGGATGAAAGAGCAAGCTTGTTCTCTGCTTTCCTGGAGACTAGGACACGGAACAATGGCTTCAAACTACAACAAAGGAGATTCCATCTGAACATGAGGAAGTACTTCCTGACTGTGAGAGCCATTCAGCAGTGGAACTCTCTGCCCCGGAGTGTGGTGGAGGCTCCTTTTTTGGAAGCTTTTAAACAGAGGCTGGATGGCCATCTGTAAGGGGTGCTTTGAATGCAATATTCCTGCTTCTTGGCAGGGGGTTGGACTGGATGGCCCATGAGGTCTCTTCCAACTCTATGATTCTATGTTCCAGAAGCATTCTCTCCTGACGTTTTGCCTGCATCTATGGCAGGCATCCTCAGAGGTTGTGAGGCATTATTTTGGTTTTATGGGGAGCCTCTTTGAGTCTTTTCTTAGAGAACTGGACACAAGCAGAGCTGGATGATCTGGAAAGAAAAACAAAAAAAACTGACGACAATCCACTACTCATTGCACTCACGTAGTGATATCGACAGACTTGACCTGCCCAGAAAATCAAGAGGCAGAGAGAGGGCTTCTGCAAGTGAAACAAACAGTAGAAGAAGAGAAACACGCACTGGCAGATTACGTGAAAGGCAGTCAAGAACCAACATTGAGGGAAGTCAATGCTTCAAGTGCAAAAGACAAAGACCGTAAAAATACAATGCAGAGCAGAAGAGAAAACTGGCGAAAGAAGGCTCTCCATGGACAGTTCCTGAGAAAAATTGAGAGCCAAATTGACAAAGAAAAAACATGGCTGTGGCTCACAAATGGAACTCTGAAAAAGGAGACAAAGGAGGGCCTGATTCTGGCAGCCCAAGAACAAGCCATTAGAACAATGGCTATCAAAGCCAGAATTGAAAAGTCGATGACAGATCCTAAGTGTAGACTCTGCAAGAAAGCAGATGAAACAATAGATCACATCCTGAGCTGCTGCAAGAAGATCGAGCAGACAGACTACAAGCAGAGGCATAACACCGTTGCTCAGATGATTAATTGGAACTTGTGCCACAAATACCATCTGCCTGTGACAAAGATCTGGTGGGATCACAAGCTGAAAAAAGTTACAGAGAATGAACACGTCAAACTATTCTGGGACTTCCAAATTCAGACAGACAGAGTTCTGGAGCACAATACTCCTGACCTCACAATCGTGTTAATAAAGTATGGATTGTCGATGTTGCCATCCCAGGTGACAGCAGAATGGACAAGAAGCATCAGGAAAAGCTGACACGATATGAGGATTTAAAGATCGAACTGCAAAGACTTTGTCACAAGCCAGTAAAGGTGGTTCCAGTGGTGATTGGCACAGTGGGTGCAGTGCCTAAAGACCTTGGCCTGCACTTAAACACAATGGGCGCTGACAAGATTACCATCTGATAGCTGCAAAAGGCCACCGTACTGAGATCTGCACACATTATTCACCGATACATCACACAGTCCTAGACACTTGGGAAGTGTGCGACGTGTGATCCAATTCAATAGCCAGCAGAGTGTCTGCTGTGAATTCATCTTATGGTGTTTCAAAAAATAATAATACTAATAATAATAATAATAATAATAATAATAATAATAATAATAATAGATGCCTCTGAAGAGCAATGGGATACAAATGATGATGATGATGATGATGATGATAGCCCCTTGATAGTAATGGGATACAAATAATGATGATGACGACGACAATGACAATAGCATTCCTGGAGAGCCGTGGGGTCAGTCCCAATCTGGCGTCTTTACCTACCCATCCCTTGCCTCTCTGTCTGCTGCAGGAGCCCTTCTCCCGGGAGAGGAGTCCCCCTTCGATGGTGATGATGACGACGACAGTGAGGTGGTCTTTCCAGTGAAGGTGGATGAGGGCGGGCGCTTCCTCTCCTTCGACCTGACCCACAGGCTGCTCTCCAAGCGGGACGCCTTCTCTCCGCAGAGCCGCCCTTCGGCCTTCTACCGACTTTTCCTGGGAGGGCAGCCCCTGCGCTTCGCCCTCAGCCTCAATAGCCACCTCTTGGCCCCAGGCTTTGTCAGCGAGAGGCGCCGCCGCGGGGGCCTCGCCCAGGCCAGGATCCGGGCCCCGGGCCCCAACCCCTGCCACATGAACGGGAAGGTACGCAGCCGGGGCCGAGGTGGCGGGATGGCTGCCCTCAGCACCTGCGGCGGAGGAATGGTAAGCCCATAACCAGCCAGGGAGCTTGAGCCATCAATGTGATGCAGCCAATGTGATTCCAGGCTTAGTGTCTATATCAAGGGAAATAATGTAGAATATAAATAAGTGACACCTATCTTGTAAACAGTCCATGTGAAAGCCGTCTAGGAGTTTACCACAAGCTAAACATGAGCCAACATGGAATGCAACAGCTGAAAAGGCCATTTCAATTCTAGGTTTAGTCTCTTTATCAAGGGAAGTAATATAGGATATAGGTATGTGACATCTGTCTTGTAAACAGTCCATGTGAAAGCCATCTAGTAGTAGACCACAAGCTAAACATGAGTCAACAGTGTGATGCTGCAGCTGAAAAGGGTAATGCTCAGAACTACAAGAGAGGAGATTCCATCTGAACATTAGGAAGAACTTCCTGACTGTGAGAGCCGTTCAGCAGTGGAACTCTCTGCCCCGGAGTGTGGTGGAGGCTCCTTCTTTGGAAGCTTTTAAGCAGAGGCTGGATGGCCATTTGTCAGGGGTGATTTGAATGCAATATTCCTGCTTCTTGGCAGGGGGTTGGACTGGATGGCCCATGAGGTCTCTTCCAACTCTTTGATTCTATGATTCTATGATTCTAAGCTTAGTGTCTATATCAAGGGAAGTAATATAGGATATAGATAAGTGACACCTATCTTCTTTCCTTGGAAGCTTTTAAACAGAGGTTGGGTGGATATCTCCCGGGGGTGCTTCAATTGTGCTTTTCCTGCATGGCAAGGGATTGGACTAGATGGCCCATGTGGTCTCTTTTAACTATTATTCTATGATTCTATGAAACAGTCCACGTGAAAGGCGTTTAGGAGTCTTAGGATGGATCTATACTGCCATGTAATGCAGATTATCTGTTTTAAATTGGATTATATTAGTCTACACTGCTATATAATCCAGTTCAAATCAGATATTTTATATGCTGGTTTGGATCCAGCCATGGTATATCAAAAGCTGATTAGTGTCATGTGGCTATTAAAAAGACCAAATGTGATTCTAGGCCATATCAACAGTGGAGGGAAGTAATTTAGGATATAGATAAGTGTCTTCTATTTTGTAAACATTCAATGCATAAGGGATCTATCAGTAGACTATGAGCCAACAGTGTGATGCAGCGGCTAGAAAGGCGAATGCGATTCTCAGTTGGATCAATAGGAGTCGAGTATGTATGTCGAGGGAAGACATAGTCCCACCTCTACTGCTTTGGTCAGACTCCTTCACCTGAAATAATAGTCCAGTTGTGGGCAAAGCAATTCAAGGAGGAGATGATGGACAAGATGGAAGGGGTCCAGTAAAGGGCCACCAAGAATCAAAGGTCTGGAAGCCTTGATTCCTTATGAGGAACGGCTGAAGGTGATGTGGATGTTTAGCTTGGAGAAGTGAAGGTTGAGAGAAGGAGACAGGACAGCCTTGCTTTATTATTACATTGAGGAGGAAGGAGCAAGGCTTGTTTTCTGCTCCTCCTGGAGACCAGGACACCATGAAGCAATAGATTCAAACTGAAGGAAATTACACCTAAACATGAGGAAGAACTTCCAGACAGTTATTTGGAAATTATTGTTCTGACTCCTGGTATTCCAGAAGTCATCTGTCAAGAGTGTTTGGATAGTGTCTTCCTGACTGACAAAAGGGGGTTGGGCTGGACAATCACTCTCTATATCGAATCTAGTGGAACTGATAGTCTGCCTCCTATTTCTTACTTCCAGAAAGGCATATTCCGGCTTGCGAATGAAGACTTTTTCATTGAGCCGCTGACCACAAACAAACCAAGAGGGAACTCAGCCCGTCCACACAGAATATACAGACGCCACGCTCCAGAGTTTGAGGCAGAAGAGCTCATTTCGGTGGCGAGCCAGACACCATCTGCTTTGGCCCAGAAGTGCGGAGCACGAGGTAATTATTCTCCCAATGTGCAAACCTTTGGGAGGACGGAGTGACCCCATTTGGGAATCCCACTTTCCAATGTTTGAATGGGAAGTGTTAACCTGATGAGAGAATCAAGTTAATTAGGGTTGTTGTGATTGTTGTTGTTGTTGTGCCTTCAAATTGCTTCAGACACAGAGCAGCCCTCAGTCTAAACTTAGTGCAGGGGGCAAGTAACTGGTCTTGGAGGGCCATATCTGGACTGCAGACTGTAGTTTTGGGGGGAGCCCCAATTGAATCTGAATGGAGGTCTGCCCTGAAAAGCTTTCCATTCTTCTCCTTTCCCAAGAAAGCCTTGAAGACTCAGAGAAGCAGAGAGAAAAGTGGGAGGAGAAGCAGCGGCGGAAGCGGCGGATCACACAGCGCTCAGTCAGCAAAGAGAAATGGGTGGAGACGTTGGTGGTGGCTGACACCAAGATGGTGGAGTACCATGGTGTTGACCATGTTGAGAAATACGTCCTGACCGTCATGAACATGGTGAGAAGGGGATTCTGTGTCTGTGTTCATGTGCAGAGGGAGAGAGGGGCAAGGGGTGTATCTATGTGGTCCCAACCTATTTTTTACCAGAGACCACTTGACCAGGGACCACTCTCCAACTTTAGTACCAAAAGCCTTACAAATCTGTTTTTGGTCAACTTTAGATTATGTTTGGGTATTTAGGATGCTTATTCAGAAAATTGCATTGGCTAGACCACACCAGCTCGAGTTTCTGATACAGAACATATCCTATCCAGTAGTCACCATTTGCTCACCCACAGAAAACCATATTTAATAAGTTTCGGCAATATTAGAAATTTTTGCGAGACCAGACTTATTACAACGGTGTAGTAACAGTGAGGCCGTGGACCATATTTTAGTTCTTGCAGACCACTGGTGGTCCACGGACCACAGGTTGATAACCACTGATCTATACCCTGGAAAGAATGCAGTTTGGCACCTCTTAAAGCTGTCATGCCTCAAGGTTCCAATGATTTCATAGCATTGAGTCATGGTAGTTCAAGTGGAGTCAAACTGCATTCATTCAGCAGTGTAGATGCACCCAGAGAAAGTCTGAATATGGATTTAACTATGGCACCAGGCAGATAGTTTCTGGAGTCCTTGACATAAGAGAAGAACTATGTGGCATATGCTTTAGGTGGCTGGGAATAGTCCTTTTCAGTAGTCCCTAAGTGGCAGCCATTTGCTTCAACTATGCTCTTACCTATTACAATGGATCTGAGCGGTTCCGTTTCCTTGCTTCATTTCACCTTGTTCTAGATCTATTTTCCAGCAGCCTTGCATTACATTCAGGTCTGAAATATGGAGCATTTGCTGCAGGATAGTTTGGGGAAAATGTATTGTTTAGGGGCCCAATTCCAGTGGGGGGATTCAAATGAAGCCTTGGGGTATTTCTGTCTGCTGAAGACAACGCTCTGCAGCTATTTACCACCAATAACGCTCTCCAATGATGTATGGTCATTTCCCAAGAAAGGCTTGAGGAAAAAAAAGGCAGGCATTGCTGCTCAATTCGCAACCTATAAACGGCACGCAGAGCTTTGGAATGGGTGAAAAAAATATTGGAGTACAAGTCCTCCAAGTGCTGGGGGATCTTGGGAGTTGTAGTCCAACAAAAGTAATATCTCAAAGTCTTTTTGTGTGCGTGCCGGAGAGTAGAGTGATACTTCCCTTTCCATGTGTTTCCTCTACTGTTTCCCTTTATTCCACAATCCAGGTGGCTGGTTTGTTCCACGACGCCAGCATTGGGAACCCAATCCACATCTCCGTTGTGCGCCTGATCTTTTTGGAAGAGGAGGAGGTAAGAAAATGGGGAGAGAATTGCAATACAGATCTGGAATTAGTACAGTCTGACAACTTGAGACCCGCTGCTGTGTCCCTTTTAAAAGGCAACCCCAAATCCACTAGGGTCTCTATTCAATTAGACACTATGAAGCGAGGAGGTTGGGTACAATGTATTTATTTGAACAAATCTCCCTGTTGGGTCGACAAGGAAGAAAGTGCCACCCTTCTGAGATGCAGCTCAGAGTATTTTATAGTCAAAAGGTTTTAAGCATGTGCACACAAACTATTTCATTTATACTTCTCTTTCCTCTTTGTTCTCTTCTGGTGACTCCTTATCAGCAACTTACAACAGCAATTCACAACAATTTCCCCCTCTTCTAGGCTTGCAGATCATCCAGTTGAACTTTCTCCTTTTCCATCTAATTTTCCTTGTTGCTTTGGCTAGAAAGTTACTATCTCCCTCTCAGCCCCCCCCCCCCCTGCTTTGTCGAAACCTTCCCTGGCATGGTAATTTTCCATTTTTCTTTGCCTTGGTCCCTTCACCACAAATAGTAGGGTGGTTGTACACCAAGCTTATTGTGTTTGTGGTGTTGCTTCCAGCCACTCAGTAAGATTTCCTTCTAATCCTATGGACAAAACCCCACAAACAGCAGCTGTTTTTTTTCTCCCTAGAGTAATTCCAGCAGTTGGTTAGTTTTTCCTCCTCAGGTTACCGCTCTTTCCAAAGGATAAGTGCAGTTGTGGGAAATCATGCTTCTGTCAATGTTGGTTGAGAACTCAGCTGAAAACGGGACAAGGCTCACATAGTAGGATGGGAATATGATTCCTTTTAGCCTCAGCGCTGCACTCCTTTTGATGTTTTGGGATATTCTTTTGGCCATCTTGTTCTCTCACGTCCTTGGCATCGTCGAGTATCACATCCAACAGTTTGGGTCCCGATCTCTGTTTCTGTAGGAGGACCTCAAAATCACCCACCACGCAGACAACACCTTGAGAAGCTTCTGCAAGTGGCAGAAAGCCATCAATATCAAAGGGGACTCTCACCCGCTGCACCACGACGTGGCCATCCTGCTCACCAGGTAGTCCTGCTTTTCCTTGGTGACTTCGGCTGACAATAATAATGTGCCCTCCAAGCCAGTGGGAGCCATTATTATTATTATTATTATTATTATTATTATTATTATTATTAGAAAAACAACAAGATGAGTCCACAGCAAGATCATTCTTCTGGCTGTTGTACTGGATCATACGTTGGACACTTCCCAAGTGTCTAGACTGTGTGATGTATCGGTGTATAATGCTCGCAGATCCCAGTAAGGTGGCCTTTTGCAGCTGGCAGATGGTAATTTTGTCAGAACCAATTGTGTTTAAGTGCAGGTCAAGGTCTTGAGGCACTGCACCCAGTGTGCTGACCACCACTGGGACCACCTTGACTGGCTTGTGCCAAATACTTTGCAGTTCAATCTTTAAATCCTTGTATCGTGTCAGCTTTTCCTGATGCTTCTTGTCCATTCTGCTGGGATTGCAACAACAACAATCCATACTTTGTTTTTTAACACAATTGTGAAATCAGGAGTATTGTGCTCCAAAACTCTCTCTATCTGAATTTGCTATCTAAGTCCCAGAGTAGTTTGATGTGTTCATTATTATTATTATTATTATTATTATTATTATTATTTCATTATTATTATTATTATTTCATTATTATTATTATTATTATTATTATTATTATTATTATTATTATTTGTCGTGTCAGGAGCGACCACTCCTGTTGTGAGAGAATTGGCCGTCTGCAAGGACGTTGCCCAGGGGACGCCTGGATGATTTTTTTTGATGTTTTATCATCCTTGTGGGAGGCTTGTCTCATGTCCCCGCATGAGGAGCTGGAGCTGATAGAGGGAGCTGGATTCGAACCTGCGACCTGTCAGTCTTCAGTCCTGTCGGCACAGGGCTTTAACCCACTGCGCCACCGGGTTATTATTATTAGTAGTAGTCGTAGTACATTATGTAACACAATTTTTGTTCTTGGGTTATCAGTGCCATTTCCTAATTGGTTCTATCATAAAAACATGGAAAAAGTTTATGAAACTGCAAAAACTTTGTCTTCGAGGCAGGAACATTCTGTAACACATTTTTATCTAGTTTTTCAAGGAATATCGCATCGGGTCTCAACCATAGAATCACAGAGTTGGAAGAGACTACATGGGCCATCTAGCCCAACCCGCTGCCATGCAAGAAAAGCACAATCAACGTACTCTTCACAGATGGCCATTCATTATTCAACATAGTTTGTGGCAGCCACAAAAACTAAGTTTCTGGAGTAGAACAACTAATTTCAAAGTAAATACTGCACAATTAAACAGGAATAACACTTTCAAACCAGGAACAGAATTTTTTCAGTGCTGTCAACTCTATCATTATGTCTGGAATGTCTGGAATCACTCTGAAAAAGAATGCCTTCACATTTAGAATTGCGCCACTTCAGCAACATCTATCTGCACAAAGGTCAAACTGCTGAGGACATTTGGAAAAAGGCAGCCATGTTGCTTCAGTGGGGAAGTGGACTAGGAAAATGTGCTGCAGGATGTCCCTCTGGCAAAAACAACATTTGTGCCATTTAATAAACTTTTCCCGTGTTTTTATGATTGAACCAATTAGGAAATGACATTTATAACCCAGGAACAAAACTCATGTTACATAGTGTAATAAGTTGTAGTAGTATGAGTCCCATGTGGTCTATGGGAGTGTGCCATCAAGCAGATAGACTTCCTTCCTTCAGGACCCAAGGAAGGGGCCCCATCACTTAACTAACATAGGGCCTCGTTTATCCTAAATCCATCAGCTTCAACTTCTGTTTTTTTGTTTTTGGAAAGCTTACTCGGCACTCAGAGGGCACTTGTAAGTAACCATCTTCTCTTCCTCCTTCTGTATGTCTTGTCTGATCTGAACAAGGAAGGATCTCTGCACTGCCATGAACCACCCTTGCGAGACGCTGGGCCTGTCGCACGTCTCTGGCATGTGCCAGCCGCACCGGAGCTGCAACATCAATGAGGACACGGGGCTCCCATTGGCCTTCACTGTGGCACATGAACTGGGACACAGGTAAGTGCCATGAGAACCAAAGATGGGGGATGATGGAAGCTGCAATACAATACCACATAATGGAATGCATGATTGCTACCCTGTCCACAACACAGAAGGCATGAAAGCTGAAAGGAATACCTGCAAAACTTGCCTCAAAACACCATTGGTGTCTCTGTACCTTGGAATGAGGCACTGCAAACAATTCTTCTGTTTGATTGTTTGTTTTTCAATCAACCAATTCTTCTTAATTTTAATTTTAAAATACTTTAAAAATAATTTTTAATAAAAATTTAATTTTTTTAAAAAAAATACAAAATGCATCTCTTGGAGGAGAGAAAGTAAAAATAGTACAGTCCTCTCTCCGTTTCCACTGATTCTGTGTCAACAGATTCCACCAACTCTATGGCTTAGAAACATTCAAAATAAAATTCCAAAAAGGCAACCGTGATTTTGGCCATTATATATAAGGGACCCCATTTTACTCCACCGTTGCATACCGTGGAATGGGAGTGTCCATAGGTTTTGGTATCTGCAAACCCTGCTGATATTGGGGCCTCCTCTGCCTATCTTTTGCAATGAAAAGACAGCTTTGGGGATTGTAGGGGTCTCCTTTCCAGCTTGGCCCCAGCAACCGCTCCTTGCCAGTTTGGAAACCCTCCCTGGTAGCTTGGCCCTTCTTGGGGTGCCTAGTTTGGAAACCCTCCTTGGTAGCTTGGTCCTTCTTGGGGTGCCTGTTGTGTCCCCTGAAGAGGAGGCCCTGGGAGCGGGTGTGCATCAGGCCCCTGCAAGAAGCCCCTTTGTGGGTCCTCCCGGCGTGCGGCTCACCTTCCCCTTGGGGGGCTGTGCTCTTGCAGTTTTGGGATTCAACATGACGGAAGCGGCAATGACTGTGAGCCAGTGGGGAAAAGACCTTTCATCATGTCTCCACAGCTCCTGTACGACGCCTCGCCCCTCACCTGGTCCCACTGCAGCCGGCAGTACATCACCCGCTTCCTCGAGTAAGTCCCCCATTAAGCTCCATTGAAGGGACCGGGTGCCATACGTTTCCAATTTTCTTCTTTGGGGCACGGAATGGGAAGAGGGTTTGGTTGGGGTCAGTGGAAGGGACCGGACAATCCTGGGGAAGTATTTCAATGGGAAATGTGGGCCTGTTTTTGACTGATGAGAGACTCAAGTTCATTAGGATTGTTGTTGTGTGCCTTCATGATGTTTCAGACCCAGGGTGGTCCTAAGTCTAAAGTTAATGCAGGGGCCGAGTGAATGGTCCTGGTGGGCCGCATCCGGACCGCGGGCCATAGTTTGGGGAGCCCTGCTTTAGATGAACAAAAATCCCTCTGGTGGGACCTTATGTCACTCTGAAATAGAAGGAGGAGGTTATGCAATTTCGAAGTGCCCCCAAAACAGCATATATGGATAGACAGATGGATGGATGGATAGACAGATGGATGGACGAACGGATGGATAGATGCATGAATAGATGGATGGACGGATGGATGGATGGATGAATAGATGCATGATAGACGGATGGATGGATAGATGGACAGACGGATGGATAGATGCATGGATGGACGGATGGATGGATAGATGCATAAATGGATGGACGGATGGACAGATGGATGGATAGATACATGGATGGATGGATAGATACATGGATAGACAGATGGATTGATAGACGGATGGATAGACAGGCAGATGGATGGATGGACGGACGGATGGATGGATGGATAGATAGATGCATGGATGGATGGACGGATGGATAGATGCATAAATGGACAGATGGATGGATAGATGCATGGATGGATGGATGGATAGATACATGGATAGACAGATGGATTGATAGATGGATGGATAGACAGGCAGATGGATGGACAGACGGATGGATAGATGCATAAATGGATGGATGGATAGATGGACAGATGGATGGATAGATGCATGGATGGATGGATACATGGATAGACGGATTGATAGACAGGCAGATAGATAGACAGGCAGATGGATGGACGGATGGATGGATAGATGCATGAATAGATGGACACATGGATGGACAGATGGATGGATGGATAATCAGATGGATGGAAGACAGATGGGCAGATGGACAGGTGTATTTTTGTCTTTGATGTTCCACCTTTTGATGGAAAAATGTTATATATACGTAGATACTGTGGTTGTTCCTCCCATGCACTCTCACCCTGATGCATGACTCTAATTGTGGCTCTCTTTGCAACCAGGGCTGGGGCCTCTGTGTGCGCACAGCATTGGTGCAGCCATAATGTGATTTCTGGAGCTAGTTCCATTGGGTGGGGGGAGGGAGGCAGCTTGGTGGTCGGTTCCACATGGAGGAGACCCCCAGGATCCATTGCTGGCCTTTGTTGGGAAGTGGAGGAAAGAAGGGTCTTCTGCTGTATTCTTTTTGTCTGCGCCTTCTGTTTGTCCGCTGCCGGTCCCTTGCCTCCTGGCCAAAGGACCTCTTTGTGACCGCACACTGCTTCCTCTCCGCAGCTGGACTTTCCGGAGGGACAGCTGGGCCCTTTCATGTATCAAACACTCCCGGAATAAACACAGCCAGGTCCCATTTTCATCACAGTCGAGCGAATAATGACGTGCCAGACGTCTCCTTCTCTCCTTCCTCACAAGGAGGGAAAAAGAGGCCCAAAATGCCTGTCTCCATCGGAGCAGGAAAAGGAGGGGGTTGCCCAAAATGTGCATTCCTTCCAGAAATAGCATCCTTTCCATGTGGCCCCCAAGACAGCTTCCTTGAAGCCATCTTCTTCTGGCCAAAATACAGTCACTTGGGCCCCCATCTACACTGCCGTATAATGCAGTTTGAAACTGCATTAAATGGTCAGTGAAGATCCAGCCTTGGACAACTGAGCATCCTCCTTTGTTGTTGTTCTTTCTGGGATGTTTATTTACTTAGTTTTCACCCCACTTTTCTCCGAATATAGAGGGACTCAAGGCAGCTAATGACACAATGAAAGTTACAGCAATGTAAAGGCAGCCTATCTCCCTCCTCAGAATAAAGAGTTCCCATGTTAGCATTTTCCCTCTCAATGCAAGACAGACTTCAAATATGGTGCAACCTTTGAAGACTAATCACGGTTCAGGGCATATTCTGCACAAAATTCAAATGCATTCTCAGTGCAGAAAACGTTTTCTGTGCAGAAAATAATATTGTTTTCTATTAGTATGATTTCCTGTGCAGAAAATGCATTTTGGAGCCCTGAATTCATCAGTGCAGGATTCTTCTTCTCAAGGTGTTGTGATACTCAAAGGATATAATTGGAGCTATTTTTGAATATTCCGGTGGGATGTTGGGTGTGTGTGTGTGTTATATACATAGTGGACTATATACCTGGTATTGCCCATGTTTGGATTTTGTTCTTGGATAATGAAGTGTCCATTTGCCAAGTTTGGTCCAGATACATCAAGACATGGATGAGCCTTTGTGGTACAAACAGCATACATACATACATGTATGCTTTAACTTTTAGATAGATAAATGGATGGATGGATAGATGGCTAGACGGATGAATGAATAGATGGATGGATATGGATGGATGGAAAGACGGATAGGTGCAAGCATGGATGGTTAGATAGATAGATGGCTAGATGGATGGATGGATAGATAGATAGTTAGACTGATGGATTGATGGATGGATACAGATGGATGGGCAGATGCATTCATGGATAGATGGATGGATGGATGGATGGATGGATGGATGGATAGATAGATAGATAGATAGATAGATAGATAGATAGATAGATAGATAGATGGCTAGATTGATGCATGATGCATGGATAGTTAGACAGACAGATAGATGGATGGATAGATAGATGGCTAGACAGACAGACAGACAGATAGATAGATAGATAGATAGATAGATAGACAGATAGATGCATGGATAGATGGATGGATGGATGGATGGATGGATGGATGGATGGATGGATGGATAGATAGATGGCTAGATAGATGGCTAGATAGATAGCTAGATGGATGGACAGATAGATGGCGAGACGGATGGATTTTTGTCTTTGATCTTCCATCCTTTGGTGGAAAAATGTTATACGTAAATGCCGTGGTTGATCCTCCCATGTGCTCTCACCCTGATGCTTGACTCTGTTTGTGGGTGTCTTTGCAGCCGGGGCTGGGGGCTCTGCCTGGATGACCCTCCCACCAAAGACGTCATCGACTTCCCCTCCGTTCCGCCAGGGGTCCTTTATGACGTCAGCCACCAGTGCCGCCTCCAGTATGGGCCTTACTCCACTTACTGCGACGACATGGACGTAAGGAGTGAATGGAGGTCTGGGGCCCCTCTTTCGGGAGCTGGGAAAGAGTGGTGCGGGGAGAGGGCTGCTGAGGAGGTCTGCTCTGCTTATGATCATTCCCATTCCAGTAAGCGACCGATACTGGCATGGGGAAGAGTCCATTGCAATTTGGATCTGGAGAAGCTAAGTAAAGAAAGCCATGGCCATCGTCCTTCAGGCAAAATGCAACCTGCTGAATATATGCTACTTGAAGCAGGGCGTTCAGAACCCGGTGCAGATACATAATCTTGACGAGAAGCAGTTGTAGCCAAGGGACCCAAATACAGTGCCAATTGGTGCATCTACATGGTAGAATAAATACAGTTAGCTGCCGCAACTCAGTGCTATTGAATTGTGGAAATTGCAATTTGGTAAGGCGCCAACTCTCTTTAGCAGCGTAGGCTGAAGACCTTGTAATTCCGTAATATTGAGTGGTGGCAGTTCAAGTGGTATTGAACTGAATTATACTATGTAATAAAATTCGGAAAAAAATTGTTCCTGAGTGGGTCGTCCATCTTCCCCTTCCTTCCACAGAGCGTCTGCAATACTCTCTGGTGCTCTGTGGGGAACACTTGCCACTCCAAGCTGGATGCTGCTGTCGATGGCACCAAATGCGACGAGAACAAGGTAAATGCATGCATCCTGCGTTGTCGACGGACAACACAGGCTCTTTGGGTTATAACTTGAAATGAGCACCACCCCCCAGAGTCGGACACGACTAGACTTAATGTCAAGGGAAACCTTTACCTTATGTAACAAAATCTGAAAAATGTTCTGTTCCTGGTTTGAAAGTGGTATTTCCTGTTTAATTGTGTGGTCCTTATTTTGAAAGTCATTATTCTACTCCAGAAATCTTGTTTTGGTGGTTGCCACAAACTAGGTTGAATTGGTCGAGACTCTTATGATAAGATATTCAGAGCAAAACGTCCTCTAGCAGGAAGCTGTGCAATAACAAAGTTTGTGAAGTTTCATAAACATTTCCAATGTTTTTATGATAGAACGAATTGGAAAACGATATTTATAACCCAGGTACAAAAATTATATTACGTAGTGTATGCTTTCACATGAGCCGCAGCCTGTTTGCAACGAAGGGGACCCAGACGGCAGTCATTCCCAGCACAGGGTGTTTACATCGCTATATTATCTAGTTTTTAAAAATTGTTTCCACCACAATCTGAATGTATGATTGCATGTCAGACCCAAGCTGTCGATGTGGGAGGCTGTCCCATTGGATGATCTAAAGGTGTGCCTTCTATCTCCAGTGGTGCTTCGATGGCGACTGTGTCCATGTCGGCTACCGGCCGGAGTCCACCAATGGAGGCTGGTCAGCCTGGGGCTCCTGGGCCAGCTGCTCCCGGACTTGCGGAGCTGGAGTGCAGAGTGCGGAAAGGCAGTGCGACAGCCCCATGTGAGCGGCTGGATGTTGTGTGCAGTGTCTCTGTCAGTTCAAGGGGGGGGGGGGTTCAGGGTGATGGGGTGCATGCAGTGGCTACCGATCTCAACTTCAGGAGCAAGCATGGTAATCGCTTGAAGGAAGGGATGACGCTTTATTGTTGGGAGTCCATTCTGTCAGGATTCTAACCCCAATGCAGAGAGCTGGAAGCTATGAAACGAAAGCAGGGAGGGTGTCTTCATGACTCGGAGGGGTTGAAATAATAATAATAATAATAAACTTTATTTATACTCTGCCACCATCTCCCCAAAGGGGACTCAGGGTGGCTAACATGAAGCCAAGCCCAAAAAATAATACAGCAAAGTTAAAAACAAAACAGCAGAAAATTGAAATTGCTTTTCCTCTTTTTCTGCCTTGCTTCCAAGGCCAAAATATGGTGGAAGGTATTGCCTGGGAGAACGGAAGCGTTTCCGGGTCTGCAACACCCAGCCCTGCCCTGCGGAGCAGCCTTCTTTCCGGCAGATTCAGTGCAGCCGCTTTGACGCCCGGCCCTACAAGGGGAAGTTCTACAAATGGACTCCCGTTCCTCATAACAGTAAGTCTCTCTTCCTTCTCCAGCTTGCATGCAGCCATGGCACCAATGAGTGTGAAGTATGCCTAGTCCCACTTGAAAGCAATCCCACTTGGCAAGGTATCAATCTGGTGGCCACAGTTTTACTATGCACTGCATGAAGGGAAAGAGCTTCCCTGTTGCCTCTTGATCCCTGAGCCAAACATGCTGAGATCTGGCTTGGCTTGTGGCAGATGGAAATGGAAAAGGGAGAAGCAGCTAAATGCCATTGGTCCGGTGAACTTCTCAATGGCATTCTCTGCCTTGACAGGTAGCCCCTGCGAACTACACTGCCGCCCGGAGAATGAGTATTTTGCCGAGAAGCTCCGGGATGCTGTCTTTGATGGAACCCCCTGCTATGAAGGGACGTCCAGCCGGGATTTGTGCATCAATGGGATTTGCAAGGTGAGTGGAGGTCTTGGGGTCTCTTTTGCAGGAGATATAAAGGTGGGAAGTGGTGGACCTTGATGAGAAACCAATGAGTTGATAACTGACGGAAGCGATAGTGGTAATATGGGTCTCTGATGACGCATCCGCCCTTTTAGGCATGGATCCAAATAGTGATCCCATCAATTCCAGATAACTCACCTTCCTTCTGCTCTTCTGATTCTTCTTCTTCTAATTCTTCTTTTTGTTAATTACCCTCTTCCTCTTCTTCCTCCTTTTCTTCCTTCTCTTCTTTCTCCTCCTCCTCCTACTTCTTCCTTGTTGTCTCCTCTGTCTCCTTCTCCCTTCATCTTCTCCAACTTCCTTCTCTCTTCTTCTTGTTCTCCCTTCTCCTGTCCTCCTTCTCTGTCTCCCTTCTTCTTCATCTTCAACTTCACTTTCTCCATTTCCCTTCTGCTCCATCTCCTTCTCCTTTCCCCTTCTCTGTCTCCTTTTCCCTCACCATCTATTTTTCCTTCTCCATCTCCCTTCTTCCCATTTTCCATCTTCTCCTTCCTTTCTCCATCTTCTCCTTCACCTCTGTCTCCTTCTCCTTCACCTTGTTTCCCTTTTCCCTTCTTCTCCTTCTCCATCTTCTCTTTCACTGTCTCCTTCTCCCTTCTCCATCTCCCTTCTCCCCCTTTTCCGTCTTCTCCATCTTCTCCGCCATCTCCTCCATCTCCATCACCTCCCTCCCTCCTCTTCCTGCTCCTTCCAGAATGTGGGCTGTGACTATGAAATCGACTCCTATGCGGCTGAAGATCGGTGCGGTGTTTGTCGAGGGGATGGCTCCACCTGCCAGACAGTGACCAAGACCTTTGAGGAACGCGAGGGATTGGGTGAGGCCTCCCTGTGCTTTGCAGAGAGGAACCAGGGCCTCCTGGGAAATGGTACCATTCACTGTGCTCAGAGGCATCCTAGGAAAGAGTCAGCCCCCAGGAGGACCTTATGATGATGAGAAAGGTTTTCTGGTGTCATCAAGGTGTCCTTCCTCTGTTCTGATCAAGGCTACGTTGATGTGGGACTGATCCCGGCTGGAGCCCGAGAGATCCAGATCGAGGAAGTGGCCGAAGCGGAAAACTTCCTGGCCTTGAGGAGCGAGGATCCAGAGAAGTACTTCCTGAATGGCGGCTGGACCATCCAGTGGAACGGCGAGTACAAGGTGGCTGGGACCACCTTCACCTACGAACGGATGGGGAACTGGGAGAATCTCACCTCCCCAGGACCTACCCGGGAGCCCGTCTGGATACAGGTACACACTCATCATTGCACCAGGCAACACTTGTGCTGAGTAAAGTGCTTGTGCAACAAAACAGGCCCATATCTCCTGGCGACGAGAGGAAGAGAAAAAAATCAGCCCAATGTGGTTGAAGGTTCACTTCATATTTGGGTGCGAGGCAGATGGTATAAAAGCCACTTCCAGCTTATACCTACTAAATGTGTTTGTATCTTGTTATTATTCCTCTGTGACAAACATATGTATCTTTATCACTTACTTGTTTGTAAACTATATAACAACTGTAAATGCTAAGTGCGTTTCAACCCATTTATGTTTGTAGTAGTTTACAAACCAAAGTGTAATAACTTAAATTTAGTGTTTTGTATAAATTGGTATTTTGACAGGTGTAGTATCCAAACTAGTGGTATTTTAAGAAATGACTATGTTAGGGTCCATCTACATTGTAAAACTAATGCAGTTTGACATCACTTTAATTACCATTGAATGTTATTGAACCCTGGGAGTTGTAGTTTGGCAAAGCACCATTATTCTTGGGCAGCTATGACTGAAGACCTTGTGAAAGTACAACTCCCATGAACCTGTAGCATTGAGCTACAGTTCAAGTGGTATCAAGTGCATTCATTCTGTAGTGTCAATGCAACCTTGGTTTGGCTGCACAAGGGCTTTGCTCAGCACAAGTGTTGCACGACACCATTAACGCAGAGTTCTTTTGAGGCTGCATAGCCCTGAGAAAGGATAGCGTCCAAAAGCTTTTGATGGCCAGCTCCCTTTTTACTCTTGCTTTGGACACTCTCCATTCTTGGCTATGACAAGACAGTAGCAACGCTGTTAAAGATATACCCAAGTGGTCACTCTCACATGGGAAGACTTTTGCAAGGGCCTCTTTCCAGCCCAGAATCCTGGATTTCTGGACAGAGAGAAAGAGAGACCGAAGAGGAAGGAGAGCGGCTCTTTGACTCCTTAGAGAATGACCTGTATTTCAGCAGAAAAGACCTCCATGCCTTGCAGCTTTGGAGTCAACCAGATTTCCCAGGAAAGCACTTAGGAGTTAATGAGTTTCTTTGGGGTTTATTTATCCTCGCAGGGAGGTGTTTACTTTAGCAGTCTTTCCCCTTCCAGCCAAGGCATTCTTTGCCTTTCCCCCTCCAACCTTCTTTGCTGAGCAGCAAGGAAGGCCTCTCTCCTCCAGCTGCATCCAAGTCCGAGACAGAGGAATGAGGGGGCTTCAAAGACCCCCAGGGAAGGTGGGATCTGGGGCCAATTGGGATTGGGTTGTCCATTTGGGAGCAGCGCCGATTTCGATGCCAAAACCTGAGAGCAAGGGACACAACACACATCATTTATATCTGAATTAAGCTCCTGTCTCAGTTACTCAGGCCCCAGCTATACTGCCATATAAAATCCAGATTATCTGCTTTAAATTGGATTATATGGAAGTGTGCACTCATTTAATTTGCGACAAAAAAGCACATAGGAAACAGAGAAGAAAGGGAGAAATGGATTATATGAGTCTACATGGTCATATAATCCATTTTTCCCTTTGTTCTCTTCCTTCCCTTTCTTTTGTTTTCTTTTCCTTCCTTCCTTCCTTCCTTCCTTCCTTCCTTCCTTCCTTCCTTCCTTTCTTTCTTTCTTTCTTTCTTTCTGTCTGTCTGTCTGTCTGTCTTTCTGTCTGTCTGTCTTTCTGTTTGTCTTTCTTTTTTCTTTCTTTCTACTTTTCTTTGTACCTTTGTTCTCCACCTTCCCACTCTGTTTCCTTCCTTCCTTCTTTCCTTTCTCCCTTCCTCCTCTTTCTTCCTTCTCTGTTTCCTCCCTTCCTATTGTTAATAGATGTACATGAAAGCATTCAGTTTCCCAGGAATTTCTTCCACAACTTTTTCATGTAATCCCTCTGACCTATGTTGCCTATTTTCTGCTTTGATCTGTAAACAAAAACCTTTGTTGATCTCTGTAGCTCCAGGTGTTTTTTCCTGGGAGCCTTCTGTATCACTTAGTTCTTCACCCGACTCCTTATCTAATGTTGCGGTTTCTGGCTCCTCTAACTGACTTTGAAGCCCTGCACTTTCTGAATCATATTTCTCACAGAGAGAAGCATCATTCCCTTGACTTGAATCTTCATCAATTCATGCCCCAGGGAATCCCACAGGCGATCCCATAATCCTCTCTAAAGCATCAGTGAACCCATCAGCCTCAGGAGCCTCCGCCTGATCTACCACACTCTCTTTCCTTCTCATTTTCTTCTCTTCCTTTCCCTCTTTGTTTCCTACCTACCTTTCTTTCTCCCCTTTCTCCTTCCCTCTCTTTTTCCTACTTCCTTTTCTTTCTTTCTTTCCTTCTTTCTTTCTCCCCTCCTTCCCTGCCTATGTTTTGGAGGGAGCAACAATGGGATGGAGAGGATTCTCTTAGTTTGGGGAAAAACAGAGAAAGGGAAAAGGAACAGAAAGGAAAGGAGAGTTAAGAAATAAGAGGGAGATGGAAAGGATCCCTCCATTTTGGAGGAAGATAGAGAAACCAAAGGAAAGGAAAGGAGAATTAAGGAGCAAGAAGAGGATGGAGGGAGCATGAATGGCAGCAACGATAGTCTAAAGCAAGCCTGGGCAAACTTGGGCCCTCCCTCCAGGTGTTTTGGACTTCAACTCCCACAATTCCTAACAGCCTCAGGCACTTTCCTTTTCCCCTTCAGCTGACTTGAAAAGTGCAAGGCTTCAAGGTCAGTCAGAGGAGCCAGAAACTGCAACATTAGGTAAGAAATTGGGTGAGGAAAAGGAAAGAACCTGAGGCTGTTAGGAATTATAGAATCATAGAGTTGGAAGAGACCTCATGGGCCATCCAGTCCAACCCTCTGCCAAGAAGCAGGAAGATTGCATTCAAAGTACTCCCAACAGATGAATTGTGGGAGTTGAAGTCCAAAATACCTGAATAGAGGGCCTAAGTTTGCCCATGCCTGGTCTAAAGTTTAGAATGGGACACAAGTAAATGACTTTAAAGAGCCAGATCTGGCCTGCGACCCTTATTTTGGGAACCTTTGGTCTAGAACTTTGAATTTCATCAGCTGAACTATGGGTTCCGATCCAAATAGTTTGGGTTTCAACACTGTTTTTACTCCTTTTCTTGCTACTTTGTGAAAGTGGGGAAATTGGCTGGCATGTGGATAGATGAGTGCTAGTTAGAACGAACTGCCGGAGGGAACGTGTCAAGTTCCCTTCTTCCTTCTTTTAAAAGATTATCGCATCTATGTTCACAGCTCGGAGGAGCCTAACACCAGATAATCCCTTGGCAAGCTTGGTGCAATGTGTAATTGAAATACCTCATTTTTTATATAAAGGGGAGAGGAAGAGAAGGAGAAATGTGGGATATCCATCAAGGGCTCTTTGGAGCGGCGCCATCCTTCCTTCCAAGATCAACAAGGCTTTGGCCGGAAGGGAAGCCTGGAGAGCACTGTCCAGGCTCAGCCAATCTGGAGTCAAACCAGTTTGAAAAGGCCGCTTGGAGCTGTTTTAAATGGCCGCGGCACTTTGTCCATGCCGCCAAGGCCAGGAGGAAATCTGGTCCATGGTTTTGGCACTCCTTCACAGACTTGCTGTTGCCAGGAGTGAGTTTATAGTCGCTTTGCTACTCAAAGCAGTGGTCCATCCGGGGGCCGTTCGCTACTGATTCCTAGTTAATTTCCATATTGAAAGAGAAATTGCTATCCCTGCAAATGCAATAGCATGAGATGTAGTGGTTTGGCAAACTGGATGCCTCAATAATGATTAATAATAATAATAATAATAATAATAATAATGACAGCCTGATTGAAGATAAACAACTGGAAAAGCTGACACGATATGAGGATTAAAAGATCGAACTGCAAAGACTCTGGCACAAGCCAGTCAAGCTGGTCCCAGTGGTGATTGGCACACTGGGTGCAGTGCCTAAAGACCTTGGCCTGCATTTAAACACAATCAGTGCGGACAAAATTAGCATCTGCCAGCTGCAGAAGGCCATCTTACTGGGATCTGTATGCATCATTCCCCGATACATCACACAGTCCTAGATACTTGGGAAGTATCCGACGTGTGATCCAATACAACAGCCAGCAGAGTGATCTTGTCTGCTGTGGACTCATCTTGTTGTGTTTCAAATAATTAATAATAATAATAATAATAATAATAATAATAATAATAGAATGGAAGAAGATGAAGATGCAAAATGTTTAAAATGCCCCTGTAGATCAAACTACAAAGACTCTGGTACAAACCAGTAAAGGTGCTCCTAGTGGTGATTGGCACACTGGGCGCAGTGCCTAAAGACCTTGGCCTGTACTTAAACACAATCAGTCTTGATAAAATTACCATCTGTCAGCTGCAAAAGGCCACCCTAATCAGATCTGCATTATTCGCCGATACATTACATAGTCCTAAACACATGGGAAGTGTCCGTGTGATCCAATACAATAACTAGCACAGTGATCTTGTTTGCTGTGTACTAATCTTGTTGTGTTTCAAATAATTATAATGATAACAACAACAACAACACTGTAGATTGCCTCATTTAGTTGTTTTTGTTATTGCATTATTATTATTATTATTATTATTAGTAGTAGTAGTAGTAGTAGTAGTAGTAGTAGTATTGTGTTATTATGGAATTCCTATTATGGCATTTTTATTATTAATATTATTATGGAATTATTATTGTAGTATTATTATTATTGCATTATTATTGTATTATTATTGTATTATTATTATTATTATTATTATTATTATTACACTATCCAACATGAATTTTTTTCCTGGGTTATAAATGCCATTTCCTAATTGGTTCTATCATAACAACATAGGAAAAGCTTATAAAATTGCAAAACTTTGTTTTCACGAGAGGGACATCCTGCAGCAGCACATTTTGCTCTAGTTTTTCATTGAATTTCCCATCGAGTCTCAACCAATTCAACCTGGTTTGTGACAGCCACAAAAACAAAGTTTCGGGAGTTGAACAACTACTTTCAAAGGATGCTGATGCCACACCAAACTACAAATCCCAGGACCCCATAGCATTGAGCCCTGGCCTTTGAATTAGAGATAATTTCCCCCAAAGAGGAGCTCCGGAAGCAGCTTCCTCTTTGGTTTTGGCTCAGCACTACGACAACCATATGATGTGAATCTAATGTGCAGCCCAATTTTGGCAAGGTTGTTTAGCCCAAAAAGGGTGAGCATTAGATTTAAGTTAAATATAGCAATTGACCCCATTCTGTCTCTTCTCAGCTCTTGTTCCAGGAGAAGAACCCAGGCGTCCGCTACCAGTATACCATTCAGAGGGAATCAGAGGCCGAGAACGAGATTGTGCCAGCCGAGTTCTCCTGGAAATACGGTCCCTGGACCAAATGCACCGCCACCTGTGGCACAGGTAGCCACACCGCTGGCCCGTTTGGGTGGCCAAATATATAATAACTGTGATGCCTCGCATGCTTTTGTTTCCCCCACCGGTCTGTTAGGAGGTTCCTTCACTATCCTGGCAGAGAGCAGAGATTGTTGGCCGGCTGAGCTGCTTCTCGGGCTCCTTGCCAGAGCGAAAGGCTGCCAGACGCGTCTCAGTTCCTGCAGGCGCCTGCCCAGGGGAACAGCCCCACGGCTCCAGCCTCATGCAAACCCTGCAGGATGGAGGGGCCGGCTTGCATTTCCCCTCGGCTGGGCCAGGCAGGGCCTCTTTGGGAATGAGGGAGAGCTCTTGGCAAGGGAAGCCTCCCAAGGAGAGCAGCCACAAAAGGTGCCGAGTGGCAGATCTGGAGCAACTCCATCACTCTCGCTCACACACACAGTTCCTGCCTTTATCACAGGCATGGGCAAACTTCAGCCCTCCAGGTGTTTTGGACTCCACCTCCCACAATTCCTAACAGCTGGTAACACCTGGAGGGCCAAAGTTTGCCGGTGCCTGCTCTATCACCTGCTGGAACTGTACCCCCTTGTTTGATTATGATGATGATGATTATTTACCTACCTCATACTACTAGTACTACTACTTATTATCATTATGATTATTAGTTACCTGCCTCATACTACAACTACTACTACCTACTATTATTTTTTCGTGCCTCATACTAATATTACTACTACTACTTATTATTAATAATAATATTAATTACCTGCCTCATAGTACTACAACTGCTACTACTACTAATTATTCTTAGTCTTATTTCTTACCTGCCTTGTGCTACTAGTACTATTTATTAATATTAATAATAATATTAAGTTACCTGCCTCATAGAAGTCGTAGTAGCACTTATTGTTATTATTGTTACCTGTCTCATACTACTACTTCATAGTACTACAACAACTACTATGACTATGTATTATTAGTTACCTGCCTCATACTATTGCAACATCTACTACTGCTACTTATTAATATTAGTTACCTGCTTCATAGTACTAAAACAACTACTATGACTATGTATTATTAGTTACCTGCCTCATACTATTACATCATCTTCTACTGATACCTATTATTAGTTACCTGCCTCATACTAGTACAACTACTACTACTAATTATTCTTATTCTTGTTACCTGATTCATACTATGATGACTACTACTTATTCTTATTTGTTACCTACCTCACACTACTACTACTACTACTAATTAATAATAATAATAAGTACCAGTAGTAGTATCTGCCTCATACTACTGCAACTGCTACTACTTATTATTATTCTTATTATTTGTTATCTGCCTCATACAATTACTACTACTGCTACATCTAGTTCTTCTTATTTACTACTAGCCAAGTCTAATGGCTTGAGGTGAGTTGAACAAAATCAAAAGTTGGTCCTTCATGTCAATGGAATCTCTAAACAAAGTAGTGTTTTTCCAAAGCCAAGGACAACCTCCACTTCCTCCTGCATCTTTGGCTGCCCCTTCCTTTCTTCCCATCTGCTTCGAAGACCAAAGGCTCCCTCCACTCTTCCAGGTACAATCAAAGCCCCTCCTGGCAGATGGCCATCCAGCCCCTGCTTAATTATAATTATAATTATAGAATCCTATGGTTGAAGGGACCCCCAAAGACCATCCAGTCCAACACTATTCTGCCAAGCAGGAAGGCACAATCAAAGCCCTCCTGGCAGATGAACATCCAGCCCCTGCTTATAATAATTATAATAATTATAATAGAATCTTATGGTTGGATGGGATGCCCCAAAGGCCATCCAGTCCAGCCCTGTTCTGCCAGGCAGAAAGACACAATCAAAGCTCTCTTGGTAGATGACCATCCAGCCCCTGTTTAATAATAATAATAATAATAATAATAATAATAGAATAGCATATAGATCTCGTTTGCTATGACATACTGTGCTTTTGTGTCAATAATAAGAATCCTATAGTTGGAAGGGATCTCCCAAGGCCTTCATGTCTGTTAGGCAGGAAGACACAATCAAAGCCCTCCCAACAGATGGCCATGCAGCCTCTGCTTAAAAATCTTGCAAAGAAGGAAGTTCTGTTCCAAGCCAGTAAAAATGCCATCTGCAAGTCAAATGCCCCTCTCCTGCCATCATTGAGGGAAAACAAAGGCACCCTTGTTGTTCCCACAGCAGCAGCAGCAGACAATCTGTGGCATTGTCCGTGGCTGGCCCTCTGGGCATCCCCATTGCTAGGCAACCACCATTCAATATGGAGCAGAGCAATAAACTGAAGGGTTGGACTATAATTATTTTTTTATGAATAAAGCCTAGATTTACCCTTGAGATTCCTCCCTCCTGCCTTATTCTAGGCAGCAGCATTGAACAAACAGCCGCATCAGATTCCAAACTGGAACGTTTTGCAAGCGGGCCCCTTTCTCCTCCTCCTCTGCCGCCCCCAAAATGGGATTCTGTTACACAGAATCGAAGAGAGTCAGCACTATTCTACACTAGTATTACACTATGTTACAAAACTTGAAAAAAAAATGTCTGTTCCTGGTTAGAAATTGTTTATTTCCTGTTTCATTGTGCGGTCCTTACTTTGAAAGTAGTTGTTCTACTCCAGCAACTATATATAAGATATATAAACCTCACTTGCCTAGTTTCTGACAGACCTCACAACCTCTGAGGATGCCTGCCATAGATGTGGGCAAAATGTCAGGAGAGAATGCTTCTGGAACATGGCCATACATCCTGGAAAACCCACAGCAACCCGTTGTTATTATTGCCAGCAACCCAGCCCTTTCTTGGGGAAGGGACTTAAAGAGGGCTGCTGGCTCACACACAAAGAGAGCTCTTTGTTGCGTCTTGGCCGATCCCTGTGTGCCTGCGAGTGTGTCTTGGCCCAATGCATTTTCAACTTGACCCCGCTGACCCCCTGCCCACGGCCCTCCCTCACTTCTCTGCCGTTCCTTAATTATCGCATTCCAGACCTCCCTCTGCATCTGTCTCTTGCAGCCAGGAATGCTCAGCCTTCAGTCCTGCTTTGGAGAGCCTTCCCGGCCATTAACCTTTTCCCTTGCTCCAAAAAGAGCCAGTGTGTGCAAGGGACAACATTTTGATTTTGTTGTTGTCTTCCCTGTAGTTGTTATTGCAAAAAGATGAAGAATGGGAAGGGTACAAGAGTGGATACAGAACAGGGGCATTTTAAACATTTTGCATCTTCATCTTCTTCCATTCTATTATTATTATTATTATTATTATTATTATTATTATTATTATTATTATTATTATTATTATTAGAAACACAACAAGATTAGTCCACAGCAGACAAGATCACTCTGCTAGCTGTTTTATTGGATCACATGTCAGACACTTCCCAAGTGTCTAGGACTGTGTGATGTATTATTATTATTATTATTATTATTATTATTATTATTAAAAAACACAACATGTTAATTCAACATCAGACTCTGCTGGCTGTTGTATTGGATCACACGTCGGACACTTCCCAAGCATCTAGGACTGGGAATAATGTGTGCAGATCCCAATAAGGTGGCCTTCTGCAGCTGACAGATGGTAATTTTGTCAGTGCTGATTGTGTTTAAATGCAGGCCAAGGTCTTTAGGCACTGCACCCAGTGTGCCGATCACCACTGGGACCACCTTTACTAGTTTGTGCCAGAGTCTTTGCAGTTCGATCTATAAATCCTCATATCGTGTCAGCTTTTCCAGTTGTTTCTCTTCAATCCTGCTGTCACCTGGGATTGCAACATCAACAATCCACACTTTGTTTTTTAACATGATTGTGAGGTCAGGAGTATTGTGCTCCAAAACCCTGTCTGTCTGAATTTGGAAGTCCCAGAGGAACGGCTTCATTTTCTGTATCTTTTTCCAGCTTGTGATCCCATCAGTTTTTTGTTGCAGGCAGATGGTATTTGTGGCACAGGTTCCATTATTATTATTATTATTATTATTATTATTATTATTATTATTATTATTATTATGTTTATCCAATCAAATGGTGAAAGCAAGTTTAATTGATCAATTCATTTGCTGGCTGAATTATTATTATATTATTATTATTATTATTATTATTATTATTATTATTATTAACCCACTTTTTCTCTCCACAAGGAGACTCAAAGTGGCTAAGATAAAGGTTTCCCCTTGACATTAAGTCTAGTCGAGTCAGACTCTGGGGGGTGGTGTATTAGAATGTATTATTATTATTATTATTATTATTATTATTATTATTTATACCCTACTTTTTCTCTTCACAAAGTGACCCAAAGTGGCTATGTGTCTATCTACTATTATTATTATTATTATTATTATTAGTAGTAGTAGTAGTAGTAGTAGTAGCAGTAGTAGTAGTAAAGGTTTTCTCCTGACATTAAGTCCAGTCGTGTCCAATTCTGGGGGTTGGTGCTCATCTCCATTTCTAAGCCGAAGAGCTGGTGTTGTCCGTAGACACCTCCAAGGTCATGTAGCAGACATGACTGCATGGAGCGCCGTTACCTTCCCACCAGAGGGGTACCTATTGATCTACTCACATTTGCATGTTTTGAACTGCTAGGTTGGCAGGAGCTGTGGCTAACAGCGGGAGCTCACCCCTCTCCCTGGATTCGATCCTGTGATCTTTCAGTTAGCAAGTTCAGCAGCTCAGCGGTTCAACCCACTGAGCCACCGGGGGCTCCATAATTATGATTATTTATATCCTGCTTTTTCTCTCCATAAGGGACTCAAAGCAGCTAGCATTAAAAAGCATTACACTACAATTTAAAATATACCAACATGAAAACAGTATTAAACCTAATTAGTATTTTAAAAAACCCAATTCTGAACCAAAAAACGTGCCACACTCTCTAAGCTGCAGCTCGGTCCTTTTATATTCCAAAGGAAGAAAACATGTGCGTGCAAACTTTTTCCCCATTCAGACTCCTCTCAACTTTCGGCGCCTCTTATCCTCTTACTGTTTTCCATTCTTCCTCCTTTCTCTTCAGGACATAAAGTCCTTTTGAACCCTTTTTACCCACTCTCATCTTTCTCAATTGCTTATCTGAGGCTCCGGATGAGCTCTTTTTGTCTAGCAGAGACTGGCAGAATGAGCTTTTAGATCTGTGTTTCTCAACCTGTGGGTCAGGATCCCTTGGGGGGCCGCGAGAGGGGTGTCAGAGGGGTTGCAAAAGACCATCAGAAAACACAGTACTTTCTGTTGGTCATGGGGGTTCTGTGTGGGAAGTTTTGCCCAATGCTATCATTTGTGGGATTCAGAATGCTCTTTGATTGTAGATGAACTATAAATCCCAGCAACTACAACTCCCAAATGTCAAGGTCAATTTCCCCCAAATTCCACCAGTGTTCACAATTGGGCATATTGAGTATTCATGCCAAGTTTGGTCCAGATCTATCATCATCATCATCATCATCACCATCATCATCACCATTTAATTACTTATTTTTTTGTCGTGTCAGAAGTCGCTTCTGGTGTGAGAGAATTGGCCGTCTGCAAGGACGTTGCCCAGGGGACGCCCGGATGATTTTGATGTTTTTATCATCCTTGTGGGAGGCTTCTCTCATGTCCCCGCATGAGGAGCTGGAACTGATGGAGGGAGCTCATCCGCCTCTCCCCAGATTCAAACCTGTGACCTGTCAGTCTCCAGTCCTGCCGGCACAGGGGTTTAAACCACTGCGCCACTTATCAATCGCTCTCCATCTGAGAATGCTCTAGGCGATTTACAGCTAAATTGTAAAAGGTAAAATACATACATACAAAAATTAAAAATTAACAGGGATCGAATGCTCTAGTAAAAAGCCAGGTCTTAAGTGCTTGAGTAAAAGTAATCATTGTCTGAGTTCACAGTGCTCTCTGGGTGTAGATGAACTACAACTCCCAAACTCAAGGTCAATGCCCACCAAGCCCTTCCAGTATTTTCTGTTCGTAATGGGAATTCTGTGTGCCAAGCTGGGTTCAATTTCATCACTGGTGGAGTTCAAAATGCTCTTTGATTGTAGGTTACCTATAAATCCCAGCAACTACAACTCCCAAATGACAAAATCCCCCTCCCCACAACCCCACCAGTATTCAAATGTGGGTGTATTGGGTATTTGTGCCAAATGTGGTCCAGTGAATGCAAATACACCCTGTATATCAGATATTTATTTACATGACAGTTCATAACAGTAGCAAACTTACAGTCATTCTCTTCCCTTCTCTTCCGCAGGGGTCCAAAGGCAGATGGTGCACTGCATGGAGAAGGTGGCTGGAGCCGTGGAAGAGCACTACTGTGAGGGGCTCGGCCGGCCGGACGACAAGCAGAGGAGCTGCAGTGAGGACCCCTGTCCAGCCAGGTCAGCTCCTTCCTCTCCTAGCAGGCTTTTGCCTCCTTCATTCAACCTGCCAACACTGAAATAATCAATGTATTATCAAAGGCTGGAATCACTGGAGTGTTCTGTGGTTTCTAGCCTGTATGAATAATGTCTTCTATATTAGATATAATAATAATAGAAGGTGAACAGTGTGCAGGTTTCATAGCTGAACGCCCTCGGTGGCGCAGTGGGTTAAACCCCTGTGCCGGCAGGACTGAAGACTGACAGGTCGCAGGTTCGAATCCGGGGAGAGGCGGATGAGCTCCCTCTATCAGCTCCAGCTCCTCATGTGGGGACATGAGAGAAGCTTCCCACAAGGATGATAAAACATCAAATCATCCGGGCGTCCCTTGGGCAACGTCCTCGCAGACGGCCAATTCTCTCACACCAGAAGCGACTTGCAGTTTCTCAGGTCGCTCCTGACACGACAAAAAAATAATAATAGCTGAACGCTTTGCTAATTGCATTTCAAGCTACCTGTATTGGCTCGACTCTCATGCGGCATCGAATCTATTGTGCACCTCAATTTTTTAAACCTTGAAACCCAAAAAGAAGTATTTTCTGCCAAACGTAAGGTTCAGGGGCCAAAAGTATGCTCTTAATTATTTGGCCGAAAAAAGGTGTTGATTACAGTTGCTACCTACTTAAAATCTCTTCTTCTGACCGTAAGAAGTGGAACTCTCTGCCTCGAAGTTCCTTCCTTGGAGGTGTTTAAACAGAGGCTAGGTGGCCATCTGTCGGGGGTGATTTGATTCTGCTTTTCCTGCTTGGCAAAAGGGGGCTGGACTGGATTGCCCATGTCGTTTCTTCCAACTCTTCTATGATTCTATGAGAGTATTATTGCCCATTCTCTAGAGCAGTGGTTCTCAACCTGTGGGTCTCCGGGTGTTTTGGCCTACAACTCCCAGAAATCCCAACCAGTTTACCAGCTGTTAGGATTTCTGGGAGTTGAAGGCCAAAACATCTGGGGACACACAGGTTGAGAACTCCTGCTCTAGAGTTTGACTCCCGCTCTCCTCCTTTCCCAGGTGGTGGACAGGTGAATGGCAGTCATGTTCTGCCACTTGTGGGGACTCTGGCCTGGTCAAGAGGACGGTCCTCTGCATCCAGAGTGTGGCCCTGGATGAGCAGAAGGCCCTGCCACCGAGCCACTGCCAGCACCTCTCCAGGCCGGACGCCACAGCCCCCTGCAACCGAGAGGTCTCTTGCCCGGCAAAGTGGGCCACTGGCAACTGGTCCGAGGTAAGATGAGCTGAGAACAGCTCCTGTTGCAAAGTCCATTGTTACTGGTACTTCATACACCAGGCATAGGCAAACTTGGCCCTTCCAGGTGTTTTGGACTTCAAGCCGGTAGGCTGTTAAGAATGGTAAGAGTTGAAGTCCAAAACACCTGGAGGGGCCCAGTTTGCTCGTGCCCACCATACACTGTTTGCCAAATTGCCTTCTACATTGTTCAGGTTCAAGGGGCTGAACCCTGTCACCATAACACTATGTAACATGATTTTTCTACTACTAGTGCTATTGATTATGATGATTATTATTTCTTACCTACCTTGTACTACAAGTACTACTACTATTACTACTACTACTTATTATTATTATTAGTTACTTACCTCATACTACTAGTAGTTATTATTATTCTTTTTCTTATTATTTGTAACCTGCCGCATACGACGACTACTACTACTAATTATTATTATTAGTTACCTGCCTCATACTATGACTGCAACTTATTATTATATCATCATCATCATTATTTTTAACCTGCCCCTACTATTACTATTTATTATTAATAATAATATTAGTTCCTGCCTCATGCTACTACTACTACTTATTATTACTATTCATTATCTGCCTCATACTACTACTACTACTACCACCACTTATTATTATTATTACTATTAACATTAGTTACCTGCCTCATATTACTACTACTACGACTTATTATTATTATTACTATTTGTTATTTGTTATCTGCCTCATACTACTACTGCGACTTATTATTACTATTAATATTGGTTACCTGCCTGGAGCCACCAGTGGCACAGTGGGTTAAACCCCTGTGCCGGCAGGATTGAAGACCGACAGGTTGCAGGTTCGAATCCGGGGAGAGGCGGATGAGCTCCCTCTATCAGCTCCAGCTCCTCATGCGGGGACATGAGAGGCCTCCCACAAGGATGATAAAAACATCAAATCATCCGGGAGTCCCCTGGGCAACGTCCTTGCAGACGACCAATTCTCTCACAACAGAAGCAACTTGTCGCTCCTGACACGACCAAAAAAAAGAAAAGTTACCTGCCTCATACTACTACTACTACTACTACTTATTGTTATTATTACAATTACTTTTTGTTATCTGCCTCATACTACTACTACAACTTATTATTATTACTATTAATATTAGTTACCTGCCTCATATTACTACTACTTATTATTATTACTATTAATATTAGTTACCTGCCTCATACTACTACTACTTATTATTATTACTATTAATATTAGTTACCTGCCTCATACTACTACTACTTATTGTTATTATCACCATTACTATTTGTTATCTGCCTCATACTACTACCTATTATTATTATTGTTATTATTATTATTATTACTATTAATATTAGTTACCTGCCTCATACTACTACAATTGCTACTACTTCTTATTCTTATTTTTTTAACCTGCCTACATAGTGTAATAGGTTCAAATGCTGTTCCTCTAAAGTTTGGACTAAAACCCGCAGTCTGTTCACAGCAGACCCATGACGTGACCTGGGCTTTCCAAACATTGCATGCCGGTGACACACTTTGTCAACGTGGATCATTTTGCGACAGTCATTCAGTTTTATTAGCAAACCAACCCTCATAAAAGATATGGACACATATTGTTGTTGTTGTTCATTCATTCAGTCGTCTCCGACTCTTCGTGACCTCATGGACCAGCCTACGCCAGAGCTCCCTGTCGGCCGTCACCACCCCCAGCTCCTTCAAGGTCAGTCCAGTCACTTCAAGGATGCCATCCATCCATCTTGCCCTTGGTCGGCCCCTCTTCCTTTTGCCTTCCACTTTCCCCAGCATAATTGTCTTCTCTAGGCTTTCCTGTCTCCTCATGATGTGGCCAAAGTACTTCAACTTTGTCTCTAGTATCCTTCCCTCCAATGAGCATTCGGGCTTTATTTCCTGGAGGATGGACTGGTTGGATCTTCTCGCAGTCCAAGGCACTCTCAGAACTTTCCTCCAACACCACAGCTCAAAAGCATCGATCTTCCTTCGCTCAGCCTTCCCTAAGGTCCAGCTCTCACATCCGTAGGTTACTACAGGGAATACCATGGCTTTGACTAGGCGGATCTTTGTTGCCAGTCTGATGTCTCTACTCTTCACTATTTTATCGAGACTGTACATTGCTCTCCTCCCAAGAAGTAAGCGTCTTCTGATTTCCTGGCCACAGTCTGCATCTGCCGTAATCTTTGCACCTAGAAATACAAAGTCTGTCACGGCCTCCACGGTTTCTCCCTCTATTTTCCAGTTGTCAATCATTCTTGATTTATTTATTCTTGATACATAAATGGTAACAACAAGATACATAATATCTTTATTTATTTATTCTTGATACATAAATTGTAACAACAAGACACATGGGGAAACAAGGTATCTCACGAAAGCCTTTCATTGATATTTTTAAATGTATATAATTTGTTGCTTATTTCACATAGACTCAGAGCGTTCTCATTACGTTTGTGTGACACAGAGACACACTGCAGCCGTGACACACTCATATGTCGCGACACACAGTTTGGAAAGCTCTGCATCAGCTGCTACACATTGCCTTGTTGGAAAAGGAACTTCTTGTCTTGTTCTTTGCTTTTCTGTTATTTTGGGTGCCTCTGCACTGTGGTATTAATTAAGTTAAAACGGCCTAGCCGTAGCATGATTTCCCAGGATTTTTGACCTCTGCTCAAACTGTAAATCAGTGTGTTTTGGGAGGAAACAGCCAGGCCCAGTGGGGTTTCTATGGAGCAGAAACAAGGGCTGTTTTCAGATGTGGGTCTCCCTAAAGTGCGCTCTTTCTCAATGGGGAGGCCTTCGCATGCGCCTGTGGAATGCATTTGTGAGATTAGGGGGTTGTTTTTGAGGCTGCAGAAAGGTCAGCGAGTGTCTTATCTCCTTTCTTCCCAAGAGACAGTCTCCTTTGTGCTTTGCTGGCAAACCACAGTCTTGCGTTCCTGCCTTCAAGAGGAATCTCTGTACTGCGTTTTGCCTTCGGAAAAACCAAACATATGGATGGCCTTGGATGCCTCCGGGCATCAGACTTTTTAGTTAGTTAAGTCATTGAAAGGTTCAAGTAAAAACAAAGACAATTACAACACATGGAGAGCACAACTTAAGACATGTTATTAAAACAAAGAAACACAGGCATTTAAATATCTTCAAGGCACCAGATCTCTGAACTTGCTGACTGAAAGGTCAGCAGTTCGAATCTGGGGAGCGGGGTGAGCTCCCGCTGTTAACCCCAGCTTCTGCCAACCTAGCAGTTTGAAAACATGCAAGTAGATCAGTAGGTACCGCTTCTGCGGGAAGGTAACGGCGCTCCATGCAGTTGTACTGACCACATTACTTTGGAGGTGTCTATGGAAAATGCCCTCCAGCAAAGGATCACCGCCTTGTCGGGGCGCTGGAGCTTGAGCACCTCAATGATGTCATGAGCGAAACCGTGAAGGGCCACCCAAGACGGGACGGTTGTGGCAGAGAGGTCAGACCAAGCGTGATCCCTGGGGAAGGCAATGGCAAACCACTCCAGTATCCTTGCCAAGAAAACTAACTGGACCAGTACAACCAGAGATATGTCGGTATGCCATTGGAAGATGGGACTCCCAGGTCGGAAGATGGCCAAAATGCTACTGGGGAGGAGCAGAGGATAAGTTCAACTAGCCCCAGATGTGATGACGCAGCTAGCTCAAAGCCGAAAGGAAGGCTAGCGGCCGACGGTACTGGAGGTGAACGACGAATCCGATGCTCTAAAGATCAACACACCATAGGAACCTGGAATGTAAGATCTATGAGCAAGGGCAAATTGGATGTTGTTATTGGTGAGATGTCAAGACTAAAGATAGACATTCTGGGGGTCAGCGAACTGAAATGGACTGGAATGGGCCACTTCACATCAGATGACCACCAGATCTACTACTGCGGACAAGAGGACCATCGAAGAAATGGAGTAGCCTTCATAATTAATAAGAAATTCGCTAAAGCGGTGCTTGGATACAACCCAAAAAATGACAGAATGATCTCAATTCGAGTGCAAGGAAAGCCTTTCAACATTACAGTGATCCAAATATACGCCCCACCCACAGCTGCTGAAGAAGCAGAAGTAGATCAGTTCTATGAGGATCTGCAGGACCTACTGGATAATACACCAAAAAGAGACATTATTTTCATTACAGGAGACTGGAATGCCAAGGTGGGAAGTCAAATGACAACTGGGATCACAGGCAAGCATGGTCTGGGAGAACAAAATGAAGCGGGACGCAGGCTGATAGAATTTTGCCAGGAAACCTCGCTGTGTATAACGAATACTCTCTTCCAACAACCTAAAAGACGGCTTTACACATGGACCTCACCAGACGGTCAACACCGAAATCAGATTGACTACATCCTTTGCAGCCAAAGGTGGCGGACATCCATCCAGTCGGTGAAAACAAGACCTGGGGCTGACTGTAGCTCAGATCACGAACTTCTTATTGCCCAATTTAGAATAAAACTAAAGAGATCAGGGAAAATACGACAGACCAGTTAGATATGATCTCACTAACATTCCTAGCGAATATACAGTGGAAGTGAAGAACAGATTTGAAGGACTAGATTTAGTAAACAGAGTCCCAGAAGAACTATGGACAGAAGTCCGAGACATTGTTCAGAAGGCGGCAACAAAGTACGTCCCAAAGAAAAAGAAAACCAAGAAGGCAAAATGGTTGTCTGCTGAGACACTGGAAGTAGCCCAAGAAAGGAGGAAAGCAAAAGGAAACAGGGATAAGGGGAGATATGCCCAGTTAAATGCGCAATTCCAGAGGTTAGCCAGAAGAGATAAGGAACTATTTTTAAATAAGCAATGCATGGAAGTTGAAGAAGACAACAGAATAGGAAGGACAAGAGACCTCTTCGCAGAAAATTAGAAACATTGGAGGTAAATTTCAGGCAAAAATTGGTATGATAAGAAACAAAGATGGCAGGGACCTAACAGAAGCTGAAGAGATCAAGAGAAGGTGGCGAGACTATACAGAAGATCTGTATAGGAAGGATAATAATATTGAGGATAGTTTTGACGGTGTGGTGAATGAATTAGAACCAGACATCCTGAGGAGTGAGGTTGAATGGGCCTTAAGAAGCATGGCTAACAACAAGGCAGCAGGAGACGACGGGATCCCAGCTGAACTGTTTAAAATCTTAAAAGATGATGCTGTCAAGGTGATGCATGCCATATGCCAGCAAATATGGAAAACACAAGAATGGCCATCAGACTGGAAAAAATCAACTTATATCCCCATACCAAAAAAGGGAAATGCGAAAGACTGCTCAAACTTCCGTACAGTGGCCCTTATTTCTCATGCCTGTAAGGTAATGCTCAAGATCCTGCAAGGAAGACTCCAGCAATACATGGAGCGAGAGTTGCCAGATGTTCAAGCTGGGTTTAGAAAAGGTAGAGGAACGAGAGACCAAGATTGCCAATATCCGCTGGATAATGGAGAAAGGCAGTGAGTTTCAGAAAAACATCTACTTCTGCTTCATTGACTATTCTAAAGCCTTTGACTGTGTGGATCATAATAAATTGTGGCAAGTTCTTAGTGGGATGGGCATCCCAAGCCACCTTGTCTCTCTCCTGAGGAATCTGTACAAGGACCAAGTAGCAACAGTCAGAACTGACCACGGAACAACAGACTGGTTCAAGATTGGGAAAGGCGTACGGCCAGGCTGCATCCTCTCACCCAACCTTTTTAACTTGTATGCAGAACACATCATGCGATGTGCGGGGCTTGATGAATGCAAGGCTGGGGTGAAAATTGCTGGAAGAAACATTAACAACCTCAGATATGCAGATGACACCACTCTGATGGCCGAAAGCGAGGAGGAGCTGAGGAGCCTTCTAATCAAGGTGAAAGAAGAAAGCGCAAAAGCCGGGTTGCAGCTAAACGTCAAAAAAACCAAGATTATGGCAACAAGAATGATTGACAACTGGAAAATAGAGGAAGAAACCGTGGAGGCTGTGACAGACTTTGTATTTCTAGGGGCAAAGATTACTGCAGATGCAGACTGTAGCCAGGAAATCAGAAGACGCTTACTTCTTGGGAGGAGAGCAATGTCCAGTCTCGATAAAATAGTAAAGAGTAGAGACATCAGACTGGCAACAAAGATCCGCCTAGTCAAAGCCATGGTATTCCCTGTAGTCACCTACGGATGTGAGAGCTGGACCTTAGGGAAGGCTGAGCGAAGGAAGATCGATGCTTTTGAGCTGTGGTGTTGGAGGAAAGTTCTGAGAGTGCCTTGGACTGCGAGAAGATCCAACCAGTCCATCCTCCAGGAAATAAAGCCCGACTGCTCACTGGAGGGAAAGATACTAGAGACAAAGTTGAAGTACTTTGGCGACATCATGAGGAGACAGGAAAGCCTAGAGAAGACAATTATGCTGGGGAAAGTGGAAGGCAAAAGGAAGAGGGGCCGACCAAGGGCAAGATGGATGGATGGCATCCTTGAAGTGACTGGACTGACCTTGAAGGAGCTGGGTGGTGACGGCCGACAGGGAGCTCTGGCGTGGGCTGGTCCATGAGGTCACGAAGAGTCGGAGATGACTGAACGAATGAACAACAACATGGAAAATGCCGGCTCTTCAGCTTAGAAATGAGCACCACACCTCAGAGTCGGGCACGACTGAACTTAATGTCAGGGGAAACCTTTACCTTTTTACCTTATTATTCATCCTGTTTTAATGTGCACATATTTGTATATTTTAAATGGTTATGCTGATGATTTCATGTTAAGCCTAATAATAATAATAATAATAATAATAATAATAATAATAATAATAATACAGAAGGCCACCTTACTGGGATCTGCACGCATTATTCACCGATACATCACACTGTCCTAGATATTGGGGAAGTGTCCGACGTGTGATCCGATAGAACAGTTAGCATAGCAATCTTGCTTGCTGTGTACCAATCTTGTTATGTATCTAATACTAATAATGATGAAGATGATGATGATGATAGCAGTAAAGGTGGTCCCAGTGATGATCAGCACCCTGGGTGCTGTGCCTAAAGACCTTGGCCTGCACTTAAAACCAATCAGCGCTGACATAATTACCATCTGTCAGCTGCAAAAGGCCACCCTACTCAGATCTGTGTGCATTATTCGCTGATATATCACACTGTTCTAGATATTTGGGAAGTGTCCGACATATGATCCAATACAACAGTCAGCATAGCAATCTTGCTTGCTGTGTACCTATCTTGTTATGTATCTAATAATAATAATAATAATAATAATAATAATAATAATAATAATAATAATGTCAATAAAGGTGGTTCCAGTGGGTGCAGTGCCTAAAGATCTTGGCACTTCAAACCAATCAGCGCTGACATAATTACCACCTGCCAGCTGCAGAAGGCCACCTTACTGGGATCTGTATTTGCCAATACATCACACAGTCCTAGACACTTGGGAAGTGTCCAACGTGTGATCCAATATAAAAGCCAGCAGAGGACTCTCTGCTGTGGACTCATCTTGTTGTGTTTCTAATAATAATAATAATAATAATAATAATAATAATAATAATAATAATAATAATAATAATAATATGAAATCCAGCATATATATCTTGTTTGCTGTGACATACTTTGCTTTTTTGTCAGTAAAATAATAATACTAATAATAATAATAATGATGATGATGATGATGATGATGATGATGATGATGCCAATTTGGAAAAAAAATGAGACCTACTCCCCAAATAAGTCCTAGCATGATTTTCCAGGATTTTTGAGGCTGCTCTTTCTCTTGCCTTTCTAGTGTTCGGTGACCTGTGGAAGTGGAGCTCAGAGACGCCCTGTCTACTGCCCCCGTGACGCCAGGGCCAGCTGCGACCCCTTGCAAAGGCCGGCCTCCGAAATGTCTTGCGTGAAGCTGCCATGCCGAAATAGTAATAATAATAATAAGGTGGAAAACACCCTTCCAGACTGGTCTGGGAGTGGCTCCTCCAACGAGATCAACTTCATCCCTGAGCGCCCAATGCCCAGATTCAGCCCGTCCTCGCCCAGGTCCGAAGACCTCAACGTCATCACCGAGGAGGACTTTTCATCTCCCGACAGCAATCAAAAGGGGAACGTCTTTGTGGATGACTTTTACTACGACTATAATTTCATCAATTTCCATGAAGACCTCTCTTATGACTCAATCGGGGAAGATTACAGTAGGAAAACTGAGACAGTCCCAGACGTTGAGGTGAAGACTGTGAGCAATGCAAAGGAGGATTCTCCAGAGACGGGGCCCTCTTTCCTCCCAACCATGAAGGTAGAAGATGGAAGCAGAAGCTTGCCAACTCCAGTTTCTGAACAAAAGAACAAACAAGAAGCTGTCAAGGTTGAGGGGAGCAACATCAATGCCAGTTTGCCCAATTCCCTTGGCTCTGTTGCTGACACCTCAACCAGGCCCTCCATTCCAGAGCAAAGGGAAGGCACCCAGACAGAAGATCCTTCGCCCACATCAGCCGCAACAAGGAATTTCCTCATTGGAAACAGTCACCGTTCCTCCACTAAAGAGACCTCGGAAAACCTTTCCGAAGAGGACGGGCTGTCTCCAACTTCCCTTCCTTCGTTGGCCAATATGAATCCCAGTTTGCCTTCTGGCAAAGGAAACAATGGCGATGAATTTGTAACAGCACAGCTTCCCGACAGTAGGATGGAAGATCCTGAAGGTTCAGCGCTTCCCAATGGCTCGTGGAAGACGACAGAGAGCGGCAAGGAGGAGGCAAGCATTACCCTTGCGGTCCCGATAGAACGTGGGGACAGTCCAGCAACTCCAGATGCCCAGATTAGTTTGGTCACAACTGTAGCTCCAAGATCGAAGCAGTGGTCTTTCCAGGTCTCCTCCCAGGGAATGCCTTTTGCAGGAACGACCCCTGCCCTTTCCATCCAGGACACGGCTGACTATCCTGGCTCACCTGCACCCCAGAAAGAACTGTTTCTATCTCATGGTCCAAGGCTACAGTTGCCTGCTGCACCTACGTCTCTGGCACAGGGCTCTACCTCACCTGGCCCTCTGCTTCCCAAGCCAACCTCACCAAGATCGAAGGAACCCAGTGAGATGAAAATAGACTCGGAAAATAGGAACCTTTATTTTCCTGGTGGGCAAGAATTCCTCGGGGGCAGGAACGAAAGCGCACCCAACGGGCTCGACTGGGTCTTTGCTGGTCTTGAGCCCAACCTCACGGTGGCGTCTTCAGCAGCACCATCTTCTGTCGCGGCAGCTGTCTTCAATGCCAGCTGGAAAGCCGGAAACTGGAGCGAGGCAAGTTCTGTGGTGGGAATCAGGAGCTCCCTCTTCCCTTTCCAGGGAACAGTTCTCTGCCCAGCATCCCGTTGAGATGTAGCACAACATAATGGCAGAGCTCTGAGGTTAGAGTGGTGGGACTGAAGGGTCGAGTCTGATGGAGGAAGGACAAAGCTGGGCCCTCACTTCTTTCTAGGAACACCAAAGACCAGGCATGGGCAAACTTCAGCCCTCTAGGTGTTTTGGATTTCAGCTCTCACAATTCCTAACAGCCCTTGTGGGAGTTGAGGTCCAAAACACCCGGAGGGCCGAAGTTTGCTAATGCCTGACATAGACTCTTTATAAGGAAACCATTATAACGAGAAGCCTCCTTACCGAAGCCATCAAAGAATCCAATTGGTGGGTTGTGAGTTTTCTGGGCTGCCTGGCCATGTTCCAGAAGCATTCTCACCTGATGTTTCTCCCACATCTATGCCAGGCATCCTCAGAGGTTGTGAGGTCTATTGGAAACTAGGCAAGTGGGTTTATATATTTATGGAATAATGTCCAGGGAATAATGGAGGTGGGTCTCTTCATGCCCCATTGACCTCCATGGGGCTGAGCTGGGTATTTTGTGGTCTCTCTTGGTTGTAGTGCTCCACCACCTGTGGCCTGGGGGCCATATGGAGGACCGTGCACTGCAGCACTGGGGATGAGAAGGACTGCAACGCAGCCAGGAGGCCCGTTCCGGCCCGAAGGTGCTACCTGAGGCCCTGCTCCACCTGGAGAGTGGGAAACTGGAGCAAGGTAGGTGAAGGCAACCATGGCAAGGCACTGCATCATAAGGAAGCACCCCCTGATGTCCTCATGCTGTATCTCCCATTACTCCCCCTCGTACTGCATGAAGTACAAAACACCTGGAGGGAGGATCGAAGTTGGCCCATGCCTACTGTAAGGGGTTTGTCTAAATGACCTTTATGGACCCCTCCCAATTCTTGCTTCCCCCTCAGTGCTCCAAGGCCTGCGGAGGCGGAGTGAAGGTCCGGGATGCCCAGTGCGTCGACACCCGAGATCAGCGCCCCTTACGCCCCTTCCATTGCCAGGCTGTCCCCTCCAAGCCTCCGACGCGCATGCCTTGCCACACCGATCCTTGCCTCGGATGGTACACTTCTGCCTGGAGAGAAGTGAGTGGAGCTCTGGGAAGTGTAGGAAGAGCATCGATTCTTGTGCATAGAGAAAGTAGTTGGGGACAGAGGGGATCCCGTTGGGCACACCTCTGTTTTCCAGATCTAGGTTTACCATATTTACTCAAATCTAATTGGTCACCTTGTTTTGGCTTTATTATTATTATTATTATTATTATTATTATTATTATTATTAATGATAATAATAATAATATATTTATTTTATGTATATCTCACTATATCACTTCCAAATGAGATCCAAACCAGTTTCCCAAATGACCTTCCCAAAATGAGGGTGCATATTGGATTTGCGTAATATACTCCTCTTAGTGCTGAGCCAAAGCCAAAGGGAAAGCAGCTTCAGGAGCTCCTCTTTGAAGAACCTAATCTCTATAATAATAATAATAATAATAATAATAATAATAATAATAATAATAATAATAATAATAATAATAGTTATTTTATTTACAGTATAATTCAAACACATACACATTGTAAAAATTATCTATATAAATAAAAATGTAGTGTTTGTTTGTGGGATTAAAATAACTCAAAAACCACTGGACGAATTGATGCCAAATTTGGCCACAAGACACCTAGTAACCCAAGGAGTGGCCATCACTCAAAAATTGATTTTTGTCATTTGAGAGTTGTAGTTACTGGGATTTATAGTTATAGAGATGGTGGTGGGGTATAAATAAAGATGATGACTATGGTGATTATTATTGTAAATATGTGAGAGGAAGTCACAGGGAGGAGGGAGCAAGCTTGTTTTCTGCTGCCCTGGAGACTAGGATGCAGAACAATGGCTTCAATCTACAAGAAAGGAGATTCCATCTGAACATTAGGAAGAACTTCCTGACTGTGAGAGCTGTTCAGCAGTGGAACTCTCTGCCCCAGAGAGTGGTGGAGGCTGCTTCTTTGGAGGCTTTTAAACAGAGGCTGGATGGCCATCTGTCAGGGGTGCTTTGAATGCAATATCCCTGCTTTCTGGCAGGGGGTTGGACTGGATGGCTCATGAGGTCTCTTTCAATTCTATGATTCTATGACTCAATGATTCTAAGGCAGTACATGGTTCTGGATGGTTCTTGGGCACACTCTTAGCATTCCTGAACAAAGTAAATATTTCACTTCATGAAAAACTATCAGAGACTTAGAACCAAGGATTTTCCAGTTCGAGGTGAGCAACTCTTTATTTATTTTTTTAGGAAGCAGCATTGGCCCACAGGAAAACTCAGTCAGGGCTGCCAGCAATGTTGGGCAGTGCCAGGCCAGTAGGCAAGGTGGCAGTATTGCATAGCTATTTCTTGCTGGGCAACTGCAGCCCTTTCCTGCACAAATCCAAGGGGGGCAGTCTGGACGCTCCACAAAATATAGAGACTATCTATATTTATATAAATAAAAAATGTAATGCTCGTTTGTGGGATTAACATAACTCAAAATCACTGGTCGAATTGCCGCTAAATTTGGCCACAAGACACCTAGTAACCCAAGGAGTGGCCATCACTCAAAAATTGATTTTTGTCATTTGAGAGTTGTAGTTACTGGGATTTATAGTTAACAAACAATCAAAGAGCATTCTGAACTCCACCAATGATGGAATAGAACCGAACGTGGCACACAGGACTCCCATGACCAACAGAAAACACTAGAAGGGTTTGGTGGGCATTGACCTTGACCAACAGAAAATACTTAAGGCCACTCCCTTCACCAGGGCAATCAAAACCCTCCTGACAACAAGCCATCCAGCCATAGATATAGATAGATATATATGATTCACACACACACACACATATAGTATTATAGATTTGAAAGGGACCCCTTGTTGTTCATTCGTTCAGTCGTCTCCGACTCTTCGTGACCTCATGGACCAGCCCATGCCAGAGCTCCCTGTCGGCCGTCACCACCCCCAGCTCCTTCAAGGTCAGTCCAGTCACTTCAAGGATGCTATCCATCCATCTTGCCCTTGGTCGGCCCCTTTTCCTTTTGCCTTCCACTTTCCCCAGCATAATTGTCTTCTCTAGGCTTTGCTGTCTCCTCATGATGTGGCCAAAGGACTTTAACTTTGTCTCTAGTATCCTTCCCTCCAATGAGCAGTCAGGCTTTATTTCCTGGAGGATGGACTGGTTGGATCTTCTCGCAGTCCAAGGCACTCTCAGAACTTTCCTCCAACACCACAGTTCAAAAGCATCGATCTTCCTTCGCTCAGCCTTCCCTAAGGTCCAGCTCTCACATCGTAGGTTACTACAGGGAATACCAAGGGACCCCTAAAGAATGACAATTATATGTTGCATGTTCCAGATTAGGCAAACCAGACAATCTCCACATCAACACTGACAAAGAAACAACAAGAAATACTGTTCACCCACAAGCATAAAGACATTATAGATATTAGAAACCAACACTTTTTCATTTCTTTATTTTCCAGATCAGCAGACCGGGCCACAGCAACACATGGCAGGGGATGGCTAGTGCATACACATATACATATGTACATATGCATATTGAAATGTTTCTATAAAAATACATATTAACAGAGTAAAGGGGAAAGAAAAATAAAATGAATCAGATAATTTTCATGATTGAACATATATAATAATATAAAGAGCAGAGGTATTACTGTTCCCAGGGGGGAGGGAAAATGCATTGCCTTTGGGCTGATATGGGTGGGATAGAAACAGCGTGCGTAAATAAATAAATAAATAAATAAATAAATAAATGGATAGGTATAAATAGTAGAAAAGTATAGAAATGTAATTGTCATTGTTATCATTTATCTGCATGACTAAGTAAAATTCTATCTTAAAAACAATAAAGTAAACACTGCACAATAGGTTTGCGTAAACATCTAAAACAACCACTAGGTGACGTTCAGAAAACTTTGGGCAAAGGAGACCCACAGTTTACAAATGGAAGCAGGTGGCTATGAGGTCACAGAGGCGTCCGCTCTGTCATTTAGTCCAAAGGAGCCCTCCCAGGTGCTGAACCTGATCTCTGTTCTGCTTTGGAGTGTCCCATCTCAGCATCTCTCAAAGTGCCTTCTTTCCCACTCATGGCCTCTTTCCTACCCAGTGCTCTGAGCTGTGCGGAGGAGGAGAGCAGGAGCGCCTGGTCACCTGCCCTGAGTTTGGACGGTGTGACGAAGCCCTCCGGCCCAACGCTACCAGGCCATGCCACAACCAACCCTGCACCAAGTGGACAGTGGGGCCCTGGGGCCAGGTAAGCCAGCCTTGGACCCCCAATGGGCGGGAATCCGGATGGTTTGCAAGTCCTGCTAGGATGTGTATACAAGTATACAATTAATTGTGAGCATAAGGCAATTCATTGTCTGGTGCAACTATGCAGTAATCCTATGCAACAATGATGAAGTAATTCAATACTTGATTGGATGATATTTCTATGAATTGGTATAGCAAACATCATACTGGTGTTTTTGGTGTTTTGTTGGAGAGAGAGAGATGTCAAAGAATTGGTTGCGAGTGGAAAGGAGAGGTTGTGTTTTGTACAGACTGTTTATGTTTTGTAATGTAAGAGATAAAAGCCATCTTGATTTGGAAAGATACTTCTGCTGTTCAAATCAGGTAAACTCTAGAGTTACTAAGGGCCCTTCCACACAGCCATATAACCCAGAATATCAAGGCAGATAATCCACAATATCTGCTTTGAACTGGATTTTCTGAGTCCACACTGCCATAAATTGCAGTTCAATATAGAGTTTATATAGCAGTGTGAGAGAGACCTAAGAGCTAGCTTCCGCTTGTACACGGACAGAACGTTAAGGTACAAAAATACCTAACATTGGTCCCATGAATGGTCATCTTTGGGAGAGAGCCGTGACACACGGAAACCAATCTTTGGGGCTCAATTCCCACTCTGCCTTGCAGTGCTCGGTCTCGTGTGGTGGGGGCATCCAGCGGAGGCAAGTGAAGTGCATGAACACTAAGACAGGTGAAGCAGAAGAGGACCGGAGCCGCTGCAGCCACGAACGTTGGCCGGAAAATATCCAGAAGTGCAGCCCGCAAGACTGCAGCCTCGGTGAGCCGAGTAAGTGGAGCAGAGGCCGTGGGATTGTTTCCTGAATTGAGTCACCTGGACCCCAAGTCTGACCTCCTCTAGGCCTCTCTGGGAGGTTTATTGGGCCAAAAAATGGTGCTAAACCCCAGTCCTACAGGATTCATGGGGTAGATACTTAGCTTTTCTTGTTGATAGACTGAACACAGAATCCCAACCAAATTAGTCCTGCTGTTGCACTCCTGGCCTGGAAATACCAATGACCACTGCACCACACAAGAGTCCAAGAATATAAGCAAACAGTTTATTATAGAAACACATAAAAAGCATATGAAATTCAGGAATAAGGAAGGAAGATATATAATCCAAAAATGGTTTAGCAACAGGTGAAAACCAAACAGTAATCCAAATGTCTCATAAAGTTCCAGAGGTGACAAAGTCCAGGAACAGCCAGAAATCACAGGTACAGCATAAGTTCACCAGCAAGAAGGTATAACTAGTAAAAATGTGAACAGGAGTACATGGAACATATAAGATTTCCAGGATATATTAAATCCAAAGCCAAGGCTAGACTTGAACCAGGAACAAGAGAACTCAGGCTTAGTTTATCACTCTAATGCAGCATTGCCTGAACTGTCCTGACGGTAAACAACTTATTGTTTAATAGACATCCATGAAAGCATTATGTCTTCCGTGAATTTTCTCCACAATTTTCCCACATAATCTCTCTGACCAATACAATTTATTTTTGGCTCTGATTTGTAAATAAGGACTTTTGTTGATCTCTGTGGCTACAGGTAGTTTCTCCTGGGAACCCTCCCTATCATTCAGCTCTTCACTTGCTGCCTTATCTGCTGTTGCTACTTCTGACTCCCCTGAAAGACCTTGAGGCCCTGCGCTTTCCAAGCCAGTTTTCTCACAGAGAGAACCATAATTTCCCAGACTTGAGAGCCCATCACTTTGTGCCAAAGGAAAGCTCTCAGTCCTCTCTAAATCATCAGTTAAACCATCATCTTCTGGGTGATCTACAACACCTGCCTTGTCCTCTCTCCTTGTCCAGGCGTTTCCTGCGACCGTGACCGGCTCTCCTTCGGTTTCTGCCAGACCCTGAGGCTCCTGGGGAGGTGCTCCTTGCCCACCGTCCGTGCCCAGTGCTGCCAGTCCTGCCAACGGGGTGACAACCAAAATCGTGGGGAGCAGCGCGCCTCCCGGAAATGAAGGCCGCCCCCTAAAGCACGACGGCCGAGGTCCAGCCACCCCTACCACTTATCCCTTTTACAGGACCGGCTTCCAGAGTGACGCTCTCACCTATCCAGGTGTTCCTCCCCATTCAGCCTACTGCGGCAATGGGCCCTTGCCTCATTCCTGGGCAACGCACAGCAGTGGAGGGCAACCTTGAATGCCTTGAATTCAGGAAATTATACTTTGACTCCAATACTGCCGCAAAAGGCTCTCTGGTGCTATCCTGCATTTGGCTCCATTCAGGTCTCTCTCTTGGTGTTGGCGGGCCAGCACAAAGCTCTTTGGACTGTTGTTGTTTTCATTGTTTGTAAACGTTATTTTTTAATATTTTATACCACTGAGCATCTAGCATTCCAAATGGTGTACGTTTCGTTGCATGGGTCTTTTTTTACTCGGAAGGCAGTCTTCTTTTTGTCGTCAAACCACCTCAAATGAAACTCCAAGAAAGGCTTCCTCGCCAGTGGGTCTCTGGCAGTTGTCAGATTGCAACTCCCATCATCCCCTCCATCCATGAGCATAGAGCCCTCTGCCATGGTTCGGTGCTATGGTGTCACGGGAGATGTCGTCTTGTAAAATCTGCCAAAGAGTCCATGGTGCTAACTCCCAGGATTCCATAGCAATGGGCCAAGGCAGCTAAAGTGGTGCCAAACTGCATTAATTCCACCATGTCGATGCACCCAGAGGTAGCCTTTGCCTTGAAGATGCATTGCCTTGTCCCTTTGTTTAGCATCTCTGTTTAGTCCTCCCTGGATTGCCGCCATGGCTTTGCTTCGTGATGGAAGGAGTTGAATGGATCCCCTCGCAGGACCCGTTACAACTGGCCAGGACTGCTGGGAGTTGCAACCCGATACCACTCAGAGGGCCAACTTCATGGTCTTGGGGATGGTTTGACTTTGGCCTGAGAATCCAACTTGTTCCTTTTGATGGGACCTTTGAGGATCAGTGGTTCTCCCTCCTTAACACCATCCTTCGGCCAAACAAGAGGCCCAAGATCTTTCTCTTTCATCTCTTAACTCAGGAAAAACGTTTGCCTTTCCATATTAACATCGCCATTGAGCAGGATTTCCTTTCTCTTCCTAATATACTTTGGTCTTGCTCTGTTTTGGGAACTAAAGATTGCATACTTTGGGGGTTTGTTATCACATGTATTCCTTCACAGAGGCTCCGAAAAAAAACCACGGGAAGGGAACGCAGTGGAATTCTCCAAATGTCCCTGTTTCTGAGTTGCCTTCAATTTCAGTTTTATCTATCTATGAAATATCTCCACACAAAGACAGAACGGGAATGCAAATGCCTCCCCTTTTGGCACAGACATACAAGAGTATGGCTGCAATTTTGGTTTCTTTTTTTTCTTTTTTTTAAATGACTATAGCTCTCAAGTGTGTTAAATTAAATTCTTATAACAAACAAAGAGCCTTGTGTGTGTCTTCCTCCACAGCCTGCCTATCTTCTCTCTTATACTAACAACAACAACAACAAAGGATTCTCCCAGGAAGCAACCAGCTAGGCTTTGAAGCTGCAAGGCCATTAAATGCTCATCAAGGTGGTAAATTGCAACATTCATACTAGTCTCAAGCAGACAAGAGCTCTTTCCCCCACCAGGGACATCATTCCACAGATATATCAACCCCATTTGCCTAATTTCCAACAGACCTCACAATCTCTGAGGATGCCTACCAGCGATGTGGGTGAAACGTCAGGAGAGAATGCTTCTGGAACATGGACATATAGCCCAGAAAACTCACAGCAAGCCAGTGATTCCGGCTATGAAAGCCTTCAACAACACAATAACAACACTATTTAAAAATGTTGTTGTTTTTTTTTCTGTTCCTGGTCTGAAAAGTATATATTCTCTTTACTTTGAAATATTACTTTGTAATATTAATATTACACTATGTAATACAATGACTTTTGTTCCTGGATTATAAATGTCATTTCCTAATTAGTTGTATCATAAAAACATGGAAAAAATATTCAACTGCTAAAGCACATTTTGCTCTAGTTTTGCAATAACTAGAATTGTTCAATTTCACAGTGATGTCAAACAATATTATGTAAATTTTGGTACAGTCTCTTTAGAATAATATCAATGTCGTATCTTCTTATGTTGAGTAGCTTATAGATCAGCCGCCCACGACCGGTTTTGACCTTACTTCAGGCCTTCTTCTGGTGGACTGAAATTAATGTATAAATCAATATCTTGCTACAGTTATATACATATTAAATATCATATACTAGAATGCACTCAAAGAAACTTGCTAAGTCTTCACACTTGTTATTACAACAATATTTGTTGAACATATCCATTAAACACCATGTGTTACAACATATTTAAGTTACTTACAAAGTTATACACTTGAGAATTTGTTCTCCTTGGGAGATACAGGTTTTTGGCTAAATCAAAGGAACAAAATGTGGCTGTGAGTGTTTGAAAATTACTATGTTATGGCCATGTTCCAGAAGCATTCTCTCCTGACATTTTGCCCTTCAAGGCTCCATACAGCCCAGAAAACTCACAGCAACCCTATGTTGAATTATTTGAGACTCTAAAAGATATTCATTGAAAAACTATAACGGATTGTGCTATGGCAGGACGGCTTTCCCACAAAAACTAAACTTTTTCAGTTTGATAAACTTTTCCCATATTTGTATGATAGAAGAAATTAGAGGAAAAGAGAGGAAATTACATTTACAAACCAGGAACAAAAATCATGTTGCATATTATTAATAATAATAATAATAAATATTAATAATTAATACTATTATAATATTAATATCCCACTTTTTCTCTGTCATAGAAGACTCAGAACAGCTAACACTAAAAACCGTCACAATGTGTGAATTACACCATTGTTGTGTGACTGTTATTTTCCAAAGTCCTCCCTTTAGCCAAGCAAAACGCATAAAAATGCCTCTAAAACAGCATGTTCCACTCAGTCCCAGCCCAAACGTCCCCCACAACCAGTAGACTCCTGCTGTTTTCCCAGGGACTTTGGGCTCAGGAAAGCAGATGCAAGCCTCCATTGAAATGACTAACAACCCCCCAAATGCATGGATTCTCTGCTCCTTTCCGGTGCGGCACGTGGCTGGAAAAAGTGGCACCATCCTGCATTGTTTCTCTCATGAGATGCCTCTCCGAAGGAGAAGTCTGTTTCCTGTAAACACTGACTCACATCTGGTCCCCTTGGCAACCAATGTCCATTTGGGGTTTCTTGGCCATGGGTCTTATAGCTACCCAGAACAAAGGAAGCTGCGGCAAAACGGACCAGCATGGCCTCCCTTTGCTTCAAAGGCCAAGAAACGTCGGAATGAGAAACGTCTGGAGTCAAAATCCTAAGTCTGCTATATTTATTGGGTCAAACAAAATGCATAGGGTATACCTTGTGCATGGGCAAACTTGGGCCCTCCAGGTGTTTTGGACTTCAACTCCCACAATTCCTAATAGCCTCAGGCCCATTCCTTTTCCCCCTCAGCTGACTTGGAAAGTGCAGGGCTTCAAGGTCAGTCAGAGGAGCCAGAAACTGCAACATTAGATAAGGACGGGGGGGGGGGGGAGGAGAGCCTGAGACTGTTAGGAATTGTGGGAGTTGAAGTCCAAAACACCTTCAGGGCCCAAGTTTGCCCATGCCTGGTCTACCACTTTGCTGCAAAATTTCAGAACAAAATATGGGAATTTCTTCCAGTGCAAAAAGCCGTATATGCTTTGAAAGGAGAAGGAAGGTGCAAAACGTGCTCCTTGCCCTAGATTTCCAATGTGTGTAATGCGAAACAGATCTTGTGAAAGACATACTTCCTTGGGATCTGAGAACATTCTTTTCCTTCTATGCAACGAGGACTCTGCGCACAGACCTCTGCCAACGGATTGCAATTTGCAAATCCAACACTGTCACAAAAATTGAAAAAAAAATTCTGAAAGTGTTATTCCCTGTTTTATTGTGCAGTCCTTCCTTGGAAAGTAGTTGTTCTCCTTTCAATCCATCCAATGAATGCCCTGGCAGACCATGCAAAAAGAATCTGTGAAGCCCGCCTCTGTTGCAAAAGGTGCTGCAGGATGTCCCATAAAAACAAAAAAAAATTGCAGTTTAATACACATTTTCCATGTTTTTATGATTAAACCAATTAGGAAATAACTTTTATAACCCAGGAACAAAAATCGTGTTACACAGTATGATTCAATTCAGCTGTTTGTAGCCTTTCTTTCCTTGTTCAAGGATTGTGACCTGTAAATCCCTTAATGAATATCCAGAAAGGATGAAATGTTCTGGAAGTGGTTTGGGGATAGTGTCATTTCTAATGTCAGCATTGTAACTATTGATCCTTTTACATATTCTCCTATATGTCCAATGCAGAGTGTGGAAGGATTTTGTTGGCAAAGATTAATGATAGTAGGTGCAAAGGCACTTCAACATTTCAGTCCTCTGTCCGCTTGTGCCCACACAAATATTTCTACGATCCTTTCTGTACAATCAGCCGCTTTGTAGAAATGTCTGGAAATGCCATTCTGACTTTGCTGAGAAGCTCATCAGCCCAACAGGCTGTTTTCCTAGAATGACTCGGTTTTTAAACCCAGATGTTGCTGGGTTTAAAAATGAAAATGATCACAACCAAGATAATTTGGTGCTATAGACCTGCGTGGATGTATCTTTGGGGCTGTTGTGTAGTGAGCATGTTGCCTTCATAGTTGTGTAATACACCAGTAGAATACGCTGGATATATCAACTGACTAATTCACCGAAAACTTATTTAATGCATCGACTCTAGGTGGTCTCTGGAGATGATTAAGCAGAAGCTGCATGGTTGTCTGTCAGGAGGGCTTGGATTGTGTGCCCCTTCATGGCAGAAAGAAGGAGGTTGGTTTCGATGAGCTTTGGAGCTTTTGCTACTTTAGTGGAATATAGATTGCCTGGAAATCCATTGGAGTCTGCTTCTCTGGAGTTGGATGGCCATTGGAAGGCTTGGATTGTGTTTTTTCCCCCTGCCTGGCTGAATGGAGTTGGCCTGGATGAGCTTTGGGTGCCCATCCAACTTTGTAATTCTAAAGACTCCCAGACATGCAGTCATCTAAAAAAGAAACATTGAAGGTTCGTACTTTGTGTTGCTTTCCAAGAGAGACTCAAGGGTTCCGCAGGCCATGCTGCTGTTCCTTGATTTTCATGCAAAATCCCAGACTGCAAAGACAGAAAAGGCAGACCGAACCCCAGATGCTTCTCGGATGGAGGAAATGACTTTCCCAGCAACAGCAACCACTGATTTGGGGAAGCAACAACTGCCACAACAAGGAGCCCCTTGGGGCTGGGGCTTCCGTCCAAAGGAAGCACCTCCAGCAGATGTTTCCAGTAGAAAAGTGTGTCTGGAAAGCCGCCATTGGGCCCAAACTGAAAACTTCTGACTCCAGGAGGAAACCCACCCTCTCCCTGTGGACCCCATCTGTTTAATACGAGGAGCTCCAAGCCATGTGCTTTAATGGCCTTCCCAATGCCACTTTCGGCATCTTGATGCAAGGAACTGCCAAATCAATGGGATTTCCGTTGCCTTATTATTATTATTATTATTATTTGATACACAAAAGATGAGTCCACAGCAAACAAGATCACTCTGCTGGCTGTTGTATTGGATCACACGTCAGACACTTCCCAAGTGTCTAGGATGGTGTGATGTATTGGCGAATAATGCGTGCAGATCCTAGTAAGGTGGCCTTCTGCAGCTGGCAGATGGTAATTTTGTCAGCGCTGATTGTGTTTAAATGCAGGCCAAGGTCTTTAGGCACTGCACCCAGTGGGCCGATCACCTTTACTGGTTTGTGCCAGAGTCTTTGCATTATTATTATTATTAGTCCCAGGGTAGATTGACGTGTTCACGTTCTGTAGCTTTTTCAGGCTTGTGATCCCACCAGTTCTTTGTTGCAGGCAGATGGTATTTGTGGCACAAGTTCCAATGGATCATCTGAGCAACGGTGTTATGCCTCTGCTTGTACTCCGTCTGTACAATCTTTTTGCAGCAGCTGAGGATGTGATCTATCGTTTCGTCTGCTTCCTTGCAGAGTCTACACTTGGGATCTGTTGTCAACTTTTCAATGCTGGCTTTTATTGCATTTGTTTTAATGGCTTTTTCTTGAGCTGCAAGAATCAGACCCTCCTTTGTCTCTTTTTTCCAAGTTCCATTTGTGAGCCACATCCGTGTTTTTCTTTGTCCATTTGGCTCTCAGTTTTTCCCAGGAACTGTCCATGGAGAATCTTCTTTTGCCAGTTTTCTCTTCTGCTTTGCATTGAATTTTTACGGTATTCGCTCTTTGTCTTTTGCACTTTAAGCAGTTTCTACTGTTGACTTCCATCAATGTTGATTCTTAACTTCCTTCCACATTATTATTATGATGTTTATTTATACCCCACTTTTCTCTCCAATAAGGAGACTCAAAGTGGCTTACATTAAAAGTCTTTCGGTACAGTTTAAAATCTATAAATATATAATCGTTAAACCATGGCAATTTACATAGCAATTGATTCAATGGGTCTAGTCTGGTTAGGTTAACTAATACGGTTGAGATCCTACATAGAAGAAACAGGGTTCGGCTTTAGGAAATCACACTGCTCTATATAATAACAACAACAATCCTACAATAACAGCAACAACCGTAAAGTAAAGGTTTCCCATGACATTAAATCTACTCGTGACCAACTTTGGGGGGTGGTGCTCATCTCCATTTTTAAGCCAAAGAGCCGGCGTTGTCCATAGACACATCCAAGGTCTTGTGGCCGGCATGACTGCATGGCGTACCATTACCTTCCCACCAAAGCAGCACCTATTGCTCTACTCACATTTGGATGTTTTCGAACTGCTAGGTTGGCAAAAGCTGGGCCTAACAGCAGGAGCTCACCCTGCTCTTCGGATTCTAACCTGTGACCTTTCGGTCAGCAAGTTCAGTAGCTCAGCAGTTTAATCTGCTGCGCCACCAGGGGGAGCTACAATAACCCTATGTAACACAATTTTTGTTCCTAGGTTACAAAAGCCATCTCCTTATTGATTCTATCATAAATACTTGGGAAAAGTTAACTGAACTGCAAAAATTTGGTTTCTATGGGAGGGTCATCCTGCAGCACATTTTGCTCCAGTTTTTCAATTAATATCTCATAGTTCTATTACAGCGATGGCAACAAAGAGATGTGACATCTCAAAGAAGCCAAGTCTGGAGAACAAACAAGGGAGAAAAGGAGACACAGGGTCTAAGGAGACACATGCTAAAAAGATGGTTCTTATTTTCTAAAGAAATCCTGACATATTTCAGCCAAAACATGCAAGGTTTTTGCAAAAACAAAAAAACCCAATCTTCAAACATTCCTGAGGCTCATCCACTTTCGCTGAAACACATTTGGTCTGGCATCAAGCTTTCCTGGACTAAATCCACCCAAAGGCACAGCCTCAGATGTTTCAGATGAGCTCCAGCCCATAAAAGCTGGCGCCAAATAAAATCTGCACACTGCCTTCTCTTGAAAGTTGTATCTGTCCTGAAAGAGAAGCCAACCCTCTTGTTTTCCTTTGTATCTGAAATTGTTTGCTTCTCTTTCCTAATGTGGGAAAGAGCTCCACAGCCACCTCCTGGTCAAAATTGAGCAAAACATGCAAAACTGTCATCTTCTGGCCTCCAATGCCCAACATCATGCAACTTTTGCAAATGTACCACAATTAAAAGAAGGAAAGGTGAAATCTTGACATTTTTATTGATAGCACAGACCTCATACCCCACATCACATAACTCTTGGCTTTTCATTAGGCAATCCCTCGTAGTCTGAGGATGATGGTTCTCCAAGTGTAGTGAGTTTGTAGGTGGCTGTGGAGCCCTATTCTTGATCCACATGTTCTACCACAGTGAGGACATTGGTTTCCAAGTGTCAAGGTTGGCTTGAAGCACCTTCTTCTTGGCACGTTTCTCCCTTTCACCCTCCATTCGTGCCTTTTTGAATTCCACAGCACTGCTGGTCACAGCTGACCTCCAGTTAGAGTACTCAAAGGGTAGGTCTTCCCGGTTCTCAGTGACTATGCCACAGTTTTTAAGGTTGGCTTTAGGTCAATCATTAAATCTCCACTGACATTATGTTTCCTGTTCTTGAGTTGGGAGTACAGTAACTGCTTGGGAGATAGTGATTGGGCATTCGGAAAATGTGGCTAGTCCAGTGGTTGATGGTGCAGGAACATTGTTTCAATTCTGGTGGTCTTTGCTTCTTCTTCCAGCACGCTAACATATGTCTGCCTGTCTTCCCAAGAGATTTTGCAAGATTTTTCGGAGGCAATGTTGATGGAATCATTCCAGGAGTTGAGTGTGACGTCTGTAGACAGTCCACGTTTGGCAAGCGTATAACAGGGTTGGGAGGACAATAGTTTTATAAACAAGCAACTTCGTATCCCTACAGATGTCCTGATCTTCAAACACTCTCTGATTAATTCGGAAAAATGCTGCACTCGCAGAGCTCAGACAGTGTTGTATTTCACATTGTAAGTCAATGTTGACTTTTGTGGAGAGGTGGCTGCCAAAGGAGTGGAAATGGTCAACATTTTCTAATGTTACACCATTAAGCTTGGGTTTTATTGAGAAGACAATGCAAGAAGCTGACAGAAAATTGAAAGGAAACATCACTAGAAGTCTGTGTGGAAATTCATATGTCATATGAGAAGATGACTAATGCAAGCTCTTCAGAAAAGCAAGAACTTCTATCAAATGAAGATGGGGAATAAAGGCCTACATGTGTATATGTTTATATTATGTATTTTTATAAACATATGGAGAGATCCCAGGTATGTTAACCTGGAAGTGGCTTCTACTGGGCTCAGTGGATTGACTCCTCAGCAAAAAATTGTCGATTGCAGCCACAATGTGGGATTTGTGTCACACTTTCCTTGAGACAGATCTAAAATGCACTCTTCTTCGCCTGCTTCCACCTAGCTTTATTTTAGCAACATTGAAATAACTCCGATTTGAGGAAATCAGTATTTTATTCATCTTTCACATTGCTGCTGTCCAAATACATCCCACAAGAGGAAAAATTAACTCACAATCAAGTTTTTAAAACAGCGATGCCTATATACATGAGGCGACAACAGATCGATTTTCAGTAAGGACTGTGAATTTCCCACAATCATTTGCAGTTCACTTAAGATTGAGCAACACACTGCTCTCTCGCTCTCTCTTATAATTAAAATGGTTTTTTATAAAATGATTCTTTAAAAATATGCAGAGGTAAAAAGTACTCTCCAATATTAAATCCAAGGCCTCCATCTTTTTTTTTTACAAAGATATTAACACCCATGTGCCAGCAAAGTCCCTTGTCAGTGGCCATCATGGGAGCTAGTCCGGTTCCAGGACGCACTGTTCCACAATCTCCCGCAGGTTGGGGTTCTCCATGGCAGCTGCCACTCTCTCCTTATCATTAATTTGCTTGTTGACTGCAGTATGCAGGACAGGAATGAAAAACAAAAAAGAAGGCTTTTATTCATAACCAGCTTAGGTCCCCAGCGTTGTCCAGATTTGCATTTTGTAATTGTAGCTGATTCTATCACCGAATATAAACACAAAGCAGTACTTTCTCTGTCCCTCGGAGAGTAAGCACACCTGGCTGATTTAGGGCTCTATGGCTGCCCTCTACAGCAAGCCTGCATAATCTGTGGCCCTCCAGGTGTTTGGGACTCTAACTCCCAGAAATCCTAGATTGTTCAATAGTCAGGAATTCTGGGATCTGAAGTCCAAACACCAGGAAAGCCACAAGCTGTGCAGGCCTTCCTCTAGAGCAATGGTTCTCAAGTGTTTTGACCTACAATTCCCAGATATCTCAGCCAGTTTACCAGCTGTTTATTTCCCACAATCCTCTAGTGACCCCTTGCGGGAACAGCTTAGTTTTTCCCACCCCCACCCCCCATCTACTGTCTGAAATAACAGATAACAGCTGGCTCTTTCCCACGGCCCTCTAGTGATCCCTTTGGATAACAGCTGGCTCTGTTCCACAACCCTCCATGGCCCTCTTGGGGTCACATCTGGCTATTTCCCATAATCCTCTAGTGCAGTGGTTCCCAATCTTTTTTTGAATAGGAACCACTTGATCAGGGAGCACTCTCCAACATTAGTACCAAAAGGGTTACGAATCAGTTTTTGGTCAACTTTAGATTTGGTTTGGTTATTTGGGGTGCAGATTCAGAAAACTGCATTGGATAGACCACATCAGCTCTAGTTTCTGATACAGAACATATGTCATCCAGTAGCTGCCATCTGCTTGCCCACAGAAAACCATATTTAATAATCCTCGGCACTATAAGAGGGTTTTGCGAGACCAGTTGCTCTCGTAGCAACGGTGCAGTAACAGTGAGGCAGATGACTATATTTTAGTTTTGTGGACTGCTGTTGGTCCACAGACCACAGGTTGAGAACCACTGCTCTAGTGATCTCTTGCTGTAACAGCTGGGTTTTTCCCATGGCCCCCGGGCGACCGTTTGAGGTAACAGCTGGCTTTTTCCTGCAACTCTCCAGTGACCCTTGGGATAACAGCTGGCTCCCTGAGGGACAGAGAAAGTCCTGCTTGTGTTTCACTCTGGTGATAGAGCCATCTATTCAATCATAAGACTAACCACTATTTTTTACTAATAAAGACCCTTAAAAATACAAATGCAAACCTGAGCAACACCGGATACCTAAGGTAGTACAGATATATAGAAAGATTACCGACAGAAATATATTTGTATGCCCCCCAAATAGATTAGTCTGGAACAAAAAAAGCTGGTGGTGGTACATGTTCCATTGAAATGTGTGTTTAAGGAATCAGCTAGTTGCAATTCCCCACCCCATGTTTTAGTATCTGTCAGGAAGGAAAAATTATAAGCCTAGGCCTAATGCTTCTTTGTAGTACAATAAAATGTGGCGCAAACACAATGTTGAGGTGAAAATAATAATTCCAACAGTTAGGAACACAGGAGCCAATGTATTCCTTCAAGCTTAGCTTTCATGATGTCTTCTTCCTTGCTGTCACTTCTGACTTGGCTCAAAATGCTAGATCTCACAGGCCTGCCTGCCTCCCATAATGGACATCCTTAAACCAGTCTAAATTAGAAAACTGCCTCCCATGCAGTAACTCTGAACTTTTCCCATGCAACAAGGGGAAAGGTGGAAGGCTCCCGGTCTAGCCCCTTAAAACCCATTTTAAAAATGACCCAGTGCTCTCTATTTCTTACACCAAAGGAATGAAACAACAAACACTGCCATGCTGCCCCTGCCACACATTTGCAAACTCAGAAAATACAGGCTCCTCAACCTCAGCTTTCCAAGGACAGAGATTATGAACTGTTTTCCAAGACAGTTTTTTGCAGTTGCAGTGACTTAACTTCTTCATGTCCTCAATGTGTCACAAGTCGCATTGAGTCGCCTGTTAAGGGCTGAAAAATGCAGTATAGAAATAAAGCAAATAAATAAATAATAAATAAGTCCACAAAATGAAGTACACTCCCATTTGCACCTGGTACTGTCCTCCTTGGAGAAAACCACCCTCCCGCATCCGCCGCACGAGGAAACGCACCTTTGTGTGAGAGAATAACCTGAAGACATACTTACTGTCCTCCTCGATGGAATGTGCTCCCTCAGATATGAAGATTTCTAGCTAAACGAGACACAAAATTGTCCCCTTAGATATATTTCTTTCCCACATCACAACAGAATACACACCACTACAAGGATGGCTATTTGTGATGCCAAAGACTCTATTGGGGTGGCCTAAAAGCACATTTGCTCCACGTAAGAAGACAGCATTTCAACTTTGCATCTTCACCCATACTTTCCTTATGTGCATCAATGTGTCTGAGGAGAAGGCTCTGTGAAGGTTCTCCATGGGACCCTCAATGCCTGGTTCTTCCACACTCTGGTTCAAAGGGATAAAATAAGCTTTCTCCTTCAGACTCATCACTTGTGTGTGACAAAAGCAAGTAGAAGGCTGGGCTAGCACACTCCCTTTCTCCCAAGTGAAGTACATGAGTTTAACTAAACACCTGGAAGCCCCATAAGTCTCCAATATGGTCATGACATGAAGATCCTTTCAATTTCTTTCTTCTCTTGGGCTTCTATGAGTACATTCAAAGTTTGGCAATTTTTGTGAGTCTCTGAAGTCACACAAGTAATAATTGTCAGAAATATTAAAAATTAACTACGTATTTTTAATTACAAAAATGTGAGTCAAGCACTGAAAGGGTTAAATGGATGCAATGACTCCGCAAAAGCTACAGTTCAATATAAGCAGGTGTGCCTGTAGTTTGGTAACCCTCAGTCTGTGAGGTCTCTGTAGGAGACGGGTCTCAGTGTGTTAACAGGCCTCAGTATGAGAAGGCCTCAGTGTTCGTTCACCTCAATGGGAGAAAGCCCTCAGTCTGAGAGAGCCCTCAGTGTGTGAGAAAGGCCTCAGTGTTAGTAGGCCCCAGTATGAGAAGGCCTGCTGTGAGAAGCTTCGGTGAGAGAAGCCCCAGTTTGAAGGCCATCGCGTGTGAAGGCTGCTGTGTGTAAAAAGCTCCTGTGCAAAGCTCCTGTGTAACTTCGGTGTGAGAAGAGACTCTGTGGGAGTGAAAGCTATTTATCTGCATGAGAAAGAAGCCCAGCGTGAAAGCAAAGAAGGACGTATAATGAACTTTACTTGTGTTATGGAAACCATATTATTTTGCTATAAAGAAAAGCCTCCTAAGAAAGAGATAACATTGCTGTGTGTGTTTTGTTCCTTTTATCACTTTGAGCTACTGGTGCTGGGTCATGCTGCTGCTAGTAAGATACTCTGCTGTACGTTTATGAGGAGGGTATTTTGTTAATAAGTCCACGCGCCCAACAATAATTGTGTCTTCAGAAAGCCAATTCTGACTGTAACTAACACATTTGGGGAAGCAGGTTCTCCCTTTGTGATTTACTAACCCACTGGCCTTTGGATTTCATTATACAGTATGTTTCAGATATAGAAAAGAAGTGTACAAATGACATACCTTGTGTTTAAAAGGTAAACATCTCTGAAGCTTGATCCTCAAACACAGCCCTATATTTTAACAAAAAAATATTTCAGTTTTCTTTCTAAATACATCTCTTTACTGAAACACCTGCTGGCAAGCAGTCTTGAATAGCCTGTTAACACATTTGGTTTGTAAACATGGCAAACAGAATGTGTTTTTAAACATAGTTTGCTACTTGCATCCCTTCTAAGGTTTATTTTTCTTTATGGAATACAGTGTCTAAATTCTGAACCAAGCAGCAGAAAAATACAGACATAAACACACAAAGACCTTACCAATGAGAGTGGCCAAAGAGCAATGAGGTACAGTTGGCGTAAACCTGATAGTAACTAAATATTCATCTTCGCTGGTTTCATGTACTTCAACGCAGCTTTCTGTCACCACGTCTAGTTCTTCTAAAGTGTTAGGCTTTTCAGGGTCCCGGATGGTTCGAATTATATCTACAACAGGTACAAAGACATCACAATTATTTGATTATAAGAGGAAAGTCCAGCTCGATTCTATGCAGCTGTAAAACTACTGGGAGGATCAAACCTGAATTCTTCACAACCTGGTTCCACATCACATGGGTTTGCTTTTCTGTGCTGCAGTGCCTCAGCATCACTGCAAAAACAGCACTCCTTGGGACTGGGTTGTTGTGAGTTTTCCGGCCTATATGGCCATGTTCCAGAAGCATTCTCTCCTGATGTTTTGCCCACATCTCTGGCAGGCATCCTCAGACGTTGTGAGGTTTGTTGGAAACTAGGCAAGTGAGGCTTATATATCTGTGGAATGTCCAGGGTAGGAAAAATAATTCTTGTCTGCTTGAGGCAAGTGTGAATGTTGAAATTGGCTTCCTTTGGAGAGAAAGCTCCACTGAAGCTTTCTCTCCAATCCTTGTTTCCACACCAAGCCATTTTTTTTCAAGATCCAATTATCACAGGGACAAACACCACAAGGGTTTTAACCCTTCCCCATAATATCAAAAGCTAACATCTATCTATCTGGATCGAACTTAAAATGCACTTGTTCTGATTTATATGCAAATTCAACTTAAGAACAAGCCTACAGAACCAATCTTGTCTGTAACTTGGGTACTGCCTTTAATAACAATAATAGATGTGGATGCCTGTTTCAGGAGAAGAGTGTTCTTTCGAATGCCACGGCTCTAATATAATCTAACAAACCAAGAGGCTGAGCCCCGGTTGTGCAACACGACCTTGCTAGGGAACTGCAAAGTTTGCACAACCCAGAGCACATTGTGCAACCAATGCAACAGCAAAGCATGCACCCTCTGCATTGTCCCCTTAAAACAGGGTTCCTCAAACTTTTTAAGCTGAGGGTCGGCTTGCAGTCCCTCAGACTGTTGGGGGGCTGGACTATAGTTTGCAAAAAACATGAACAAATTCCTCTGCTCACTGCAAATATCTTACACTGTGTAAAAACATTTGAAAAATGCGCAAAAGTATGATAGCTGAGACCCAATGCCAAGACAGCGTAGCAAGTGAGAGACACACTTGCGACAGAGTCGTGGCAAGATAGTTTGCCGGGAGGAGAGGGGACAACAAACAGGCAAGCATAGTACTTGGGGCTATCCAGATATCATATGCAAACACATTCAAATATGTAACATCTTCACTTCTCCAATTCAGATCCGTGTCACGCAACCAGCATTGAGTCCCAGCTATCATACTTTTGCTGAAAAATGTTCTGTTCTTGGTTTGAAAGTGTTGTTTCCTATTTAATTGTGCGGTCCTGACTTTGAAAGTAATTGTTCTACTTCAGGAACCTCATTTTTGGGGCTGCCACAAATTAGGTTGAATTGATGTGTTCCACACTGGGCATGCGTACTCAGCAGCAGAGTAGCATAGCGTGAGGGCAGATGTCTTCACAGTGTCTGGTTGTGATCCTCAGGTTGTGCCAGTCAGCTTTCGTATGATATTGTTTCTAGTGCCCACTTTTTGCTTGAAATTCAGGCAGTGCTTCTTGTAGGTCAGAGCACGGTCCAGAGTGACTCCAAGGTATTTGGGTGTGCTGCGATGCTCCAGTGGGATTCCTTCTGATGAGAGAGTCAAGTCAATTAGGATTGGTGTTGCGGTGTGCCTTTCTGATTTCCTGGCTGCAGTAGGATTCCTTTAGCCAATTCTAATGCTAACTAACTGTTCCTCACTGAGGACTGCTGACTTGGGCAATGTGGGGTTGGATTCCAACAATAATCCAGTTCAAAGTAGATAATATGGGATCAGATTCTAGGATATAGGGTAGTGTAGATAGAGCAGGCATGGGCAAACTTAGGCCCTCCAGGGGCTTTGGACTCCAACTCCCACCATTCCTAACAGCCTCAGGCCCTTTCCTTTTCCCCCTCAGCCGCTTAAGCGGCTGAGGGGGAAAAGGAAGGGGCCTGAGGCTGTTAGGAATGGTGGGAGTTGGAGTCCAAAGCCCCTGGAGGGCCTAAATTTGCTTAATCCCTGAGACAGAGCCACTGACCGTAGACTTCGAGTGCCCGCTCCTGCTCCATGGCCCTGGCCCGGCTCCGCAGGGGCTTCTCCTTGTCCTCCTTCTCCTTCCTCTTCTCCTCATGGCCTCCGCCCGCCAGCGCCCTCCACAGCAGCCCCAGCGACAACATCCCGCCCTCGACTGCCCTTCACCCGCTCCGGAGGCTCCATCTGCCTCAGGAAGGCCTCAGGAAAGCCCCAAAAGAGCTTTAAACTACATTTCCCGGCGACACCCGCGACGCTCCCGCCCTTCATTCTAGGCGGAATCCCCCGCGCGAGGCATGACGGGAGAGGGAGTCCTTTTCCACTTCTCTCGGGAACCGGAAGAGGCACGTTTTCCAAGATGGCGGCTTCCGGTTCTTGAAAAAAAGGACTATTCCTTCAGGGAAGGAAAACAAAGCGGGATGGCGGCCCCGTTGCGGGTGCTCCTGCTTCCTTTCCGGGACTTTCCGGCCGAGAAAAGGAGCCGGGCCAAGCTGAGCCGAGGAGCCCGAGGAGTGCTGGCGAGCGTGGCGGAGACGGGGCTGCTTGTGTCCGGTGTGGAGGCCGAGGAGCTGCCCTCGCGGCTGCCAGGCCGCTGGGAAGAGTAAGCCTCATTGCACAGTTATAACTCAGGAACAAGGATCATGTTACATAGTGTAATGAGCCTAGAAAGAACGTGGTTTGACACATCATTCACCATCCACAAATGTGATGTTAATCATGTCAGAAAACCCAAATCTGAAGTTTTGGATCTTCAGTCACTGCCTGTATCTCTTGGCCACAAAAGAAGACCAAATATATAATAATAATAATAATAATAATAATAATAATAATAATAATAAGGTAAAGGTAAAGGTAGTCCCCTGACCTTAAGTCCAGTCATGTCTGACTCTAGGGTGTGGTGCTCATCTCCATTTCTAAGCCGAAGAGCCAGCGTTGTCCGTAGACACCTCCAAGGTCATGTGGCCGGCATGACTGCATGGAGCGCCGTTACCTTCCCGCCGGAGCGGTACCTATTGATCCACTCACATTTACATGTTTTTGAACTGCTAGGTTGGCAGAAGCTAGGGCTGACAGCGGAAGCTCACGCCGCTCCCCGGAATAGAACCTGCGACCTTTCGATCAACAAGCTCAGCAGCTCAGTGCTTTAACCCACTGTGCCACCCAAATCTGAAGTTTTGGACCTTCAGTCACTGCCTGTGTCTCTTGGCCACAAAAGAAGACCAAATATTATAATAATAATAATAATAATAATAATAATAATAATAATAATAATAATAATAGTTGTTGTTGTTGTTGTTGTTCATTTGTTCAGTCGTCTCCGACTCTTCGTGACCTCATGGACCAGCCCACGCCAGAGCTCCCTGTCGGCCGTCACCACCCCCAGCTCCTTCAAGGTCAGTCCAGTCACTTCAAGGATGCCATCCATCCATCTTGCCCTTGGTCGGCCCCTCTTCCTTTTACCTTCCACTTTCCCCAGCATGATTGTCTTCTCTAGGCTTTGCTGTCTCCTCATGATGTGACCAAAGTACTTCAACTTTGTCTCTAGTATCCTTCCCTCCAATGAGCAGTCGGGCTTTATTTCCTGGAGGATGGACTGGTTGGATCTTCTCGCAGTCCAAGGCACTCTCAGCACTTTCCTCCAACACCACAGCTCAAAAGCATCTATCTTCCTTCGCAGCCTTCCCTAAGGTCCAGCTCTCACATCCGTAGGTGACTACAGGGAATACCATGGCTTTGACTAGGCGGATCTTTGTTGCCAGTCTGATGTCTCTACTCTTTACTATTTTATCGAGACTGGACATTGCTCTCCTCCCAAGAAGTAAGCGTCTTCTGATTTCCTGGCCACAGTCTGCATCTGCAGTAATCTTTGCACCTAATAATAATAATAATGCTAAAATCTGAAGTTTTGGACCTTGAGTCACTGCCTCCAAATCTGAAGTTTTGGACCTTCAGTCACTGCCTGTATCTCTTGGCCACAAAAGAAGACCAAATATATAATAATAATAATAATAATAATAATAATAATAATAATAATAATGCTAAAATCTGAAGTTTTGGACCTTGAGTCACTGCCTCCAAATCTGAAGTTTTGGACCTTGAGTCACTGCCTGTGTCTCTTGGCCACAAAAGAAGACCAAATATTATAATAATAATAATAATAATAATAATAATAATACCCAAATCTGAAGTTTTGGACCTTCAGTCACTGCCTGTATCTCTTGGCCACAAAAGAAGACCAAATATATAATAATAATAATAATAATAATAATAATAATAATAATAATAATGCTAAAATCTGAAGTTTTGGACCTTGAGTCACTGCCTCCAAATCTGAAGTTTTGGACCTTGAGTCACTGCCTGTGTCTCTTGGCCACAAAAGAAGACCAAATATAATAATAATAATAATAATAATAATAATAATAATAATAATAATACCCAAATCTGAAGTTTTGGACCTTGAGTCACTGCCTGTATCTCTTGGTCACAAAAGAAGACCAAATATAATAATAATAATAATAATAATAATAATAATAATAATACCCAAATCTGAAGTTTTGGACCTTGAGTCACTGGCTGTGTCTCTTGGCCACAAAAGAAGAACAAATATATAATAATAATAATAATAATAATAATAATAATAATACCCAAATCTGAAGTTTTGGACCTTCAGTCACTGCCTGTATCTCTTGGTCACAAAAGAAGACCAAATATATAACAGCAGCAGCAGCAGCTTTGGGTTTTTGCTGTCTTGTGATGTTCCAGAAGCGTTCTCTCCTGATGTTTTGCCCACATCTATGGCAGGCATCCTCAGAGGTTGTGAAGTTTGTTGGAAACTAGACAAGTGAGCTTTATATATCTGTGGAATGATGTCCAGGCTGGGATCTGGGCAAAAAGCAGTTTGTTCTGGGGCCTTCATTTCCATTGCCTCTTTAAAAGCTCTACTTAGAAGTTCTAAAAAGAACTGGAATGAAAGGTCCCATCTCTGAAAATGTTGTCATTTCAGCTTTCTGTGGGAGAGTGTTGAAGAGGAGGATCCCACAGCGGAGGGACCCAGGCTGCTTGCTCTCAGCAAGAGCCACGACCTCTTCGTATATGAAGTGACTCTGGAGGCTGGAAAGTGTGAAGCCGCACTCTGGGAAAGTCTTCCCAAAGACAGGCTGAAGACGCTGGTTGCTTCTAAGGATAAGAGTGAGTTGCCAATATTTTTCATTAAAATTTTGACAATAAGAAGCACACAAAAAGAAAAGCAACAATACTTATAAGTACATAAGTACCCATAGATTTCACCAAGCACTTTACATGACTGAGATAGATTACTGTTGTTTTCTACCTGCAGCTATTGCTGTATTTTATTGATTTTAACCAGGATGCTTTGTGTAGGGAGATATTTATGTTGGCTGCTATTGTTTCATGTTATTGTTTCTGCAATTTTTGTCTTTTGCGTGTTCATGCCTTTTAGTGCTTTGTGATCCTCCCTGAGACCCTTTGGGAGATGGTGGCGGGGTATAAATAAAGTCTATTGTTATTTATTATAAACATAGACATACTTTGACAATGATTGCCTTTGATGCTGTGTGTCTGAAACTGGTGGCCAGCAGTCAATACAAAGTGTTTTGTGTCTGACTTAGTGAGAAATTTATTTATTTATTTATTTATTATTTCATATACAAGTATATGAAATAAATAAATAAATACATTTCTACCTGTAACTCTAAAACTACCAATATATATAGAAATTAGTTTTAAACATGAATTTCCAGCTTCTCTTTTGTCGTTTTCTTTATACATTCAACGTGTTTTGTTCCACTTTGTCCATCAAGTTGCTCACTTTTGTTTGTTTTAATGTTTACAAGTGAATATCCCAATATTTTATGTCTCCAGATCTGTACAGAAGGTATTTCCTTTTGATATGTATTGATAAAACAGTTTCCATTCTTCTGAATATGTGTCCAATGACATATCCAGGAATGAGGTGTGCCTTGATGTGTGCATTTATCCTTCACAAAAAGTAAAGCCTACTGTCTCTCTGTGCACTTTGTTGTTCCCCCTGAGATCATTAAAATATGCCGTTTGTCGTAATCATACAGGTTTCTCTTCGCTCTCCTCATTGAGGCTGCTGTCATTTGAAAATTGCACAGCTTTAGTGTTGCTCAACAACGTTATTCTCTCGCGCCTTTCTTTTCCTGCGGGAGAACCAGAGGCCATAACCCTGAAGGACTGCTTTGCTCTCGATCTGTCACCACAAACATCAGAGAGAATAGTAGATGTAACCCTTTGCAGAGGCATTCTCTTCTTGTTAGACAAGTCCGGTTGGATCTGTATCCTTTGAAGCTGGTGGCTAGCAGTCTAGGCAAAGTGTTTTCTCTCTGACTTAGTCCTTCCTTTGTTAAAACCTACTGGTTATTTTTTCTTCCTCGTTTCATTATTAGCTCTGCATGGAAACCCTCTCTGTGGTCATTCCTGATAAAGTAGACATCTGACCAGTGATTAAAGGAGTGCAGATAACATTTTCCTTATCTCAGCTATTTGTGGTGGGGAGGCTAGATTTCAAAGGAATGTGTAAAAGTAAGTGGGTTGGAGGCCGAATCATAGACTTAAATGGTCCTTGCGGTTCTTTCCAACTTTTAACTCTCAGCCATATAGAAATACATGACTAAAACTTCCCAAAGGAGATGCCCACCCAACCCTGTGCAGCCCTTGGGTATAACAATACTTATTTGGAAATATTTCTCACTCATGCTTTAATTGGAAACAGCAAAGTGGAGGGGAGGATGCTTAAATATTTATTATTTGGTAATTTATTATTTATGTACTTGTCATTTATTTTTATTATATTTATTTTTATCCCACTATTTCTCTTTAAAACAAAACCCAAAGTGCCTTATAATGCTTAAAACAATACAGTATATGCATGCCTATTACATATTTGAGTTAGTGTCTTTCTTTGACATGGCTACAAAGATTTCTTTGATGCTACGGATGGGATGTACCTGGCCTATGTCGATATCTCCCTTTATCTATCAGAAGGGCAAGAGGAGAAGAGTACAGACACACTGCCTCCGCTTATCCGGTTAAATATATCTCATGATCTTAGTGTTGCTGTGATTGCCAGTTGCTGCAATTCTGTTGCATCTATTGACCTCAATTTATACTTCAGGTAGGCTGAACCATGTGGCTCAAGTGCCACATGGAATCATAACCTGGATTTCATGCTGAGCTCAATATAATAATCTCTATATTTATATAGATACTAGCCGTCCCCTGCCAAACATTGCTGTGGCCCAGTCTGGTGATCTGGAAAATAAAGTAATGAAAAAGTGTTTTTCTAATATATGTGATTTCTTTATGCTTGTGGGGAAACAGTATTTCTTATTGTTTCTTTGCCAGTGTTAATGTGGAGATTGTCTAGTTTGCCTACTCTGGAATATATGACATATAATTTTCCTTCTTTAGGGGTCCCTTTCAAATCTATGATACTATATCTCTGTGTGTGAATCATATATCCCTATCTATGGCTGGGTGGCTCTTTGTCAGGAGGACTTTGATTATGTTTTCTTGCCCTGGTGAAGGGAGTTGGACTGGGTGGCCTTAAGTATTTTCTGTTGGTCATGTGGCTTCGGTGTAGGAAGTTTGCCCCAATTCTGTCGTTCGTGGGGTTCAGAATGTTCTTTGATTGTAGGTGAACTATAAATCCCAGTAACGACAACTCCCAAATGTCAAGGTCTATTTCCCCCAAACTCCATCTGCATTCATATTTAGGCATATGGAATATTCATGCCAAGTTTGTTCCAGATCCATCATTGTTTGAGTCCACAGTGCTCTCTGGATGTAGGTGAACTACAACTCCCAAACTCAAGGTCAATGCCCACCAAACCCTTCTAATGTTTTCTGTTGGTCATGGGAGTCCTGTATGCCACATTTGGTTCAATTCCATCATTGGTGGAGTTCAGAATGCTCTTTGATTGTAGGTGAACTATAAATCCCAGTAACTACAACTCCCATATGACAAAATCAATTTTTAAAGTGATGATCACTCCTTGGGTTAGTAGGTATCTTGTGGCCAAATTTGGCGGCAATTCGTCCAGTGGTTTTGAGTTATGTTAATCCCACAAACGAGCATTACATTTTTTATTTATATAAATATATAAATATAGATAGTCTCTATATTTTGTGGAGCGTCCAGACTGCCCCCCTTGGATTTGTGCAGGAAAGGGCTGCAGTTGCCCAGCAAGAAATAGCTATGCAATACTGCCACCTTGCCTACTGGCCTGGCACTGCCCAACATTGCTGGCAGCCCTGACTGAGTTTTCCTGTGGGCCAATGCTGCTTCCTAAAAAAATAAATAAAGGGTTGCCCACCTCGAACTGGAAAATCCTTGGTTCTAAGTCTCTGATAGTTTTTCATGAAGTGAAATATTTACTTTGTTCAGGAATGCTAAGAGTGTGCTCAAGAACCATCCAGAATCATGTACTGCCTTATACAGTATCTGGCTTTTGCTGAAGGAACTGTCTTGTGAGTGGCCGATATCTGTTAGCTGTTTGCATCAGAAGCTATTTGCAGTATGATTAGATTGAACAGTGAAAGTTACAACGCATGTTCCTCTCTATTGGAGGACAGTAAAATTAATACTTCTGCTAATGATGGCACTTCTGAGTGATGTTGGTGCCAGCAAAGAAGTGAATAATGAGAAATAATCGACTTTGCCCACAGACAGTATCCTGACCACTTACTTTTCAAGAGAAATACGGACAGCTGCCCCATAAAGCCATGGGAAGGAACTGATGAGGATGACCTCCGAAGTTCAGAGTACAGCATGGCATTTGTGCAAGAAGCCTTCCGAACAGACAGGTAAGGTGATGGGGTGGGTATTGTGCATAATAAGTGAAACTGGAAGAAGCAAATAAGTCGGCCCTTATATGTTTGCCATTTTAGCTGCTCTGGTCCAAGCTATTGTTTGTGCCATCTTTAGAAAAGTAGGGGAAAATATTGCTTGCCTCTTGAGATGGATAGATGTTGGAGTTCATCCTGTGATTGTGTTTCAGGATCAAGGTGCTTTGGATGTGGGGAACAATGTAAATGAGGTTCAAGATGGCAATGGTTTGGTCAGTGATATTGATGCAGAGAATGACACAGAGACACCTGTTCAAAGTTCCTATGAGAATGTCCCTACAGGGTTTAGGGATGATGGTTTACTCCCTGAATTGCTCCCAGAGAGTTCCCAGGATTTGGGGCTTGAAAACAACTTGGCACCTGCAGGAACTAATGAGCATATAGATAGATGGGAAGAAATTAGTCAAAACAGACAGGTTGAGCAATGCCTTCGGCATTCTGCCAGAAAAAGATAAGGGGTGCTCAAGGAAAGTGAAACCAGTTCCTGAGTGCTTGGAATGGCTTAAAAGTTCCAAGCATGGGAAATGTAGCCAGATGAAGCATCATTTAGAAACCTGCTAAGTTCTTGTCCTCATTTCATGAAGCCTTGCTTAAAAGATTTATGCTTAAGGATTTCTTGTTTCTTGGTTTGGCTTTTTGTCTCTTGATCATGCCTTGGATCAACGTTTCCTGGTTCTTTGGATTTTGTTAGAGAAGTGTGGACTTAGTTTTTGGACTTTGCTGATTAATTTGTTCCTGCTTATCTTCTTACCTAATTGGATTTACCTATTCCTTTAAAGTGCTTTTTTACTTTGCTGCTTCTACTTATCTTCAATAAAAGGATTGTTTTCCCCTACTCAACGTGTGGTGTTTTAAAGTCAGAGGGTTATTCCTGTCCTGGAGTGCAACAGTAGATAGATATTATTGATTTTTTGGTTCGTGCATCTTTATGTTAATGCATCCCAACTACATCAAGTACAGACACCTGAAAGAGTTTGTATTGTTCCCTTGGTTAAAACATTGGTACAATTCTCCCTTCTTTTCCCAGGTCCTGGAAGGCACATTTGTTGTCTTTGCGCAACAAAACAGAAAGGTGCTATTCTCCCTATTTGCTCCCCGAGAGTTCCTTGCTTTGGTACCAGTCCTTTCTGCACCCAGAGCACCCAGACCATGCAACTCGTGAACTTTCTGAGACATCCCTTCTTCAAGATGCTGCTTACGTCCATTCAGATTCAAGAGGGAAGGGAACGGCAACCAGAAGCCAAGGAGATAGACAGTGGAAAAACATATATTCGGGAGATCCAGAAGATGAGGTGGAACTTGAGTGCAAGTCGGTGACAGGCTTCAGTGCGTTGTTTACAATCTCGAGCGCGAGCAAAGGACTGACTGTTGTGCTGTGGGATTTGGAGACTCGGAAGATGGTGCATTCTCATGTGGGGAAGAATGCCTGTTTTGTGGAATGTAGCAGAGAGGAACAGTTGTGCCTCATCCTTTCAGGTGAGCATCTTTCTTGTCACTGATAATCTATGGCTGCAGCTTAGAAATGTTTTCAGGTCTTTGTAAGTAATGGCATGAAAGTGATTTGAGGATGTTTCCTTCAGTTCCACAAAGCATTGGAAATCTTGACATTGTGGCATGGATGTGAAGAACATCTCTCTCTGATTCTCTCTGATTCCTTAGAGCCTGGTCTCTCCTTGTTTCTGTTTGGCTTGACTCAAGAGGAATTTTTGAACCGCCTGATAATCCACGGAAGTGCAGGCACTGTGGATTCTCTTTGCCGTCTCAATGGATGGGGAAGGTGCTCCATTCCTATACATACTTTGGAGGTAAATTGAACCTTCAGATTCTACTGCTTTCTGATTTTAGGGGGACTTTGTTGTCGAAGGCTTTTGTAGCCAGAACCACTGGGTTGCTGTGAGTTTTCTAGGCTGTCTGGCCATATTCCAGAAGCATTATTTCCTGACATTTCACCCACATCTATGGCAGGCATCCTGAGAGGTTGTGAGGTCTAGGCAAATGGGGTTTATATGTCTGTGGAATGATGTCTAGGGTGAGAGAAAGAACTCTTGTCTGCTTGAAGTAAGTGTAAATGTTGCAATTGGCCACCTTGATTAGCATTGAATGGCCTTGCAGCTTTGAAGCCTGGCTGCTTCCTGCCTTGGGGAATCCTTTGTTGGGATGTCTTAACTGGCCCTGATTGATTCTTGTCAGGAATTCCCCTGCTTTTTGAGCACTGACTCTCCTGATTTTAGAGTTTTTAAAATATTGGTAGCCAGATTTTGTTAATTTTCATTTTCAAACACAAATCAAGGAACCTGAAAGGCACTGCAGACTAATTCAACCTGAGAACTCAGCCATAGCAGAGCACCTGATGAACCAACCTGGACACAGCATATTATTTGAGAACACAGAAATGCTGGACCCCTCTAACAACCACCGGGTCAGACTACGCAGAGAAGCCATTGAAATCTAGAAGGATTATGTGGACAATTCAACAGAAAGGAGGAGATTATGAAAATAAACAAATAGCCGCCCTGAGTCCCCTTCAGGGTGAGAAGGGCGGGATATAAAGTTGTAAATAAATAAATAAATAAATAAATAACTATAAATTGGGACAGTAAATAAAAAGCAACACTCAAAAAGCAGGGGAATTCCAGACAAGAATCAATTAGGGCCAGCTAACACCTCCCAAACAAGGATTCTCCTAGGCAGGAAGTAGCCAGGCTTTGAAGCTGCAATGTCGTTAAATGTTAATCAAGGTCACCAATTGCAACATTCACACTGGCCTCAGGCTTGCTTTGTTTCCAACAGACCGCTCAACCTCTGAGGATGCGTGCCATAGATGTGGGTGAAACGTCAGGAGAGAATGCTTCTGGAACATCACTGGACAGCCCAGAAAACTCACAGCAACTCTTTTGGGAGACTGCTTCTTGCAATCTCTGGAGTCTCTCTCTTTAAAAAAAAGAATCTTCTCTTGAAATTGACTTAACCCCTTCTGTGGCATTTCTGACTCTGCTTCAGCCAGTCTCCCATTGCTGAAGCAGAATTGTGAGAGCTTCTGGGAGAGCCTTTGTTGTTTGACAGGCATCCTGTCTTTGTTTAGACAGGTCTGGAGAATCGTCAGTTGGACACCGTGAACTTCTTTCTAAAGAACAAGGAGAACCTTTTCAGCCCTTCGCCATCTTGCTCAGAGCAAGACCAGCCAGCAAGCGTCGGGACGGAACTGTACTTGAAAAGTCAGTGAAACTCTGGGCACAATACATTGGGAATGTGATTGTGCCGGGGTGAGGTTGAGATGGAATTAATTCTGCACAAAACCACATTGAAAAGAACAGGAGCTCTGTTGGGTGGCTGCTGGATGTGGGTTGTGCCCTGTGTTTTCAGAACACACTATGTGGCCATTTCTAGATAGGACAGCATGATAAAGGCACAGGCAGATTGTGTTTCTTCTTTCAAAAGGTATTTTCTCTGTTTTATTTTTTTACCCGTTCTCTTGCAGGCATGAAGGAATTGAGGCCAGCTTTGGACCTGTTGTGTATGGCAATCCAAGAAAGTGATTTGGAAGCGCAGAGCAAGCATTTCTCCGAGCAGTTGCTGAATCTCACCCTGTCTTTTCTCAACAAACAGCTTTGTGAGATTTTTGTGCATCGAGAAGGTAGAGCTGTTTGCATGTGAATAGCTATAGTGTTTGAGTCAGCCTGTCATTCTGCACTCACCATGAAACGTTCCCATTCCTTGATTGATTCCCTTTTGCAAGCACATGCGATATATACATGCAACGTGTTAAATCACAGGCAATGAAAGAAGAAGAAGAGCATATGGGTGTTAGCTCAGTCACAATGTTGTGAGGGGTGGTTTTTGATCCTATGCTTGTACAAAAGATGTTTTTCTTAGTCCCCTCTCTCAGTGTCATGATGAATGAATGAAATTGTATGATTGACATTGTATGATTGATTGACATTTGGCTAAGGGGCTATGAAGACTCGCCAAAGCTGAAGACACCATCCTCAGAGAATTGGAACCTGGGAAAAGGGCATTATGGAAGAGGGGAAGATAGCATTAACTTGTGTCATGAAAAGTGCTGCTGGAGGAAATTGCTGATGATAACCAATCTTGGAACTTCTGGTTTAAATAGGACAAGTTTACATGTTCAGTGACCATGACTCATTAAGGGCGGTTCCACGCAGCCCTTTAACTCGGAGCAGTCACGTTATAAAAACGTAATTGCACCCGGGTTCTATTCCACACACCCTCCAGAAAATGTGTGCTTTTCTTGCAGGGTGGGGGTGTCCACATGCACAGCAGGGCACTAGGACAGAAAACACCCCCCACCCTAGAAGCCCTAAAAAGTAAAAAATAACCAGCAACCATTAGGCTTTGCAGCATACTTCCTGGAATGTACCATTATATGTACATTGTACCATTATATGTACATATGTACAGGAGCCCAGAAGATGCAAGATGGGTGTATGGATAGGCTGCAGGGAAGTCCCAGGACTCCCCATGGGCCTGTCCACACAGGGCGCTTCCAGACAGGCCGTTATCCCAGGATCATCCACATTTAAAAAACATGGATGTTCCCAGAAGCCCACCTACACATACTACAGTAAGTGCGCGCTTTCTGGGGTGGGTGTCCAGATGTTCTCCTGGAACTTCCCGGGAGAACACCCAGGCACTCTAACCCCCTCCACAAAAAGCCCTTTAAAAACAAAAGTACTTACCTGGCCTCCATTAGACGCGCCAGGAGAGCTCCAGCATCTCTCTCATGGAGACCAGGTAAATACTTTTGTTTTTTAAAGGGCTTTGGGGGGCTTTTGGGGAGGGGGTTGGTATTCTCACAGTTTTCTGGGCTAATTTAGCCCGGAAAACTGTGGGACTACTGTCTGGAATGCAGTCCAGACACAAGAAGGTGAGGAATAAACCCACTATCAATTAATTCGCCAATATCAAATTAATTCCCGATTTGTGGCCAATTAATTTGGGTTTGTCCAGGAAGTCATATGGACAGCCCCCTTTTTATTGCAGAAACTCCCACATTAATGGGGCTGTCTAGATGCTCCCGCAGAGCCATAGCCCATTAGACCTGAGTCTTCCACAAAGGTGCAGGTGTAATGGGCTATCTAATTAATTTGGGATAAAGCAGTGTTTTCCTGCTTTGTCTTGAATTAATCCTCTTTTACTGGAGGCATCGTTTGGACACACTCCATTTTGAACCAGGAGCTCTTGGGATAAAGGTACTGTCTGGATTGGCTCTAAGTTAAGGAAGTTAAATGCAGTGGTTCCTTAATTGAGGAAGAAAAACAACATCTGTCCAGAATTGATGGAGCGTCAGCAAGTTTTAGTTGAGTAACAAGTTGTCAATCAATTGAAAACAGCATCAGCAGAAATGCTACATAAGAAGACCCTTTTCTCTTCCAAAGTGTGGCAGATCTGGGAGGAATACAGACTATCCACCCGCCTCCTTCCAAGATGGGCTGAATGAAGAAGAATATGGTGGGAATGTAATGTGATTGAATGAATGTGGAGTGAATGCAGAATATATGTTTCCCCTTTTTTGTCTGTGTACTGAATATTGCTATTATGAAACCAGTACTGGGTCTGTGAGCCTACTTCTTTCTCTGAAAGTCCCTAATGTAATCTGTCTCCCTAAAAAATGGATTGGAAAACATTTTTAAGGTTCAAAAAGTATTTTTGACATCATGATGTGTCTTCAGGCATCAATTCATCCAGATGTGCCTCTTGCTCTCCCCAGAACTGGATGACAATCTGAACAGATGTGTTGAGATGTTAACCAGCTACATCACCAGACTCCGGACATTCATGATCAAGTTCCCTCCCAAGACAACCAGTGCTGTGACCCTGCTTTGTGATCCGGAAGAGGATGTGCCCCCAATAGAGGAAAGCCATGCGTGGGAAGCATTGGATACAGAGGTAACCAGAGCTTTTGTTTCAACTCCTGAGATGTAATTGACCCAAAACTGTCACGTCAGATCTTTAAATGCCGTTATTAAAAATATCTGTGTGGACCATTCCCCATCTAAACCTTTTCTTGACCTTCTCAAGAATCATAGAGACCCCATGAGCCATCTAGTCCAACTCCCTGCCATACATGAAAAGCACAATCAAAGCATCCCTGATAGATGGCCATCCAGCCTTTCCTTAAAAGTTTCCACCACATTCCAAAGCAGAGAGTTCCACTGTTGAACAGCTTCTACAGTGAGGAAATTCTTCCTAATATTCAGGTGGAAGATTTTTGATTTTTAGGATGTTTTAGGCATTTGATTTTTAGGATGTTTTCAAATGGTGTTGAAAAACTCTTCGCTTTTTTTTTCTCCAGCGGATTGTTGCTGAAGCCATATTGAACAACACGTTGCCAGAGGCTCAGACTTTTTTCCGTCTGACTCGCAACCCTGCGCAGCAGCTCAAGGAGCTGACCCGAATTGGGCTTGATTTGGTTTATAAAAGCCTGTTGAAATATGACATAAAGGAAGCTTCCAGGCTCTTAAGGAACATGGTGAGTAGGACATGTTTGCATTGGACATGGATGTTTTGCTCTGTTTGTGTCCATGCAAAGAGAGGGATGGATTGGTCCTTACAAGGCAAACAAGTGGTCATTGGCTGATTTTAGAAATTCATAATGTACCTTGAGCTGCTTTGTAATTTGATGTATCTTTCTCCTCTTTGGCCATGTTCTGCTTAAAGATGGGGAGAAGGGGAGACTGATTTAGGAGAAAAATATTTCTGAGCATGATCCAGCAAAACCTATTTTAAACTCATTTGGAATTGCTATGATTATTTTTATTTATACCACCCTTTTTATTTCCCCAAAAAGAGACTCAAAGTGGCTTACAACTATTTAAACTCTCCCCCTGCCCCAGAAGTAGTTTGCTCCTGCCATAAAGCCTTCCTTTATGCAAACTTTGTGTAATAATAATAATAATAATAATAAATGTTACTTGTAATCTGCCACTCTTAGTGGATTGAACAAGAGGACAGCAAAGTCCAAACACATCAACATAAAATAATACAATAACATACATACAGTAGATCAAAACACACCATTATATTAAAAAAAATTTTCTGACACTATATATTTATTTTACTTTTGTAAGGGTTTCAATGTGGTGGAGCAACTGCACAGAATATGCTTCTATGTGACTGATCAGCATGTCCGGGACTACTTGGTGAGTGCAGGAAAAACTGATGTTTTCCTGTCCGTATGTATAATTTTTTGGGTGTAGCCCGACGTTTGTGTGTTTCACTCCCTTAATACATCAAAGCCTCAGTGAAGGCTGAGCTGTCTCTTTAGTAGCTGGAGCAGAAATCCTGAATGGATGTATCATTGTTTGTTACAATAAGCGAGGATGGGATAGATATCCATGCTCTGGTTTATCCTGGCCATATCTGTGATTTCATAACACCCCTCTCTGGAAAGTTTGCACTCTCCTACAGCTTTTAAAACACATCCCGTTTTGACTCCCAAAGGTGGAGAGGCTTCGAGAGGAAAACGGCTTCTCTGATGCCGAGAAGGAAATGATAGACTTTGTGCATCAAGTGGAAGGTGTTTATTCCGGAGCTTTTGAGGAGAATAGAGAGAGTCTAGCCCAGTCCAGGTAATGCATATTTATCCAAAGTCATGACTGTGCTGAGGACTTGTGCATGGATTTCTGGATTTTTAGCTTATCTTTGAAAGAGTGGGGGCCTGGTTGTCTCTTGCTGCCAGTGTCTGAACTATGGAAAGGGATGAGACATTTGTCCTTCTCACTCATTAGTATTATTTTACTGACACAAAAACACAATATGTCACCGCAGACAAGATTTTTATTTTTATTATTATTATTATTATTATTATTATTATTATTATTATTATTATTATTGACACAAAAACACAGTATGTCACAGCAAACGATATATATGCTGGATATTATTATTATTATTATTATTATTATTATTATTGCTATTATTATTTTACTGACACAAAAACACAGTATGTCAAAGCAAACGAGACATATATGCTGGATTTTGTATCACAAAATCACAAGTTGAACACTTCCCAAGCGTCTAGGACTGTGTGATGTATTTTCAAATGATGTGCACAGATCCAAGTAAGGTGGCCTTTTGCAGTTGACAGATCGTGATTTTGTCAATGTATATTGTTTCCAAATGCCAGCTGAGATCTTTTGGCACGGCACCCACGATGCTGATTACCATTGGGACCACCTGTACTGGTTTATACCAGAGCCTTTGCTGTTCGATTTTGAGTTCTTAATAACGACTGAGTTTTTCCTGTTTCTTTTCCTCAGTGCGACTGTCACCTGGTATTGCGACATCAATAATCCAAACTTTTTTCTTTTCCACAATTGTGATGTCTGGTGTATTGTGTTCCAAAACTTTGTCAGTCTGGATTCAAAAGTCGCACAGTATTTTTGTGTGTTCATTTTCCACTACCTTTGCAGGTTTATGATCCCACCCTTCTTTACTACTGGCAGGTGGTACTTGTGCCACAGAGTTGTGCCTTTGTTTGTAGTGCGTCTGTGCGATTTTCTTGCAACAGCTGAGGATATGATCCATGGTTTCATCAGCTTTCTTGCACAGTCTGCATTTTGGGTCATCAGCTGATTTTTCAATCCTGGCCTTAATTGCATTTGTTCTGATGGCTTGCTCCTGGGCTGCAAGAATCGGGCCTTCTCTCTCCTCCTTAACAACAACAACAACAACAACAACAACAACAACAACAATTCTTAGCTGTCTCTCCTTGTGGCTCAAGGTTACAGCATAATTAAAACGCATAAACATTGTAAAAATATATAAATACCGCTATTAAAATGTATTTCTATAAAAGATACACATTAAAACATATATCTGTAAAATACATATTAAAATATATAGAACAGAGATTAAACATAAGACATCGAGTTTAAAATTCATGCTTAAAACTGGCTGTGTAGGTCTTTTGCTGGAAGAGATAGGTGTTTAGATTGTTTTTAAATTCCTAAACCACTGTAGGCTCTTCCAGTCTAATGCTGGAGAGAACTCGGTGCTAAATTTTGGATGTTCTGCAGTGCATTCCTGTTTTCTTCCTTTCTTATAGAAATGTATGTACTTACGCATGTGATGTTTTGAACTTGAGCTTGAGCTTGATTTCCTTTGGGACCAATCACTAGATGTAAACATTTGAACCTTGTGAAACTGTTCTGTTTTCAATTCTAGGCATTGGAGGAGAGAACAAGACCTTTCTATTCACACTGATGCTTTAGACACCCTTTTGACTTGCGACGAAGATAAGGTGCGCAAAGGAGAACATAAGCTGATGCTCAACTGGACCCAATGGTGGGATCAGATTGCGCAAGAGATTATTCTTCTCCCCAAACGATCTCTTGAAGGTACGAAGCATTTCCATACTCTACTCTAAAGATTTATTTATTTATTTATGACATTTATATGCCGCCCTTCTTACCCCGAAGGGGACTCAGAGTGGCTTACACGATATATATATATATACAAACAATACATGATATTATTAGCATAGTACATTATCAGTATTATATATTACTATATTGTACTATACCATTATATTGTAATATTATTAGTAATATTACATGTAATATAAAATATATAATTATAATATATTATTAGTATTGTATTAGTACATTATGTTACATTATAATATTATAGATATTATATGTATATACAATATATTATATTATATTATATTATATTATATTATTAGCATAGCACAGGAGACAAGGTGGAACTGTCCCCTGCCCCCCCCCCCGCCCTCTCTGATGTTGATGGAACCTTTACTTTTTTCCCTGTATAGTATTTATTTATTTACGACATTTATATGCTGCCCTTTTCACCCCGAAGGGGACTCAGAGCGGCTTATAAGTAAAAAGTAAATACAATATATTATATTATTACCATAGCACAATATTAATATTATATATTACATTGTACAATAACATTATACTATAATATTATTAGTAATATTACATTTAATATAAAATATATAATTATAATATCATATTCGTATTATATTGTATTACATTATGATATTATCAATATCATATGTATATATATTATATTATATTATATTATATTATATTATATTATATTATATTATATTATATTATATTATAAGCACAGTGAAGGAGACAAGATGGAACTGCCTTTATGGCTCCTATCTTCATTCTGATCTCAGAGCAGCGGATGGTGCTGGTATTCATATGTGATTCCAAATTAGGAATGTTTTATTTGGCTCTGGTAGAAAGGAGTGTCGTTTGACATAGGTATTTGCCAGTGTGTCAAGTACAAGCATTCACACTGATGACATGTATTGGATGTTTGAAAACGCAGAACTCAAGTCATGTAATCCGGAGGTGCTGTGGATGTATCTGTCCTCTTGGCAGGACTGGGCAAATATTAGTTCATGGATGGCAGACTCCCAGCAGCAAGAAAGGAACGCAAAATGGCCCCAGCTAACTATCGAGACCATAAACCAGAGCATGTTGTGCAGTCCCTACATGCAAAATGAAATCTTGGATAACCTGGCCAGGTTTGTGCCCTTTTCATGGGGATTATTAGTCATGTAATGTTTTATTTGGCAACTCCATCTCTTGCTTTGCGTGCAACTCTTGCTCTGTTTTGTCTTGCTTAGAAATGGGACTTTTGTGCCGACAGAGCTGGACAGTTTTGAATGCCTCCTGCAAAGGCTGACCCTTGTGGGAGGAGTGATGCAGAATCCACACCCGGTCCCACGATACACATCTCCAGATGGCAGGGATTTCCATGGCCGTTTCATCCTCTACTGTTTAGAGCATGGGCTGGATCATCTTCTCTACACTTATTTGGACTACTATAGGTAGGAACGCATGTTCAGAGATCGTTGTGTGTATCTCCTAGAGCAGTGGTTCTCAACCTTCCTAATACCGCAACCCCTTAATACAGTTTCTCATGTTGTAGTGATCCCCCAACCGTAACATTATTTTTGTTGCTACTTCATAACGGTAATTTTGCTACTGTTATGAATCGTAATGTAAATATCAGATACGCAGGATGTATTTTCATTCACTGGACAACATTTGGCACAAATATCTGATACGCCCAAATTTGAATACTGGTGGGGTTTGGGGATTGATTTTGTCATTTGGGAGTTGTAGTTGCTGGGATTTATAGTTCACCTACAATCAAAGAGTATTCTGAACTCCACCAAAGATGGAATTGAACCAAACTTGGCACATAGAACTCCCATGACCAATAGAAAATACTGGAAGGCTTTGGTGGGCATTGACCTAGAGTTTGGGAGTTGTAGTTCACCTACATCCAGGGAGTACTGTGGACTCAAACAATGATGGATCTGAAACAAACTTGGCATGTATACTCAACATGCCCATATGTGAACACTGGTGTAGTTTGGGGGAAATAGACCTCGACTTGAGAGTTGTCGTTCTTGGGATTTATAGTTCATCTAAATCAGAGAGCATTCTGAACCCCACCAATGATAGTACTGAGTCAGACTTCCCACACAGAACCCCCATGACACCTTCCTTGCGACCCAACCAGGGCTCCTGACCCCCAGGTTGAGAAACACTGTCCTCGACAAAACATTGAACTCGTGAAGCAAAGATCCCTTCATGTGTCTCTCTCTCCAACTTTCCCGCATTGGTTGGGAAAGGAGAGTGCTTCCTTTTCCTCTATGGTGCATGAAACAGATACTTGGGAAATGAAAGCACTTCGTTTTTCTCTATGGCGCATGAACAGATGCTTCCCCTTCATTTTTTCCAGTTTATATCCTTCAAACTGCTCTGTTTTAAACGATAAAGCCTTGCACGAAGCTCATCCGTGGTTCGAATTTCTAGTTCAGTGCCGGAGCATTGCCAGCAGCCCTGAAGGTAGGACCCTGTGTCGGTAATTTGGTTGCATTTTTAAAATGTCCCTAATGCAGTTCTGGTGGAATAGAGAGGATGATGAGTCCTCAGACTTCTCAGGGGGAAATCCGCCTCATCTGGACCTGCCTTTGCTTTTGAGGTTTTGTGAGCGGAAATTACATTTTACCAGTGTTGGGGCCAGGAAATGTAACGTGAATGTCATAAGGAAGAAGAGGTTAAAGAGTGTTGAGGAGGAAGTAAAAAAGAAGAAGTTAAGAGTGAAGGAATATGGGAGAAATAAGCATTGATTAGCACCAAGACGGTAATAGATTTGGGTGAGAGGTGAAGAGAAGCGGCTAAGAGGGAAAGGCAAAGGGCCTGAGGCTGTTAGGAATGATGGGAGTTGAGGTCCAAAACACCTGGAGGGCTCAAGTTTGCCAATTTCTGCTTTCGTTCTTCTGCAGAATTAAACTATTTGTATTTTTAATCTTTACATACTTACTTACCTACTTACTGTATTTATATATTTTTATTTATTTACCATATATACTCGAGTATAAGCCAATCTGAATATAAGCCAAGGCACCTAATTTTACCACAAAAACTGAGAAAACGGATTGACTCAAGTATAAGCCGAGGGTGGGAAATGCAGCCGCTATGGGTAAATTGCAAAATAAAAATAGATACCAATTAAATTACATTAATTGAGAAATCAGTAGGTTATATATTTTTCAATATTTACAAAAATGGTAATTTAAGATAAGACTGCCCAACTCTGATTAATTGATTGTTTACCTTCTTCAATGTAAATGTGCTTATGTATCCTTCCAATAATAATAAAGAGAGTAACATAATAAATGTAACAACAATAATAAAAAGAGTAAAATAATGAATGTAGCAATAACAACAATTATGCAGTTAGTTTTTTTTGTCGTGTCAGGAGTGACTCCTGGTGTGAGAGAATTGGCCGTCAGCAAGGACGTTGCGCAGGGGACGCCCAGATGATTTGATGTTTTTATCATCCTTGTGGGAGGCTTCTCTTATGTCCCCGTATGAGGAGCTGGAGCTGATAGAGGGAGCTCATCCGCCTCTCCCCGGATTCGAACCTGCGACCTGTCGGTCTTCAGTCCTGCCGGCACAGGGGTTTAACCCACTGCGCCAAATAATAAATGTATAATAATAGAGTAAAATGATAAAGGTAATAATAATAAATAGAATAAAATAATAAATGAAATAATAATAATTATTATAATTATAATAATAATTATAATTATAAGAACAACAACAACAGAGTAAAATAATAAATACCCTTGTCTCGAGTATAAGCCAAGGGGGACTTTTTCAGCCTAAAAAAAGGACTGAAAAACTAGCCTTATACTTGAGTATACAGTATTTAAAACTTTTATATCCCGATCTTCTCAACCTCCGTAGAGCGACTCAGACCAGCTTACAGCAAGGATTCAATGCTAATAGTACAATCTAAAAACATCCTATAATAACAAGTTAAAATACATGATGATTAAAATTACAAATAAGCCAAATCACCAAGATAAAATCATGTCCAACTCAGTCTGTATTTGTGGTCGATAACTTTGTTCTGTAGCCAATTTCAGCCATTACTCTGGGAATGCTTCCTTCCATAGCCAGGACTTCACCAGCCTCCTGAAGGACAGAAGGGAGGGGCAGATCTGATCTCAATCAGGAGAGAGTTCCATAGCCGAGGAGCCACCACAGAAAAGGCCCTGTCTCTCGTTCCCGCCAGATGCGATTACGAAAGTGGCGGGACCGAGAGCAGGGCCCCACCAGAAGATCTTAATTGTCTTGATGTTTCATAGGGGAGAATACATTCGGACAGGTAAACTGGGCCGGAACCGTATAGGGTTTTGTAGGTTAAAACCAGCACTTTGAATACCGTCTCTCTCAGCCCGCAGGTGACTCGGGACAGTTTACAATTGGTGCCAAGACCATAAAATGCAATTTCAATACAATAAAAACAGTTGGATAATAAAACCATAACAAAATAAATAAATACATGAACATTAGAGTCTCCTGTTAAAAACATTGTCCAATCACATTGTCTAATCTCCTCATTTCTAGTCTTTGATTGGAAAGTAAAGGGACTAGAGATATTGGTGCATCAACACCAGCTTGATCTGGCATTTGGAGTTTCTGGAGGTGTTCCTCTCTGGACTCTTGGTTGGGAGTTACAGCCTTTTAAGACCACTGCGTGTGAATGTCTCTGAGTGAAAATGCTATCGGCATGTCTCCTTCTCTTCCCCAGATGCAGCATTGATTTTCCAGGCCAGCCTGGCCAATGCCCAGATCCTGATTCCTAGCAACCAGGCCAGCGTGAGCACTATGCTACTGGAGGGACGGACTTTGCTGGCTCTTGCCACAACCATGTACAGCCCAGGAGGGATCGACCAGGTGAGCGGTGGGGTCTTTGCCCGCCCATGTTGGCCAATACTCGGAAAATTTTCATTCTTCCAGACACGGAACAGAAAAGCTCATTCAAAAAAGGTACCCGTTTTCGGAAGGCACGCAAAAACAAAAGCAGGGGGCTGACAAATGAAACAAACAGAAACGAATTGCGATTCTATACAAATGCACAAGACTAGTATCTATACAAATAAAAACGTAATGTCCGTTTGTGGGATTAACATAACTCAAAAACCACTGGACAAATTGACACCAAATTTGGACACAAGACACCTAACAACCCAATGTATGTCCTTCACTCAAAAAAATGATTTTGTCATTTGGGAGTTGTAGTTGCCGGGATTTACAGTCCACCTACAATCAAATAGCATTCTGAACCCCACCAACGATGGAATTGAACCAAGCTTGGCACACAGTTCTCCCATGACCAATAGAAAATACTGGAAGGGTTTGGTGGGCAGTGTTCTTTGGTTTTGGAGTTGTAGTTCATCTACATCCAGAGATCACTGTGGACTCAAACAATGATGGATCTGGACCAAACTCTACATGAATACTCAATATGCCCAAATGTGAACACTGGTGGAATTTGGGGAAAATAGAATCTTGACATTTGGGATTTGTAGTTGCTGGGATTTATAGTTCACCTACAACCACACAGCATTTTGAACCCCACCAACAATAGAACTGGGCCAAACCTCCCACACAGAACCCCCATTTGGGCCACAGCAACGCGTGGCAGGGGACGGCTAGTATCTATATAAATAAAAATGTAATGTTCGTTTGTAGGACGAATTGGCATCAAATTTGACCACAACACACCAACTAAACCAATGTGACCTCACACCTCTGAGGATGCTTGCCATAGATGCAGGCGAAACGTCAGGAGAAATGCCTCTAGAACATGGCTCTATAGCCCGAAAAAACCCACAAGAACCTAAACCAATGTATGTCCTTCTCTCAAAAAACCAAAAAAAAAACCCAAAAACTTAAAACCCCCACAAACCTAAATGACTGTACAGAGCATGAATTAAAAGTACACCCCATTCAATGCTTTTGATAATAAATAAATAACATCTATATTAATAATAATGCCTATATACCTTTAATAATAATATTTGTGTCTATAATAATAATATCTATATGCCTAAAGTAATATCTCTATGTCTGTAATAATACTAACAATAATAATAATACGTATATAATATCTCTGAACTGGGTTATATGGCAGTGTGGACTCAGGTAACCCAGGGCCCTTCCACACATCCATATAACCCTTTGGCCTCGAGGAGATTGAAATGGGCTTATATTAGGTTGACACTTTGCCACGTCAGTTGTGTATTGATTGCTTAGAAACCAGTTCTACCTCTTTTCTTTCTTTCCCATTTCTCCACAATGGGCCACAGCAACGCGTGGCTGGGTACAGCTAGTTAATAATAATTTTGTACACTGACAATTCAACTGTCTTGAAAGTGATGGAGCGTGTCCCATTCATCCCAGATGCAAATAACACCTTGTGTCACACGCTTTGTCTCGATAATATTTCCTGTCTCTTCTTCGTTGCAGGTGGTTCAGAATGGAGACCGAGGGGAGAAGGTGGACACGCAGCTGTTCCGCATGGCCCTTGCTCCATATCCGAAGCTCAGGGCAGCCCTCTTTCCCCAGTGCGCTGCCCATGGACTCCTCCCATCAGACATCTCCCTCTACCACCTTCTTCAGGTATTACCATCATCATTATCTTTTATACCCCTCCCTGTGGAAACTCAATATAATTTATTTGTCAGAAGCGAATTGAGGGTACAATTGTAATGTATTCAAAAATATAAGCATAGTTAAAAACTTGGCATTATGCTAAATGTCCTTTGACCAGTAGCTGGCCACTTGGGGTGCCTCTGGTGTTGCTGTAAGAAGGTCCTGCATTGTGCATGTGGCAGGGGATCAGGTTGCATTGTAGTAGGTGGCCTGTGGTTTGCTCTTCTCCACACTCGCATGTCGTGGACTCTACTTTGTGGACCCATTCCTTAAGATTAGCTCTGCATCTTGTGGTGCCAGAGCGCAGCCTGTTCAGCGCCTTCCAAGTCGCCCAGTCTTCTGTGTGCCCAGGAGGGAGTCTCTCATTCAGTATCAGCCACAGATTAAGGTTCTGTGTTTTCGCCTGCCACTTTTGGATTCTGGCTTGCTGAGGTGTTACTGCGAGTATCTCTGTAGATCTTAGAAAGCTATTTCTTGATTTAAAGTGTTGGCATGCTGGTGTTGGCATATCTGAACAGGGGATGGGCCAGAGATGTCACTGCCTTGGTCCTTTCATTATTGGCTGCTACTTCCTGATGGACGTCATGTGGTGCAATACTGGATAAACAGTATAATTTCTCCAGTGGTGTAGGGCGTAGACATCTCGTGATAATGCGGCATGTCTCATTAAGAACTACATCCACTGTTTTAACGTGATGAGATGTATTCCACACTGGGCATGCATGTTCAGCGGCAGAGTAGCAAAGCGAAAGGACAGATGTCTTCACTGTGTCTGGTTGTGATCCCCAGGTTGTACCTGTCAGCTTTTGTATGATAGTGTTTCTAGCGCCCACATTTTTCTTGATAATCAAGCAGTGCTTCTTTAGAGCACGGTCCAAAGTGACTCCCAGGTATTTTGGTTGTGCTGCAATGCTCCAGTGGGATTCCTTCCCAGGTAATTCTCAGTGCTCAAGATGTTTCCCCGAAGGATTGTAACACATCTGGGCGTCCCCTGAGCAACATTTTTGTAGACGGCTGATTCTCTCACACCAGAAGCGATTTGCAGCATGCCACACAATATAACGACAATTTAAAACAAAGCAAATACAAAAATTTAAAAAATTGTGACTATAAAGTTAAAATACAATTAAAATACAGTGAATACAATTAAAATTACATTTAAAATTCACCATCCCTCAAATCCCCCCAACAATATACAGTCATTTAGTTGCCTATCAGATTTGTACATTTTGTGTCACAGCATCATATCCTGACAAATTTTTATTTCTGCATCATTGTTTTAGACCTAATGCTATTGTGCAATTAATAATTGACGGCACTATGTAACACGATTTTTGTTCCTGGGTTATAACACAAAGTGAGAAAAAGCCCTGAGTACTTCTGGTTTCCCAGCTCTAAGCCTGCAGTGCTCCTCCTTCTTGTGTGATATTCCTAGACTTTACACAGCAAGGAAGGGCCAGAAGCTCAATGCTATCGAGGCTTATCACCTGTTTATTCTTTTTTTAAACTCCCTGGAATGTTAATGCCTTGTTTTCAATTTTTTTCAGTCATTAGCTCCGTTTGACCCTGCAAAATTGTTTGGATGGCAGTCAACCAATGTGCTTGCCATTCCTGGTAAGTAACAGACCCACAATGTCTCAATAAAATGCATGGTGGGTGGAGTTTCCCACCATGTCATACAGAGAGGGAGTCACGTGCTTGCAAATAGGCCCAACGTGCTTGAAGGAAAGGTTCTTTGGTCCCAGCTATTTGAAGTGATGCCACAAGGAATAGGGAGCAGACCTTGTTTTCTGTTGTCCTGGAGATTAGGACTCAATGGAGCTGTTGGGATTCAGCCTGTGTGTGAACCTGAGCCTGAATCTCTGATTGTATTCTCTAACACTGATGCTAATGTTGATGGGCCTAGTTTGGATAGTGAGGCTAAAGTGATCAATGAGGACGAGGCTCAAGATGGAGACACTTTGGGCAATAAAACTCCTACAGGCTTTGATTTAGAGGCTTCAAGGGAAAAGCCAAGTTCTCATGAGAACGTTTCTGTCAGACTGAGAGAAGATAGCTTGACACCTGGCTGGGTCAATGATAACAGCCACAGTTTGGAGATAAGCCAGAACCGCAGGGAGGCTCAATGTTTACGTAGGTCCGAAAGAATCCGACAACTGAAACCAAAGATTAGAGTTAGCCGGAATCAATTTTTGGGATTTAAGAGTGGCTGTGAGGGAGCTTTCCTCAGACCAAGCATCATTTAATATCAAGTACAAACCTCCTGGGTTTTCCAGTTTCCAGTGGTCTGGTCTCTAAGGGAATTTCTGGCTTCAAGTGAGATTAGCAGGGGGCTAATCTGTTCATGGATTTCTATTGAAAGTTTTCTGGTCATTACTGCTTTGGATTTTCTGCAAGCTTTCTGGACATTGCTGTTTGCTGTTTCATTTTGGCTTTTTAACCTTTGGACTTCTATCTATTTTATATTCATCATTCAATAAAAAGGATTGTATTTTTCCTAAACCAAGGTGTGGTGTATTAATGACAAGAGGGCCCTGTTTCCTGCTCTGGAGTGCAACAGGAGCCATGGGTTCAAATGTCAGGAAAGGAAATTCCAATTGAATAGTAGGAAGAACTTCCTGAGTGTCAGAGCTATTCAGCAGTGGAAGTCTCTACCTTGGAATCCGGTGGAACCTCCTTCCTTGGAGGCTTTGGAATAGACAATCTGTTGGGAGGGTTTTGATTGTGCTTTCCCTTCTGGCAGAAGGGGGTTGGACTGGATGGCCTTTGGCGGTATTGTAGCACATGAAGCGAATGAGGATTTGTCAGAGGATGAGGGGGATGTTGGATTTCAAAATGAGGAGTCTGTGTGTGATTGGAGAGAATTGCAGGCCTCAGATTAGAGAAAATTGCAGGCAGATGAGGCTGAAGCAGAGGAGGCTGATGTTTGGAATTCCCAAGCAGCAGGGCAAAGTGAAAGTCCTTAGGCTGATGGGTAGTTTTCCCAGGAAACTGGATTAGACCTGAGAACAGAGGGAGTAAAAAACAGACAAACTAGATATTCTCATAGACTCCGTGAGAAGACCTTGAAGTCCAAGTGTATTCGGTATAATGTCAGGGGTGTCTGGATAGGCTTAAATTAAGTGGACTGGCTACAGGCCTCTCAGAGGAGACAACTTTGCTAAAGGTCATATGATTTTCCTGTCTCTGTCATATTTTGAAATGGTCATATGACTGGTCAAATAAATAAATAATAATAATAATTATTATTATTATTATTATTATTTTGCTAAAGGATTATTTTCCTGTCTCTGCTCTCAAATTCATGATTCAAGTTTCCTGTTCTGACTCATGTCTTTGTTCCTGTAAGGGTTTGCCTTGGAAGAACCTCTTGTTTACTGGTTTATGGATTAATGTTTGAGTAACTGCTGTGGAATCTGGTTCTCTTGTTTTTATGTAATTTTCCATTTTTGGATTACTTCTGTTTTGTATTTCTTATTTTTTGGATAACTGCTATTTTATATTTTCTATTCTACTTTTGGAGGTACCCTTCTTTTTTTTCTTTGTGTCCGCTTTTCTTAATAAACTTTTTAAGATAGTGTTACTGGACTGTGGTGTGATGATGGGTGAAAAGGTGTTCTAGTGCTAGAGTGCAACAAGGGGTCTCTCTCCTATATGATTCTATGATTTTCTTGGCCTATTACCATGAAAGATTTAACTCCACTGCAGTTCCAGAATGCAGATTAATTGCACTGAACTGGATTATATGACTGCACTGCCATGTAATTGGGTTCACTGCATTATGTGGCAATGTAGATCTAGCCCTAGTGACTTTTGTTTCGTGTCAGGAGCGACTTGAGAAACTGCAAGTCGCTTCTGGTGTGAGAGTCTGGTTGTATGCAAGGACTTTGCCCAGGGGATGCCTGGATGTTTTGATGTTTGACCATCTTTGTGAGAGGCTTCTCTCATGCCCCCTTATGGGGAGCTGGAGCTGACAGAGGGAGCTCATCCACGCTCTCCTCGGATTTGAACCTCTGACCTGTCAGTCTTCAGTCCTGCCGGCACAAGGGTTTAACCTCGGCCCTAGTGACTAAGGGTAGCATATTCTTCAAGAAGCAGAGAAGGCTTTTGGGGGTTCTTTCCGCCCATTTGATACAGGAGAAGTCTAGTTGTCGCCCGGAAAATTGGTCCCATGGGAGAGTGATGCATGTGTCCACTGTTTCTTCTGCCTAGATATTGGTAGCGATCTCCCCCATTTCTCCTGCCCGGCTCTTGTCAACAAATACGCCGTTATTGAACGCCTGGATTTCTCCTACTATTTGTGCCACGAACGCCCTTCTTTCGCTTTCGGGACTCTTATAGTTCAGCAGCTGGCGAAAAGCAAGACCCCAAAGCAGCTGTGAGTACCTTGAAGACAGCGAGGTTCCGGAAACGCATGTATTGTATATACTCAAGTATAAGCCCAGTTTTTCAGCCCTTTTTTAGGCTGAAAAGGCCCCCTTCGGCTTATACTCGAGTCAAGGTTATTTATCATTTTACTCTGCTATTATTATTATTTATTTATTTATTTATTTAACTTTATTATTATTGTTATTATTACATTTATTATTTCACTTTATTTTTGTTGTCATTACAGTTATTATTTTACTCCATTATTACTGTTATTGTTACATTTCCATTATTTTACACTGTTATTATTTTATTACGTTTATTATTTTATTCTCTTGATTATTATTGGAAGGATACAGAAGCACATTTACATTGAAGAAGGCTAGAATAATTGTTTAATCTGAGTTGGACAGTCTTATCTTAAATTACAATTTGATGTAAATATTCAAACACATTTAACCCACTGATGCCTCAATTAATGTAGCAGCTGCATTTCTCATTCTCGGCTTATACTTGAATCACTACGTTTTCCCAGTTTTTTGCGGTAAAATTAGGTGCCTTGGCTTATATTCGGGTCATCTTATACTCGAGTATATACGGTATATCCTCACAAACACAGGCAACGTTTTAAGTTAAAACCAGTTTTTCAGTTAAAAGGAGAATAGTTTAATCTCTTTACATATTTGTAAACAAGCAGGGCTTTCCAAGATGTGCGTCATTTTGCAACACAGTCATCCAGTGTTACTACTAAACCAGATATTAAGCCAACCCTTTAGAGTACCTAAATTGCAATAACGAAATGCCTGGGGGCACATCATGTCTCATGAAATTCATCATCATTAGGCAATCCCTCGTACACTAAGAATGATAGTCCTCCAGTGTAGGGTCTTGGTGGTAGGTCCATAGATGACTATGGAGCCCTATTCTCGATCCACATGTTCTCCCGCAGTGGAAGGTGGTCCCAATCAGGGTTGGCTTGATGCACCTTCCTCTTGGCACGTTTCTCCCCTTCACCCTCCATTTGTGCCTCTTCAAATTCTGCAGCATTGCTGGTCACAGCTGACCTCCAGTTAGAGCACTCAAAAGCCAGGGTTTCCCAGTGTCTGTGTCTATGCCACAGTTTTTAAGGTTGGCTTTAAGCCCATCTTTCAGCCCATATTTAATAAGTCTTATATAAGGTTGTCTCATGAAAACTTCATATATGATTATTGCTGTTTTGCATAGATACAGAGGTGTCTTGTTACGTTTGCGCAACACACCTACATGCTGCAGCAGACACACAAACGTGTTGCGATGCACAGTTTGTAAAGGTCTGATCTAAAGAGTTAGCAAGGACTGGATGTAAAGATACAAAATAAACAGAATACCAGCTGCAATACTGAAAGCATAGATCACAGGAGAAATGGAACCAAGGCCTCAAGTTTACATTAGCAAGAGATTATAAAACCTTTTTTATTCAGTCAGGCTTTTAAAGAAGAAGGTTTTCAAGATCAAGTCAGGGGTTGCTGTAGTTTTTAGGTTTGAATATCTTATGATAATAATAATAATAATAATAATAATAATTATTATTATTATTATTATTACTTTATTTCTTTTCTGCCTCTTCTTGTGGCTTGAGGCGGGTTACAGTATACTGTATTTCCTTGAGTATAAGCCGACCCAAATATAAGCCAAGGCACCTAATTTTACCACAAACTGGGAAAACATGTCCACTCGAGTATAAGCCAAGGGTGGGAAATGCGACATCTAGTGGTCAATTACAAAATAAAAATAGACACCAAAAATTACATTAAATGAGGCATCTGCAGGCTAAATTTATTTATTTATTTATTTATTTATTTATTTATTTATTTACAGCTTTTATATTCCGCCCTTCTCCTCACCCCGCAGGGGACTCAGGGCGGATTACAGTGTACACATATATGGCAAACATTCAATGCCAATTTTAACATACAACATATACAGACATAGACAGAGGCTATTTAACTTTTTTTCTGGCCGCCAAGGAAGCTGTTGTTTTAATTGTCCATCTGCGATGCTGATGAAGCACTTCCGCATTCCCCGCATGCTTCCCCGCTGGAATGCTTTGCTGGAGTCTTCTTTATGGCCTCATAAATCAGTTAATTTAGCCTCCCCACACTTTAAGGTGGTACCTTATTTTCCTACTTGACAGATGCAACTGTCTTTCGGGTTGCAAAGGTCGACAACAGGCTACACACAATTGGTTGGAAACCCACTCCAACCTGGGCTGGGTTCGAACTCAAGACCTTTTGGTCAGAGTGATCTTAATGCAGCTGACACTCAGCCAGCTGCGCCACAATCCTGGTGAGATTGTTTTTGAATATTTACATAAAGCTGAAATTTAAGGTAAGACTCTCCAGCTCTATTTGAACCATTATTCTAACTTTCAATGTCAAATGTGCTTACGTATCCTTCCAATAATAATAAAGAGATTAAAATAATGTACTAAAAATAATAATAGAGCAAAATAATGGAAATGTACTAATACCAGTAATAATAGAGTCAAATAATAAATGTAATAATGACAATAATAAATAGAGTAAAATAATAAATGTAATAATAATAATAGAGTAAAATAATGTAAATGTAATAATAATAATAATAATAATAATAATAGTAATAATAAATAGAGCAAATAATAAATGTAATAATAGTAGAGTAAAATAATAAATTTAATAATGGCACAAGCCAGTAAAGATGGTTCCAGTGGTGATCAGCACACTGGGTGCAGTGCCTAAAGACCTTGACCTGCACTTAAACACAATCGGCGCTGACAAGATTACTATCTGCCAGCTGCAAAAGGCCACCTTAGTGGCATCTGCATGCATTATTTGCCGATACATCACACAGTCCTAGACACTTGGAAAGTATCCGACATGAGATCCAATACAACAGCCAGCAGAGTAATCTTGTTTGCTGTGGACTCTTCTTGTTCTATTTAATAATAATAATAATAATAATAATAATAATAATAATAATAATAATAATAATAGGGTAAAATAATGTAAATGTAATAATAATTATAATAGTAATAAATAGAGTAAAATAGTAAATGTAAGAAAAATAATAACAGAGTAAAATGATAAATAACTTTGACTCGAGTATAAGCCGAGGGGGGCTTTCTCAACCTTAAAAAGGACTAAAAAACTCTGCTTATAACTGAATATATATGGTAATTAAAACACGTAAGCGTTGTAAAGATACCACAAATACACATATTAAAATGTATTTTCTATAAAGTGAATTTTAAATACCAGTGTTATGATATTTAATTCTATTTTAATGTTTGTTTATTGGTAGCTTTTAAACTGTATTGAAATGCTTTTAATGTAAGCTGCTTTGAGTCTCCTTGCAGAGAAAAAAGCGGGTTATAAATAAACATAATGATGATGATGATGATGACGACGACTGGGATTTCAAGCATGTGCTCAGTTGGGTTTCAGTCTCTCTTTACTTTCTTATGTCTCTTCCTTTCTTTCTTTTCTTAGGATCCAGCAAGCAGGTGCCGAGGCCTACGCTTTAGCCCTCTCTTCCTTCTACGTCCCTTCAGTTGCTGCGGCCTGCGCCTGCTTCCTGGAGCTGCTGGGGCTGGAGAGCCTCAAACTCCGGGTGGACGTTAAGGCAGCAGGGGTCATCTTGAGCTTCATGTCCAGAAGGGAGGAGCCTCAGCACAACTCCATCCGGCAGTCCTTGGGTAGCCCTTCCTCTCTTGTTTTCATCTTGGAATGAATGCAAGCTTTGTATTTTGTGGTTTATTGTCAAAGGCTTTCACATGGCTGGAATTGTTGGGGTGTTGTGTGGTTTATGGGCTATGTGGCCAATGTGTTCTGGCAGCATTTTCTCCTTTTTTTTTTCCTTTCTGTGGCTGGCATCTTCAGATGGCCTGATGTTGGTAGAGCAAATGGAGTATATAATATACCTGTAGAATAATGTCCAGGGTGGGAGAGGAGTCTGTTAAACTAGTGTGAAGGGTGCAATTAGCAAGCTAGATTTGCAACTGTTGAACCCACCCATTAGTATGTGAGTAACCATGAAGATAACATAGTCATTTAGTGAGGGCATCTGCCTATAAGTTCCATTTGAATTGTTTAACTTCTGGAGACATGCTTCATCTGGATGGTGTTCACAGGTCCTCGATTGCTTCCCGTCTAGAGACCTCGTGTGTCTGGGTGGTGTTCATTAATTGTGTCTTGAGTCTGGTGTTTTTCAATACTGGTGTTTTTCAACCCACCCTGGACATTTCACAAGCATATATACTATTTACCGTATATTCCGGCATATAAGACGACTGGGCGTATAAGACGACCCCCAACTTTTCCAGTTAAAATATAGAGTTAAGATGACTCCCATGCATAAGACTACACCCACATATAAGACGACCCCTGACTTTTGAGAAGATTTTCTTGGGTTATAAAGTAGTCTTATATGCCAGAATATACTGTAGTTTTTATTATATGTTATGTTTTTAATTGTATCTATAACATTGTAAGTATTGAATTTTGCCCTGTTAACCGCCTTGAATTGCCTACAGGCTGAGAAATACAGTAAATATACAAATACAGTAAATAAATAAATAAATACTCCACTTCAGGTCCTCTGAATATACCGTCCACAGATACAGACTCATCCCTCAGTTGAGAATAACCACATTGTTTATCCCACCCTAGCCTCTCACTAAATACAGCATTTTATCTATCCCAGCTATGGATTTTACAATTTTCACTCCTCACACTTGGCCCAGCTTGCCCTCATTTGAATTATTGTACTGTTTTTATACTTGGTTTTATTATTTTATTGTTACTACTTTATTGGCTCATTGTGTTATTGTATAAGCATTTTTATTTGATGTTGTTGTGTGTCTTGTATGTATTGTATTTTGCTTTATTGCAATTGCTTGTGCTTGGCCCCATGTTAACCGCCCCGAGTCCTTTTGGGGAGATGGAGGTGGGGTATAAATAAAAATGTTATTATTATTATTATTATTATTATTATTATTATTATTATTATTATTAAACTAGATGCGTCCAAAGAAGACACTCTGCTGGCTGTTGTATAGGATCACACGTCAAACACTTCCCAAGTGTCTAGGACTGTGTGATGTATTGGCGAATAATGGGTGCAGATCCCAGTAAGGTGGCCTTCTGCAGCTGGCAGATGATAATTTTGTCAGCCCCAATTGTGTTTAAGTGCAGGCCAAGGTCTTTAGGCACTGCACCCAGTGTGCCGATCACCACTGGGACCACCTTGACTGGCTTGTGCCAGAATCTTTGCAGTTCGATCTTTAAATCCTCATATCGTGTCAGCTTTTCCAGTTGTTTCTCTGCAATCCTGCTGTCACCGGGATTGCAACATCGACAATCCATGCTTTGTTTTTTAACACGAAAGTGAAGTCAGGAGTATTGTGCTCCAAAACTCTGTCTGTCTGAATCCGGAAGTCCCAGAGGAGTTTGGTGTGTTCGTTCTCTGTAACTCTTTCTGGCTTGTGATCCCACCAGTTCTTTGTCGCAGGCAGATGGCATTTGTGGCACAAGTTCCAATGAATCATCTGAGCAACTGTGTTGTCCCTCTGCTTGTAGTCTGTCTGCGCAATTTTCTTGCAGCAGCTGAGGATGGGATCTATTGTTTTATCCTCTACCTTGCAGAGTCTACACTTGGGATCTGTTATCAACTTTTCAATTCTGGCTTTGATGATGTTATTTTCTAATGGCTTGTTCTTGGACTGCCAGAGTCAGGCCCTCCGTCTCTTTTTTCAAAGTTCCATTTGTGAGCCACAGCCATGTTTTTTGTCAATTATTATTATTCTTATTATTATTAAATGTGGGGTTGCCTTTGAAGACAGCCCGGAAGCTCCAATTAGTCCAATGGGCGGCAGCCATGATACTAACAGGAGCGGGGCGCAGGGAGCATACAACTCCTCTGCTGCACCAGCTCCACTGGCTGCCGATTTGCTACCGGGCTCAATTCAAAGTGCTGGCGCTGGCCTTTAAAGCCCTAAACGGTTCTGGCCCAACTTATCTATCCGAACGTATCTCGGCCTATCAGCCCACCAGGACCCTAAGATCTTCTGGGGAGTCCCTGCTCTCTATCCCGCCGGCTTCACAGGTGCGGCTGGCGGGGACGAGAGACAGGGCTTTTTCTGTGGTGGCCCCTCGGCTTTGGAACGCCCTCCCTATAGAGGTAAGATCAGCCCCCTCGCTGATGGTGTTTCGGAAAAGATTGAAGACATGGATGTTTGAACAAGCATTCGGTTAACCCGGTGCAATGAATTCTGATGATCAAAGGACTGGTAACCATGGACGACGAGATTGGATTGCGATTTCAGTTACGAGATGCAATTGGATTGTTATTGGTGGCCCAATAATTTTGTATTGTATATGTGTTTATATGCTTTTAAACTGAATATTGTGATTTTTGTATTGTTGTAAACCGCATTGAGTCGCCGATTCAGGCTGAGAAATAGCGGTATACAAGCGCAGTAATAATAATAATAAATAAATAAAAAAATGTCAGGTGAAAAAGCTGCATGAACATGGTCATATAGCCCGGAAACAACACAACATGCTACTGTCCTGTTGTTGTTATGTGTGGAGCCTCTGTGCAAAAGAACAAACAAAACAACAACAAATGGGGTCAGAACTGTTGTATGTCTCTGCTTGAAGAAAGGACCACTTTCAATGTTTATCAAAATATTTGTTCTACCAACGCAGAGTTGCAGCAGCACTGAAATGCTTTCTCTTTGCAGTTGAAAAGCTAGCGGAGCTGGCTAGTGGACAGAAGACTGCAGCGGAGGAGCTCCTTCTGTGCTTAGAGGAAGCTGTCTGGGATAAAATTGAGCACCAGGAGATAGAAAAGTAAGTGGTCAACTAGAGCTTGCCAGAAAGTTAGACTCATAGCACAAGGAGGGTGACTAAAAAAGTCAAAGGTCTGGAAACCATGAATCCCTCTCAGGAGGAGCGGTCTAAAGATCTAGGTCTGATTAACCTCAAGAAGAGAAGGCTGATAGCCATGTTTACATATTTGGAAAGGATGCCATGTTGAGAAGAGGGCAAGTCTTGTTTCCTGCTGCCTAGAGATTAGGACTCAATGGAGCCATGGGTTCAAATGACAGGGAAGGAGATCCCACCGGAACATTAAATAGGAAGAACTTCCTGACTGGGGTAAAGCAGTGGAGCACCATGTTGATTGTGCAGCTTCAGTAGTGGAACTCTCTGCCTCAGGAGATTCCTTCTTTGGAGGCTTTTAAACAGAGGCTGGATGGCCATCAGTCTGGGATACTTTGTGCTTTTCCTGCCTGGCAGAAGAGAAAGGACTGGATGGCCTTTGGTGGTACCTCCCAACTATGATTCTAGAGAGAGGTGAATGACACCTCTTACTGCTTCTTGTGGTCATTTACTGTGGCCTGTCTCCAGTGAAGCTATAGATAACAAACTGCCAGTGGAGACCATAAGTTTTTGCTAGTGAACATAAGTAAGCTGCTGTACTTGTTGACCGAATGGTTGGTGGTCCCAATCCAGGGAGCGGGGTGAGCTCCCGCTGTTAGCCACAGCTCCTGCCAAAAGTTCAAAACAAAAACATGCAGATGTGAGTAGATCAATAGGTACCTTTTTGGCGGGAAGGTAACAGTACCCCATCAGTCATGCCAGCCTTATGACCTTGGAAGTGTCTATGGACAATGCCAGCTCTTCAGCTTAGAAACTGAGATTGGCACCACCTCCCAGAGTTGGACACGACTGGACTTAATGTCAAGGGAAAACCTTAACTTTCACTATAAGTGTTTTGAATGCAGCTTTCCTTTGCAGGACGTCCAGTGATGCCAGAGAGCAGTGGTCTTTGGTGATACAGTTCTGCAGGCTCCATGACATCAAGCTGAGCACGTCGTACCTGAAAGTGTGCGCCAGGGCCAACGAGTGGCTGCAGTTTCTCATTGAGGCTCAAATGTACAGCTACCCTCCAAGTGAGGTGAGGAGCTGTTTGGGTGGGACAATATTGGTCCTACTTAGTGTCCAAATCAAGGGAAGTTGTGTCAAACGATTCTGCTTTGATTCAAGTTCATCTTAGAGTCAATATCCCTCTTAAATTGTTGGGCCTAGACACCTATGGGTTCTTCCCCACCTCCAGGTCGCCCCCCTCCTAGGGGAGTTCCCCCATCCTCTGCAGGATCACATGCGACTGGCCCTGGAGGCTCCACAGCCCTCAGATGGTCCTCGCCTGAGAGACCAAGGGACCAGCACCAACCCGCTCAAGCAGGAGCCCAAGCCGAGCTCAGGGGAGCTCTTCCACATTTTGCTGCGGTGCCAGGAACAGACGCAGCCCTGGTGCTACCTTCTAGGCGAAGCGGTGGAGCACCATGCGCCAGTCCTGAGTATGCTAGCTGCATGTTTTCAGGTATGTTTTCCTTCTTGATAAGGCAGTGCCATATGCCATTGGGTCTTACTCTGACACTCTAGAGCAGGCTTGGGCAAACTTTGCCCCCCCCCCCCCAGGTGTTTTGGACTTTAACTTCCAGAATTCCTAACAGCCAGTAAGGAAAATGTTATTTTTTGAAAAAAATGTTTTACTATTCTTATAAAACAATTATACATAAGCATAATTGCTATGCATTTTGTCCTTTATCATTCCCTTCTCCCTCCCCACTCCCACCCCCTCCCTCTTCCCTGTTTATTTATTTATTTACAGTATTGATATACCACCTTTCTCACCCCTGGGGGGACTCAAAGCGGTTTACATATAAATAATGGCAAGATTCAATCCCTTACGTTGGGCACCAATACGATTCCAATACAAACAATTACAATAGTAAAACAACAATTAAATATAAATCACAATAAAAACAATACATCAACAAACATTAAAACAATAAAATAGTCTCGTCAGTTGAAACGCCGTTCCAGTCAATGTCCCTCTAAAATGCTACATACATCTACTGTCCGAAGACCTGGTCCCAGAACCATGATTTTTTTTTCTAAAAGCCAGGAAGGAGGGAGCGGATCTTACCTCATTTGGGAGTGTATTCCATAGGCGGGGGGCCACAGCCGAGAAGGCCCTGTTGACAATGTAATCCTTTTTCCCCCTTATATGAGCCTTCTTTTGATTCTATCCAATTTTTTCTTCCATCTTTCATTATCTGGTTTAGTGACCTGTAACCATCTTTTAAATGGAGTCCACATTTCTTTAATTTTCTTCTGTTTCTCTGACCATGTTTTTTTGCTTCTTATTATGTCCATAATATCCAATTGTATTTGGTCCCACACATATTCATACCATTTTCAAGTGTCCATTTCTTTTTTTTCCTCTTTCCAACCCCAAGCTATTACTGCATGTGCAGCTCTAAACATCATCATCATTAATTCTTGGTCTTGGTCCTTAACTCTTCTGTCACCATATATTCCTATTAACAAAACTTGCATATTTATATCAAATTTTATTTTAGTATGTAATTCTATTTGGATTAGAATTTGACTCCAGAATTTTTGTATCTCTTCACACTCCCACCATAGATGTGAATACCATGCCTCCCAACTTCCACAATGCCAACATTTGGGAATTAATACCTGAATCATATGTGCCAGCTGAATTGGTGTTCTATACCATTTTGTTATTATTTTCAGTTATAATTCCTTGTATTTTTCTATTTTTTATTTTTCTATTTTTATTTTATAATCAATCTATATAAATAAAAATGTAGTGTTCGTTTGTGGGATTAACAGAACTCAAAAACCACTGGACAAATTGACACCAAATTTGGACACAAGACACCTAACAACCCAATGTATGTCCTCCACTAAAAAAATGATATTGGCATTTGGGAGTTGTAGTTGCTAGGATTTATAGTTCACCTTCAATCAAAGAGCATTCTGAACATCCACCAATGATGGAATTGATCCAAACTTGGCACACAGTTCTCCCATGACCAACAAAAAATACTGGAAGGGTTTGGTGGGCAGTGTCCTTTGGTTTTGGAGTTGTAGTTCACCTACATCCAGAGATCACTGGGGACTCAAACAATGATGGATCTGGACCAAACTCTGTTCGTTGTTCATTCATTCAGTCGTCTCCGACTCTTCGTGACCTCATGGACCAGCCCACGCCAGAGCTCCCTGTCGGCCGTTACCACCCCCAGCTCCCTCAAGGGCAGTCCAGTCACTTCAAGGATGCCATCCATCCATCTTGCCCTTGGTCGGCCCCTCTTCCTTTTGCCTTCCACTTTCCCCAGCATAATTGTCTTCTCTAGGCTTTGCTGTCTCCTCATGATGTGGCCAAAGTACTTCAACTTTGTCTCTAGTATCCTTCCCTCCTGAGCAGTCGGGCTTTATTTCCTGGAGGATGGACTGGTTGGATCTTCTCGCAGTCCAAGGCACTCTCAGCACTTTCCTCCAACACCACAGCTCAAAAGCATCGATCTTCCTGCGCTCAGCCTTCCCTAAGGTCCAGCTCTCACATCCGTAGGTGACTACAGGGAATACCATGGCTTTGACTAGGCGGATCTTTGTTGCCAGTCTGATGTCTCTACTCTTCACTATTTTATCGAGACTGGACATTGCTCTCCTCCCAAGAAGTAAGCGTCTTCTGATTTCCTGGCTACAGTCTGCATTTGCAGTAATCTTTGCGCCTAGAAATACAAAGTCTGTCACGGCCTCCACGGTTTCTCCCTCTATTTTCCAGTTGTCAATCATTCTTGTTGCCATAATTTTGGTTTTTTTGACGTTTAGCTGCAACCCGGCTTTTGCGCTTTCTTCTTTCACCTTGATTAGAAGGCTCCTCAGCTCCTCCTCGCTTTCGGCCATCAGAGTGGTGTCATCTGCATATCTGAGTATCTGACCAAACTCTACACATGAATATTCAATATGCCAAATGTGAACACTGGTGGAGTTTGGGGAAAATAGAATTGACATTTGGGAGTTGTAGTTGCTGGGATTTATAGTTCACCTACAACCACAGAGCATTTTGAACCCCACCAACGATAGCATTGGGCTAAACATCCCACACAGAACCCCCATGTGGGCCACAGCAACGCCTGGCAGGGGATGGCTAGTGGTGTAAATAAAATAAAAATGTAGGAAAAATGTATTAAACTGCAAAAACTTTGTTTTGCAAGATGTCCTTCTATAGCACATTTTGCTCTACTTTTGCATAGAATATCCCATCATCAAGTCTCACCCAATTCAACACAGTTTGTGGCAATCACAAAAACAAAGTTTCTGGAATACAACAACTACTTTCAAAGTCAGGACCGCACAATTAAACAGGAAATATCACTTTCAAACCAGGAACAGAATATTTTCCAAAGTTTGTTACATAGTGTAGTCTGAACTAACCCTCTCTTTCTCTGTGTGTGTGCCCATGTGTTCTCGCCTTGGCAGGATGCCCCCGTTATTCATTGTCTCTGTGTTTGGATCATAACATCCTTGGACTGCTCCACCACGGCCGAAGTAACGGACCACATAGAAGGCCGCCTTGAGGACCGCCAGTGGGATCTTATGGACTTGTCCACTCTGTGGCAGATGCTTCTAAGGAGGTGCAAGAGTCGAACACTTCTCCATGGCTTCCAGTTCTTCCTGAAGGTAATCTCCATCAGCTGAGGTGTGGCAGGGACGAAGGCTCTGCTGCTGGCTTTTAGGAGTATTTTTAGGAACTTTCCTAATTGTTCCCAATGGGACTGAAAGAAGCCCCCCCCCCCCCTTGCAAACAGATATCCACTTAGGTAAAGGTTTTCCCCTGACATTAAGTCCAGTCGTGTCTGACTCTGGGGGGTGGTGCTCATCTCCATTTCTAAGCCAAAGAGCTGGCGTTGTCTGTAGACACCTCCAAGGTCATGTGGCCGGCATGACTGCATGGAGCACTGTTACCTTAGTTATCTACTTAGTTCACTCTAATTGAAAGGCCTGCCTCAGACCTTCGTGCAGCAGGACTTGGGAGCAGTGGGGGAATGTGATGGGCCTGTCAGAAAATCCATTCATATTGGGTAGCTGTTAAAAAAACATTCAAAATAATTTTACTACAGAATAGATACTGCTTTCACCAGATATATTTTTGTTGGAACTAGCAAATGGTATCATCAGTAAGAAAAATATGGGTTTCTTTCAGAATGAGTCAGTATTTTATATGGTTTTAATCTGTTTGATTGATTGATACAGTACAGTCTCGGTTATCCAACATAAACGGGCTGGCAGAACGCTAGATAACTATTAGATAATGGGGAGGGATCAAGGAAAAGCCTATTAAACCTTCCCCTTCCTGACTCCTCCAGGTCCCGGCTCCCTACCCCACTCGTCCCAGCAGCAAAGGCCGCCCTCCCTCGCTTGCTCACTCACCTACCTTTGCCGTTGCCACCAGGACGAGGAGCCGGGGCCCGGAGGAGGCAGGAAGGGGATGCCAGGCTCCATGTTCTGCCACCGCCTTTGCCCAGTCAGTGATTGAGCAAGGAAGGGCAGGTGAGTGAGCGAGCAAGCTTTTGACGCCTTCCCTCTCTCACTCACCCGCCCTCCCTTGCTCACTCACTCACTGGGCAGAAGCGGCAGCAGAACCAGGAGCCTGGTCTCCTCTTCCTGGCGGCAAAGACAAAGGGAGGGTGGGTGAGTGAGCGAGCGAGGGCGGCCTTTGCTGTCAGGACGAGCAGAGTAGAGAGCTGGGGCTTGGAGGAGTCAGGAAGCGGAAGCCAGGCTTCTGATTCTGCCACTTTTGCCACCCTCCCTCACTCACTCACCGGGCCGGGTCCCAGCAGCAAAGTCGGTGGCAGTGGCAGCAGTGGCATCCGTTGGGAGAGGCAGGACAGACTCGCGTGCCGGGTGGGCCCACTGTACTTGATTTTTATGTTGCGGTGCCTCGCCGCCAGGAGTGGCAGGGGTAGTTTCTGTGTTTTTTATGGGGAGGGGGGATAATATGGAGTGTCAGATGAGTGGAGGTTGGATAACTGGGGCTCTACTGTGGCCCTCATGCTGTTTGGGCCTCCAACTCCCAGAAGCCCTAGCAAGCTTGTTCAATTGTCAGGAATTCTTGAAGTTGAAGGCCCAAATAGCTGGAGGACTACAGTTTCAGGATGCCTGCTTTTCTGTATGTGGTTAAATTGCTTGTATGTTTACATTGTTTATATTTTGATGATATGTTTTTTATTGTTTACCTGTGTAGCATTGAATTTAATCTGGCTTTGTAAGCTGCCTTGAGTGCCCTTTGGGGTCGAGAAAGGTGGGGCAGAAATGAAGTAAATACATAAAGTAAATAAATATAACAGCTGCCTGAAGAGTTTTATGCCAGACACTGGAAAGGAAGTATTATTCCATCTGTGAGTGAATGAATGACCAAACAGCAAAACTTTGCAGAATTTGATAAACTAACTTGTCTTCTTAGAAAGAAGACAATATTTTCAAAATAATGGGAAGCCTTTTACCGAATGTATCAGTAGAACATTTAAAAACTGATCCATAAAGGCGTCGAATGATTAAAACTACATTGATAGAAAGAAGAGCAAGATTATGATCAATGCTGTACAGTTAAGTCACCTTTAAATACTTTACGTAAAATTTACACATATATAAAGATACATTGCTTGATAGGACAAATTATTGTAAGACTGTTATCTTGGTATAGGGTCAGGAAATATTCTTGTAATTCTTTTTCATGCCAGAAGTGACTTGAGAAACTGCAAGTCACTTAGAATCATAGAGCTGGAAGAGACCTCACGGGCCATCCAGTCCAACCCCCTGCCAAGAAGCAGAAAATTTGTATTCAAAGCACCCCCGACAGATGGTCATCGAGCCTCTGTTTACTTCTAGTGTGAGATGTTGCCCAGGGGACGCCTGAATGTTTTGATGTTTTACCATCTTTGTGGGAGGCTTCTCTCATGTCCCTGCATGAAGAGCTGGAGCTGACATAGGGAGCTCATCCGTGATCTCCCCAGATTCGAAGCTACAACCTGTGGATCTTCAATCTGCTGGCACAAGTGTGAAATTGCTACTCTTAACTGGTGGCTTTATACACCAATGGTTATGTTATAATGTGTACACTTTGGAAACAACAACTATTATTATTATTAATATTAATATCCATGCTAAAATAAAACAATCATGCAGCCAACTTGGGATGTTTCTGTATTAAGGATTCCCCTCTGAAGACGGTGCTCGAAGTGTATGAGTTATGCATGGACTACAAAAATTACAGCGAAGCCCAAGCCAAGCTCCTTGCGTTTCAAGCCAGCCTTTCGGAGGTAAGACAGAAGGTGGTTCATCCTGAGTAAAGGGACCCCACAACCTTCAGATTTAGGAAACCCAGTTGCTTCGGGTGTCTGTTTTCTCCTGGCCCAAGGAAGAGGTTATCCCTTGGATGATCCCAAAGGCAGACGCCAACTCCTCTCAGGGAAAGGTTTGTGTAAAGAAGTAGAAGGAATGACGAAGTGACAGTTTGTTTCCTAAGCCTCTGTCGGCTTCTGGGTAGCTGAGTTGAGGAAGGAGAGGGATCTTTTCCGAGCCTTGCTTATTTATATTTTAAATGGTCCAGTAAAAAAGCAAGAGAATTCTGGGGCAATTTGAAAATAATAACATAGACCTTGTAAAACTTGCTTTCTTCTCCTACAGCTTCGAGCTGCCCCTTTGCAGTCAGATGCCCCGCTGCCAGTGCCGTGGTTGGAGTCGCAGGCCTCATTCCTCCTTGGACTGATGCTGCAGCAGTGCAGGACTGAGTACGAACTGGGGAAACTCCTCCGGCTTTTTGCAGATGCCAACACGGTTCTTCCTCACGGTAAGGATGGCTTTTCTTCTCTTTCCTTATTGAGGTTTCCTGGTCCAGGAAACCTGTTGCTAGATGCATCTTTTTGAATTCATTTGTTCCCAGTTTTTCAGCATTCGGTCTTAAGAACCCCTTGAGCGTGAGGCGTGAGAAAATAAACAAAGGGTTTATCTTCTCAAGCAATTCTGCATTTAGGCCTGTGCTGGATGGGGTTACACTCCCCCTGAAGACGCAGGTTCGCAGCTTGGGAGTGATCCTGGACTCAACGCTGAGCCTGGAACCCCAGGTCTCAGCAGTGGCTGGGAGAGCTTTTGCACAACTAAAACTTGTGCACCAGTTGCGCCCGTACCTCGGGAAGTCTGATCTGGCCACGGTGGTCCACGCTCTTGTTACATCCCGAATAGACTACTGCAACGCTCTCTACGTGGGGTTGCCTTTGAAGACTGTTCGGAAACTTCAACTAGTCCAGCGAGCGGCAGCCAGATTGCTCACCGGAGCGACATACAGGGAGCATACCACCCCCCTGTTGTGCCAGCTCCACTGGCTGCCGATTCAGTTCCGAGCACAATTCAAGGTGCTGGTTTTGACCTACAAAACCCTGTACGGTTCCGGTCCAGTGTATCTGTCCGAACGTATCTCCCTCTATGTCCCACCCCGGAGTCTGAGATCATCTGGGGAGGCCCTGCTCTCGACCCCACCACTGTCACAAGTGAGGCTGGTGGGGACGAGGAGCAGGGCTTTCTCAGTGGTGGCCCCTCACCTGTGGAACTCACTCCCGGGGGAAATCAGGGCATCATCATCCCTCCTCGCCTTCAGGAGGAGGGTGAAAACTTGGTTATGGGACCAGGCCTTTGGGCACTCTGGCAATTAAATCAGACAATCAGGCAAGTAAGACCAGCAGGATGGATGAATGGAACGAAAAACTAGATCTAGGTGTTAACAAACGCTGACCATGTAAGAGGAGAAACTGGGTTTGTATTTGGTTTTAATGATTTTATTGATTTTATGGTTATAATGCATGCATGTCAACTGTGAATTGTTGTAATTTTGTGTACGATTGTTTATGATGCAGGCATCAAATTGTGCCTTGTTTCTGTAAGCCGCCCTGAGTCCCCTTCGGGGTGAGAAGGGCGGGGTAAAAGAACCCCAAATAAATAAATAAATAAATAGGCCTAACAGAATCCCTTTAAGATATTTTTGTGCCATCCTGAAATCACAAAAGAATGATTCCAGGGTGGGTTGTTGTGAGTTTTCTGGGCTGTATGGCCATGTTCCAGAAGCATTTTTCCCTGACATTTTGCCCACATCTATAGCAGGCATCCTCAAGAGGTTGTGAGGTCTGTTGAAAACTAGGCAAGTGTGTTTTATATATCTGGAATGTCTTGGATGGGAGAAGAACTCTTGTATGCTCGAGGCAAGCATGAATGTTGGAACTGGCCAACTTGATTAGCATTGAATGGCCATGTAGCTTCAAAGCCCGGCTGCTTCCTGCCCGGGGATCCTTTATTGGGAGGTGTTAGCTGGCCCCAATTGTTTCCTGTCTGGAATTCCCCTGAGAGTTGTTATTTATTTACTGTCCTGATTTTAGAGTTTTTTAATATTGGTAGCCAGATATTGTTCATGTCCATGGTTTAAATAGTGGAGTTAATGTAAGATAAATGATTTTAATGTTTTAATGTTTATATATGTGCACAGTCTATTTATGCTCAGCGTTGAATGTTTGCTGCTTATATATTGTGCTCCATCCTGAATCCCCTTCGGGGGTGAGAAGGGAAGAATATAAATGTTTTATATAAATAAATAATAAATTCCTCCTTTCTATTGAAGTTCTCCACAATTGTACTCAAACAGACAGACAGGAGTTCTTTCTCCCACCCTGGACATTATTCTACAGGCATATAAACCTCACTTGCCTAGTTTCCAACACACAACCTCTGAGGATACCTGCTATAGATGTGGGTGAAACATCAGGAGAAAATGTTTCTGGAATATGGCCATACAGCCCGAAAAAACTACAGCAACCCAGTGATTCCGGCCATGAAAGCGTTCGACAGCAGATTCCAGGGTGGTTTACATTTTTCTAAAAAATGGGAACGTATAAAATATTGAAATATTTTCATGGAGCTAAATTGTTAAGTGAATTCTAATGTCTTTGCTTGGTTTCTGACAGATGGATGACCTTTGTTCCTCGTTTAAATGCTTCTTGTCTTTAAAAGTCCAGACCAAACTGCCTTCGGATTTTAAAACCTAATAATCATATCTAATATTTTCTATATTATTCCAGATTCTTCTCTGCAAATCTGCCTTTTTAAATGGGATTTTGTCCTCTTTTTCTGGACTCAGGACCCAACATGAGGAAGCTGAGCGCCCTGAGCGACATCTTAATGGGCTCCCCAGTCTCCATGGACCGTGCCCTTTTCCACAATTACTCCCCTGAGAACTTCCAGAAGGAATGCAGGAGGATTCTGGAGCAGCTGCAGGAGAGGAGTGCTTTTTCCGTGGCGCGGAGTGTGGCAGAGCTGGCGGGGCTTCCTGTGGACAACGTGGTCATCCAGGAGGTGCGCTTGGCCATGTTTCTCTTTCCAACGTAGTTGTTTCAGGAAACAGCCTCCTCTCACACATCTCCATCACCTTGCCTTTGAACTACTTGCTGTCATTGAATCTTGCTTTACTTTGTGTCATTTTAGAATGATTTCTCAATGAAAAGCACTCTTTAACATAAGTACTATATTTCACAACATAATAGTTGCACTTTTGATCCCTTTTTAATATAAAAAAGGAGATGCGACTATTATGTGAGGAAAAGAAATCTGTCTTTGTTTCTCTGGTTTCTGTTTTTATTTATAAAGTGCGTTACTTCTGAGAAAGAAGAGGGAGGATCCAGCCTCAAACCAACCGCTCCATTTTTATTTTGTTTTTTAAACTGTCTTAAGGCCTCAGAGAAAGGAGGAAGGAAGATTCCCTTTCCCTCCCCCCCCCCTCCCTTTTTTCTCTGAAGGCAAGGCAGTTTACAAAATCTGAAATGGAGCGCTTTGCAGATAGGAAGGAATATCTGAGATCTGGAGATCTCCATTTCAGTTTTTTAAAAACTGGATTGCCTTCAGAGAAGGAAAGAAGGCAGGATCAGGCTCAACGGCTCTGCGACCATTATATGAAAAAAAGAAAGGATGGAAGCCTATTTTTGAAGCCACAAAAGGGGGTGCAACCATTATGTGGTGGCGACTATTATTTGGCGAATTGCAGTATTTGTGTCTGCTGGCAGCCATATCCCAGGGATCGTGTTGCCATCTTGTACTGTTTTCTGCACCCAAATGAGTGCCAAGTAGGAAGTGAGAGGCAAGGGAAAAGAAGGAGATTCAGAAGCCAAGGGGGTCCCAAATGGCCCCCTTTCCAGAGGGAGTAAATATAAAGATGTCCTTCCCTTAATAACCCCTGTGCTGCATTTCTGAGTCATTCAATCCAGTTGTTTTTGGGCGGCCCTTTTACCTCTCTCTGTGTGCTTTTCAGGCCTTCCAGAGCATTGAGCATCTCAAACAGATTGGCCACTGGGCCCAGGAGCGGACGAGGGCTGAGTTCTGGAAGAAGTGCCACGAGAACTACGTGCAGAATGCCATCTCTACTGAGGCCGCATCCGGCTTCTTCCTGGCGCAGGCTGACAGCGTGGTGGAGTCCTCCGAGGGCGAGCAGTGCTGCGTCCTGCTGGAGAGGCAGCTCCTGCTGACCCTGGCCGGTCACTGGTTGGCCAGGGGTGACCCCATTCCGCTCGATGGCCTAGAGCGCATCGAGAAGGAGATCTGGCTCTGCTGTGTCTCCCAGCAGACCTTGAGGCGGAGCGTGGGGCAGGCACCGGACGACACCTTTTCCACCCCAGTTTTGGCCACTGGTGAGCTGTCCTTTGGCTCCTTGGCCAGGGAGTTCTCCTTCTCCAAGATGGCCGCTTTGAATACTCTGGCATACCTCCGGCTGGAGGGCCTGCCTCTCCCGGGAGCCTCTCCTGACCCAGTTCTGGGGGAGGAAGGGCAGGCGCTGGACTTCCTTATCGGCCGACTACTAGACGAGGGCTCCGTGCACGAGGCCAGCCGCGTCTGCCGCTACTTTGGCTTCTACAGCAGGGACGTGGCGATTGTCCTCCACTGCCGCGCTCTGGCTTCCGAGGAAGGCCCCCAGGACTGGTTCCACCCAGAGATCCAGGAGATCCTTGGAGCGCTAGAGAAGGGAGAAAGCAAGGAGGAGAAGGAGGCAGCCCAGAAAAACCGGCCACAGAGCAGTGAGTATTAGGTTCATCTCCTGAGATCCAGCTTCTCTCTTTGGTGTGTGTTGGGAGGGTAGCACTGACCTGACCTGCTCTTCCCTGTCCTGTCTGCTCTTGCTCGTCTTCTGCCGGTGTTGGAGGCCTGTTCCAGGCAGTGGGGCACCTCCATCCAGCCTTATTCCCTTCATTTTGCTTTCAGCCTCCAGCCTGGAGAGCTGGTCCTCTGTGGGAGCCTTGAGTGTGAAAGATAGTGCAGTCGCAGCAGGCCTGCAGGCCCTGACAGCCGAAAGCGTCCATGGGCGGAACTACTGCCGGCAGGTCCAATGCCTCTACGAACTGGCCAAGGTGTGCATCTGATGGGAGAAAGGAGGCAGGAAGTAGGCCGTGGGTTTGGCTCTCTGCTTTTGTAACTGATGAGTAGCACGCTCCCCTCCTTCTCTTCAGGAGCTGGGCTGTTCCTTCAGCGACATCTCCTCTCACGATCCTGAGAGGCTCCTGCGCATGATCCTGTCCTCTCAGCGGCCAGATCGGTGCCGCAGGGCCCAGGCCTTCATCAGCGCCCAGGGGCTGAAGGCAGAGGATGTGGCAGCGCTTGTGGCAGAGGAGGTCCTGCGGGAGCTGCTGGCACCTTCGCTCCAGAAAGACATTAGTAAGCCTGCAGTTTGTCTTGATGTGATTATTTCTTGCTGGGCAAGTGGGCTCCCCATAAATGTACAGCAGAGTAACTTCTCAGCAGCAGCGTGACTCAGCACCAGTAGCCGAAAGTGATAAAAAGAACAAAAACACACAGACCAATGTTATCCCTTCCATAGGAGGCTTTTCTTTGTCGCAAAATAATATAGTTACATTATTTACAAGAACAAGGTTTCCACAACACAAATAAAGTCTGTTATACTTCCTTCTTTACTTCCCTTCTGGGCTTCTTCCTCATTCAGATAAACAGCTTCACTCTCACACATCCTCCTCTCACAACAAACTTATACTGGAGCTTCACACAGTAGCTTTTTACACACAGCAGCCTTTATAGTGGAGCTTTACACATGAGGCTTTACACACGAGACCTTCAACGTGGAGCTTCTCTCACCAAAGCTTCTCACACCAGGCCTTCCAACACTCTGCCTTCTCATAGACTAAGGCTACCTCACACTGAGGCTTCTCTCACAGACAGACAGAGACCTTTCTCCCACTGAGGTTTACCTCAGACTGAAGCTACTAAGCTACAGGCACACCTGCTTATATAGAACTGCAGCTTTTGCTGAGTCTTTGCATCCATTTAACCCTTTCAGTGCTTGACTCACATTTTTGTAATTAAAAATACCTAGTTAATTTTTAATATTTCTGACATGTTTGTCCCAGCCATGTTGAGCTGGCATTTCTGTCCTGTGGAAGATGGTCTTGGCATGAAAGTGGAGCTGCTTTCTCAGGCGCAGGCGGGCAATGAAAGCGTTCCCGGAACTGGAATGGAACAGGGTGCTCTTCACTCACAGTCTTGTCTGTCTCTCTGTCCAGGTCAAAAACAAGTCTTGAATCCCGCAGAGGAGAGCAAGACCTTCCTGCAACTGGCCAAACTCTGCCCAGACCGCACTCTGGTTGGCATGAAACTTCTGGATAAAATTGCACTGGTGCCACCCGGGGAGCTCGCCTGCAGTAAGTGGAGGAGGACAAGGGAGGGGACCATGGGGCGGCCCTACTATTACACTATGTAACATTATAAATTTTGTTCCTGGGTTATCAGTGTCATTCCCTAATTGGTTCTATCATCAAAACATGGGGAAAGTTTATTAAACTGCAAAAACTTTGTTTTTGTGGGAGGGACATTTAGCTATAGTGTTTCAATGAATATGTCATCATTGAGTCTCAACCACTTCAACCTAGTTTGTGGAAGCCACAAAAACGAAGTTTCTGGAGTAGAACAACTATTTTCAAAGGAAGGACCGCACAATTAAACAGGAAATAACCCTTTGAAACTAGGAACAGAAAAAAAATCCAATTTTGTTTCATAGTGTTATGGAACCTTCCGCAAAGTGGTCTCTTGTGAGGAATGACCCAAGTCCATAGGATGTCTCTTCCAAGCAAAATATGGGGAGGGTTTGGCCAGAGGAACCTCCTTGTGCCCTTTCCTACCGTTTACTTCCTATGTGTGCCACTGTAATTGTGGGTAGTTGGAGCTGGATGGGGAGGCCTGTAGTTCTCCATGGGGCCAGTTTGAGTTTACGGGGTGGCTGCTGCACTTCCCTATGATGTAAACAGTCACAGGGAAAGGGGTCCTATTCTTCTATCTAGCTATTCCCATACTTGCAACTGAGTCCTTTGGTATCTCAGAGGGGTTCATGACACTGTTGCCATTGGGCAGATGAGGGTCCATTCCAGGCCAGTTTTTTTTTTTTTTTTTTGCTTTGCATTTCTGTGGGATGACTGGTGGGGCCTCCTCCTCCTCTCCTTCCTCAGCCACAGAGCTCCTGATCCTGGCCCACAACTGCTTCAGCTTGACCTGCCACATGGAAGGGATCACGCGCGTCCTCCAGGCTGCAAGGCTGCTCACCGAGGAACACTTGGCGCCCAGCGAAGAGTACGGCCTTGTGGTAAGTGGCTGACCCCAAAATGCCTTGTGTGCAGACCCCTCTTGCCAACCATTGTCCTGCTTCCCCCCAGCATCTCTCTGCAGCCCAGATGACATTCAAGAGGCTATGAAGGCCTGCACGGAAATCTTCTCCCCACAGTGGCTCTTTTTGTGTGTCAGGAGCGACTTGAGAAATTGCAAGTCGCTTCTGGTGTGTGGAGAGAATTGGTCTCCTGCAGGAGATGCCCGGATATTTTACCATTTTACCTAATTGGTTCTATCAAAAACATGGAAAAGGTTCATTATGCTGCAAAAACTTAATTTTGTGGGACATCCTGTAGCACATTTTGCTTTAGTTTTTCAATGACTGTCTCAACAAAAAATGCAGCCACAAAAAAGGAAGTTTATGGAGCATAACAACTTTTAAAGTAAGGATCGCACAATTAAATAGGAAATAACACTTTCAAACCAGGAACAGAACATTTCTAAAATTTCATTACATAAAGTAATAGAGTTGGAAGAGACCCAATGGGCCGTCTAGTTCAATTCCCTTCTGCTATGCAAGGAAAGCACAATCAAAGCCCCCCAGACAGATGGCTCTTTCCTTCCCATCCGTGTTTGTGGGGCTTTTCCTGACGCCAGGGCTGTTCCTTCCTTCCTCCAAGGTCCGTCTCCTCACCGGCATCGGCAGGTACAATGAGATGACCTACATCTTTGACCTGCTACATGACAAGCATCACTTTGAGGTGCTGATGAGGAAAAAGCTGGATCCGGTGCGTACAACGGGGGCTGACCCCCTCTTCCTTGGTCTCTTCTAGCCCTTCCATCAAGGGCACCCAAAGGGCGGTCAGGGGCATTTTGTCTTTTTAGAAGCCCCCACTTGCTTTCCTAACACCCTGCTGCCACCATCTGCTTTGCAGAGCGGGACCCTCAAGACGGCGCTGCTGGACTACATCAAGCGCTGCCGCCCCGGAGACAGCGAGAAGCACAACATGATCGCGCTCTGCTTCAGCATGTGCCGGGAGATTGGGGAGAACCACGAGGCAGCGGCCCACATCCAGCTGAAGCTCATTGAGTCTCAGCCCTGGGGTGAGACCCTCTGGGCCGCAATGGAAAATGGATAATCGGGAGGGGCTTTGACTGCAGCGGATGGGAGAAATAGCAGAGTGATGAGAAGGGAGGTAGCAGAACGTCTGCTTCCAAGAGGGAAACTGGGTTTGGGGAGTGTGATGCTGATGCAGAAGGGGCACATATGTCTGAGCATCTGCATGGGAATCCACCAAACCTTGTCCAAAATGGGGATTTACTTAGCTTTGGGATCCCAGCTTTTCCTTCTGCTCAGCTGGTGGGGAAAGTTTATAGAATCATAGACTCCTGAAGTTGGAAAAGACCTCATGGACCATACAATCCAACCCCTTTCTTCCAAGAAGCAGGAAAATCACATTGAATGCACCCCCGACAGATGGCCATCCAGCCTCTGTTTAAAAGCTTCCAAAGAAGGAGCCTCCACCACACTCCAGGACAGAGAGTTTCACTGGTGAACAGCTCTCACAGGATGTTCTTCCTAATGTTCAGGTGGAATTTTCTTTCCTATATTCAGAAGCTATTATTCCATTGCGTCCTAGTCTCCAGCGCAGCAGTAAACAAGCTTGCTTCCTTCTCCCGATGACTTCCCCTCACCTCTTGATCCTTGGCCCTTATCATGTCTCCTCTCAGCCTTCTCTTCTGCAGGCTAAACATGTCCAGCTCTTTAAGCCGCTCCTCATAAGGTTTGTTCTCCAGACCCTTGATCCTTTGAGTCACTCTCCTCTGGACACATTCCAGTTCCCTTCAAAGGTGGTGCCCAGAATTGGACACAGTGTGATTCCAGGTGTGGTCTGACCAAAGCAGAATAGAGGGGGAGCAGGACTTCCCTGGATCTAGGCACTAGACTCCTGTATATGCAGGCCAAAATCCCATTGGATTTTTAAACTGCTGCATCACATCCAAGATCTTTTTCACAAGTCCTTCTGTCGAGCCAGGCATTGTCCCCCATGATCTTTTATGAGTTGCCAATCCTCTCTGGCAGTTGTCCCATTGCGTTGCCTCAGTAGTTGGCCTAAAAAGGTGGGGTGGCTGTTGATAATCTCCACAAAGCTTGCCATGAGGGAATGCATGCTTGTGCCCAAGTCATCCCTGCTGACTGCCTCCTCTTACCTCTGGATTGGGCCCTTAGGCTTAGGGATGGCAGCTTCGTGCCCTTCCAAGGCCTTCCACCCCATCGGCCCCCCCTCTCTGCCTCTCCTTTCCAGAGGAGTGCCTCCAGAACGTGCCAGGCCTGAAGAAGCTCCTGATGAAAGCCCTGACGCTCTTCATCGATGCCGCTGAAAGCTATTCCAAGGTAAATCTGAGTGGTTGTTGGGGGAATTGGAGTGTTCCGACTTCATGGGTCCTTGTCTCTCCTTTTTAACTCCTTTCTTTCTCCGTCTCGCTTCAGGACTTCTGTGTGCGCCAATCCTTACGCTGCAGCCGCCTGACCAAACTCATTACGCTGCAGCTGCACTTCCTCAACACCGGCCAGAGCACCAAGCTGATCAACCTGAGGAGGAAGAGCCTGCTGGAGTGCATCATGGCCCTGCCCAGGTTCTACCAGGTGAGTGAGGGTATCTCCTGTCTTCTGCCAGGGATCGGCCATTCAGATACCTCCCCAGGCTGACTCCATGCTGGGATTTGTCTCCTGCAGGCGGCCATTGTGGCCGAGGCCTATGACTTTGTTCCAGATTGGGCAGAAGTCCTCTGTCAGCATGTGATCCTGAAGGGCGACTTCAACTACCTGGCAGAGTACAAGCAGCGGGGACTGCTCAAGGCCAGCACCATTGAGGAGATTGCCTGCAAGTGAGTCATGTGGCATTAGCTCTTTGAGATGGGAGATATAAAAACATGGTTTGGTTTCTGTTGAAACACTTCCCATTTTCTTTGTTTGCATGCCCTAAAATCATAAGATCAGAAGACACCACATGAGCCATCTAGTCCAATCCCCTTCTTCCATTGAGGAAAAGCACAAAGTACCCTTGACAATTTTTTTTGTCATGTCAGGAGCTACTTGAGAAACTGCAAGTCGCTTCTGGTGTGAGAGAATTGGCTGTCTGCAAGGATGTTGCCCAGGGGACGCCCAGGTGTTTTTTGATGTTTTATCACTTGTGGGAGGCTTCTCTCTTGTCCCTGCATGAGGAGCTGGAGCTGATAGAGGGAGCTCATCCACACTCTCCCCGGATTTGAACCTGCAAAGTGTCGGTCTTCAGTCCTGCTGGCGCACAGGGGTTTAACCCACTACGCCACCGGGAATTATACACTCCCATACTTTCTAAACAACTCTGATGCATTCTTTTGCGAGACTGTTGTAAATGAGATTAGTGAACTCTTAAGTATGCTTTCTGCTTTTATCCGCCCCATCTACACTGCCATGTAAAAAACAGTGTAGAATCATATAATCCAGTTCAAAGCAGATAATCTGGATTTTATATGGCAAGTACATGGGTCCTCAGATTGGCACACTGTCAGGGGCCTCCTTCACCTGGGAGGGCCCCAGAATATTGGCCCTTTGCCACAAAGGTGTGCCGACAGGGAAGAAAGCGGCAATTTGCAGACATATTGTTGGAACTGGGGTGCTGTGTGGTTTCCAGGCTGTGCGGCCAATGTGTTCTAGCATTTTCTCCTGACGCTTCACCTGCATCAGTGATTGACATCTTCAGAGGATCTGATTATAGTAGAAGCAAGTGGAGTATCTATATCTGTGGAATGATGTTCAGGGTGGGAGAAAGATTATTTGACTACCTGGCTTTGGATCTATACACAATAGTCATCTAATGTTTACATATGTTGTTTTAATTTGATGTTTAATTGCTTTTAATTGTTGTTGTTTGGGCATGGAAAAATGCCAATTATGTAAGCTGCCCTGAGTCCTCTTCAAGGTGAGAAGGGTGGGATATAAATGCCATAAATAAATAGACCTATATAAATAAAAATGCAATGTTCGTTTGTGGGATTAACATAACTCAAAAAACACTGGACGAATTGACACCAAATTTGGACACAATACACCTCTCAGGCCAATGAGTGACCATCACTCATAAAAACACTGTAAAAAACAGCAGAAGGAACTTAAAAAGCCAAAAAACAAAAATTACATTACAACGCATGCGCAAAACCACATATATACACAAACATACATATATCCACATATACACAAACATACACACACTCATACACACACACACACAAAACACATATACAGAGACTGGGCCACAGCAATGCGTGGCAGGGGACGGCTAGTAAATAAATAAATAAGAGCCAGTACTGAAAAGCACCAAGATCAAGACAGTAACTAATGAACACCACCCAGGCACAGGAGGTCTCCAGGCAGTAAGCAGTCAAGGGCTAGTGAACACCACCCTTGCTAAGGATGTCTAAGGCAGTAAGCAATTCAAAGGGAACAAAGGCCGCACCACTTCTATGCAGATGCCCTACTCACATACTCATGTGTAGATCCCACTTAACACTTGTAAATCTAGCTTGGTTAACAGACAATGATTCTTTCTCCCATTCTGGGCGTTCCACAGTTAGATATACTCCACTTGCTTTACCATCATCAGAGCCTCTGAAGATGCCAGCCACAGATGCAGGTGAAACGTCAGAAGAAAATGTTGCTAGAAGACAGCCAGACAGCCTGAAAACCACACAATACCCCAGTGATTTTTGCTGGGAAAGCCTTCAACTATCTATGTTGTTGGAATGTTTCCTTCTTGCGCCGCCGTTGTGTGATGAGGCAGGCTTCTCCTTGCTGATGTTGCACCTCCTCCGTTCCAGGTCCAAGCAGCACCCAGGCAGTGAGGCAGCCCTGCGGAACCTGAAAAAGCTGCTGACCTACTGCGACGACATCTACGTCTACTACAAGCTGGCCTACGACAACCAGTTCTACGACGTGGTGAACATGCTCCTCAAGGACGCCCAGACCGGCTGCTGCCTGAATGACCTCCTGGCAAACTAGGCTGCTGGGTGGAAGAGCTGGACTAGAACGCAGCTGCTGGGTGAGCTGCTGAGGTTTTCAGTGTCTGAAAGAGACCAATCACGCTGCAGCGGTCGTCCCCATTTCATGGATTGCTGTAAGCAGCAAGGAAGAGGTTTATTAACCAGTTGGGGAAAACCAATGTTTGTATGTCTTCATATTGGAGCTCCTTTTGCGCAACCCCAAAAGGAAGAAGGCCTGCAGCTGTATTTCAAAAAGGAGTAGTGCACTTTATCTTCAGGAACTGTATTTTGCCCTCACAGTGCAAATACACCTAAATATAGACACAAAAGGACGGCTTGCTTGGTGTTTGTTCAGTGTTAATCATGGACCTATTAAAACAGAACATTTGTAGGACTTGGTTTTCCTTGGCTGTTTGCCTAATGCGTTCCAAGAATGGTCTAGGTACAGGTGAGTCTCAGAAACCTCCTAAACCTCTTATCTCAGGGCTCCAGATGGACCTTTCCCAGGAAAATTATGTTTATTTATACCCCTCTGAGCCATCCTTTTAGAACAGTTCCTGGCTCAATGCAGAGCGACGTGTTGCAATTTGACTCAAAGTGTGCTGGAAAAGGGTTACAACTGGATCTAGATGCACCAAAGAGAGAACCAAGTCCCACCGGGGAGTCTGTATATGGGCTTATGGAGTCCCAGAAGATAGATGCCTGCTGGTTTCTTGGGTAGGATGGCTCATTGTGTTCCTAGGATACCATTCTCTACAGCACTTAAACAGTAGGTCCTGACCCCAAATAGGGTACCCTTAACTCACTGTTCAGGGTCATTTTGTTCTGTGTCAAGAGCAACTTGAGAAACAGCAAGTCGCTTCTGGTGTGAGATAATTGGCCATCTGGAAGGATGTTGTCCAGGGGATGCCCGGATGGGTTACCATTCTGTGGGAGACTCCGCTTATGAAAAGTTGGAGCTGATAGGAGCTCACCCCACTCCCCGCATTTGAACCGTCAACCTTTTGGTCAGCAGTCCTGCTGGCACAAGAATTTAACCCATTGTGCCACTGAGGCTCCATTGGGGGTCATGGAAAATGTAAACAAAAGGTTTCTGAATGCCACCTAGTGGCCGTTTTAGGCATTGACATGAATCTGTTGTGCAGTGTTTACAGTGAATTCTGGAGAAGCAGCTTCAACTAGATTTCATAGAAAGGGAAATCAGCTTGTTAAGCAAGTCTTGAAAATGCAGATTTATTTTCAGCAAATGTTTGGTTTTTACATCTTTTACAAACCTATATACAGGGTGAGGCAACATAACTTCTTTTTCAAAACTTAATAAAACCCATTGTATGAATCAGAATTTTTTATTTTTATAATGTAGGTGTATACCTAAAGTTTTGTTTTACGTAGTTTTGAAGATCAAGTTAGGTAGGTGACGTCCCCCATTCTCTACTGAGTAAGCCGATTTCTGGCATTTGTCATGACTCTTGCCAGCATAGCAGCCGTTATGTTGGCAATTTCTTCCTTGATGTTGATCTTCAAATCTTGTAGGGTCCTTGGATGGTTCACATAAACACGGGATTTAAAAAAAAAAAACAATAGAAAAAAATTACAAGGGGCCAAATCTGGAGAGCGGGCCGGCCACTCCAAATCCGCTCGAAAAGTAGGCCTCAACGGCAAAAGCACGCTCTTCACTGTTCCTATGCATGATGGCGACCGAACTGTGTCAGGACAAAACTTTATACTCCCGCCTCTCGAACGAGACCACTAGCGCTCCGCTACGTCCTCAACCAACTGAATGGCGCGCATTTTTAAAAAGGAAGTTATGCTGCCTCACCTGTATAACCCCTCCTTGTCTCTGCAGAAGATGCTTCAGCTATACTTCAGGAAAATGGAAAACCAGCCAGTTTAGCAAGCCTTGCAAATGCTGGTTTTGTTATCTGCAAATGTTTGGGATTTATACCTATTTTATCCAGTTGTGTACCCAGAGTCACGTAAAAGTTTATCAGGCCAAAAGAGGTCCTGAGTGGAAAAGTTTAAGAAACTCTATTTCTTAACTGTATGTATGCATGTGTATGTGTGCACACATACACAGAGGCTAAAATGGTACCAGCTCACAAGTCAAAGGGTTTTGTCCTCTGGGACAGAAGAACTGCCTCTTTCAACCTCCACCACTTAGAAACACAGACAACATGCTGCCTTTCCCAGCAAATCACCTGAAGTAAATAGCACTATGTAACACGATTCTTGTACCTGGATTATATCATTTTCTAATTGGTTCTATCATAAAAATATGGGAAAAGTTTATGAAATTGCAGTCGTTTTTCAATGAATATCTCATCGAGTCTCAATCAACTAAACCTAGTTTGTGACCGCCATAAAAATGAAATTTCTGGAGTAGAATGACGACTTTCAATGTAAAGGCCACACAATTAAACAGGAAATAACACCTTCAAACCAGGAGCTTAACTTTTTTTTTCAAATTTTGTTACATAGTGTAATCATATTGTAGCTGCCATCAACCCAAGGTAAGACGGAGTTGCAGTCGCGGCGCATAGAGCTGTCCAGCTGAGAGAAGCATTTCCCAAAGGCAAAGCACAGCCGGACCCAGGGCCTCAGTCCTCACAATAGAGATTTTATTAAATTAGTTGCTCTTATAAAACATTTGCAGATGTCATAATTGTTAACATAACAATTTTGTCCAACTGTTGCAGCTCGCTAAGCAGGATTCCTGTAAATGAGAAATAAAAAAATAAACCCAAAACAGCCAAAAAAGTCTTGTGAGAGGTCAACTAGAGCCTCCGCCCAAACGCAATGGCGGTGGCAAAGAGCCAGAAAAGGAAACCAAACTGGTCAGGTGCCAGCGGAGGATCGCCCCCCATTTAATGTTTCCCTTGCTATTTTTCCTGCATGGAAACGGAGGGGCCCAAGTGCACCCTCTTCCCCTCCTCTGGCAGCTTTCCAAACCTCAAGCAATAATGAAATAGAGATTAAAGCCTTTAAGAAAGAAACCTAAATGCACGCCTCGCTGCAAACGGCTGTCGCTGTCTGTGGGAGAGAGGTACAGTTTAAGGCGGTTACGACTAAACAAGCGCCATTCTGGCCTTGTCGAAACTAATTTCCCAATTTGCTGCTGCTTCTGCTCTGAAGCCACACATTATCTGTTAATTCCTATGATCGAACAAATAACTGAGCTGCATAATTTTGCCCCCCTCCCCTTGCATCGAGAGGCCGAACGCTGACAAGGTGGAGACCCAGAGCACAAAGATACTGCACTTTCTTTTTCCCCGATTGTAGCATTTGGCAGAATTTAAAAGGAAAGAAGTTGTGCTACACATTTTGAGGGATTATGGGCAACAGAAGGACAACAGAGAGGAGGAGGAGAAACGTCACATGAAGTCTTCAAAGTCCTGGACATAGCCGCCGTCGTAGCCTCCGTAGTCCGCCAGGTCGTCCTTCATGGTGGCCTTCAGGCCTCCGCCCGGCACCACCCCTTTCTTCTTCTTCTTGGCCTTGTTTTGCTAGAGGAGAAACGAGAACCAGACCAGGATTTAGGAAAAGGAAGCCCCCTCCTCTAGAAATAGCATTTGTTCTGTGCTGAAAGATTGCACTATCTAACAACATTTGAAAATTTTTCTGTTCCTGGTTTGAAAGTGTTATTTCATGTTTAGTTGTGTGGTGGTCCTTACTTTGAAAGGAGTTGTTCTCTTCCAGAAATTTTGTTTATGTGGCTGAATTGGTTGACACTTGATGATGAGAGATTCTGGGTTGCTGTGAGTTTTCCAGGTTGTATGGCCATGTTTCAAAAGCATTATTTCCTGATGTTTTACCTGCATCTATGGCAGGCATCCTGAGAGGTTGTGAGGTCTGTTGGAAACTAGGCAATTGGGGTTTATAGATCTGCTAATCAGGGTGGCCCAATGGCAATATTCACACCTGACTCAAACAGACAAGAGTTCTTTCTTCCACCCTGGACATTCCACAGATATATAAACCTCACTTGCCCAGTTTCCAACAAACCTCACAACCTCCAAGGATTTCTGCCATAGATGTGGGCAAAACGTTAGGAGAGAATGCTTCTGGAACATGGCTATACAGCCCACAAAAGTTACAGCAACCCAGTGATTCCGGCCATGAAAGCTTTTGACAACATAATGAGAGATTCACTGAAAAACCAGAGCGGAAGGTGCTATAGTGTTTGCAGTTTAATAAACTTCTTCCATTTTTATGATGATAGAACCAATTAGGAAATGACATTTATAACCCAGAAACAAAAATCATGTTACATACTGATATACCACATTTACCCAATTCTAATGACATTACCTTCCCAAAAGTAGGATGCACATTATATTTGCTTAATATAGTAAATACGTGCTTGGATTTCAGTGTTTTGAAAATTGAGGTGCGTGTTAGATTTGATGGCGCATTAGACACAAGTAAATACGAGTAGTTGGCCCACGAATCCTCTATCTATGGATCCAAGGCCCGTTGAAGACAACCGTAATAAGGCTCCATAGAAATGAGCTTGACGGCCCTGATCTCAACCAGGGTTGAGGAAGTGGTGCCCAAGGCCACACTCCTAGTCCTCACAGGTCTTCCTCTTTGTAACCCCATTCATTCGCTAAGATAATGATGATGATAATCTTTATTTATACCCTGCCACTATCTTTCTGAAGGGACTCGGGGCGGCTCACAGAAGCACTCCAAGTGCCGAACGTAAAATAAACAATACATAAGCATATAAACAATGACAACATAAATTTACAACAGCAAAAGTAATATAATAAAATTTTAGTACACCTACAGGCTTGATTCAAAGGAGAAATCACCTCACCTTTTCTTGTTTTTGCTTCTCGCTGCATAGCACAGTCAAGGAATTTGTGACCTTTTTCAAGTCATCGACTTCCACTAAATTGGAAAGAAAAGCACAGGGGGGAGGTTTCAAGGAATCGCACTGGCTGGCAACAATTAGGCATCACTGGCTTAAATACACAGATTCCAGCAACTTCCAATATTATTTTATTCAATGGCTCCATTTATTCCGCCTCTCTCCCACCATGGAACCCAAGTCAACATTCGAGCCACTCAAAGGGTGGCCGCTCACAGATTTTAGAAGCAGTAGGTCCAATGGCCCTTCCCCAAGATATACTTACACGAAATGCATATATCTCGAACTAGCGTTTCCAAAAAACCAGGGTAATATAGGGATTTCTCGTACTGTGTTATTTTTTCTTTTAATAGTTTGCCAAATTCCGTAAAGTCATCTTTCGAAGAGGGATTCATGGCATCTATTCCACATGTGCTATTTACACCTGTAGAATGAAAACTCGACGGTTAAGAATTGCTCACTGGTGATGCCGTTTGGCATTTAACGAATGCATGAAGCAAGGATGGTTATCTGTGAAGTCCTAAAAAAGGATGGCGGCTGCTTTTACGATCCTGCTTTCAAGCAGGACACAGAATGCAGCAGGGTATGCTCATTCATGCTCACCAAAGGTTTCTTTTGCTAGCTCCAGATCTGCCTCTTCTTGCAACTTCTGAAGCCGTAGTTTATCTGCTAGCTGTTCTTCTGGTGTAAGTTCTGTCGATTCTTCCGATGCCTCTAGCTTAAGAGAAGATAAGACAGCCCACTTCAGCAGCACGGAGTGACACTTTCCCCGGATTCAGCACTAAACTCCCAAAAATGACGCAAACGCAACAGCGGGTGGAAGCGTCCCATTCATGCACACAAGCAAACGACAAGGCGTTTTGTATCATCCCTCCGTAAACAATGGTTTCAGAAAGGCACCAGAGGTTAAGAGAGCTAGCATAAAGTCTACAGAGAGGCACCAGCTTTATTCCACTCTTGAGGCACATACAAAGCAAGGCTCTGGAAGCCTCAAGGGCTTTTTGGAGAAAAATCCTTCTCACTAAAAAAGGTGGAGAGTGGCTCTTGATTGAACTGCATTCGGAGAGATCTATGGGCATGCAGAATTATTATTATTATTGATAATAATAATATCCTGCTTTTCTCCTTCAGAAGCCATACCCTGTCTCTCCCATCCAAGCCTTTCCCCAACCCACCCGGATTCATAGAAAAGCCTTTCCAGGCCCCATTCCTCTGCTGGACATAAAAGGGAATGGTCAAGCTCTAAGGCCTGGCTTTAGCACACGAAGCAGAAGCCGCTTCCCTAGCTCTCGCTCAGAGAAGCCTTACCCTTTTTTTAATCTCCTCTTGCTTTTTCTTCTGCTGTTTTTCCCTCTCTTTAATTTTTTCTGCTATTTTCTTCTTGTCTGACACTTTGGGTTCTGTGAACAGTGCATACGATCACACACATATATTACACGTTAGTTTTTAAACGCCAAGGGCTTTTTCACCCACCGGTCAGGAAGCCGTGACCAGCCTTTGATAAGAAAGGGCGCAGGGCCTCCTCCCCCATATTTCTTACCTGTCTTCACCTCCTCCTTTTCCTTCTCCTCTTCCTCCTCCTCGTCATCCCAGTTATCCTAGTACACACAGACAAGGGGGGGACGGGGGACAAGTGGCGCTAGTTATCAGCAGAATGAAATGCCACTTCAGAGACAGTTCAGAGACAAAGGCAAGGCCCAGCTAGCTGCACACTGGGTCTTCAAAAGCAAGAAAGGAAACACGGGGCCACATTTCCCACTGGGCAGGTTTTGCCCCTTTAGGGCACAGCTGTACTTCACAAGCCAAGCTGGCAGAAGGGGACAATATTGCAAAGGGAGCAAGGCTTGTTTTCTGCTTCCCTCGAGACTAGGACTCAATGGAGCCATGGAATCAAATTACAGGGACGGAGATTCTGCCTGAACATTAGGAATAACTTCCTGAGCATAAGAAGAGCTGTTCAACAATCTGTCTCGGAGTCTGGTGGAAGCTCCTTCCTTGGAGGCTTTTGGATGGCCGTCTGTCAAGAGTGCTTTGATTGTGCTTTACCTGCATGGTAGATTAAAGAGGGCTGGACTGGATGGCATTTGGGGGTCTCTTCCAACTCTAGGACTCTATATCTCATATATCATATCAGTTTATCATATCAATGGCTGGATGGCCAAGCTGGGAATCTTTTGATGGTGCATTTCCTGCCTGGCAGAAAAAAGGCAATGGATGGCTTTTGGAGGACTCTCCCAACTCTAGGATTCTATGAGCAGCCTTTTGGTCCAGGAATTCCTAGAATAGAGCCAAGTGGAAGGTTCTCCATGGAGGTTAGATTCGTCTCTTTCATGCTAGCCTTAGGGTCAAACTCAGCTGGACAAAGAGGCAGTGGAAAGAGAGAAAAGCAAGAGGCACAAGGCTGTGATGGCTGAGCCAAGCATCACTGATCACAAAGAGATGCCAGTCTTCTCTGAAGCCTCTGAATTGGCTGCCAGGTAAGCCTTCTTGCCAGGGCATTTAGAGGCATCACATGGCACAAGGCTTCCAAAACTGGAACTACGCATTCTGCTTAATTGCTAACTCCAAACAAGACTATAATTAACAAAAGAAAAGAAACTGAGAGAACCTGACAGTGTGCGAAGAGCACTGAATCCAACCAGGAGGGGAAAGATGCCCATTCCCATCTTGGCAGTGTGCTCCAAAGTCTTTGCTCCCCTCTCTGTCTAAGCTGGAGCCACAGGGAAAAAGCCCATTAGCCACAAAAGGGTCAACTCTCTTTAAAAAGACAGAGAACAGGAGCCAGTGAGGAAGGTCTATTACAGGCCTCATCAAACTGCAAACCCCCCAGAAGCCCCTATAGCCAACTTGTTCAAGGGTCAGGGATTGTGGGAGTTGGAGGGCCCCAAGTTGAGGAAGCCTGGTCTTAAAGCAAGCATCAACACTCTCCTTCCCAAACAATGTGGTGCAATCAAGTTACATCAGATGCCAACCATGAGGCTAAATTCCCAGGAGTTGAGTCACTCGCTTCCGTGAGTAAACAGAGTCCCTTTTTCAATTGTAAAAAAGTTTGGAGATGATAGAAACAGTTTTGCTACACCACAGAAAAAAGAATCCTAGAGTTGGACCACAAGAGCCATCCAGCCCAGCCCCATTCTTTCTGCAAGGGAGGAAAAGCACAAACAAAGCCCTCCTGACAGATGGCGATCCAGCCTCTATTTCAAAGCCTCAAAGAAGTTTCCACTAAACTCCAAGGCAGAGAGTTGAAGAGCTCTTCTTCCAATAAGGAAGTTTTTCCTAAGGTTCAGGCGAGTTACTACAAAAGACCAGACTATACAAACTAGATAAGTGATGTGTTTGTGGGCTTATCTTCCTTTCTGTCCAGCCCTTTGAAGGCCAGGACACCCCCCCCCCTTTGCCACCCACCTTCTCTCTGACCATTGAGCTTTTTCCAGCCACAGCGAGTCTAATGTCCAGGGCTCCACCAACTCAACTCCGTGGCTCTGCCCCAAAAAGCCCCCTAGAACAGCGCAGTCCGATGGGCATGGAAGTTGAGACCCCTCTGAAAAATCCTCATTTAGCCACTTCCGCCCTTCTTCCCCGAAGAAATCACAAAACCTTAAAGTTGGAGGAGGCCCTGCACTATATAACTCTTCCAGGAGTGAATTTCCCTTCATGTTGTGTCAGCCCTATTCTTAACTCGTGAGTTAAGTCAGATGTTTGTAACTTGGGGATTGTGATATGGTGTGTGTGTGTACACATATGAGATATATAAAGTATCATAGATTTGGAAGGGACCCCCAAAGGTCATCCAGTTCAGTCCTCTCCTTTCTTCCAGACAGGAAGATACCATTGGGATTCCTTTTCCTGCTCTTTCATCCCTGTTCTGAACTAAGAGTCATTTGTAAATTGGATGTTTGTAACTTAGTAAGAGAGAGAGAGAGAGTATGTATGTATGTATATGTATATGGCTGGAGTTGCACTTAAAAATGTCCCTGCTCCAACTTACAAACAAATTCAACTTAGGAACAAACCCAAGGAAGCTCTCTTAGTTCATAAGTTGACATTTGAAGTCTATCTCCAGCTGTCTGTACAGAACCTCTCGTTTGTAAGTTAATCTCCCCCTTCGAGGGAGATAAAGCAGAGTATAAATAAATATCATAACAATAGTAGTAAGAAGAAGTTGAGGACTGCCTGTATAATAATAAATCTTTATTTATATACCACCCTATGTCCTCAAGGGGACTCAGGGCGGTACATATATTGCAATATATATTTGAAGTGTAATTCCAGCTGTATATATGAATTGAATACATTATATATATTTGAAGTGTAACTCAAACCTCTCTTGTTTGTAAATTGGGGGCTATTTATCACGTCAGGAGTGAATTGAGACTAGTTAAAATGTATAAAAATGACCACAAAACTTGGCATGATGCTAAATGACCTTTGACAAGAAGCTGGCCACTGGTGTCGCTGTGAGAGGGTGCATGTGGCAGGACTCAGACTGCATTGTAGCAAGTGGTTGGGAGGCCCTGGTGATGTCAGCTCCAGCTTCCGCTTTTTTTTTTCATGAGAAGGAGCAGGGTTTTTTTTTTTTTTGCTGTGTCAGGAGTAACTTGAGAAACTGCAAGTCGTTTCTGGTGTGAAAGAATTGGTTGTCTGCAAGGACGTTGCCCAGGGGACGCCAGGATGTTTTGATGTTTTACCATCCTTGTGGGAGGCTTCTCCCATGTCCCCCCATGGGGAGCTGAAGCTGACAGAGTGAGCTCATCCACGTTGACTGAAAGGTAGGCAGTTCGAATCTGGGGAGTGGGGTGAGCTCCCGTCTGTCGGCTCTAGCTTCCCATGCGGAGACATGAGAGAAGCCTCCCACAAGGATGGTAAAACATCTGGGCGTCCCCTGGGCAATGTTCTTGCAGGCGGCCAAATTCTCTCTCACACACCAGAAGCGACTTACAGTTTCTCAAGTCGTTCCTGACATGAGAAAAAAATTATATTAATATGTTTTTAACTCTACGTCTTAATGACTAAATGTTACTTTTTATGATTTAACTGATAGTTATATATTATTGTGGTTTTGTGTTAGGTTACATATGCATGTAAGGCTTTACATCTATATAAATAAAAATGTAATGTTTGTTTGTGGGATTAACATAACTCAAAAACCACTGAACGAATTGCCACCAAATTTGGCCACAAGACACCTACTAACCCAAGGAGTAACCATCACTCAAAAATTAATGTTGTCATTTGGGAGTAGTAGTTGCTGGGATTTATAGTTCACCTACAATCAAAAAGAATTCTGAATTCCACCAATAATGGAACTGAACTAAACTTGGCACACAGGACTCCCATGACCAACAGAAAACACTGGAAGGGATTGATGGGCATTGACCTTGAGTTTGGGAGTTGTAGTTCACCTCCATCCAGAGAGCACTGTGGACTCAAACAATGATGGATCTTGACCAAACTCTACACGAATACTCAATATGCCCAAATGTGAACACTGGTGGAATTTGGAGAAAATAGAATCTTGACATTTGGGAGTTGTAGTTGCTGGGATTTATAGTTCACCTACAATCACAGAGCATTTTGAACCCCACCAACAATAGAATTAGGCCAAACCTCCCACACACAACTCCCATGTGGGCCACAGCAACGCATGGCAGGGGACAGCTAGTATCTATATAAATAAAAATGTAATGTTCGTTTGTGGGATTAACATAATACACCTCGACATTTGGGAGTTGTAGTTACTGGGATTTATAGTTCACCTACAATCAAAGAGCATTCTGAACCCCACCAATGACAGAATTGGGGCAAACTTCCCACACAGAACCCCCATGACCAACAGAAAATACTTAGGGCCATTCAGTCCAACTCCCTTCACTAGGGCAAAACGTAATCAAAGTCCTCCTGACAAAGAGCCATCCAGCCATAGATTTAGATAGATAGATATGATTCACACAAACACAGATAAAGTATCATAGGTTTGAAAGGGACCCCTAAAGAAGGACAATTATAAGTTGCATGTTCCAGAGTAGGCAAACCAGACAATCTACCTGCGTGACCGCATTTCCATCTACGAACCCACACGTTCACTTCGGTCATCTGGAGAGGCCCTGCTCGTGATCCCACCGGCGTCGCAAGCGCGCTTGGTGGGGACACGGGACAGGGCCTTTTCCGTGGTGGCCCCCCAACTCTGGAACACCCTCCCCAAAGATCTTAGACAGGCCCCTACATTGGCTGTCTTCAGAAAGAACTTGAAGACCTGGCTTTTCCGATGCGCCTTCCCAGATTAGGAAATCCCCACTACCAAGTCCCATAAGCACTTTATCAGAACCAATGATCGCTGCACATCGCACTTGCCCTGGAAGCCCTATATACACCTGTCACATCAGCACTTTTAATCTTTGTACCCATTCTCTGGCCCGGTCGTGTTTTAGTGTATTGTGCCTGCTGTTTTGGTTTTTTTTTTTTTTGCTTTATTGTTTTTAATTTGTTTGATTTGCTTAGATTGTATTGTTGTGTTGTGTGTTGTGTAAGCCGCATCGAATCCTTCGGGAGATGCTAGCGGGGTACAAATAAAGTTTAATAATAATAATTAAATAATAATAATCTCCATGTCAACACTGACAAAGAAACAGCAAGAAATACTGTTTACCCAGAAACATAAAGGAATTACATATATTAGAAACCAACACTTTCTCATTACTGTATTTTCCAGATCACCAGACTGGGCCACAGCAACGCCTGGCAAGGGGACGGCTAGTAATTTATATAATAAGTGGTTTGCTCTTTACTTCAGCGGCTGAGGATGGGATAGGAATAGGCCTGAGGGTGTGAGGAAGTATGGGAGTTGGAGTCCAAAACAGCTGGAGGGAGGGCCCAAGTTGGCCCAGGCCTGCTACAGAGCCCTCCTTGGTGAAAAGGGGAGGGAAGAGAGGCAGAGCGAGGCCTTTCCCACCTTGACGTCCTCGTCCTCGTCCTCCCCGGCCCACCGGTCTCCCGCCGCCGCCACGGAGGGCGTGGGCAGCCGGGCCTGGTGCCGCCCGTCCTCCTCCGCCTCCGCCGCCGTCGTCTCGAAGGAGTCTGCGCCGGAGAAGGGAGAGGGTGTCAGCGGGGGCCGAAAAAGAGGCCCTTCCTTCCCACCTCCAGGCCTGCCTTCCCGGCCACACTCACCCCAGGAATCCGCCACCGCCGCCATCTTGGTTCTGCCTCAGGCCCGTCAGGCACTCGCGGCCAAGGCCGGAAGAGGAAGAGCCAGCCGCCCGCGCGGGGGATGCCGGGAGGAAAAGGAAAAGGCTGCGATGGGGCGGGACCTAGATAAACCACGCCCCTTCAAACAAAGCCACGCCCCCTCCAGCCATCCTAGAGCAACAACAGAGATGGCAAGCTATTATGTAGCCTCAGCCATTCCTCTCCACTGTACGGAAATGGCCCTTATTTCTCATCATGCCAGGAAGGGAATGCTCAAGATCCTGCAAGGAAGACTCCAGCAAGACATGGAGAGAGAGTTGCCAGATGTCACCTCTAGAGAGTTGCCTTGGTCACCTCTAGAATGGATTACTGCAATGCGCTCTACGTGGGGCTGCCCTTGAAGACGGCTCGGAAACTTCAATTGGTCCAGCGGGCGGCAGCCAGGATGCTAACCGGGGCTCATTATCAAGAGAGGTCTACTCCTCTGTTTAAGGAACTCCACTGGCTGCCATTTACTTTCCAAGCCCAATTCAAGGTGCAGGTGCTCACCTACAAAGCCCTGAACGGTTTGGGACCACCCTACCTGCGTGACCGCATCTCCATCTACGAACCCACACGCTCGCTCCGGTCATCTGGGGAGGCCCTGCTCGTGATCCCACCCACGTCGCAAGCGCGCTTGGTGGGAACACGGGACAGGGCCTTCTCTGTGGCGGCCCCCCGACTCTGGAATGCCCATCCAAAAGATCTTCGACAGGCCCCTACCTTAGCAGCTTTCAGAAAGAACCTAAAAACTTGGCTGTTCCGATGTGCCTTCTCAGATTAGGAATTCCCCATCCCAAGTCCTAGAAGCACTTTAGTATAATTAAGATTGCTGCACACCGCACTATTTTAATCCTATGTTCCTCCTGCCATTTCAGCACTTTTAACCCTGTACCCACTGCTCTGGCCGGCCCAGTTTTAACTGTTTTGATGTATTGTTACTAGTGTTGTTATTCTGCTTGATTTGCTTTGTTTATTATTGTGTTATGTTTCTATTGTATTGTGTTTTGAGGCTTCGGCCTGTGTAAGCCGCATCGAGTCCTGCGGGAGATGCTAGCGGGGTACAAATAAAGTATAATAATAATAATAATAATAATAATAATGTTCAAGCTGGGTTTAGAAAAGGCAGAGGAACCAGAGACCAGATTGCCAATATCCCATTGCTGGATAATGGAGAAAGGCAGGGAGTTTCAGAAAAACATCTTGACACCTTCACCATTTGGAGCCATGGAGAAGAAGAACTCAACAGGTTCCTGGACCATCTTAACAGCATCCACCCAAACATCCAGTTCACCATGGAAAAAGAAAATGAAGGAAGACTGCCTTTTCTAGATGTCCTAGTCATCAGCAAACCAGATCAACAATTGGGTCACACCGTCTACAGAAAACCCACACACACAGATAGATATCTACATAAAAACTCCAACCATCACCCAAGTCAAAAAAGAAGCACCATTAAAGCCTTGGCAGACTGTGCAAAAAGAATCTGCGAACCCCACCTCCTCCAAGATGAACTGAACCACCTCAACTGGGCTCTCCAGGCCAATGGATACTCCACCTCAGACATCAGAAGAGCTGCAAGACCAAGAACAAGCCACGAGAGTAAAGATGAGATCCACCCAGAGGAAAAGTGTTCTTGCCATACATCAAGGGAACCACTGACCGCATAGGGAAGCTGATGAGGAAACACAACATACAAACAATCTACAGACCCACCAAGAAAATCCAACAAATGCTACGTTCAGCAAAGGACAAGAGGGATCCTCTCACTTCTGCAGGAGTCTACCGTATACCATGCAGCTGTGGACAAGTCTACATAGGGACCACCAAACGCAGCGCCCAGACACGCATCAAGGAACATGAAAGGCACTGCAGACTACTTCAACCAGAGAAGTCAGCCATAGCAGAGCACCTGATGAACCAACCTGGACACAGCATATTATTTGAGAACACAGAAATGCTGGACCACATCAACAACCACCATGTCAGACTACACTAAGAAGCCATTGAAATCCACAAGCATGTGGACAATTTCAACAGAAAGGAAGAAACCATGAAAATGAACAAAATCTGGCTACCAGTATAAAAAACTCTAAAATTATAACAGTTAAAAAACAGAGAGGAAAAAACCAGGCACAGATTAACACCTCCCAGCAACAGATTTTCCCAGGCTCAGGCAGGCCTTCAAATGCTAATGAAGGTGATCAGCTAAACATTCACACCTAACTGCAGCAGGGAAGAGCTACTTGCCCCACCCCAGCCATTCCACAGATATATAAACCCATTTTTCCTACTTCCAACAGACCTCACAACCTCTGAGGATGCTTGCCATAGATGCAGGCGAAACGTCAGGAGAAATGCCTCTAGAACATGGCTCTATAGCCCGAAAAAACCCACAAGAACCTAGTGATTCCAGCCATGAAAGCCTTCGACAATACATATACTTCTGCTTCATTGACTATTCTAAAGCCTTGGACTGTGTGGATCATCATAAATTGTGGCAAGTTCTTAGTGGGATGGGCATCCCAAGCCCTTCCCTCTCTCCTGAGGAATCTGTACAAGGACCAAGTAGCAACAGTCAGAACTGACCACGGAACAACAGACTGGTTCAAGATTGGGAAAGGCGTACGGCAAGGCTGCATACTCTCACCCAACCTTTTTAACTTGTATGCAGAACACATCATGCGATGTGCGGGGCTGGATGAATGCAAAGCTGGGGTGAAAACTGCTGGAAGAAACATTAACAACCTGAGATATGAGACGCTAATGAGTCACTTATTGATGTTGATTGATGTTTATTGATGCTAATTGTTTAGTATATTATTGCCTTAATTGTTTTTATATGGTCTGTATGTTGTTAGCGTTGAATTTTTGCTGCTGTTTGTTATTAACCGCTCTGATGTCGCCTAAGGGCTGAGAAGAGCGGGATACAAATAAAGTAAGTAAATAAATAAATAAATATGCAGATGACACCACTCTGATGGCTGAAAGCGAGGAGGAGCTGAGGAGCCTTCTAATCAAGGTGAAAGAAGAAAGCGCAAAAGCTGGGTTGCAGTTAAACATAAAAAAACCAAGATTATGGCAACAAGAATGATTGACAACTGGAAAATAGAGGGAGAAAACGTGGAGGCCGTGACAGACTTTGTATTTCTAGGTGCAAAGATTACTGCAGATGCAGACTGTGGCCAGGAAATCAGAAGACGTTTACTTCTTGGGAGGAGAGCAATGTCCAGTCTCGATAAAATAGTAAAGAGTAGAGACATCAGACTGGCAACAAAGATCCGCCTAGTCAAAGCCATGGTATTCCCTGTAGTAACCTACGGATGTGAGAGCTGGACCTTAGGGAAGGCTGAGCGAAGGAAGATCGATGCTTTTGAGCTGTGGTGTTGGAGGAAAGTGCTGAGAGTGCCTTGGACTGTGAGAAGATCCAACCAGTCCATCCTCCAGGAAATAAAACCCGACTGCTCACTGGAGGGAAGGATACTAGAGACAAAGTTGAAGTACTTTGGCCACATCATGAGGAGACAGCAAAGCATAGAGAAGACAATTATGCTGGGGAAAGTGGAAGGCAAAAGGAAGAGGGGCCGACCAAGGGCAAGATGGATGGATGGCATCCTTGAAGTGACTGGACTGACCTTGAAGGAGCTGGGGGTGGTGACGGTCGACAGGGAGCTCTGGCGTGGGCTGGTCCATGAGGTCACGAAGAGTCGGAGATGACTGAACGAATGAACAACAACAAATCTCTCTCCAATGCCAGAGATGCAGCTTAATGGTGTAACATTAGAAAATGTTCACCATTTCCGCTACCTTGGCAGCCACCTCTCCACCAAAGTCAACATTGACACTGAAATACAACACTGCCTGAGCTCTGCGAGTGCAGCATTTTTGCAAATGAAGCAGACAGTGTTTGAGGACCGGGACATCCGTAGGGATACCAAGGTGCTTGTCTATAAAGCTATTGTCCTCCCAACCCTGCTATATGCCTGCAAAACGTGGACTGTCTACAGACGTCACATGCAACTCCTGGAATGATTCCATCAGCGCTGCCTCCGGAAAATCCTGCAAATCTCTTGGGAAGACAAGCGGACAAATGTCAGCGTGCTGGAAGAAGCAAAGCATCGTATTGTCGAAGGCTTTCATGGCTGGAATCACTGGGTTGTTGTAGGTTTTTTCAGGCTATATGGCCATGTTCTAGAGGCATTCTCTCCCGACGTTTCGCCTGCATCTGTGGCAAGCATCCTCGCTACCTCTGAGAATGCTTGCAGGCAAAATGTCAGGAGAGAATGCCTCTAGAACATGGCCACATAGCCCGAAAAAACCTACAACAACCCAAAGACCACCAGCATTGAAGCGATGGTCCTCCGCCATCAATTCTGCTGGACCAGCCACGTTGTCCGGATGCCCGACCACCGTCTCCCAAAGCAGTTGCTCTACTCCGAACTCAAGAATGGAAAACAGAATGTTGGAGCAGGAAAAGAGATTTAAAGATGGGCTCAAAGCCAACCTTAAAAACTCTGGCATAGACACTGAGAACTGGGAAGCCCTGGCCCTTGAGCGCTCCAGATGGAGGTCAGCTGTTACCAGCAGTGCTGTAGAATTTGAAGAGGCACAAATGGAGGGCAAAGGAGAGAAACGTGCCAAGAGGAAGGCTCAAGAAAAGAGGTTTAAAGATGGGCTCAAACCCAACCTTACAAACTCTGGCATAGACACTGAGAACTGGGAAGCCCTGGCCCTTGAGCGCTCCAGCTGAGGTCAGCTGTGACCAGCAGTGCTGCAGAATTTGAAGAAGCACAAATGGAGGGCGAAAGAGAGAAACGTGCCAAGAGGAAGGCGTGTCAAGCAAACTCCAACCAGGACCGCCTTCCACCTGGAAACCAATGCCCTCGCTGTGGGAGGCGATGCAGATCAAGAATAGGGCTCCAAAGCCACCCTGGAGGATTATTCTACTCGGATAACAAGGGATTGCCTAAGTAAGTAAGTAAGTAAGTTAGCCTCAGCAGTAGACTGAAAGCAAAAACCGAGGACACAGCAGCATCTATTATAGAATTCCAATATGCCGATGATAATGTGGTCTGTGCTCACTGAGAACAAGTTGGAAATGACAATCTTCTTCAGGCCTTCTCTAGTAAAGGGTTGCTGTGAGTTTTCCAGGCTGTCTGGCCATGTTCCAGAAGCATTTTCTCTTGACGTTTCGTCTACATCTATATCAGGCATCTTCAAAGGTGGTGAGGTCTGTTGGAAACTAGACAAGTGAGGTTTATCTATCTGCATAATGTCCAGTGTGGGAGAAAGAACTATCAATGGCACTAATTATTATTGTTAATTTTTATTTAATATTATTTAGTATGATTACTTTATTACTATTTTGACTATTATTATAGTCAAAATAAAGAGCAAACCACAAATAGGTGGGCCCCAAGTTACGAAGTAAAGAGCAAACCACAAACCACTTATTATATAAAATTTTTAATTATTATTTACTTCACCTGTATACCGCTTTTCTCACCCCAAGAGGCGACTTAAACGTATTTATGGCAAAATATTGTTATTTAGTATGATTCACTATGTAACACAATTTGTATTCTTGGGTTATCAATGCCATTATTATTATTTATTTATTTAGTATTGTTATTATTATTTAATATGATTTACTACGTAACACAAACACATTTTTTCCTGGGTTGTCAAAGTCATTAATAATTATTACTAATTATTTATTTAGTATTTAGTATTATTTAATATGATTAATTTATTATGATTATTATTGTGGCTATTAATATTTTGTATGAATCAATATGTAACACAATTTTTGTTCCTGGGTTATCAATATCATTAATATTATTAATTATTTAGTATTTATTATTTTTATGATTATTATTAATTAGTGTGATTATTTTATTATTGTGACTATTGTTATTATTTGGCATGATTCACTATGTAACACAATTTTTGTTCCTGTGTTATCAATGTTATTGATTTATTATTATTATTTTTATTTTTATTTTACTGACACAAAGCCACAGTATGTCACAGTAAACAAGATCTATATGCTGGATTTCGTATCAAAAAATCACAAGTCGAACACTTTCCAAGCGTCTAGGACTGTGTGATGTATTTCTGAATGATGCGCGCAGATTCAAGTAAGGTGGTGTTTTGCAGTTGACAGATGATTTTGTCAATGTTTATTGTTTCCAAATGCTGGCTGAGATCTTTTTGCACGGCACCCAGTGTGACCCCCACTGGGACCCCCTGGACTGGTTTATGCCAGAGCTTTTGCAATATTTATTATTATTATTATTATTATTATTTAATATTATTAATATTTGATATGATTCACTATGTAACACAAACAAGGTTTTTATTCCTGGGTTATCAATGTATTAATTTATTATTGCTATTTATTATTATTTAGTATGATTATGATTTACTATGATTATTATTATTTAGTATGGTTAACTGTGTACCGTGATTTTTGTTCCTTGGTTATAAATGTCATCTCCTAATTGGCTCTATCATTAAAAACATAAGAAAAGTTTATTAAACTGTGAAAATTTTGTTTTTGTGGGAAGGCCACCCTGCAGCAGCAGCACATTTGGGTCTAATTTTCTCATAAATATCTCAACCAATTCAGCCTAGTTTGTGGCAGCCACAAAAAGTTCTGGTGTAGAACAACTACTTTCAAAGTAGGGACTGCACAATTAAACAGGGAGCAATACATTCAAACCAGAAACAAAAAAAATTAAAATTTTGTCACATAGTGTTATTAGTGGGCTAAACATGCGCTTAGCAAACATGCCAGCCGACAGCTGAGAAGGCCTTTGGTGTGGCATGGTGCTTGAAACAACCAACAATGCATTCTTTGCAATCAGAAGGTAGGAGCATTGAGCAGATGGAAAGTGAAGGCAGAGATCAATGGCTGGCCTGTACGTTTGGATCCTCAAGACTGCCAGAGCGATTTATATTTGAACAAAAAGTGGCAACCTACTCTGCTTTAGTAATTGTGGGTCTGCAAATCATTCTGCTGCTGCTGGCCTTCCAAAATAAATGCTCAAGAGAAGGGAACCCCCATCCTGGGTTTTCCTCTCCTCTTGCAAACCCCACCAGAACCTCACGGGAATCGATAATTTCAATGAGCATGAATTAACCAATAGAAATTCCCTCTCCTCCAGCAACAGCCAAGCCCCGTTGGATCTGAACCCTCAGGCAGATGAGATATTTGGATAGAACCCTGTTGTGTTTTGTTCAAACACGTCAGAGCCGATATGTGCTTGCTAAAAATGATAGAACTATAGAGTTGGAAGAGACCACCAGGGCCATCTAATGCAATGCCATCCAGGAAAAAGCAAGGAGGAAAAACCCCTACAAGGTCTATTACAAAGAGGCTGCAGAAAATCTGGACAATATAGAGGATTTATTATGCAAGTAAGAATTAAAGGGGCAAAAGGTGAGGGAATACAAGGGAGGTCTATGCACCCTTTTGCTATTCATTACTGCTCAATAGTGGAACTCTCTGCTTTGGAGTCCAGAAGAGGCTCCTTCCTTGGAGGGTTTTCACAAGAGGCTAGATGGCCATCTGTCGGGTGGATTTTGATTGTGCTTTTCTACGATTGGATGTCTGATTTGTCCTAAGATAGGTCTAAGCCATAACCCAAGAGCCAGTATGGTGTAGTAGTTTGAGCATTGGACTCTCGATTGTGGATGCCAAATGTAGGTCTCTGCATGGCAATGGAAACCTACCTTTGCAAGACACTCTTTCTCAGTCTCAGAAAGCAAAGGCTGAAGGGATCTTGCCAAAAAAAACCCCTATGGTTGGTCCCTTTGGGGTTGTCGCAAGTCAGGAACAGCTTGAACACACACACAGCACACCCAGTACTTTACACCCTTGCTTTTTGTAGCCCTGTGTGGGGCCAGTATATTTATTATATACTGACAACTACTGTACAGTGCCAGTAAGGTAATGCTCAAGATCCTGCAAGAAAGACTCCAGCAATACACGGAGAAAGTTGCCAAATGTACAAGCTGGCTTTAGAAAAGGCAGAGAACGAGAGACCAAATTGCCAATATACGCTGGATAATGGAGAAAGGCAGGAAGTTTCATAAAAAAATGTATTTCTGTTTTATTGACTATTCTAAAGCCTTTGACTTTGTGGATCATAATAAATTGTGGCAAGTTCTTGGTGGTATGGGCATCCCAAATCACCTTGTCTCTCTCCTGAGGAATCTGTATAAGGACCAAGTAGCAAGTCAGAACTGACCATGGAAAAACAGACTGGTTCAAGATTGGGAAAGGAGTATGGCAAGGCTGTCTACTCTCACCTGACTTGTTCAACTTGTATGCAGAACACATCACGCGATATGCGGGGCTTGACGAATGCAAGGGTTAAAATTGCTGGAAGAAGTATTAGCAACCTTAGGTATGCAGATGATACCACTTTGATGGCTAAAAGCGAAGGGGAGCTGACTACCCTTCTAACCAAGTTGAAAGAAGAAAGGGCAAAAGCTGGGTGGCAGTTAAACATAAAAAATACAAAGATTATGGCAACCGGACTGGGTCATAACTGGTAAATAGAGGGAGAAAACATGGAGGCAGTGACAGACTTTGTATTTCTAGGTGCAAAGATGACTGCAGATGCAGACTGCAGCCAGGAAATCAGAAGATGTTTACTTCTTGGGAAGAGAGCAATGAGCAATCTCGATTAAAGAGTGAAGAGTAGAGACATCACACTGGCAACGAAGATCCGCATAGTTAAAGCAACGGTATTCCCTGTAGTCACCTACGGATGTGAGAGCTGGACCATAGGGAAGGCTGAGCGAAGGAAGATAGATGCTTTTGAACTGTGGTGTTGGAGGAAAGTTCTGGAAGTGCCATACTTCAGGAAATAAAGCCCGACTGTTCATTGGAGGGAAGGACAGTAGAGGCCAAGATGAAGTACTTTGGCCACATCATGAGGAGACAGCAAAGCCTAGAGAAGACAATTATGCTGGGGAAAGTGGAAGGAAAAAGGAAGATGGGCCGACCAAGGGCAAGATGGATGGATGGCATCCTTGAAGTGACTGGCTTGACTCTGAAGGAGCTGGGGTGTCCATAGCCCACAGGGAGCTCTGGCATGTGCTGGTCCAGGAGGTTATGAAGAGTCAGAAGCGACTGAACAAATAAACTGTACAGCATATAATAAATGATCATTTGTTTTTGTTCAATAAATAGGAATATTCTTCTTCATGGAAAAATAAGGGGAAACAAGCGGAAGGCTTCTCACCGACTTTGTAAATCCAAATCCAGGGAAAGCAATTCAACGCCACGGCAGAAGTTAATTGGCACAGCAAGGACCCACCCACCACCCTCATGCAAGGATTTTAACATCTCAGCTGAAAAGCAGAAACCAGAATCAAAAACCAGACTTGCACCAAGTTACAAAATGATACTTTTAATATGTATTTACAGAGCAGCCTGCAACGGTTGATTTGGTTGTCCCAGAAAAGGACCATCACTTTCCCTACATTCCTCATCATCCCAGGTCGCCAAAAAAAAAAAGTCAATTCTGTATTTTTCCTCCTCCTTTTTTGAGTGATCAGAAGTCACAGACCAGGTAGGTTTGTCATATGCAATGCATTAGCGGAACTAAAAAGCAGCAGAACAGGTGGGTTTCATGGGGCAGAGCTGTGGAACTGCACAAGGGCTGGGAAAAGGGAAGACTGTACAGTGTTCCTTCAAGTCGCAGAGAAATGTTCAACCCATTCTCTCACCGAGGGTGAAGAAAAGGGGTTATCATACCAGGGGAGGACATCTTGGGGGGCCTTGATACAGACTAATGTGCCATAATACTGTGTAGCGGCATTGAAAACCATCGCCGTGACAGTCTGGTTTAGCTTAAAAACACAGAAAGGAATCTAGTAACACCTTTCAGGCTAACTGGGAGTAGGGTGGAGACATTTCTGCGGACAGCATCTGATGCTCGAAATCACAGCTTTCCAAACTCTGTGTCGGCATGTTGTGCAATTATATTCAGAACTGACAAATATTGTACAAATCATATATTTCAAAAATCAATTAAAGGTTTTCACAATACATGCTGTCCCCTCCCGTCCCCCTATATTTTGCTATTACAATTTATGTATATGTCTGTATCTCTTATAAGGGTCCAGGTTTAACGTCCGGTTTGCTATTAAAACTGAATTACTGTGTTGCGAAAAGTGTGTCACCAACATGAAAGGGTTGGAAAGCTCTGCTCTAGATGCAGCAGATTTTAGTCAACAAAAACTTTTGCTAGAAATATCCATTTTGCCTCTTTGAGGGGTGGGTCCTCCTCTAACATTTCTCCTTTCTAAGCAGCCCTTTTTCGGTTTTTATCATATCAGAAGCAACTTGAGAACATACTAGAAGTCGCTTCTGTTGAGAGAGAATTGGCTGTCTACAGAGACGTTGCCCAGGGGACGCCGGAATGTGTTACCATTCTGCTGGGAGGCTTCTTTCATGACCCTGCAAGCTAGAGCTGACAGACGGAAGCTCACCCCGTCTCACAGATTCGAACCAGTAACCTTTAGGTCAGCAACCCAATTTTCAGGTCAGCAGTCCAGCCGGCACAAAGGTTTAACCCATTGCATCACCGCGACTCCTTTTTTTCTACTGAAAACCCTCCTTCAAGGGCAGCCAGAGTAAAAAAGAGCAGAAAAGCCATCGGAAGAATAGTCAGGTACCTTTTCTACTCAGAAAGAGTGAGCATCAACCTCCTGTTTCTGAAAAGAATGTGGACCAAACTTGGCACACAGACCCAAACATGACCAATTTAAACTAATAAAGGAGTGGTGGTATCTTGGTTGCCAGAAGTCCCAAATAGGAGCCTCTGTTGGTGCAATGGGTTAAACTCTTGTGCCAGCGGGACTGCTGACCGAATCTGGGGAGCAGGGTTAGCTCCCATCTGTCAGCTTCAGCTTCCAAAAGGTTGCCAGTTTAAAGCCCCAGGTCAGTGTGAGCTGCTGACTGTAAGCCCAGCTTACTGTTGACGTAAGCAAGCAATTTGAAAACAGCTTAAGTTGTAATTAGAGAAATTAGAAACCGCTAAAACAAGTGAGGGAGATATTTTATGACACCATAAAGAAAAAAGATCAGAAAATGCCTGGCAACCAAAAGGAAGGAGGAAGTCCTGATGGCTCTTCGTCATAGAGGATGGAGCGACAGCATCCCCCTGTGGCTGGATTTGAGCACAACCTTCCAAGGCACCAAAAAGCTGGACTTTGGCACAACATACTTCCTTTCTGTTCTGTCTCTGTATTGTCTATCCAAAACGGCATTGAATGTTTGCCATGTATGTGTACTGTGATCCGCCCTGAGTCCCCTTGGGAGATAGGGTGGAATATAAATAAAGTGTTGTTGTTGTTGTTGTTATTATATATTCTCATGCAGGGACATGAGAGAAGCCTCCCACAGGATGGTAAAACACTCGGGCATCCCCTGGGCAATGTCCTTAGAGACAGCCCATTTTCTCAGTTTCTCAAGTTGCTCCTGACACGGAAAAAAAGGGCCAAAGAGAAAGTCAAGAGTCCTCCCCTATTGCTTTTCTCATAAGGATAACCATGGAGCCTTCCTTCCCCAACTTAAAATGTTTCCAAATCCAATATCTCTACAAAAAACGGAAAGGGAACATTTCCAGGAACCGCCTCTCTCCAAACACACTCGCACATATATATATATATATTTATATATATATATCTCTATATATGCCTCCGTATAGAGATATATATGGGGAAATGTAACCGTATGTACATTTGATTTCAATAAAGACATCAAAGGACAAAAACAGAGTAAGGATGCCCTAACGATAAATACATTTCAAAGATTCTCTGTAGCATTTCTCTGCAAGCAAAATACCTTTCTTTACATTACAAAGAAGTCAGCATTCTGGATAGCAATTGCTTTTCTCCATATTGGTGTGAGTGCAGAAAATCCACCGTTAAATTTTGTATTTTTTTTTTCTGTCGCAAACAAATAATGATTTTCCCCCCCACAAAGCAGGCTTGCTCTACATGCTAACGTTTGTTTTTTTCTTTAAACAGTTCTGTGACACAATGTGCTAGCTACAATATACAACAGAGAATATAGTAAGAAAAACACGCAACCTGATGAAAAGTTAAAATCTTCATTAATACATTGGAAAAAAGTCGACATAACTCATGCCTTTTTCATCTTCTTCTTTTTGAAAATCAAAAAAATACAAAAATTAAACGTCTTCCTAAAAAGATTTTCCTTATTTTAAGGACTCATTTGAAAATGAAGCTGTGTGTCATTTTTTTTGTACAATAAAAATTGTACAAGTAAACAGGTCATATACATTAAAAAATTAATTGACATACTTCTTAATTATCAGCTGTCCACCTTTAATTTTCTTCTTCTTCTTCCAATACTGTACTTTCTTTAACAAGCATACAAAATATCAAACTTCTCTTTAGAAAAAGTGCCATTCTGCAACGTCCTTTACACACACACACACAAATGGCCCCCAGAGCCGATGGCTGCCCCTCCATGCAGTTTCTATTTTTGTCTTAAGAGGCAAAATTTTACTAACGTCTACAAATTTTTATTCTCCCCCCACCCCTTTCTCCATAAAAAGCCTCCTCCTAAAAAGGAGACAACGCTCCGTTACAAAAATATTGGCCTCGTGAACGCACTGCATGAGGGGGCCGCAGCTTGGAAGCCATTCCCATATCGCATAGAAAACCACTATGATGGCACGTTCAGGGGAGAAAGGGGCCAAAGGAGTGTATGGGAAGGACCTTCTCTCTCTGGCGATGCATAGTTACCGCATCGGCGCCATTCCCTGTGAAATGTGCGAAATGCCGAGGACTGATTGTGACCATCTGCAGAGCAGGCTGATGAGTTTCTGGATCCGAGTTGCTCTCCCCCTTCGCCGTGTTGGGTTCCTTGCAGGCGACGCTCTGCTTCCTTTTCCTCCTCTTGGATCCCGGTCCGTGAACCTGCGCGCCGCCCTCCAAAGCACATGCCATCACAATGGTTTAAATATTCTGTATATTATTAATAATTCTTATATTTCTTCTCATCTAGCCAGTCTCTTGATTTGTTTTTGTTTTTTTCCTCTTTTTGAAAAAGATCTTTTTCCACTACAGTAGAATATTGTTGTTGTTATTATTATTATTATTATTATTATTATTATTACAGAAAAAAATCAAAACAAAAATAATATATATAATATATATAATATATATATAAATGAAACTTACATGGAATAAAACTAGGTAATATTTTTTGTTTTTGTTTTTTAAACAAATATACAATAGGCAGGCAGACAAAAGCAGCGGAGAGGGGAAAAAAGATGGCCGTTCAATAATAATAATAATAATAATAATAATAATAATAATAATAATAAAAACAAACCCTAAGAAAACTTGGCTATTTCCAGGAAAAAACAACTACGAAGCCGCTTCAAAACTAAAAGGAATGCATAATGAAATCCTAAACTCCTAATACAGGTTCAAAAATGTAAAAAACGTTATAAACCTTAAACGGGAGGAAAGGAGGGGGAAAAACATATTTACTGGCCATTCCTGTTGAAATGAGACTCTTAAAAGGAACACGAAGTGGCTACAAACCCACTTAGAGAAAGAGCACCGAACAGAGAGAAAACCAGTGTCCATTTTCAATCTCTGTTATTATCATAAAATCCTGTGTTTTTAATAGGTCAAACTGCTGGTGGCAGAAACAGAATTCTTTATAAACGGCAGATATATATCCTGTACATTAAAAAACAAAAGAAAAAGAAAACCAAAACAAATTGGAGTCGCACTAGATCTAAAGACGGGTCTGTTCTAGCCTACGTACTGCATGGAACGGGATGGGTTCCGTTTGGCGATAATAGAAAGTCCTTCCGTGACCCTCAATGGCGGCTGGGCGCCAGAGATAAGAAAAAGCGAGAGGGTACAAAAATGCAAAATTTCAACAGTAATGGCAATGTTTGTTTTTTCGTTTTTCAGTTCAAAAAAGAAACAAACACATAAAAGGGTCCTGCGTTTTCTTCCTCTTGCGCTCCATCTGACTAAGGCGTCACATGCGCGGATTAATCCGGGGGCAGCAAGTCGTGCAAGCGGAAGCGGTCCCGGATGTGAGGCCGGACATCCTCGTTCTGGAGCCAGGGAAAAAAAAAACAAGGGAAATAAACAATGCCTAGGTGGGAATAAGATACAATAATAATATACATTTATCCCTCCTGGACGTTTATTTATTTGCGACATTTATATGCCGCCCTTCTCACCCCGAAGGAGACTCAGAGCGGCTTACAAGAGATGTGTGTGTGTGTGCGTGTATATATATAATACATTATACCATGAGTACAGTACAATATCAGCGCTATACATCACTATATTGTACTATACAATTATATTGTACTATACAATTATATTGTAATATTATTAGTAATATTACATGTAATATAAAATATATAATTATAATATCATATTATTATTATTATTATTATTATTATAAATTAGTATAACACAGGAGACAAGATGGAACTGTCCCCTGGCCTTCCCTGTCTTCACTCTGGCTCAGAGCGGCAGTTCGTGCTTGGGGGAGGCGTCTCCAACTGATGAAATATGGAGGAGACAAGATGTTCTTGCAACCAATCTGGCTGCTATATTTTGAGCTACCGTATTTACTCAAATCTAATGCTCACCTGTATTTGGCTAAATTACCTCACCAGAATGAGGGTTCGCATCACACAATCATCTTAGTGCTAAGCCAAAAGGGAAGCTGCTTCAGGAGCTTCTCTTTGAAAGACCACATCTCTAATTTCATAACTCAATGCTATGGGATCCTGGGATTTGTAGTCTGGTGTGGCACCAGCATCCTTTGGCAGAGGATTAAGGCCTTGCAAAACTACAGTCCCCAGGTTTATTTCCACAGCAGAGATGTACCCCAAGGTTTACTTTTCCATTGCTGGAAGCTTTGGTGTTCCACTGTAATGTCAACAAACCATCGCTTTTGGAAGGGCAAAATAACTTTAAAGAAACAAGCAAAGGTCTGCAGAATGACCGTCTAGGTTTCCTTTTCTGATCATATAAGAAGTACTTTTGGCAAATCAGAGAGAGAAAACACATCCCTTTACTAAAATACGTACCAGCTCTACAAGTTTTTCAAGAAAAGGAATCAGTTTTAGGAGTTCGTTGTCGTTTTTGTCCATGAACCAGCTCTCTATTGGAATCCCATTTGAAAGCTGAAATTTCAAACAAAACACAAAGAAGGCAAGTTACTTCGTTTCCTTTTCAGCGATTGTGAATCAAATTGTGTCATTATTCTAGCTGTAGTTATCAGAAAACACCTTCATAATAAAACCTTCTCTGTAGGGGGGCTGCTGCAAATGTTTTATAGTGAAAATGGCTTTGTTGAAAGTATTGTATGTATTTCATGGTGAAAATCACAACAAATTGGGTGTTAGTTTCCCTTTTCCTTCATAAACAATTTCTCATTCATAAAACTATGATTTTCTTTTTAGCTCTGAAGGCAAGAAACAATTGTGTCAAAATATATTTTGTCTTCATTTGTTTTGTTGTTGTTTTTTAAAAAATGTAACACTTGAAAAGTGGACTGGAAAAAGCACGCTCACCTGATAGGCAAAGGCTTGTGGTGAATTATCAATAATGATCGTCTTGGAGAGATCTCTGCCGAGGATGTTTAAGTCCTTTATGTAGTTGCCTTGTACGCAAACGCAATGCTCTCGGAAAAGCCGATGCCTGCAAGCAAATTGTAAGGAAAACAATGCCCCAATTACAGGCACATAAAAAGAAATCGTGTTTGCAAAACATTTCTTCAAAAGTGACATTTGAATCCTCAGAAGCGTTCATGTTAACAATATTTAAAACATTCAAGTTGTTTTGTGTATTTATATGGCAAATCTCAGATTAATCAATGTTTGGGTTTGTAATCCATGCATGTATATCAGTGGTTTCCAACCTTTTTTTTTAGCAGGGACTACTCTCCAACATTAGTACCAAAGGGGTTATGAATCAGCTTTTGGCCAACTTTAGATTCGATCTGGTTATTTTGGGCGCCGATTAAGAAAACTGCATTGGATAGACCACATTAGCTCTCGTTTCTGATATAGAGCATATGCCATCCAATAGTCACCCACAAAAAAACATATTTAATAATCTAGTGCTGAAGTAGTAGTAGCAATCTTTCGCGGATAGTCCGGTTCTCTCCTCCCAACATCCCCGTTGCCCTGGCACTACTAAAGGGTTTTGCAAGACCAGTCGCTCTCGTTGCCATGTGGTTTCGAGGCAACAGTGTACTAATGGTGAGGCCGCAGACCTTATTTTCATTCTTGCAGACCACTGGAAATCCACGGACCACAGGTTGCGAACCACTGATGTGTGTGTGTATTTTCCAAGACATCTCCCACATCCAGAGAGCCCTGTGATTCCCCCGCTAACAATGCATCTTGACCAAACTTGGCATGCAGACCCCAATTACCAACAGAACATACTGGAGGGCGTTTGGTGCAATTGACCTGGGAGTTATAGTTCACCCAAATCCAGAGAGATTGTGAACCTAGCCAGTGATGCATTTGGATAAAACTTGGTACACAGATTCAATATGACCAACTGAAAACACTGGCTGGGTTTTTGTTTTTTGGAGGGGGTTGACCTTGAATTTTGGGAGTTATAGTTCACTCACACCCTCATACATTTTCAAATGGGAATTCTAATAAATAGCATGACAAAAGGCCAAACCCAGGCATCGCTGGGTACCTAAGCCAGAACATTTATTTATACACACACGCACACACACACAAAGATGCACATATACTCACCTCACTAGCTGCTTCTTAGGGTCTAGAATGTTCAGCAATTTGTCTGCATACACTTTCTTAGAGGCGGTAAAAAGAATGATCTGCAAAGGAAGCAAAGAAGCAATACTATATGAGATATATTCTCCTGACAAAGATTAAGACCTTAACAAAACACAGAGCAAGGCCAAAGCAAGTTGGATTACCTCATAGATTTGAGACATACGTTCCAAGAACTCTCTGAAGAATGGTCTTAATCGTACGTAAACCTGGAATAAGAAGAGAAGGTGGTTTAAAGACAGAGGCCCCAAAGAGGAAGAAGACTTGCTTCAAACACCAGGGACGTCTCAAACTACAAATAATAAAGAGGTTCACACAATCCATAGTTATTAACAGAGGCATGATGTGTGTCAAAGTATGTATGGCATTCCTGCAATTTCCATTACTGAATGCACAAAAGGATTTATAGCATGATTTACTGAACATAGACCGGGCAATGCCTTAATTAAAAGCAGTACCTTCTCGCTTTCTTCTCACTCACCAATCTCTTAGTATTTCAAGTAATATGTGTTTATTTTAATATGTGCTTGTATGTTGTGTTTTAACTACATTTGAATATTTGCTTTTAATATTATTATTATTATTATTATCATCATTTATATCCTGCTTTTTCTCTCAAAGAGATTCAAAGCAGGTTACATTAAAAGTATTTCAGTACAATTTACAATCTATTAATATATAAACATTAAAACATTTTATAGATGTCTTTGACTATATTGGGCCCTACCTTAAGCCAAAAGGAGAGGCAGTTAATAAATAAAATTATTATTCAGTCTATTATTATTTGATACACAACAAGAGTAGTACACAGCAAAAAGACCACTATGCTGGCTTTTGTATTTAAGCATACGTCGACACTTTTCAAGTGTCTAGGACTGTGTAATGTATCAGTCTATTATTATTATTAATATTATTATGTATATTTATACCCTGCATTTTCTCTCCACAGGGAGACTCAAGGCAACTGATTAGAAACAATATACGCTTTTGAATTTCAAAACCACTCATTTTTAGCTAGAATCTTCTGCCAGACTGAATCATTCCATTACAAAAAAGCATTTAAAATAACAATTAAGTAAACTTTTAAAGTAAACTTTATATGCCTCTGCCATAGATGGGGACAGATCACAAAAGCAATTTCCATCCATTAGAGCATAGATTTCCTGACCCACATTACAGTGTTCAAAATAAATTACTTGGAAGAACTACTTTGCAGTCTGAATTGCATTTAGCTCTCCCATCAGAAAAAAAAACATTCTGAAGTAAAGAGAGATATTTTGTTTTTTTAGAGATTTGACAGTGGGGGACAAAAGCAAGTTCTGAAATAACAGTCAGATTAAAAGCTCTTATTCACCCTTAATGAACCCATTGAGTCTTCCTCCAATACACAAAGTCTAGGGGACACAGGAGAGGGCTTTCTTGGCTGTGGTCAACACAGATTTCTTTCCAATCAAAACCCAGCTTTTATTAAAGCTTTAAATAATTATTTCAAGTCCTGTATAATTGTACACGATTTTAAAAAGTGGTTTCATCACAAATGTGTTTAATAAGTTGTTCACATTATTTATGGCTTGGATCTGGAAGTGTTTCAAACTGTCTGCATTGCACAGTCATGAGATACAGCAATAAAGGGTGAAATGGAAGTGTTTTAATGAATAGCATGTTACTAAATTAACAAAGGCCACCTATACCAGGCACTTAGACCTCCATTTAGGTAAAGCATTCTGGTGTCTCAATCTCATTCAGTGCAAAGGAGGGACTGAAGACCAGCCTGCACCCGATGGAATATGAATTTGTTGTTGGGCTGCAAAGGAGGAAACACACATCTGTGCCAAGTTATTACCTCCACCACCAGGCCTGCCCAACCTTCAGCCCTCCAGATATTTTGGACCCCAACTCTCAGAAGCCCTTATTGTCAACTTGTCTGATGGTCAGGGATCCTGGGAGCTAAAATCCAAAACACCTGGAGAATTGCAGGCTGGCAAGTCTGTTCTACACAGTCCTGCAATCAAGTTGGGTTAGAGCTCGGGTCACAATCAAACATTGAAGGCAAAATAACAGTTCACATACAAATTCTTGGTAACATTTAGCTGTTATTAGGGTAGGGTTAATACTAAGTTAGCAGTACATTTAACTCTGCACAGACAGCTGATGCACTCTTAGGACACAAGAGCCTGGCACACTTTTATGCAAGGGATTGAAAACATAAGTTCATGCCTTTTGGTTTAAAATTTGATTAAACAGCTCCTGCAAACAAACAGAGAGAACAATAACAAGGAGGCCCAGCTTTCCCTCCTGAACTGTGATACCGACAGTTCTTTCCTAGGCCCCATCTACACTGCCATTACAATGCAGATTGGACAGAATTATATGGCAGTGTAGACTCACATCATCCGCTTTAATGCACTTAATCTGCATTAGACTCCTAACACAATTTTCGTTCCTGGGTTATAGAAGTCATTTCCTTATTGGTTCTATCATAAATGCATGGGGAAAAGTTTATTAAATTGCAAAAACCTTGCTTTTGTAGGACATCCTACAGCACATTTTGCTTTAGTTTTTCAATGAGTATCTCGTCACGTCACAACCCATTCAACCTAGTTTGTGGCAGCCACAAAAATGAAGTTTCTGGAGTAGAACAACTACAATAGTCTTGGTTATTCAACCTACACTCATCCGACACTCTGTATTATCCGACGCCCCGCTCTTCCCAGCAGCAAAAGTGGTGGTGGCTGCCTTTGCCGCCCACCCTCCCTCACCCACCCTCCCAGCCGGGTCCTGGTTCTGCCCAAGGGAGAGCAGGCGACAAAGGTGGCAGTGACGGCAGAAGCAGGAGCCTGGCCTCTTCTTCCTGCTTCCTCCAGACCCCGGTTCCCTACCCCGCTCGTCCTGGTGGCAAAGGTGATGGCGGCGGCGGCAGCAGCCACCTTTGCTGCCCTTCCTCGCTCACTCACTCACCAGGCCGGGCCCTGGTTTTGCTGCTGCCTTTGCTGCCGTGACCCAGCCCGGTGAGTGAGCAAGCGAGGTGTGTAAGCGAGGGAGGGAGGGCAGATGGCAAAGATGGCAGCAGAAGCAGGAGTCTGGAAGAGGCAGGCAGGCTCCTGCTTCTGCCGCTGCTGCCGCCTTTGCCACCTTCCATTGCTCACCTCCTCACTGGGCCAGGTCTTAACGTCAAAGGCAGCAGAAACAGAAGCCTGTTTGCCTCTGACCAGGCCCGGTGACAAGCAGGGTAGGGAACCGGGGCCTGGAGGAGGCAGGAAGGAAGTCGCCTGAATGAGCGACTTAATAAGCAATCCCTCCCTATTAGCCAACATTTTCACTTATCCAATGTTCTGCCAGCCCATTTATGTTGGATAACTGAGACTGTACTTTCAAACTAAGTATCAAACAATTAAACAGGAAATAATATTTTCAAACAAGGAACAGAATTTCTTTCAAATCTTGTTACATAGTGTTATAAGAGTCTACAGTGACCATATAATGCAGTTCAAACTACATTATATGGCAGTGTAGAAGACTTCCCCATTTTAATACTCCACAGATATCCTCATCAGGAGCAAGTTAGGAGCCACAGCAGGCAGAAGGATTCAAATCAACATTGTGATAAAGAATGGAAACCAGGTATATACACAAAAGCAGTTTACAAAAACATCGTATTAACAAATTCTTAAATTAGAGGCTACTACTCAGTCATTTTCATTTTCACCCATCTCGACCACTGAGAGTCACAAAACACTCATTTGCTGAACAATGGCTTCGAGAGACCTGGGGAAGGCGGGGAGGCACTGTCTTGGTTTCATGATACTCAACTGTGAACTGTATCTTCCTAACTTATGTGGCTTAAGAAGAATTCTCAACACTGCCAAGACCAAATACGAAGAGAGAAAACAAGTTTTTGTCTGTTTTTTTTTAAAGCTTCAGAATTTTGAAAAAATTTGAAATAAAGCAAAAGACAAAAAAGACAAGTTTTAAAATTAGGGTGAAATACCTGGACCAGGGTCCGTTTAAGGTGCCTGAAGTCACTCTCCAAAGAGACTACAGAAGGGTCCAATATCGTGCGAACTACATGGAGGGACGCTGTTGCCACTCCCAGGTACATCACACAATAGGGACCTGAGGACAACAGCCGGGATCAGGGCAGCATCTTTGGCAGTTACTGGAGCACTCTCCTCCGCCTCCTCCTCCTCCTTTCCCTGTTCTTCTCCGACAGAGAGGTTGAATGCACAGTAGTAGATGGAGGCTAAGGATACGTTGTGAAGTACAACCAACAGTTAGCGGTCTCCATCAACAAGAGCACCTCTCGCCACAAAAGCAGCACCTAACTAGGAATGAAGAGATGGATTTGCTTCTGAAAAGCATGTTTATCCCCAAGTTCTGAGTGTCTTTTCCCCCTTCCATGTTTCCCTAGCATGGGCTGGTTTTATTATTATTACACAAGGAATAAAAATCAAAGCTGGAAGGAAGATCTTCCAATGTAAAATGATTGCTGTTTAAAGTACTAGTTTTCCTTTATTTCACTGGCTGGAGCAAATGCACCAAAGAGGAATCCTTCTAGCTTTCTAAAAGTTGAAATCCATACAACTGAACATGATAACAACTGTCAAGGTAAAAACCAGTGTGCCACAATACATCTGCTACCTGATGAAATTTCATAAATGCCTCTTAGTTACCAGTGTTTAGAAGGGGGAGAGGATACCAGGTAGGCCAGTGTTTGCCCACTTAACCCGGCACAAAGCAGACCGATACTCCACCTGATCAGGGTTCTGATTACCTGGTAAATGACATCTTGGAAAAGAACTGGAAATGTGAGTGCGGCATCTTCTAGTTCGTTTAGACTACAGTGTACTAGAGTTTCATCCTAAAAAGAAGTTTAAAAAGTAAGTTTAAAAGCAGAAAATCTGTGAATCTGAAATGAAGCCCTGCCCGCCTGCTATTTCTACTGCGCATGCAAATCAAATGCCACCATGGTTTAGTATTCACTTCCCCACTTGTTCTCCTTACCAAGTCTAGAACTAAGGAGAACTCTGGTGTGCTTCTCGTTTTCAGTGGAAGAGCAGGTTTCCGGTTAAGTTGTTCTTCTGTAAGTGGGGGGACGTGCTTGATGAAGTAGTACCTAGGAGGGAAGGAGGCCAAGATAGCATCTGATAACCCAATATGCCGTATATACTTGAGCCTAAGCTGAGTTTTTCATCCCTTTTATTAGATTGAAAAATACTCAAGTCAAAGTTATTTATCATTTTACTCTATTATCGTTATTTTGATTATATTTATGATTTTATTCTGTTTATTATTGTATTACATTTATTATTTTACTCTTTATTATTATTACTACATTTATTATTTTACTCTATTTTATTATTACATTATTTTACTCTATTATTGCTGTAATTGTTACATTTCCATTATTTTACTCTATTGTTTTTATTATTATTACATTTATTATTTTACTCTATTATTATTGGAAGGATATAAGCACATTTACATTAAAGAAGATAGGAATAATAGTTTAATCAGAGTTGGATAGTCTTAACTTAAATTACAGTTTTATGTAAATATCCAAAAACATTTAACCTACTGATGCCTCAATTAATGTAATTTTTGGTATTTATTATGATTTTGAAAATTTACCAGTAGCTGCTGCATTCCCCACCCTCAGCTTATATTGAGTCAATATGGTTTCCCAGTTTTTTGTGGTAAAATTAGGTGCCTCGGCTTATATTTGGGTCAGTTTAAATATATACTTCAATTATTGTAATTGTTAACACTGGATCCCACCACAAACCTTACAAGGAACTGCTTTGTGCCTTTAGAGAGACAGTGACTAAATAAAGAGGGACACTTACGGATCAAAGACTTCCCAGTCTTCTTCATAGGTGGCTTCTGCGTGAGCTGATGAGTAGCCGCTGTCGGGAGACACTGGTGCTAAGAGAACACAAATTACCACTATGAGTTCCCTGGAAGAGCAAAGGAGCTTCCCATTGAAGAGCAGAATGTTAAAAAACCTTTCCATTTGGCCGTTGGACCTCAAAGGTCCCGTCTTCATTTCTACGGTCCTTGTCTGGCACACAGAATTCTCTACTCTGAACAACTTCCACCTGTACCTGATAAACCTATTTCTCGAGAAATAGATGCCTGACAAATAAACATTAAAATTGTCATCAATTTTTTTCAAATGTGAGTTTAAAAGGCCAGGTATTATTTCAGAAAGATCTGTTTAAGTGAGCCCAGCTACTGACAGAAGTCACATGTATATGGACAGCTAAAGACACAACCGATCTGAAAAATATATTTCAGTGAAACACTGAAATAGGCCTTATACTTAGCAGCCAAGGAGACACACTTCCTTTGCACTTTTTCTGAATGTGAGCGGGTGGGACAAAGACACAAAAGGTAACTACCGTATTTCATTGCATTATAGTCATCATTACATAACAGTCACACCCCATTTTTGGTGGCAAAATTGGTATTTTTGTTCACATAATAGTTGCTGAGCCTTTTAAGCCTGATTCCCCCTACCTTCCTTCTTCAAAGGCAAGGCAGTTTAAAAAAAAAAAAAAAAAACTGTAATAGAGATCACTGGAACTTAAATCTTTCCTTCTTACTGCTTTCTCCAAAGAGCTCAATTTCAGATTTTGTAAACTGCCTTGCCTTCAGTGAAAGAAGAGAGAGAGGGAGGGAGAATCTTCCTTCCTCCTTTCTCTGAGGGAAGGCAGTTTTAAAAAACAACAATAGAAACTGAGCTGTTTGTGGGAGGCTGGATCCTCCCTCCTCATCGTCTTCCTTCTTGGAAGTAAGGAAATTAATTTAAAAACAAAAACAAACACAGGAGAATCAAAGGCAGATATTTATCATCACATAATAGTCAACTAATAGTGCGCCTATTATGTGAATAAATATGGTGTGTGTGTGTGTTGGGGGAAGGGTTAGTTCATTTTCAGTTAAAGTGGGTTAATTACTTCTCAACAGGAATATGGCCTGCTTGAGAAGGTTAAACTCAAATAAAAGGTTTCCATGTCCTCACAACCCAGGGCTGGAGTCCCGAGAGGAGCAGAGAGTTCCAAGGAGGGAGGGGGTGTGTAGGGCAGCCCTCCGTACTGATGCTGGGGAGCCAGGCCTTAGGCCACATTGGGCCCTTGGCCTGGTGGAAGAGTGCCACAGATGTTGGAAATAGGAACTTTCCAAGCCTTCACTATTTGTTTGTTAATGTCTACATTTGCTAACCTGTATATTGTGTGTGTGTGTGTATTGATTTGCCAGTTTGACTGACTTCTTTGGTGTGGGAGGGGCTACAGATATGTGATTGTACTGAGCATGTTCAGACTCAAGACTCCATTTTGGACTTCAATGTTAGCAGTTGGCTTTAGACCTCAGTGGAGGTGGACACAGTATGCTTTTGGACTTCAATAGAAGCAGATGTCTTTTGGATTGATACAGGAACAGTTTACTATAGGTTAGTTTGAGAAACAGTGAGTACAGTTATACAGTTTGGACTTTCATAAGCTGTAAAGACTTTGGACTATGGACTATTAAGAATGATGCCCTGTGTTCTCAACACAGAGAAACTACATCCGGCCTGTAACTGAGTTTCAATAAGAAATTTGCCTGTATACTAAATTAATACAACATGTTTGAGAGTAAACAAGGTATGTTACTTTTTAAAGAAGGCTTTGTTTTTGTTCTCTGGCTGCATATTTTTAAACTAAGAGGTTTCAAGGGAGAGTATATGTTTTTGAGCAACTGATATTTCAACATCAACTACACATTTTAAAACTCTACTAGTTAAGTATATGTTATTGTGTTTTTAACTGTGTTTTAGTTAATAAACATTATTGTTCGCTCTGCGCTTGGTCCCACATGTTAGCCGCCCCAAGTCCCTTTGGGGAGATGATGACAGGGCATAAAAATAAAGTTGTTGTTGTTATTGTTGTTATTATGCAGTCATTATTGTTGTTGTCGTCATTATTATTATTATTATTATTATTATTATTATTATTATTATTATTATTCAGTTGCATGTCTTCGTCCCTGGCAGTTCAAAGACATGGTTTATCAGTTTAACAACTGAGCTACCTGTGTGCTATCATATGAATGCTTGTGAACATCCTTTTTTCAAAGGGTTGACTTCGAACAAGGTCATGCCTTTCTTTCCTTGACTAGTGGTTTTCCAAAGGTGGTCTCCAAATGTTCATGGAGATTCACATTTGCAAAAAGAATATGACATCAATTTTCTTTTCAGAAAGGTTATGAATGCCATTTTTCCAAAAACAGACGGTGACCTCTTTGTCCCTGGGGCACCAGTTCTTAAGGCCCCTAAAGACTCCTCCAGTGAGGAGGTCCTGCCTGCAGGTCAGTCAAAGCACTGCTAGCTCTCACCAGTGAGTGGAGGCAGGTCGCGATCCGTCACGTCCTCGGCTTCCTCCAGGCCGTTGTTGATTGTCGATCTGACCTGTGCCACTTGGCTAGCGTAAGGGGTCCCGTTTGCTGAGGCAGCGGTGCTGGTAATGATCTCGTCCACTTGCTCCATGTCCAGCTGCTTCACGATTTCTTCGGCCTCCACAGCTTGGCCAGGAGACTCTGAGCCGGCCGAACCTGAAACACAGACATCCTTTCATGGACTGCCATTGCAATCAGGCAAGAAGGAAGATTTGCACAAGTGTTTGTTCTTAGAGAGGAATAACGGAAAGTGTCCATGTAGAAGACAACTCTCCTACAAGGGACAGGTTTTTTTTTATTTTTAGTGGAATATAACTTATAATGGAAGCTTTGCATGGTACTTGCCATTTTTATTTGCTGGTGAGAAGAAATTGAAGACAGGAGAGAATATGGTCCCCAGTAACGTAGTCCGTGGGGGGCTGCCGGCGGCGGGATTATCCTCCAACTTCCCATTTTGCCTAACATGCTGGTTTGTCATTTCATAATTTCCAGCTTCTGGAACAGACACATAAGCAAGACAGGTACTAAGCAATTTCCCACAGTCAGAGGTGTCCCTGCTTTCATTTTCACTACAATAGGTTAGACACACACAAAGCTACAATGACAAAATGCCAGCAGGCAAAGTTCAATTTCTTAAAGGTATGGCCATAAAGAAAAATACACTGCTCCTGACACAATGCTCTGATTCAAATGTATGGTTTAATGTTCTAAAAACGAACCTTGGGCTCCTGTGCTTGCCTGCTTCTTATGTGGCATGCTTTCATTTCACCTTAACTGCAATTTGGTACTACATTCAAATCCCAAAGCGTGGTTTAATTTTGATGGTTTACCTACAGCAAGTCAACTTCCCAAATCATGTTTAGACTAAGCACAGTCTGTCAAGTTGTGGATCTAATATTCAAGTTAAAAACAATCTTCCATCTGTGGCTCTGCCTGAGGCAAAAGGCTGGGAATACAGTGAACCAACACGCCTGGAACCTATTTCTCTAGCAACAGAACACAGTCATCCATTGCACCTAAAGCAGCCAATGGGTGTAAGTAGCAGGGATGCAAGTTGGTCCCTTAACAAGTTGTCATTAAACTGTAGTCTAAATCCTACAAGAGCCAATGGTAAGGAATTATGGAAGTTCCACTCCTCTTTAAAAATATAGTACCACATCTAGTGGACCAGTACAAAAACTTCTGGACTCATTTTGCAGTATAATGTAGCACCCAAACACCAAAAAGCTACTTGCTAATCTATCAAACTAACCAGGGGGGCTGGACCTATGGCCTACAATCTCCAAGGCAGTGAAGCTGGAAGCATCACAATTGGCTATCTCTGACTTTGCCGAATCCCCACTAAGAGTATAGACCAGTCTCGCACGCCATGTGGCCCACACAAGCCATTGGTGTGCCTTGCAGCACACTGCCAGCCAGGACTCTCCTGCCTTTGCCCTCCCTGGTTTGTGTAAAAAAAAAAAGGGGGGGGGGAGATAAAGAAAGGAAGGGGGGAGGAGAAGGGACAGGGAAAGAAAAAGAAAAAAAGAGGGAGAAAGGGAGACAGGAAGGGAAGGAGAAAATGTTAGGTAGGAAAGAGAGAGGGAAGGAAGGAAGAAGAATGGGAGGGAGGGTAGGAAAAAGAGAAGGAATAAAGGAGAGCAAGAAAGAGAAAGAGGAAGAGGAAGAGGAAGGAAGGAAAAGAAGGAAGGAGAAAAGGAAGGGAGGGAGGGAAGGGAGAAAGGAAGCAAGGAAGAAAGAGAAGGAGGGGAGAAAAAGAGAGGGAATGAATTTAGAATGTGATTTGAACTGTGGCTTCGAACCCACTGAGTGCTTTCAGGCAAGTCACACACTCTCAGCCTCATAAGACAAAGACAAATCCCCTTTGAACAAATACTGACAAAAAAAAACTCTGTGAGAGGGTTGCCCTAAGTCTGAAATGACTTGAAGGCACACAACAAAAACAATCCTAATTAATCATTTATTATACTTTACTTTGGAAGTGAGGTGCTAAAAACCTATTTGCAGCCCCAAGAGGGTTAGGCTATCTAATTTGTCCCCTTAACTCCTGCCAACTCGTGCAGGCCTGAAATACATACTTGACCCAACAGAAATATTGATGACCCGCCAAAGCCACCCTAATGATATGATAATCTATGAAAACTGCTCAGAGCAGGAATATCAGCGATGATTGATAAATAAATCATTTACTTTTTAAATACTTAAAAAAGAACAGGCAAATGAAGCATGCCTATGCCATAATATATCAGGTTGCTGACTTCCTTGATGGGAGAAGCGTCAGCCTATGAATTCTGCACAGGAAATAATACAACTGTAGCATCCCCATCTACACAGGAGAACTCAGCTCAACCTCCGGCCTCAGACCCATCAGCAGAGTCCATTCTGGGCAAGGAAGCACCGGGATAATAATAAACTCAAAGACACGCTAAAGCCTTGCTCAGCTATATTCAAGGCTCATTCTGGAGCCTTGGATAAGACGCCTTCTCAGCTCTGCAAAATATGCGTAACATCCTGCCCTGGATGTTTACTGTAAGCATCAAGGAAGGTGAAAAACACCACAAAGAGGCACTATACACACAAACCAAAGGGTACTCCCAGCTTGTTGGCAGGCAGATCCCTCTACCTCCATGAAAGCAGTGCCAAAAGTCTTAATTACTTCACTGATGCAGAAAGACCAAAGGCCTTGCATGACTTGCTGAAGTGGAATATTTACAAACCTCCATTCACTTGACTTTTCCTCCTCACTCGAGGGAGTTGTTTGTTCGGTTTGTCTCCTGTTCGCGAAGTGGATATAATCAGGCTGTCATCTATATCCCGCTCGATCCTACTTCTTTTTGCAGGGTGTTCTTTCTCATCCTAAAGAAATAAAGCACAGCCATATTACAGCCTGGCCTTTACGCAGGCTGAAACCTCTTTTTTATGGTTTGGGTGTTTTGTATGGCCATGATTCAAGTTAAAATCCTAAAAATCCAAACTTTCGCCAACAAAAATAATTCTGGGTTTCATATAGATATATAGAAAAAAGAAGACGATTTAGAGGGAGGGAACAGAAAAGTCAAATTATTTTTATTTAAATGCTTTCCTGTTAAGATCTGAGGATAACTGTTCTGGATAGTTCACTGAAAGGTGAAGGTTTTTGACACTTGTTTGAAACACTGTGTAAAAGCATTACTTACAAATGTGTAGAAATGCATGGCTTTATTAAAGTCGAAGGCAAGATCTCCTGGAAAAGGTTGTGGATTTTTATTTTGGTGTGGGGCAGACCAGCAACTTCCCCTGCCTTGAGATGACTCTTTCTGGGCGGAGCCACTGAAGATGGCTCCGTCTGACCCACATGAAGGATGGAAATTCCCTAGTAACTTTCCATTCTGACGAGTGAAGACTCTGACTTTCGGCACCAGGCAGTGACATGCAGGATGAGATGATGGGCCACGCCAGCCCAATAACTTGACATGGTTCAATATCTTTACAACAGGTATGTTTTAAATGTGCCAGGATGTTTCTTTTTGTAATTCTTCTTTGTCCTAAAAGGGATGTTTGTACAACAAATAGCCCCCCCCCCGGGTCTGTGGAACTCTCTCCCTAAGGACATCAGGCTGGCCACCTCCCTCCTGTCCTTCAGGAGACAACTGAAGACCTGGCTGTGGGACCAGGTGTTCGACTAGAGGCACTGACCAGAGGACAATGGCAGCTTAGAAAGGAAACTTCAACATTACGACATTGGATTTGTTTGGCCAGATCTTGGTTTTAGCAGCATGTTAGTTGAATGTTAAACCAATTTTTTTGATGATTTTCATAATGTTTTAATCAAGCTTTACTGTTTTTAATTGAATGTATATATTGACAGCATCACTGATGCTTATGTAAAGCCGCCCCGAGTCCCCTTGTGGGAGAAGGGCGGGGTAGAAATGAAGGAAATAAATAAACAGAATCCCGCAAAGCATCCTAAGTGAGGGCTTACCTTTGGAGTGCTTCCTTTGATGAACTTTTTGATGGAAGACAATAAGCCAGTTTCATTTTTCTGCGGCTTTCCTCCGCCAACAGGTAAGCTTTCTTCTACCTCCGAGTACTTCCTCTTCACCCTCAACATGCGCTGCGTGTGATTTTGATTTGACTGCTGAGAAGCTTTCCGCGTTCTCAGCCTCATTTTGTTGGTATCACATGTAAAGCTGCAACAGGAGAACAGACAGGGAAGCCTGTCAATATAGCAAACTCTCTATAATTACAGAACACTTAATTCAAAGCAGTATATATATTTTTGTAAAAAAATAAAAAATCACAATTGCATTTGAGCAGCCACAAAAACCAAAAGACAGCATCTAGAAACCTGAAAAATTCTACCATCACTGGGTACAGAACATTCATTTTGTGGTATTTAAAAGCAAGATTGAAAAACACATGGGAGTTGAACTATTGGGCAGATCACTTACACTTTGTGCGAAAGGAGGATATTGGTAGGTGCTTTTCTAAATCTTGTATCAACAACGACAGGGACAGATATTCAGCTATAAGAGTGACCTTATGACAGGGAAACAATCCTCTCTCTCCATCCTGGACACCCGGTCACAGCAAAGAGCAATTCTGACTTCTGTCCCTCTTAATACGAAATCTAACAGAATGAAGTGTAACATGAAATTCCAGCTTTGACTCTATGGTTGTAAATTCTCATTTGAAGCATCAACTGCAAGTAACATAGACAATTTCTGTTGAGGCACCTGTTTAATTGTATTGGGCTTCCATGTATAGGAAGACAACATTATTACATGGCTATTAAATTAAAAACGTGCCTTTTGTAAGCATACTAGTCATAGTAACAGCACATAATTCAAACAACATTGACTGCAATGGGAGTAAATGAAACCGCTATCCTATTCAAATTAAAGAGACCTCAAATTGCTGAAGTTTGGCTGGGCTGAATCCTCAATTATTCTCTCTTTATTTCTGTTGGGAAAACATGCCTGTTCAAAAGATATGAAACCTTCCTTGATGGGAGAAGCATCAGCCTATGCATTCTGCTATGCTTGTTTACAGAAAGGCAGAGAGCAGACTACAAATGCATGCGCTGCGTCAATGTCTTTGAATGGGAGATTAGGCGGCTATATCGAGACAGACGGGGGGGGGGGGGGGGGTTATTCCTTAAGGCACAGTTCATTCAACCGAGCCAAACGCTCCTGCCAGACTTCTTGGCTTACTTCCTATCCTGGCTATCAAGCCACAGTTATAAATATCCTTAATGTTCTTAGCAACAGTTACCTACAATCCTTTGGATGACAGAGGTTTGCTTTCCCAATACATGACAGCCAGGACACAAACGGCGGTGTTTTCCCTTACACGACATGCAAATACAGCTCAGTGTAAGAGAAGGGCTGGCACCAAGGAGTCGCACACACACAATGCAAATGTTCACTGGGAACTCAATCTGCTGGGGCCTACGGGCTACTAACTTAGGCTCCCTGCCTCTGAAAAAAGTGGCAGAGGCTTAACTGATACAGGATTCCCCTTACTGTGAGAATTACTGTGATTCCTCATACTGATGGGGCGTAGGAATGAGCTCTGCATCAGTCTCCAATGAGGAGGTCCGTGTTCACAATATCACTGGGGAGGGCTGTGAGCCTAATCCAGTACAATCCCCTGCCAGTGCAGGAGAACCACAGCTAAAGCACCCCTGACAGATGACCATTCCACCTCTGTCCAACATCTCCACAATCATTTCCTTCCTTGTAATTTCAATCCATTGAAGAAGTAGGTTCTACCCCTTTGGGGCACTAGAAAACAAGCTTACTCCATCTTCCACATGACAGTCCCTCAAATCTTTTAAAAATGTCTTTCATATTGCATCTTAGTCTTCTTGAAGCTAAACAGACTTTGCTTCCTGAACTGTTTCACCTGTGGCTTGGTTTGCAGACCTTTTCCCATTTTGACTGTCATCAGTCTCTGGACTCTTCCCAGCTTGTCAATAGCCTCCTTGAACTGTGGTGCCCAGAACTAGGCAGAGGACCCCAAGGGGAAGTCTGAACAAAGCCCAACAGAGTGGTGCTATTAATTCGCTATTAATTCAGACTATTAATGTAGCCTAAAACTACATTATTCATTTTGTTACTGCTCTGGTGCAACTTGTTTTCTTCCAAGACCTCTACATATTTTTCATGCATTGCTATCAAGCCAGGCATCACCCATCCTACATATGTGAATCTTTTCCCTCTTAAAATCCATGTTCTGAGCTGTGACCCAGTTCTCCATCCCCTGATCATGACCTCTGAGGCATTGGCTTCCACAAATTTGATGGTAGCCAATAATCTACTCATTCATCCCAGCACATCTGACCACAGCAACTGATTGATGTACGCTCATTGATTTGTGGTCATAAGACATAAGGCAGCAGGCCCACTGATCTTGTGGCTAAGACAGCATCTGCAACAGAGGAGGATTTGTCTGCCTGACTTTCAGGGCATCCAAGGTACTGCTTGGGCCACCTCTCACAGTAAGCAAGATTCACAGTCAAGACAAGGAAGTACAATAATTTTCTGCACCAATTAATATTTAAATCTAAAAGACAGATCTACCTGAAATGAGCAGCTGCAAGCACTGATCAAATTAACCATCTGACCCATTAACTGATTTATTAGAAGGGGAATTGTAAATGGTAGTTCTGAGATTGAATGATAGGCTTGAAAAAGACCCACTTGGCTCCTCTTTCTTAAGGTAATCGAGAATGAAAGAATATGAATGGTGGTGTTCTTTGCAGCACTAATGAGGTACATTATGATTAATTTCTAACTTGTGTAATTTTTCCCCTTCAATGTCTTAAGGAAGCACTTGTGTGGGGAATATCTGGGATATCCAAATGTAAAGACAGTGAATTAATCTACTGGCATCAAGGTGACTATATATATATTTTTTTCTGTAGTGGTTCCAGCTAAAAGGAAAATGCTTGTTTGGTCTCTCACTACCTGTATTAGACTGCTTCACTCAGGTGCAAGAGAGGAACTTGCCTTCCCACTGGAGTTGAAGTCAGGATCAATAGCCATTCCAATTCATTTTTGTACATTGGACCAGGGACAGGGGAGAAATTACCTAATCCTTCGCCCCAGGCATCAAAATATCTTGGGCTGTTCTGCTTTACCAGATTCCTTCCTCCCAGACTGTTAGGATGCTGTGTGGCAAGTCTCAAAATTACTCTAAATTACAGCCCCTGTGAACTCAATGAATAATCATGTTTAGAGCTGTACTATTAGTGGCTTATAAATTTTAGCAGGACATGCATAGTTCCTGTTGGGATCCTGGAATGAAACAGCTGCTGCTGGAGGCATTAAGCAATCTAGATTTATAATCCATGGCAGAAGCCTATTTTTGGAAGTCACTTTCCTCTTGTTACAAAGCTGGTGTATGACAGCCAGGCTGCTAAAAGTTTCCTGAGTGTGCCCTTAAAAGCTTTTTATGGGAAGTCATGACCCCAAATAATATGTTTATAGGCATTCACCTCAGGAATGTTTGTAATTTTACCTAAAACAAAACACAGTTACATCATTACCAGATATATACACACACACACACACACACACACACACACACACATTAATTTGCTTGATTGTGTTGGTGGCTTCTAGCCATTTATCCAAAATCCTTTTCTTAACTTCATGGATTTCAGGAAATTATTTCTGTCCATTAATTAAAATTGAGTAATAGTCAACTAGCCTGTTACTGAGGTACTTCATCAGTGAAGGCTCCTCCACCAATAAACATTCGGAGCTTCAGTAAGCTTGGAAACAGGAACCTGTGCTGCTGTGGATGACAAGAGCTCCCTTCACCATCCTTCTGATGCATTCTAGTGCTTTAGGAATGACCATCTGGAATGTGAGCATTTAAGCCAGGACAGCAATGACTGACCGACTGACCGACCAAGATATGCACACACACACACTGAGTTCAGGGCATCAAAACATCCTCTGTGTCGCCTGCAACATGAAGGTTTGGTAAATATTTCCCATTTTGTGGTAAACATCCCGCTAGCTCCAATTCTACTCCCCCTGCTCTCATATTTACTATAAGCTTGGCTAAGCTAATTCATCCTTCTAAATAATCCCACAAAGAGCTTGAGTTCAACAACGGTGGTGGCAGTAGTGATAATGCCATTCATTAAGGAGCAAGAAAGAATGCAGATTCTTTGGTGCAGATATCAGCATATTCCCCTGTACTGACCATAACAAATAAATGGAAGGGATAAATCATTCAAGTTCAAAAAAAAATCTGCAAGGACATTTAGAAATATTTTCTTCTCCAAAGTCCATTTCATCATGGCAAGAGCTATCTGGGTTACATCATTATCTAAAAGAAAAATCCATTTTGCATTTCCTTGTGAAGAAAGGCATACCTATTTCCTTGAAGAGAGAGATACAATCCTAAAGGGTTGCTTGAGTCCAGAGCTCCCACTACTGGAGCATTTGCTCTTTCCAAGCTGGAGAAGATGGAAAAGGGAAGCATCCCATGCCAAAAGGCTTTCTAAAAGTCTTGCAGAACTTTGTATTTCTTAGGGGCTAGAGAAAAACGCATACACTGCCACAGATGACAACTGTCACCAATGGATCCAAAAAGCCTAGGAAACTGAAGAGGTGTGTGATATTTTTAAGCAAAGCTCTAATACAGGCACTCCCCAAGTTACGAACAAGATAGGTTCTGTAGGTTTGTTCTTAAGGTGAATTTGTTTGTAAGTTGGAACAGGTACATATTTCAAGTACTACTCGTGCCAAAATATATATCTTTTTGCTTTAGATTGCATAGGGAAGGGTGAAAATCCCTGTGGAGTTTGTTTTGCTGTCTGTTCCCCTGTTCAGAAGATTCTACCTCACTTTCTGTCTCTGTGAGAATTGGATTTTGAAAAATTTTATGGTTGTGGAAACAAGGATTGGAGAGAAAGCTTCAGTGGACACCCAGTGAATTTCCCTTCCAAGGGGTAGATTTCTCTTACTTCCTGTTGTCTCACCCCTGTTCTTAACTATGAGTCATTTGTATGTCAGATGTTTGTAACTCAGGGACTGTCTCTATAGGCAACATAAAAATTGTGATCAGTGAAAGGAGTTCCAGTTACCTGCCTTATTCAGTTCAATGAAATCAGACATCATTTTCCTTTATGTTTAAGTGCAATGGAAATGATGGGTCTCACTAATACATGGAACCAACTTTCTTAAACAAAGGGCAGATATATACAATCAGCTCCAAAAAAAAAAAAAAAAAAAAAATCTGCCCAAAAGCTTCTGTCTTCCTTGAACAGTAACAATTCTTAAGTTATATTTCTTTCTTTCCCCTCAACGTCAAATACCGATAAAGAAACAACATATGTAATTCCCAGTGAGCTGTTCAAAAGTTAACCCCTCCCCCCAATAACTTTCCCATATTACACAAGTTATGGACATGGCAAAACCCCACATGTGCATATTCTAACCCCAAGATATAGAAAGGAAAAAATGTATTTCTATAGTAAGTCAACTCTGCAGTTAGCATCCGGCATGGCATCTTCCCGCAACACAAATGTAATATCAGTACCGAGCCTTTTGGGAGAGCCATTTGCCCGAGGTCACACACAGCCTATCAATAATAACTTGGCTCAGCTTCCCTGGCCCCATACGCCACAGGATCTTAATTTGCAAACTTCCCATTGTGTCCCAATGACACAATGATTTCCCTAGAAAAATCTGCTTAAAGTTACCCCTAATCTCTGAGAAAGATGCCTTCCTGTCGTAAATATATTTACTTACACTTCTTTTTTCCAGAGAGGGGAGTAGACAATCATTTGGGCATTGCTCACTATAAAATGGATTTCTGTGGGGAAAAGTTTACATAGTCAATGACAAAAAATAACTTTAAGGCATTTTAATTAGAAACTATGTTTCTACAACAAAACAGTTGTGTAAACTAAATAACAGTGACTACAAAATACATGCACACTGTTCAAGTTATTCTAGTCTAATAATCTGATCTTTTAATGAAACTTAAGCTGTTATGTCTTTGCTAACTAGCAGGGAAATTGTCCACTTGAAATTCCTTGAAAGGTGTTATTTTTGAAATATTGCTAAATTTACTTTCTCTGATGAAGCAGAAATCATAACCCTGTGATAAAATGCAACAAACTATTTATATATGTTTGCCCATCTGAAATATGCTACAATGAACTAAATGAATACATCCAAGGAAGTACTTTCTCCAAAAGAGTAGCGAGTTACACTATTTTATTAAACAATGTAGCATGCTAGTGTAGCTCAAGAAAACCAACCCAGGCCATATCCCTGTTTAAGAAGAGGACAGATTAATGGGGAGAAGAGATCATACTGGCTTCAGGGATCTGATTGTGAAACCACAGACCTCCCACCCATGGTTTCTTTCTCATGATGTCTGAACACGAACATTCAACTTTCTATGCAAGAAAATCTGTCTCAGATTGTTCCCACAGCTCTTTAAGAGAGAACTGATTGAACCTGGAATTGGGACATCATTGCGAGAAATGCCTGTGGCCAGAAAGCAGGAGCCTGCACATATGAATGCTGGAAACCAAGGGTTCTCAGGGACGTATGGATCACTGTGACATCCAAACACAGCTAAATTGTCTTGTGGCATCTTCTTCTAACCAATTCCTTATGGCATTCATTTTTGACAGTTCATGAAAGTTCACACTGTATGAGACCCAAATCCAACCTATGTTGTCGTCACATGCCTTCGAATTGTATCTGACCTAATGCAAACCTATTGCAGGGTTTTCTCCACATTACTTGTTCAAAGGGAGTGTGGGTTCGCCTTCTTCTGAGGCTGAGAGAGTGTCACTTGTCCAGTTCACACAGAGGGTTTCCACAGTCAAGCAGACATTTGGGCCCTGTTTAGAGTCAATTTCTATAGTGGAGCACCTTAGGCCTACCCTATATCTTACAAGTTAATGGTGTTTAGGAGAAGGGAGGACAAGGGGATAGATAGTATGGGGATGTAAAATAAAGAAGTATCTAAATAATTGTGCAATGTCAATGCAATGAGATTGTATTGTAAAAACTTTGAAATTTACCATAACATCTCAATTTATTATCATCTTATTCTTTAATTTCATTCAATTTTTATTTATTTTATCTTATTGGAGTGGCTGCAGAGTCCTTAACATTGGGAACTGCTGCACTACACCATTTTGATTCCCTTATATAAATATACATAGAATTAAATACTATGCTTCCCCCTTCCCTAACAAGCTGAAACTCCTTATATGAACCAAACTGATTGACAAGATTCTTCACTGTCCCCGGTTGGAAATTAATTTTTAACTTGATCCATATTTTATATTAAGCAGAGTCTTAAAGTCCAATAACATCGGTTCCATCCACTCCCACTCAAACATGGACACAGGCAAAAAGCCTGCAAATGCTAACACAAGTAGAGGATTCTCATTACACCCCATGGCGAAGTGATGTGGCAAAACTCCCCTTTCCTGCTTCCAGAAAAAAAAAGCTACCCAACTCTTATACTCTCCTGGCTTCTCTTCCCTTGCTGTATTGCTTTATGTCTTGGAAATCTCCCAAGTACCTGGTCAACTAGATGCTAAGTCATTTCATGCTAACACATCAGACATTGATGCTTTCCCCATAAACTCTTTGTTTCCTAGCTGTATATGAGAGCAAGTGGCAGTCTCATCCACAGCCAAGTTTGCAACAGATGTGTAATCTGACCAGTGAGCCAGTTGCACTGGATGAAGATAAAATAATTCTGAAATGAGGAGAAATTATTTTAAACTTATTGCATACAAAGCCAGAATTATTCTTTAATCCATATAAAAATTCAGTGATTTAGTAATAATTAATCAAGTCAAAGATTAGTCCAAGAAGTTATTAATACTTAGCAGCAAAGGGAAACTGTTTACCAACTAATACTGCATGCATGCACCAGTCTTCAAGTAAAATAGCTATCGTAAGTTCTCGGGAGGACATAACCACTATTCCAAGGACTGTCCCAAGCACTTATTTCACTGAAGTTCCCACATCAACAATGAATATGTTTTACCTATATTGCTTGGATTTGATGATCAAACATCTTAATGTCATTAAATCCCAGATAAAGTAGAAAATGCCCTGAAACCTTCCCATAGTGTACTACTGAAAAGCAATAAAATTAATACAAGAGATATAGTGAAAATACAAGCTCGCAATAGTCTTATCATTCTAAGGTTTTTCATCACACCTGTGCTATTTTATAAAGTAGAACTTGAAAGATATTCTCAAAGAAGACCCATCAGTGGAACCAGGAGAACTGAATTACCAGCTGCCCATAGGACAGCCAGATAAGCACTGCTCAAAAAACTGAATGGGGGAAAAAGGTTGTGGGATAGCCTATTTCTGTGGGTACGTCTCTAGAGTAGTCTTTAAACCCAAATCCAAATTTTAAGCATTTTGTGCTGCTCCTGCCTGCTCTTAAATCCCGACGACCAACATCAGGAATGCAGTATCCTCCCCCACCTACCCACACACACACACAATAAACCTGGCCCAAGCTATAGTGTCAAAAGGGAGAGGAGAGACCAGTAGGGAAGAAGTGTGGCAGCCAGAATCCACACGTAGAACTTGCAGCTTCCTCTAGGACTGGTATGGGCAATGTGGAAACCTGCCAATTTTACTGAACTGCAACTCCCAGCATTCCTCATCATTGGCTGGACTTGTTTTGCAGTAACATCTGAAGGAAGACTGCACAGTCGCTGCCTCTGCTCTCAGGGAAAGAGAGTCCTGTGGCTTTCCATCAAGGGGAGGCTGTGTAGGAGGGCACGTTGCCTTATGCTAGAGCAAATGGCCCATCTAGACTGTCTTGAATGGCAGAACCCTCTGATGGGAAAGTGGAGGTCTTGCCTCTTACCTCCTTTTAACTGAAGCTGTGGGAGTAAACCTGGACCTTCGGTGCAAAAAACAAATAGATTCCCACTGGTTGATAACTTGTTGTGTGCCCATGTGACAGCTGTCTGTAAGGAATCGCTGATCTTCACCTACTAACCCAAGCAAGTAGGTGCAAACGCATGCTGACGTTTATAAAAAGCCACTCCTTGAGGCAGGTATTAGTAACTCAGGAGAGGGTGTTGGAGGAAAGTTTGTTTATATAATAATGCTTATTACAGGCAGGAATGGTGAAGCTCAAGGGTGTTCATTCTTCCGTCATCTAGATACAATCCTCATTAAAGCATCACAATCACTTCAGGGCTTCCTTTGGCCACATCTACAAAGCATTTGATGACTATCATACCAGATAAGGCTGCCATGAACTACTAACCTGTAAAGCATTAGATTACTCGTTCAATGCAGCAAAACAGCAGTTTACATGCACACATTGATTTGGAACTCTCTCTGTACACACAGCGTTCAAATTGGTACAACATTGGCATAGAAATACAAGATGCTACTCCTCTCACTTCCTTTTGAGTCCCATCTCAAAGCATACCCTTTCCACAGTGATGTTATTTCAACAACAGAATTCTCATTCACTACTGCAGCCAATCTTCTAATCAAGTTTAAGCTACCCCCCCCCCCCCAAAAAAAAAAACTTCTACAATCCCTGTTCATCCTCTCCTCAACCTCAATTTCCAACTTGTTCTTTCTTGGACTCTGTAAAAGGCCACACTCACTGTTGATGCTATATAAACATCAAAGAAGAATTTAATCCATAAACAAGATTTGCAGACTCCTGTATTAAAAGAAAGCCTAGTATCAGTGTAGAATCCAGCAGACATCGTGTGCTACTATTTCCACTAGGCAAGTCGTAGACAGGTCAGACATTATGAATGACTGCATCCATTCAAGTGGATGGTACAAATAAAGATATTCTGAGAGGCATCTTTAGTACAGAAGTCTTGGGCTTTGGTGTGCATTTGCATACCCACACAATCCAACTACTCCTACTGTGTCACGAAACTGTTATGTGAATAATATGGCCCACCCACCCCAAAACTTCTTCAAGCATATTCTATGCCATTGCACTGATGGCCCATAAGGTCACTTCATCCTCAGAAATGGCAAACCACTGAAGCCTGACTAAATATTCTCTATGAGACCCCTTGGGGAGATAGGACAGATATAAATAAAGTATTGTTATCATCATCATCATCATCAATATCCCTCAATATTTGATGGGAAAACTACTGGTTTATGTTTGGTTTGAATGCAGTGAACAAGGACCCCAGATTATTGGTGGCTCACACACCTTTCCGAAAGGCCAGTTTAAACTGTAGACTTTCTTCCCTTAAAATAAACACGGAAATAATCTTAGAAAATGATGCCTGCTCCTGAACACCAGAAATGTCTTTAATAGCACTACTGCCTTACCCCTAGTCCCAACAATTACACTGTATTTCTCTGATTCTAAGAGATCATAGAGTATAATTTCAGTGTGGCCAAAAGGGGGGAAAAAGCTCTCTTTCTCTATATGTATATATCTCTCTCTACATGTAGGACCCATGATTCTAAAACACACTCTGTTTTTAGAGATATTTATATGGGGGAAAGGTGTGTCTTATATTCCAAGAAATACATTAAAATACAGTCAGAGGAACCTCAAATATATGAGAAAAGAATGTAGTCAGAGATTATACACACACACACATACAGATACATAAACATACAAATTCCTACATCAATATAGTTCCATGGAGCCCCCAACTTCCCATGCCCAAATAATCATGTTATGTTGTGAATGGCAAAGCTTAAGTATAAATCAAGGAGCTGGGGATGTTTAGCTTGGAGAAAGAAGGATGAGAGGGGACCTGATAGCAACAGTTTGTCTTAATTGGCTTCCAATGACTGTATCTAAATATAAATACCAAGCCAATATACAGTTTATGTTATGACAATAATAATAATAAATTATTTTATATGTTACCCGCCTCTCCTCAGGACTGGAGGCGGGGAATAACACAGTCAAAACACATCAACATAAAATACACACAATCAAATCATATCATATCAAAACACACCATTCTGAAATATAACACAGTATCGCATATGGGTTACTATAGCAATTATAGTAATGATGATGATGTTAATATAATATTTATATTGTTGTTTTATTTCTTACCCGCCTCTCCTCAGGGCTGGAGGCAGGGAGCAGCATATATGAGGTACTACAGTAATAATAGTAATAACAACAACATATTTATAATATTAATATATTATTGTTCCAATTGTAACCCACCTCAGGTCTGGCAGTAGAAAGCAGCACATATGGAGTGCTATAGTAATAATAATACATTTTACTTATAACCCACCTCTTCTGATGGCTCGAGGCACAAGAAATTCAAGGAAACAAATGAACATTTTTAAAATTACATAAGTAAACACACAATATAATATCTAATATAATAATAATAATAATAATAATAATAATAATAATAATAATCTTTATTTATAACCCACCACCATCTCCCCAGAGGGGACTCAGGGCGGCTAACATGAGACCAAGCCAAAATAATACAACACAGTTAAAACACAAAATAACAAAAAATACATCATAACACAAATATGAAATAACAATGAAATCAACAATATGAAATAGCATAAAATCAGATCACTTCAGGGGGTGCTGTGGTTTTTAACTTTGAATTTGTTTTGATGGTTTTCAACTGGGAATTTTAAAATATTATTTATATTTAATCCTGTTTTAACGTTCATATAGTTGTATATTTTAAATGGATATGATGATGCTTTCATGTAGGCCCTGCTCTTGGTTCTGCCTCCTTCGCAGGCACGGTTGGTGGGGACAACAAACAGGGCCTTCTCAGTGGTGATCCCTCGGTTCTAGAACTCCCTCCCCAGTGAAATTAGATCAGCATCCTCCCTCCTGGCCTTGAGAAAAAACGTAAGGAGATGGCTATGGGACCAAGCCTTCGGGCAGTAAAGTAATGCAGTACAAGAAATGATTAGGAAATAGGTACAATTGACAATAGGAATGTTTTGGATTACGATTCTGGATTGTGTGATTTTAATGTTATATTAAGATGTTTTGAATTCTATGTTTTAACTGTTTAAATGGAATCCGCCCTGAGTCCCCCTTGGGGAGATAGAGTGGAATACAAATAAAGTTTCATTCTTATTATAATATATATACGTAATGTATTAGTCTAAGAGGACATGTGAGACCTGTATTACATATATGTAATATAGTATAATGTATTATAACATAGAACAGTATGAGTGAGGCCTGTATTACATATATGTAATATAGTATAATATATAATGTAGAGTAAGATATAAGAGGACGAACAAGGCCTGTACTAGATATATATAATATAGTATAATATATAATGTAGAGTAAGGTATAAGAGGACGAGCAAGGCCTGTATTAGATATATGCAATATAGTATAATATATAATGTAGAGTAAGATATAAGAGGACAAGCAAGGCCCGTATTACATATACCGTATATACTCGAATATAAGCCGACCCAAATATAAGCCAAGGCACCTAATTTTACCACAAGAAACTTGGAAAATGTATTGACTCGAGTATAAGCCGAGGGTGAAAAATGCAGCTGCTACTGAAAATCATCAGTAGGTTAAATGTTTTTGTGTATTTACATAAAACTGTAATTTAAGATAAGACTATCCAACTCTGATGAAACCATTATTCTAATCTTCTTCAATGTCAATGTGCTTACGCATCCTTCTAATAAGTAAAATAATAAATGTAATAATAATAAAAATAATGTAATAATAATAATAATAATAGAGTAAATAATGGAAATTTAATAACAGTAAGAGAGTAAAATAATAAATGTAATAATAATAATAGAGTAAATACTGGAAATTTAATAACAGTAAGAGAGTAAAATAAATGTAATAATAATAATAGAGTAAATAATGGAAATTTAATAACAGTAGTAGAGTAAAATAATAAATGTAATAATAATAATAATAGAGTAAATAATGGAAATTTAATAACAGTAAGAGAGTAAAATAATAAATGTAATAATAATAATAGAGTAAATAATGGAAATTTAATAACAGTAAGAGAGTAAAATAATAAATGTAATAATAATAATAATAGAGTAAATAATGGAAATTTAATAACAGTAAGAGAGTAAAATAATAAATGTAATAATACATAGAGTAAATTAATGAACGTAATACAATAATAGTACAGTAAAAAAATATAAACATAATAATAAATAGAGTAAAATAATAAATGTAATAAAATAATACTAATAACAGAGTAAAATAATAAATAACCTTGACTCGAGTATAAGCCTAGGAGAACTTTTTTAGCCTAAAAAAGGGGGCTGAAAAACTAGGCTATATACATCTCCTGTCACATCAGCACTTTTAATGTTGTACCCATTGCTCTGGCCCGGCCCAGTTTTATTGTGTTTAGTGTATTGTGCCTGTTGTTTATTTTGCTTTATTCTGTTTTTAATTGTTTGATTTGCTTAGATTGTATTGTTGTGTTGTGTGTTGAGGCCTCGGCCTGTGTAAGCCGCATCGAATCCTTCGGGAGATACTAGCGGGGTACAAATAAAGTTTAATAATAATAATAATAATAGGCTTATACTCGAATATATACAGTATGTGATATAGTATAATATATAATGTAGAGTAAGTTATAAGAGGACGAGCAAGGCCTGCATTAGATATATGTAATATAGTATAAGATATATCAGGCATGGGCAACCTTAGGCCTTTGGACTTCAACTCCCACCATTCCCAACAGCCTCAGCAGGCCCCTTCCTTTTCTTTGAGAGGGAAAAGGAAGAGGCCTAAGGCTGCTAGGAATGGTGGGAACTGGGAGTCCAAAACACCTGGAGGGGAGGCCCAAGCTTGCCCATGCCTGATACATAATGTACAGTAAGATATAACAGGACGCGCGACGCTTGTATTCTTCCAGAGCTGCCTGGGCGCTCTGCACGTGCTCAGAGGCCCCCTGCTCGCCTCCCCTTCCTCCTTCCCTGACAAGAGCCCACCCCACTCCGACTGCGGCCTAGTCCTCCGAAGAGAGCGGCCCTCAATTTACCTGAGGGGCGCGAGAGGGAGGCTTCTGAGGGAAGGGCGTCCCTGGAAGCCCTTCGCCTTCTTCCTTCTTCCCGTCCTTCCTTCCTTCCTTCGGTTTCCCCTTCCTTCCTGCCCGTCCTTTCCTTCTCCAGCTCCCCAGCGGCCGGGACTGACCGCTGCTCAGCAGCAGCCCCGGCAGCGGCCCGTCGCCATTTCCCGCCTACCGACCTGCTGCACCGCACGGAAGGACCCGGATGCTGCTGGCGCGAGGGGGGAGAAATTGAGGGAAAGGGAGCTGGGGAATGCCGGTGCGCATGCGCGGAGGGGATGAAGGGGAAATCTGACTGGGGGAAAGGCGCATGCGCGGAGGGTAAGGGAAAGCTGACTGGGGGAAAGGTGCGCATGCGCGGGGGACGGGCGCGGGAAGGAGGCACTTTTTTTTTCTTCCTCCTTGACAGACTGGTGAACACACCGAGTGGCTCTCCGCACATGCTCAAGGGAAAGCCTCGGCCCACCTTGAGGACGGCTCCCTTCGCCACGTGAGTTTCTCCTCCACACAATTAAGCCCCAAAACTATCAGGTTTTCTTCATAGAATCGTAGCTGGGGGAAATTGGAAGGGACCTCTAAAGGGCATCTAGTCCAACCCCTTTGATTCTGCTTTCCTGCAGCGAAA